GATCTCGTGCTGGCTGTTCAGCTGGCACAGGCGGTGCAACGTCTTGCTCCGGATCCTGTCTCATTTGGGGAGTGGTAGGTTGATGAGAGATGGGAACATCATCATCACCAGGTGGAGGAATAGGATCTTTAGGATCTGGGTTGCGATCTGGTAGTCGCGTAGAGCGATGACGCTCTGAGGATTTACAACGAGGAAATAATTTCTCGTCAAACACAGCGTGCGTAGCAGTGAACATGGCATTGTTCGACCGCATGTAGATATTTCCGTGTCCACCGTCAGAAACTCCGAGATATGTCATTAGTTCTGACCTAGGCGATTGTTTGTTTGTCCGTATTTCTTCATGAAGATAGACATACGCGCCACAGCCAAAGACACGCAAGTGATCTATGCGCGGAACTTTGTTGTACAAAATCTCATATGGTGTCTTCCATTTGTGACGACGCATAGGAGTGCGGTTATACACATGCACAGCGTGTGCAACAGAGAATTCCCACCAGGAATCAGGAATACAGGCTTGAAAGCGCTGTGGTTCACTTTTCTCAATAATAGTCCGGATAAACCTTTCGGCTCTTCCATTCTGCTGGTGGATATGAGGAGATGACCATTGTGCTTTGATACCTTCGTTCTTAAAGAACTCATCAAGTGCATTGGATCTAAATTCTCCGCCACCATCAGACATCCATTCCTTGACGTTAGTCTCGTATAGATTTTTGACTGTGGCAATGAATTGCTTTATCACCGGAAGAGCTCCGCTCTTCTTTTTTAAGTGGCAGTAGAACCCATGCGAAGTATAGTCATCTATGAAGAAGATCGTATACTTGTACTTGTGGTACGAAATGGTAGGCCATTCTTTGAGGTCTGAGTGAATAATCTCGAAGGGACGTGATGCCCGACGATTAGTTGGCGGAAATGGACGTAAAGTCATCTTTCCTTTGGCACAACCTTCACATAGATCTTCCTCATGGGGAATGCTAAAGGTGGGAACACCTTCTGCATGTTTCCTCAGTTGAGTGAGTGCTTCGCGCGATGGATGACCCATGCGACGATGCATGGTAGTGTAGTCCACTGAGTGGATCACTAGGTTTACAGCCATAGGCTGTGGCGAATAATCTTTGAGAATGTAGATTGTATCGCTGTGAGTTCGTGGTTCAAATGACAGGAATAAACCGTCTTTGTCCCAGAAGTCAACTTTGTCTGCGTTGCCGCGAACAGTTTTGCCATCTTGTAGGAAGCGTCCTTGTGCTATAAGGCGATGACTCAACTCCTTCATATAGAATACTGGAGCGATTCGTGCCGAATGCATGCGACCTCTAACATCCTTGAAATTTATCAAGACAGTCCCAATGCCAGTAATGTAGGCAGTTGTGGTTGCAGTTGCTATGAGCACTTTTTCCTCAAGGTCTTCATACTCAATGAAGTCACTCAAGTCAAAGGTAGTGTGTTCAGAACAACCAGAGTCGTTCATCCACCATTTAGGTTGATTTCTCTGTTTACCCTTACACTTCTTGCACACAGAGTATGAAACGTCATGTACACAAAAATGTTCATTGGATATATACTTGGCATCGATACGGTAATTATACAAACGGGACAAGAGATCAGGCTCAAAGGCCGACTTGCATGTCTTCGCCACTGCAACCGATGAAGGTGCGTTAGTATATCCCATATGGTCAAGATCAGAGGAGGGTACTGACCCCATGGTGTCCATGAATCCAGTGATTGCCAAAATTTCACGATCCAAGTCGAAGTTCATCAACTCATCAGGGTCGAAAGAGGCAGTTCCTGGGACCTCAAAGTCCATAGGAGGAGATGGAGGAGGCGGCGTAGGAGCCTTACTGCCATTCTCAACATCATCCACAGGAGACATTGCACGAGTGCGCTTTGTTGGAGGATCAAGTTCATCATCACTGTCCAACTCCGAAATATGCCCAGCTGGCTCAAGGGTGCGAATGACTTCGGCAGTCGCACGGACGCCAATGTCACGGGCACGTTTGATGGCCATCCTTGTCTTCTTATGAAGATGAAGGGACGTAGCATTAGGAGGAGGGTTGTAAGGAGGATGGATGGAGTGCTTGCGCACATCTTGAACAGAAGGAGTAAGATCAGTACGTACCGGACCAAAGTCAACAGTACTGCCAATCGGACTGAAGTCCATAGAGTCTGCATCAGCGTGGGCAGCGTTTGCATTCTTCTTAGCCTTCTTGTTCTTTCCACTGCCACGCTTACGCTTCTTCTTGTTGTCATCGTTCCCATTCTGTCCCTTCTGCTGCTGGTTACTACCGTTACCATGCTGCTGTTGGGAGAACTTGGGATCGTTTCCCTTGCGATGAACGTTCGAAAACTTGTTCGCGTTCTGCGGTTGGGAGTTGCCAATGGTGTCTCCGCTGAAAGCGTTCATAACTGCGATACGAACTTTAGCAAAGGTCAATTTCTTGAGCTCTGCAGTTTCAAGCTGAGACATGGTTTGGATAACGACAGAATAACGTGATGGGAGCTTAGATAAAAGAATCAAAGCTTCGAGGTGGTCAGCAAGACCAATGCCAGCTTCATCCATACGGGTGAAGTACATGCCAATCTCCATCATAGAGGACAGCGGATTTTGCTTGTATGGAATTTTAATAGCCATAGCGGCAGCAAAGTCATTAAAGACTGCGCCCAGACTCTTGACATTGTAAGTCTTGGCTAGATAGTTCCAAAGCTTCTTAGCTGTGTCGCTGTATTCCTTGGCAAGGATGCGGATGGAGGGAGAGATACGGAGGCGAATGTTACCAATAGCCTTGGTGTCGATCTCCTTCCAGGCTTTGAAAACAACCTCATAGTTCTTCCAGGCTTCAACACTGGCGGCGTTTGCAGCAACAAGTGGAGATGGTTCACTGGGTTGGTCAGTCGTAATTGCTGATTCAAGCCCTGTAGCCTGAAGGAAGGCTTCCATTTCGGAGGCCCAGGTGTCGTAGTTATCACCTTTGAGGGTGGTGGTAACAGCGGTAAACAGTGCAGAGGACATTGCGATCTGGATAAAATCAACAGAAAATGTCAGCATGCAATTCATAAACGCTCAATGACAACAGATGGAAACAAAATGTCATGAATGTTATTGCCAGTAGTGACAAGCTGCGACATATGTCTAGCAAGCTGTCATCTACAGTGTCAAGCACTCTTGGGTGATGTCATAATCAGCACTGTTAAGTGCGATATTGACTTCAGCACCAGAGGCGACGTTCCAGGTAAAGGTCTGTGTCAGAGACAGCAATCAAATAGATGCGTCAATGACAACAGTAGACCAGAGAGCACTGCGAGCTTAGAGCTCAGCAAAGCGTTCATCCGGGGCCCATAACCTGTTGAGCAGGCAAGGAGTGCGTAGTGGGAACACCCTCCAGTACCATACCTGGTAGTAGAGCTTAGTGTCTCAGTGAGGCAATAAAAGTAAGAGAGAAGCGAGTTGGATTCCAGTACAGGATATGGCCTGTTTATATACATAACTGTATGACAGTATTACATAAGGAAGTACAGAGGAATCCGCATATAGTAAATGACTAGATATGACTACATATGATATATTATAACACATGATCATAATAGTGGCATGTGAACAGCATAGCCGCGTTCAACAGAGGGGGCTGCAGGGAATCCTCAAAAGGAGCCACAAACCTACATGCTGAGTAACAGTAACAAAAGAAGCATCAATGGGGAATCAAGAGTGCACTAAAAAGACAATAACCACCCTCCTCCCTCTCAGCAGTGTTATTGAAAAACCACTGAATGCTGCTCAAAGAACAAAGGTGGACCTTGGCACGGACATCACGAGCACCTTCTGTATACTGTAGGGCAAGCTGGAAGCTTTGGGTAACAACGTCTGATTCCAAACAATCCAAACCATGAGAATGGAAGGAAATGACAACATCAATCAAGACTCCAGTAGGGTTGCTATGATAAAGTCCATGCTTAAATTCAACACTGCCACAGCATAAACAAGCTAACACAATGTCAACAGCTCCAATGAATGAAAAGTTATGATGGGGTCAGAGAAGTTGAAAACTCCAACAAGCTCCAACATTTTTGATGCACTAAACAAATATCACTACTATCACAAACTACCACTTCTAGATACAATTAACCAATTTATATACCTACATTGCCAGATACAGTCACAGTTTAACAGTTACAACAGTTATTGCTGTAATATTGTTCATTGACAGTACATTGATTGAGCAACATATGTGTAATTCACACTTGACATGTGGGTTTGGCATCTCAAAATGTTTACTGATTGTCTGAAGCAGTAAGAGGCTTGCCTCTGTACATCCTCAACAATTCCCTAAAAACCACACAAGAAAACAACAAACTAAGCATCACATAGATCTCAACAAGAGCTATTCATACACACTCACATCTGTAGGAATATGTATGGAATTGGTTTCCCAGACAACTATTGACTGATGAATGCTATGAAACATACACCAAAAAAGTTACTACTGACCACTTAGCTCAACTTGAATGGTCCTCATTATAACTCATATTAAATCTCATCTGAACATCTTTTCTTGTTTTGCATATCAGCAATACATCACATGTCTATCACATTGATTCTGTGAGGCCCCAGCACTGAAAGCCTGCTCTGGTGTTACCCAGACTAGGCCTAAGCAAATGTGGTAACCGCCTAGGCCGGATGAGGAGGTATGGGGCATTGTCAATACTACTGAAGGGCAAACTAACCACAAGTAGTTATGGAACTTGGGTACCCCCAATAAAGTGTCCCACACGTGTATAACCACCACTTTGATATGGAGGGGGAGGTGTAACCAATGCAAGTGGGGTTTTCTGGGGAGCTTACGAAGCAATAAAGCAGAACCGGGAATCTAATGGAAACTTCCAGAGGATGAAAGATTTACCATAGGAACCCCACCGTCTACAATATTCAGTACACCAGGTGGCAAACCTTAAATTGTGTGTTGTATGAGTATCACACACTGCAAGACTTTATTGATTCTCCTCACCTGCTCACCTGCTTGTTGACAAAGTTCAGCAATGATCATGGCTGCACCAGGATCCTCTTCTGAGGACTTCAAAATTAATGTGTTTCCGGTTACAGCTGCCATTGGTATGCTCCAAAGCGGAATCATAGTGCACATTAACACCATGGAAAAAAGCTACATATTCAGAGCAAAACAGATCATACGCCAGAAAATTAAAATGTGCAACACTAACACAAACACCAAGTGGTACTTTGTGAATGTATGTATCCATATTAAAATTTACTGGAATATATGCATGAAATTCAATTCGAGTGACAGAAGCTAGGAAGAGACCCATGGAAACTTCCAGAGGATGAAAGATGACTTGTAGAGCCTCAAAGGAGAACCATAGACAAAGCATTGAGAGAAACAAACCAGACATGGGAAACAGAGAGGTCAAATAGAATTGAGGTCAAACAGAGATTTAAAAAAATAGATAATAAGGAAATATATGCAGATGAAATGTGTCAGACCCTGTTGCCGGGTACTAGTACACTGTACTAACAGGAACCAGAATTTCCAGGTAAGATTTGACAATGACATCTTCAGCAACTCCAAGGAGGGTCCCCAACCTATACACTGTACATGAGGCTATCACAAAGATATGTCATGTAGCAGCTGGAGTGACTGTTTATATTTACTACGAACATCATAAAAATGATGCATAGAATATCAGAAACACAAACAAGTGATGAAGCGGAGTTGTGGAAATACAAGGGGAAAGTCCACAGAAGCAAGACATGACAGATTTTGATAGGTAAATTGGCTATAAGTACTTGAGCAATAGTGTTGAGAACGACATCCAATGATCCAGCAACAAATAACCTGTCCCAGTCCCACATTCAATAATGCATATACTTATCATAATGGTAAATTCAAATACACACAAAGATTAGCATTCAACAATTTGCCCAACACTTTGAATCTTACACATCCACAATATTCTGTAGTGCATTGTTCACATATTTCAAGGCAACAAGATGCCTCAATGTTCAAGTGTAATTCCTTCGCCTTTGTCCGTGCCATAATCGAACATGCTGAAGTGGCATATACAAGATCGGATTTATAGCTCTAAAATAAATGTTTATGGATATCCTTGATTTACTTTCCTCCAATTGTCACAAAATTGGCTAACTTCTTCAGATACACAATCTCTTTGACAATAGCATCAAGTACATACTGGGAGTTTTACTACCAATATGCAATAAACCTTATGCCACCATCGCAATCTGATTTAAAATTTTCTATTTTGACAGAAAAGCCAACAACAGGACATTTCCTTGAAAAATAGAAAGCTTCCAATGATATTGACTATACTGAAGATGATGTTTGCTGATCATTTCTATAGTCCAATCTCACAGTGTTTGCATCATTGCCGACTTGTCCTGAAGCTTGATGGCTTCAGGAGTGTAACATCATCAAAAGCCATATCTTCCACAAGGTCAACAACCTCCTGAAATCAATTCGGACCATTGTTAAATTTGTTCATTGAACAGCCTGAAGCTGCAGTTTGACCCTTTGTCATAGAAAGCAAACTGAGCATAATCAATGCATACAAGACTTCTGTTGAGAATTCAGAATGTATGAATAGTGTTAATGCATCAATATCAATGGTTCTTCACTCACTTATATCTGTCATGCCCTGACCAACCTACCATACCCCTACCCGATTCCAAAGAACCCCCCCCCCTCATTCTTCTAGCTCCCCACGGGACTGCCCCATTCACCCCAGGACCTCCCGGGCACCTCCTCCATAAGCTTCCCTGCCTCAACTCAGCCTCGACAATGCACCCCAGATTCTCATAATACATCATTCCATAAGACCCTTCCGCCGCAACAATCCCCATTTAGTCCTCATCTCGATCATTTACCTCACACATACCAGATTCCCCAATGCTCCCTTGTTCACTTCCCATACCTATTTAAGTAGTGCTGCAACATCTCCAAGTCGCAGCTTGGTATATCTTGAACACACACCCTTTTGCATAGGTCCTGTAACACTAATGAACTATTTTGTCATAAACATATACATATATATAAGCAATATACTCTTTCAATGTTCTCAAGTCCAACTTCATAATATCATTACTTGGATGATGACGACTAAATTCTCCACTATTCACTTGACTATCAAACTCCCAGATACCATTTTCATTCAACATTCTTCCGACAAAATGATTACATCCATAATATACTATTGCATTCAATTTATATTCAAGATTCACACTTCCATCACTGGATGGCACGGTAATTCGGAATGAAGGCTGCAAATATTGAACATCATGTAATTCAAACATCATTAATTGTGCTATTTCACCTGCACAATTGCGTGGTGAAAATGTATTTCCAGTGCAGAACAGCATCTGATACCTACTGTCTATAAAATCCTGCACATTCTCAATATTATCACAATACGAATATAGAGGTTCGGCAAGCTTGCTGATGAGATTATATGATGCCACTGAGCTATACCTCCAAACTTCTCTTTCATTTGCAGTATCCAAGAATGAAAATGGAACATCATTATTGTTTGATAAATGATACTGCAAAATGGTTGATATTGAAAGTAACACATTACCATATCTTTCACACTCTGAACCATATATTGAAAACAGCACATCTCGCCACCTATCTCGCATCTTACACCATATTGACTGCAATTTTTGCAAATGTATATCATTATGTAGCAATAACAATATGTCAAATGATTCTCTGCATTGTGATTGTGAAGTCCAATTACGCCGTCCTTCTATTGACATTGTGCAATAGCAGTTATACAGTACTACTAATGCAACATCAAATGCACAACTCCAATTGACAGGATCCCACTTTGGACCAATGGTGGCAAATCTTTGATGAGCTTGTAAATATGCTATTTCATTATCACGAAATTTGTAGTCGGAACCAGTTGAATTATTGTATTCATATGATGTTTTCCTTTTTTTTGAATGATTTATGGTGCTAGTATTCTCTTGACTCATGTCATGTTTCATATTATCAATGTGAAAATTATAATGTATCTTTGAAAAACTGCCCCTATTCTCAGATTCTGCATCAGGTATCTCTTGCAGTTCCCCTTTCATGAATCCCCACTTTAACTTAGTATTGTGTGCCATTACTTGAAACCTTTGAGTTTCAAACCATAATTCATATGGAATCCCAGGACTGTTAAGATTATCCAATGTCACCTTTTTGGTAATAAACAAACCTTTCCGGGATCTCACCCTAGAAGCAGCTACATATGCACCATATCCACCCAAGTGTAACAGACAAAGAACAAATGCAAGTGTATATCCTTGTGCAGACTGACCTGTAAGTGCAAAAGCAGGCTCAAATGGTACTTGAAACCTTGTAACAGATACCAATATCTGCTGATTTTCTTCACTGAATATGAATGCATTATACTGCCATCTACGAGGTTTGATCGGATATACACCTTTTGGTAATCCATCAAGCTGTACTTTACTATTTGGAAATTCAACCAATGCACCTATACAATAAGTGAAACCATTTACATCAGAACCAAGTTCAAGCTTTCTAATAAATCCCTTTGCACCATTTGTTATGCCAAGCTCAGTATTCAAATTCTTGTGCTTTAAAACAACTGGCATACCTATGTATAACTTCAAAACACCAGGAAGTCCTTCTCTCAACTTACCAGAAGATGTATCAATACCCAACAACTGCAATTGTTCAAATTTACTAGGATAATGTTTACACCCAATCATATTGATATCTGGATGCTTTTTATATTGAATTTCATCATATGCATGAACATGAATAAGTTGAGGAGAGCCTTCTTTCTCACATATAGCACTAGCTTTGAAATCATTCAGAGACTGCCTGATAGAATTCTTTGCAACAATGATAGATGCTTGATATTCTTCATTAGTTTCAAATGTAACTCCATTTGGATTGTTTGCAGTCTTTATTACTCGCGTGTTGAAAAGTTCAACATCTGCTTCTGTGCATTCTCTAATCCGAAGCCGTGAAACAGCTGCTGCATATTCTACATCCACCTCCATCCTCTTTTGTTCTGTCAATATTACAACTTCATTAATGGCCTTCCATGCAAACCTACCTAGACGACGTTTCATTTCATTCACAGTTTGTGGTCCAGATGATCGAATTGGAGTATATAATGCTGTACCAACAGGTGGATACTGAAATAAATCTCCAGCAAATATTATATTTATACCACCAAAATAATCATCTGGTTTTTCCTTAGCATATCGTAATGCTGCATCAATCTCTGCTAAAAGGATAGAATCCAACATAGACACCTCATCTATCAGTAACAAACATACATCTTTCCATTCTGCCCTTAATGTTGTCTTTCTGTTCACACTAGCAAAAACAGATATATGCTCATCATCTTGTCCTACCTTCCGCTTAGACTTTCCATTATTATGTTCATTAACTTGAATGTTCAAACCATTGTGAATTGTCATTCCATCAATAAGTGATGCTGCTGTACCAGTTGGTGCAAGTGACCGATAGCCATTTTGCATGCCATAATAATCCATAATCTTTTGCACTGCACGAACAACATGTGTCTTTCCTGTACCTCCCGGTCCAGTTAATAGCATTACTAATGCATCCCGGCTCATCCAATCTGGTAACTTCATAACTTCCCGATAAATTATAGTAGAAGCTATAACTTCAAAAGCCTGCTGCTGAGATTGATTCAATTCAAACTGTGTCATTATTTCCTTCTTCAACTCCAATGGAGTTAATGCTTTTTTTTGTTTTTTACTGTTTCCTGACATTGTGTTACACATATTGGGGTAATTCTCATATGTATCATGCATAACAATTGAAACCGCATTATAGCTATCAGATACTTGATTGTTGATGTCTGTGCGTTGCCGACGCATTGCAGAAAATTTTTCACCTAACTCCTTAGCTTCTTTGCACCACTCATCCATTTGTTTATCAGTCAAGGTGTCAATACAAATTGATGTATCTGATTGTAGTTCACTTAACATATTTCTTGGAGGAGAACTCAACCATTTTGAAAATAACAAATCAGTGCGCAGTAGCTTAATATATTCCAGCTGCACATTCTCTTTCTGCTGAACATTATTACTTCTAACTGGTAGAATATTATTGATACTCTCACCATCTTCAACATGGTCAACTTCTCTACTATCATCAGTATGCATTTTTGATGCAACATTTGCTTGTTTCCGCAAACGCTCTGCATCTCGCTGGTCTGTACATTCATGTATTTCTTCCCAGTTCATCATCACTCTTTTATGGTTTGTACCAAATTGCATCATTGAAAAAGTGTCTTCTATTGAATACTGAGTATCTATCAATGGCATCGATACTGAAAATGGTTTAAAATGGGCAACAACAAACAACATATAATCATCTGATGTTGCCCGAGGTGCACCCATTCCAATCATGACAGGTACTAACTCCTTCCCAACATCACCCTGCTCAATATAAGTCCGTCTTATAAGCTCATGTGAAGCATGCAAAGGATGTTGCATCAATAATGAATATCTCCTCAATACACCAACCCGTGTATCTGATGTATACACAGTACGGGTATTAGATTTTGGTTGAATAAACACATATTTTATGAAATCATAGAAACACATATCACTCAAACCAGGGCCTCGATACCAGTAATCAATAACCTGATTATTCTGTGTAAATTTTCCACTCCTATCAACTGTAAACTGCAATGGTATATCATCATTAATTCCACTTTCTGTCTCATTACTATGATAATAGTTACTCCGGACAAAATACATTAAGTTAGCTGATGGCATTGGTACTGTGCAATGAGAAGACATACTATCATCTAATCCACGAAGATATCGAACACATTGTTGAGCATGAATCTGTTGCTTTTGCCCAAAATGAGTTAAACACCGATGTAACAATCTTTTTGTGTTTGAGATCGGACTACCATCCAAATCCTCTGGTGTTAGAGATGCAACTGCGTTTGACAATAATGACAATAATTGATCTGTGTTAATAGGCATTTTTGTTATATAATCAGATATATAGAACATTGCTGCTTTAGCTGCTTTACCAGATAGAATACATTTAATATCATGATTATGCCGTCCATATACTAGCAAAACAGGATTATGACCATTGACATCACATTCCTTACGAGCAAGAATAACTGAATTAGTTTCTGCATCAAAATATGAACTTTCAACAATATCATGTGGGAACCCAAACCGGCATTGACTATTAGATATTCTACCTTTGAAACAAACAGGGCGACATCTATGCCTCTGAACTTTTTCACCCAGTTTCTTATGTTCCTCATCAAACAATTGCTGCCATTGTGCTACTGCATCTTCACTTTGATTATCAGGTACTTCAGGAGCCATCTCAGTTCTAGGTTCATATTTATCAACTATATCATAATCAACACTAGGTAAATGATGATGTATAATATCTTCAAAAAATGAAAAAAACTGTTTACAATATTCAGATGAATTGTGCATCCTCTCATGAACCTCACTTGGATTCAGACCTCCTCGCAAAAATATCAAAAAATGTCCATGATAACACCCCCGATCTGTTAATTCAGCACACCCAAAAAAAGCACGCAGATGTCCAAATATACCACCATTTTGCACTGATTTTCCCTTTTCAAAATCCCAACCAAACAAACTACCAAAAATTGTACGGTACATAAATTCAAAAAAATCAGCACCAGCCACAGGATCGCATGCAAGACGGTATGCCCGCTCAGAACGTGGTTGTACAATGAAAGGCATATCTGCTGACAAATCCACATTTTGATCTCCATATATTACTTGGAATACAGGGCTATGAACTGCAGAAGGATTGAGTGTAACAAATAAATGTGGTAATCCAAAATAGGCATAATAGCTCCGAATGTTCTGGCGTATTTTACTTTTAGCTGCTTGAGACCCTGGTATTTTTGCAGATATAAAATTCACCTCCTTCAATAGCCGAAATGCATTTCGCTCATCCTCAGTGAAATGGCTAACATCTTTTTCATGCTTTAAATGATTTGCCAAACTAGATAGAACATATGGAGTAACTGATAATAAGGCAGTACTAATCTGCTCAAACTTTTGTGATGCTACTGATATTGATGTATGTAGATGTGCCTTTCTTCGTTGTATCAAATTAAGAATCACAAAAGAAAAAAAATGATGATATCGGAACACCCTTGATGAATCATCTAACAAATGTTCTGCATGAGCTTCAATTGAGACTTTAGGACACTGTCTACTATCCTCAAACCCACCTATACCTAAAGGATATAATGTTGGAAACATTCCTGGAAACAAATCAGCATTATTATATTCAACAATAGCATCTTTATTATATCTCAAAATAAAGTCACCATGATTATCTGCACTTTGTACTAATCTCTCCGCAATATTATGTATTGCAGCTGCAGCCATATATCTTGCTGGAACATCTACAGATTCAGGATCGTATACAGATGACTTTTCAAGAAGAACTTCATCAGAAGACTCCTGTTCAACTATTGCACCAGGATGTTCGTCAAAACCCTCTGTCTCTTTTCTAAAAACAGTCTCAACATCTGTTTTATGATCATACACTATCCGCTCTTCCAGTCCCGGAAGTAAACCATATTCAGGAAACAATGCAAGATGTTCTGCATTAGGAGGAGGTAAACCCATATACAATTGATTATGATGACATAACATATTTAATAGTCTTCTTATCACCTCCCGCCTAACAAAAAATGGCTTTAACTTTTGAAGATCTTTCTCAGTCAGTTTTCTAGGACCCACAAAGATTATGCTAATCAAATCATTTAGATCTGTAGGTGTCCAAGGTAGTATCTTCACTGCAGAACATATATCAAGTGGATGAGCACAAGCATTTCCATGCATTTGCAATGGATCACTAGACTTATTAGAACCATAAATACGTGTTACATGTGCTGTTGTCTTATACAGACTACAAGCCATCTCTTCCACCCATGTAACATTTTTCAATTCATCAGGCAACTCTCCCCGATAAAGATGATTATTTAATGCCAATCGTGGCATCACGTTGCGATACAAATAACCCTTGCAATCCTGACATAAATACATTTCAAATTTACCAAAATCTTTGTCAACAGCTCGAATGCCTTTAGGATCTAACAATAGTCCATCCAGTTGATGACATATATATGTAAAACGTGTCTTGGGTGTATGCTTCAGTATAAATGCATCTGTTACCTTCAAATACAACAAATTTGGCCAATCTTTCTCAGGAATGAAACTTCCTTTTCTATGCCTATCTTCACATCCACAACATGCACAAATCGAAGGTTTGACATACTGTACCATCTTGCGATACTTTCTCATACAAGACAAAATGACTTCTCTTGGCACTTGCTGTGGCCAATTATCTGATGCTGGAAGAATTAACTCTTCATCTTTCATTGCACGTATAATGCGACCTTGACGCCTATGCTCACGTAATATTTCACTTTGAGAAGTATCACTAATTCCATTGTTACATTTACTTATTTCTTTCACAATGTTATAAGGATAACCTAATGAGATCATGATATCAAATATCAAATTATATTGCTGAACATGACCAACTTCTTCTCTACATCTAAATAGATATGTATCAATCAAATTCACATTAGTCATTGAATATAGATATTGAAAATCTTTTTGAAAACACCTTGCAAATAACAAACACAATTTCTTAGAAGTCAACTCATATGAACCACAGAGTGTTTTAGCAGAATAACAGACTTCATTTTTTCGTTTTCTGTCTGTAACACTAAAACTGATCCTTAGCAAAGAAATACAACTCATACACAACCTTTCAAACATTATTTCAATTTTAGGAAGAAAATCCTTTTGCTTCAGAAAATCACAAAGATGATCATTTACCTTGTGACTATGAAATTGAGACTGCAACACATTGACAACTTTTTCCCCAAACTCAACTAAACATAATTCATGAACTTCAATATATGACTTGTCAGTGCTGAAATGTTTCCTACAAAATATCATCAATCTGCTATGCAATGAATTGACTAAGTCATTCTTCTTCTTATATTGCCTTTCCTGAATTAGATCCTTTCTCGGAAGTCTACACAAAAAAGGGAGCATAGTTTGCACATAATTTGGATCAATCCAAGGGGGAGGCATAGATATCATAGTGACACACATTGCATGAAGATCATCTGCCATTTCAAAGAACAAACAAAAGCAATTGCAGTATGCAAGGATAAACACAGCAAAATGCAACAATCTGCACCTTTGCTTTCGTTTCTTTGCCTCCAATACTCTTATATATCATCAAAATGACTCAATATCATTCAAACAGCACATTCTATGCATACACAGATATTGATAGATAGATAAACTCAACAGCGGATATTCAACAGTACTCAATCTGAGTACAACAACATCCAATATGACTACCAACATAAAGCTATCAAATGACTCAAACTATTTCATCAATGACTACCTTCTTTGAGTCATGATGCATACACAAGTATTGATATATAAGCTCAACATTAACTTGACTCTCAACACATAACCATACAATGAGTCAAAATGGTCCACCATTTACTCCCTTCTTTGAGTCAACACAGCTTTACTACAATGCAATTCATTTCACACATTTGACTCAATAGATGTGAAATTTGACAATTTTTGACAGACTCTTACCTAACCATTTGAGTCATTTACATACCAATACATTTCCAAATAGATATATAGATGGATTGACCAAGCGAAGATTAAGTTAAGAACATTCATCTCCTGACATCAACATTGTCAAAGGAACATCTTCTTTATACTTCCTCCAAATGTTTGCAAAATCTATTATACTAATTATTCATACAACTTCTAATCCTCTATAGCTCAGATTGGTCTAGTTATGAACCCTCAAATTCCAATTGAAATTTGGATTGAGATTTTATCACATACCAACTACTCTGCACTTGCTGCATTCAGTTCCACATGCAGCCTATTCAATTCCATTACACAACCATTACTGTACAACACTATTCACTTCTCATCAGCAGAATATTTCATGCATGTGGTTGAGAAAAACTGGCAAAACCGCTCCACTAAACTACTTCAGTTGACATCTAGCATTCACATTTGGAACCCATCTTATTTCCGTCTCAATCGTCATATCTCCTTTCATGATGGATCTCCTTGGTTCTTCATTGGAAATTTAGCAAACATATTACCACATCTGAAATCTTTTCATTTTGGCAACATCATACTTCCATCAAACTTGCCTCTATTTTTAAACAGTTTCACTGCACTTGAACAAGTTGTGATACACAAATGCTGTCTACAACGATACACTGACTTTTGCACTTCTCAACTGCGTTTGAAGTCTCTCACTCTAGAAGAAAACTGTTGGCATGCACCTTTATCTGATGATGTTGTCATTGCTTCTACATGCCACAACCTAAACAACCTCACAATGACATTTGATTCTGATACTGCAATCAGGCTGCAACAACACAAGCTGTGCTTGCCACATTCACTTACTACAATTACAATCACCTGCTACAACAAAATGTGGTACAATGATAATTTTGATTTATCATTCACAATACCCTCATTTTTTCAACATATCATTAAGTTACCTAACTTGACTTATTTTGAACTCAAGGGTTTTTTTCCCCACTGGAAACCTTTCTATAATAATTCATTTGACATTGGATTCAATCCAAATTTACACACATTTATTGGTCCTTTGGCACTGCTGAAACCTGCTTCGATATTCAAATGCCTTTCTCATGTACTTCTTACTGATGATGCTATTTTTGAAAATACTATCCTACCATATTCTCCACACCTTTGCAATGTTACCAATTTTACCATATACCTCTCTCAGTTTTCAACCACATCTCTGCTTACATTAGCTACAATACTTCCATCTATAACCGATTTACATATATATATTGCACACACCAACATGGTAAGTTTCATCATGACATATCCATTGAATACATACTCACAAATGCAAATCATAGTTTCCTGTTATATCTCAGATTGAACATCACATTGGACATTTCCGCTTGTTACAGCATCTACAACTACCAAACCTGACTACAGATATGGAACAAATCTCAACTTCATTGCTCAATCAATGGAAAATGAAAATAAACACACTATGTTTCATTCGCATTGGTAACAATACATGGTTTATCAACCGTTCCAACTTCTGGAATGCAGGCCAAAAGATGAAAATTGTTGAGGAGGATCAGATATTCTTCCGGAAACCTGAGTTGTGGGATTTTGAAACTGTTGTATGGTAAATAAATCTACATGGTATCAAATAATCATATCATAAATTTAATTTCTCATAAACTGATTCCAATGTACATATAATCTATACCTCTCACCCTCATGACTTATTTAAGGCAACCAATATTGTCCATTTCATTGTCTCTGTCATGTCATGACACCTAACTAGTCACCTCCAACCTCCTTCATCATTACTACTTCCTCACATTATAGTCCCTCCTGTTGGTCCCCTAACTTTTCAAATGTCCTCCGCACTCAGCCAGACCAGATCCCTGACTTTGAGCTTTTTGCTTTCCACACTTATATCCCTCCTTCTGTTGTTTGTTCCCTGCATGTAAAGCAGCTTCAGCATGTTGTCGAGCTTCTCAAACAATCCGTATATCATCATTCATACCAATACCACTACATTGACTAACAGCAATATTGAATAATGACAGGTAACCATAGCTCAACTTGAAGGGGGACATGCCTAGGACAGTCTGGGTCTGCGAGTTAATTACAAACTCTTGTCAGTGTCCCACATACAGACCCATGTATTTCTGTACTTTCTGATTTACACTTTTACTCTGTCTATTAAACTGAGGTTGGTATCCACATGTGAGATTGTGTTTAATTCCTACTTTGGCAAAAAGGGATTACATGAGTTTAGCTGCAAACCAAGGCCCATGATTGGATTAGAAATGAAGATGAAGACTATGTAGTAGATATCACCCACACCATTCGCAGTGATGGAACTCATGCATGGAATAGCTTGAATTTGTTTTCAGTGCAGCTCTGTCGTGTACTATAGTGTAGTTCCTCTGTTTAATTATCAACTTAGATCACCCTTACTTATCTCTTTGTCCCCTAAATCTTCAGGCTTGTTGATGAAGTACTCCCCACCCTAACCTCAGGACTTATAAGTTGTTTGGTCTACTCAGCATCATTGCCATTACCCACTTCGCTGCTTCTCATACCTTTCTTCTACTCCCAATCTCCAGAAACTAGCGACACAACAGGAGTGTTGTCAATAACTTCACCACTGTCCCACCCGACCCTCTGCTTGTCATGACAAGGCAGGAAACAGAAGGCATGAAGCCCGAGTATATTGAACAGCGACAGTGGCAGAGCAAGAAGACACAGAAACAAGTACAAAGCACAGATGAAAGAAATGGTAATCTCAAACAATAGTGAGATACTGTCAGAGGCCAATCACACCAGTAATCAAAAGAAAATCTAGTTGTCCAATGAGCAAGAGGTCGAGATGGGGAACTAGGATTTGTCTACTGTGCTTTATATACTACTCTTGTCTAATGAGTAATTGATTGTAAATAATGATGCAATATAGAACAAGAGTGAGGAATCAATATATACAAGTAATAGTGAGTCAATAATGGTGCATCATGAGACTTCATGACATTACCCCCTTCCTTAGAATCAACGTCCCAGTGACCAAGAATCATTGAACATGTTGTAGGCAGGTCGGGATTGGCCAATCCTTTACTGCAGCGACCTTGACAGGGTCCATATGAACTTCTCCTTTAGTGATGATCAAGCCTAATTGCTCAATAGAGCTTTGTTCAAACTTCCATTTCTCTGGACGGAGATAGAGGTCATTCTTACTGCATATGCCCGGATTTCCAGAACAATAGCTAAAGCAACTCAAAACGATAATAAACTCGGAATGTATGACATATATCTGATGCAACCAAGGACCCAGTCTGAAGTATGGAAGTGGGTCATGAGCAGATGTTTTCTTCAGAGTTTGCTTGAGTTTTTGGAGACATAAAAAATAATTGGTCCATATAATGTTAATGAATTGACTTTAATTAAACTATTAACATCATATATACCAACAAGCTGTACAACATCATTTCAACTTTAAATATGCCATTATAGCCGCATCCTAATATACACATACATGACAGTCATCTCCATCATTATTTTGCTACAGATTTACAGAACCAAACTAAACACATAGAAATTCCATATTTATCTTTACCATGTAACTTACATTTCTGGCATTAACAACTCTGGAGATATACTACCAATGTTAAATTGCACATATATTACTCTATCACTCTTTTTTAATGCACATTTCACCGCTTCCTTATGAGCAAACAGATATTCATCACTTACACCTCCAAGCCACATTACTACTCTTTCCAAACAACATGAACCTTGGAAAATAACTTCATACATAGTTGTCAACTTCTGCAATATTTCCTAACATTCTCTTATCTCCCTGCAACATAACACCACAACTAAACTCACCTCTGGTTCATTCTGTAATCGTACCAATACACATCCAAAATAAGTCAACAATGTGCATGTATCCACAAATTTCTGAATGATAGCCAATGGATACTCTTGTCGAATGTTTAGTATCAACTTCTTAAGCGGATGTGAATTTCCCAAAACATCCAGCAATTTGTCAATGTATATATCCTGATCATCAATAATTTCTATACCAATCATTGATATGCAGCGCATATGTGATCCACACAAGATACTGGAACTTGAAGCTGAACCAGTAAATGTTGACAGATTATGAAGAATATTTGAAGACTGTAAATCTGTACTTTCTGAAGAATGATACTCTGCAACACGATAAGTGAAGCATTCCACTGTTTCATGTCTCTGAAGGAAATTTCCTATCTTGAGACATCCTTTTTGACTATGATAACTAAAGTACTGAAGTGCAGGGAAATGGAAGGCAGGATTATCAAAGACCACTTGTAGGTTGGACTTTGGATGAACAGAGATGCGCAAAAGTGAAAGACATGGACTGTTGGTTGCCAATTTCAATAATGCATTCTGAATTGGTGCATCTTCATCTAAAACAATGATTATGCATGCCCTATATTATTCAATACAACAATCTCACCAGGGTATGAATGACAAAAACTGAGATCAATTTCAAGTGACTTCAAACCTCCCTCTGTCAACTTCTTCTACACACAATCAACATTCATTCAATCCCCAACATTGAACACTCACTAAACAAACACCATACATTCTGATATTGGGAAAAGGACATTGAACAATTAGATTGTCAATGTTCTTTACTGCCTTAGGCAAACGATGTCGAAATATATCATTGATAGAGAAAAATGATGACACAATCCGGAGCACCCGCAATGATTTTCTGGGTGAATGCACTGCTATTTTCTCCAATGCACAAGGAAGATACTTTATAATGAAGCCTTTTGTAACACTTCTATTTCTTGGCATAAAGTCTGTCTCAGAAACAGTGAGTGACCTAACAAAATATGCTGGATGATGCTGAGACCAAAACATCCCCCGAGCATATGTTACTCCAATGGAAACCAATGAAGAACTTGGAACTGATTTGTACAATTGGCTATAGACCAACATCCGGATCCTTTTGGAAACCAAAGCTATAACTGGAAGATATTGCCTTCGGAGAAATCCCAATATTCCCAAAACCAGCTCTGATAATAAAAATACTTGATGAGCAGATATTGCCGGTAAATCTATGACTAAAGACATTATCGCAGATGCAATTGTATAATAATTCGCGCTCTGAACCTATATATACCACCCCCTTCACTAACACTGCATTGACTCGAAATATCTAATATCAGTAAGTATGTGACCAAGAATGACTTGCAACAAAGCTATAAATATAACTCAACATATAACACTGTTTACTTCATATGACTTGAATACAGCAGTGACAGTTACACAGCCCATACTTCGTTACATACTTTATGACACCAAAACTTCACTAATGACTCATAAATCTGATAAGTAAACCTGTGTTTCTACTACTTTACATCTCAATCTAGACCCCGATTTCATATACCCCAAAGAGGTAATTTCCTGTCAGATTACCGCTACCTACAAAGACCTCCTGTGAACTAAAATATATTCTTGAAAACTCATACATAATATGACTCTTAATACTGCTTAACAGCTACATTTAATTTCAAACTAATTCAGGCTGGCCAAATGAATCAAGTCATGCCTAGTCATGCCAATGCATTTCACCCCGAAAAAAAAACACCCTTGATATAACTAAAGCTGTGCTTCTACAGCTTTGCATTCCGATCTACAGACCCGATTTTAATACATCCAAAAAAGGAAATTTCCTGCCAGATTACCGATCGCTACCTACAAGGACCTCCTCTTTCAGAGTCGGTGACTTTGAGCGTGGAAAAACGTGATGACTTTCCTTTTTAAGCGGTGCAATCTGCCTTTTATGGGCTGTGACTGATTGTTCCTGGAAAATCCACGTGATCTCGTATAATGTGAGCCCGTGTGACCTGACCTTCTGAACTCTTGTCCGCATCCTTTGGCATCCTTTGCGTTGGCGCCCAAAGGGCGCCCTTTACCCAAGGGGCGCCCTTTACCCAAGATTGTCAGTGATGCTGACCCATAAGTCTCACCCAACATGTATTAGTACAGCTGAAGAATTTCAATGAGGACTCGTACATGCCACGCGCGAAGCGCGATGGCCCACTTCCGCACGTACTGTAATCTTAAACGTTGCTCACTTTGCTCAGAACCACAATGACCTAAATCGTAATAGTGATGCTAGAATGACGGTGACTTACCCATCCGGATAGCCCATGACAACATGAAGGAGCTTGAAGGAGTATAAAGGTTTCGCTCAACTCGCAGAGATGGACACGCAAAGCCCTTCAATTCAAACCTATTGATACTTCCACGACCATGTGGAAAACTCTGGATGTGGGTGCATTTTTGAGTTGCGACTCATTTCTCAGATTCAGGAGGGAGACATCTTCACGGACAGAAGCAACCGAACCTATGAGGCCAGTCAGGCCTCTGGTTTGACGGAGACTCATCAAGATCCAGGTGAGGCGGCATCGTTTAAGCATAGATCCTATTTTACAATTCCTTATTTCGTTGTCGTTCTTGCACGGTATAGACTCCTCAAGGACGCACATTGATTCTAACGACAATGCAACTGTGAACCAAGATTCTGACTACTCAGGTGAGGACAATTGATGTATGAAACTCAGACTCAGACCACTGGATTATGCTTTAGGGCAATCAAGATCTGGAAATAGGCAAGCTCTAAATCTGCAGAAGAACGACAACAGTAAAATCTATTTTCCAGGTCCTACTCAACTCAAGTATTGATTATATTATAGACAATATTAACTCAAATGCACAAACACAAGGGAGCTCGTAAAATGACCAATATCGTCATCGAAACAAGGCAGTAAATTAGTTAGATCGTTTGGCACAAGAGCACGCAATGACGATTTCGATTAAGGAGTCGAACGAACATTCTATTGCTCGGGTTTTGTAGAATGTACACATATCACATCTGTTTCGCGTTCACCATGGAGTTCCGGGCGGGAACACCATCGGGCCGTGAACTTCCTTTCGTTTCTCAACTCCGCAGAGCATTTCCACTAACTTCAAAGCGAAAGGGAATGCAGTCCCTATTTGGCAAAGTCAGATTGTGTCAAGTTCCAAAACTATATCATCCTCACCGGGTCCCCGACTACAGCGTGACAAAAAAGTGAGAAATAAGGAATGAAAGAGCTCTTAAGCAATCATACGGACCTGGTAATCAGATTGTCGGAGACAACAACAGGTACTTCAGTATATATGAAATCTATAGCACAAGGTCGCGATAAGTAACGATAAACGCATTATCAAACTTAGAGGAGACAGACCTGATTCTAGTTGAGCTTTGACACTTGGATGAGAGGTCAACGCTTGTTTAGGTAGGCCAGCCGTAAGTGCAGCCATGCTTCCTATTTCCGCGTAGTTGCATTTGAAATGTTTGATTGATGGATTCCGAGAAAACCCACCTGCGCAAATCATGCCAACTAGCTTCTCCTTTGATAGGTATTCCCTGATCAAGGCTTGTACAGCAGGATTCTTTGAGATGGTCTCTGCACCTTTCGCACCACCAGGAATAACAAGAACGTCGAATTTATCCTTCAAATATCGAGTCAGAAGTTCATGCGAATGACGTTCGAGTACGAACAGGACCCGAAACATTCGGCTCAAAGTACACATCGGGAATGATTCTAATCCCTCTCGATCCTTTTGCTGCAACAGGACTGACGAATTCGTCGTCGTGTACAAAGGCGGACTGACACGTTACACCCGCGCGCACTAGGGTATCGTACGTGATCGTACTGCAGATATAGGTAGATATGATTTATCGAGAAAGAGAATTCAGGGCTGGATGAATGCTTACAATTCCATCTCCTCGGTTCCATCTGCGATGAGTATGAGTGCTGATGGCATATTGTAAACAAAGAGGTGACGTCTGGAGTTTACGCGCCGTGGATAATTAGACGCCCTAATCGTAATGCTCCAGACTTTCAGACCCCCACTCTATCAACGTTTAGCAAGTTCGACCCGTCGCCCGCCTCCATCGTATAATAGCGGAACTCAATACTACTCCTCTCATACTCAAAGTCAACAGATAGAACCAGTGGCCTTAAGTTTCCTCGAACAGATACCAGAAAATGGGAATAACACTGAAGGCGCGTTGGTCATTTTACATGGGCTTTTGTGAGTCAATTGTTCTAATGCATCTATCTTGCCTCATACTATCATTCTTTCAGTGGCTCGAAGCGCAATTGGTCTTCACTTTCCAAAGCGTTCAGTCGGGACTTGGGAATCCCGGTTTATGCATTGGTATGACCTTATGGTGTTCGAATGCTTGTCTTCCCACCACAGTCATACCTCCCACAGGACCTTCGCAATCACGGTTCCTCCCCGCACGCATTACCCATGACATACACTTCAATGGCTACGGATGTGATGCATTTCATTGAAAAGAAGAGCCTGAGCAAAATATCTTTACTCGGGCATTCAATGTGAGCCAACTAACGGATTTCATCCTGCTTGTTTCCGTAAACTAACCACACACTAGGGGTGGAAAAGTTGCCATGGCGCTTGCACTCAACCCCTCACTTCCACCCACTGTCTTGCAAAATCTGATAGTAGCGGATATCGCGCCGGTTCGTGCTCACCTTTCACCGGAATTCATTTGGTACATTAGTGCCATGAAGAAGATAGAAAGTATGAAGCTGCGAACGAGGAAGGAGGCACGGCAAGTCTTGACCGAGTATGAGAAGGTTCGTTCGGCCCCGCGCGCGTTGGACTCTTTTAAGAGGGATACTAAATGTATTCTGCAGGACCCAAATGTTGTTTTATTTCTTCTGACCAACATCCTAATGCCTCACTCAGAACTAAACCGAGGAGAATACATCCGATTCCGCATCCCATTGAGAACTATGGACGACGCGATACCCGAACTCGGGTCATTCCCTTACGCGCCAGGTGAAACCGAATGGGAAGGAAGGACCCTGTTCATAAAGGGCAAGAAAAGCGCGTGAGTGACTTGAGATTGTATCGTCACGGTCTATTGTGCTTGAACCACTTCGTATCGTTCGCAGGTTCATCAATCATCATTATCACCAAACGATGGAAGACTTTTTCCCAAGAATGACGATGGAGATGCTCGATGCTGGTCATTGGGGTACGTATTATTCCTTTAGATCTCGAATATTGATTCTATCTCTAACCTTGGATACAGTTCACGGCGAACGGTAAGTTGTCCTCTCAGCGATGACTTTATGTCAACTTAGCAGTCCCCTCATACAGGCCCCACGAATTCAAGCAGCTTGTGGAAACCTTCATAAATAGTCAATAATTTTGCTTTGCCTGATAGAATACAAAATTTAGATGCTTGGTGTTCAGACTAGGTCCAAAGACATGTAAATAAATTCTGTAATTCCGCATATCGTGTGGGTACAGGCCTTTCAGGTTTTTCCGGTGTTCTGCATCATTGAAGGACAATTGAAGAGGTTAGCTATTCCGTCAGTTGCGGACTGCGAATAGCGGTGGACGTCGCTTTCTTATATTTATATGCTTCTCTCTGCTTGACATTCTGCAATCCGATCAGACTAAAAAGATCCAGCTTCTTAGAATCTTATCTCCCTTAGCTGTGTAGCATATAGGAGGGCATACAAATTTCCGATTTTGTTATCGGGAAATAGACGCTCATTTGAGCGCGTCGCTTCTTTGTTTCATTCACGATCATGTCATTGACTTCCTCCTAATTCTGCTCATTGCTGTTCAAGTTTTCATCTTAACTCCGACCTAAATTTGAATACACTCGATCGAGGAAATTAGTTCATACAGAATCACACCATATTCGAGGAGAATGCCTGAATCTTCGTCATCGTTTTCCGCCGAATCCTACTTCGCTACTCAACCACCACCATCTGGCTTAGAGCACGATATCGAGGGAGTGAAGCAGTTCGTAAGACGGCAGCAAGAGGAAGGAAGAAATGTCGTGCTAATTACAGTGAGTTTCTTGTTCACAACCACACTGCTCAACGATAACAATCTGATTTCTAAAAATCAGAGCGGAGGGACGACAGTCCCTTTAGAACTCAATGTGTGAGCAGTCTCGTACTGAATCTGCCTTAGGGCTTATGGACAGCTGCGGCCTAGTGTACGATTTCTAGACAATTTCAGTGCTGGTGTGTCTATTCTAATCTTCATCTCATTTGTCGCAACACGGTACTGATAGTATCGATCTTGGCTAGGTACTCGAGGTGCAACCTCTGCTGAATACTTTCTCAAAGCTGGATATGCGGTCCTTTTCATGCACCGGCAATTCAGTCTCCAGCCATTCAGCCGTCATTATTCACATTCTACCAATCCGTTTCTAGATTTCTTGGAAATTGAACCAGGAGTTGAAGAAAGCTCTTCATTTACATCTTCCGGGGCAGGATCTGGAGAATCGCAGATTTGCGTAACGCTAGACAAACGAGAAAAGCTCCTGGAAGTTCTAACCGTATACAAAGCGGTACATGCCGCCGGAACGCTCCATACCTTGACGTTCGTCACAGTGAACGATTATCTTTGGCTTTTGCGCGCAGTCAGCCAGGAATTGAGCGTGATGAAAAGAAAAGCGATGTATTATCTGGCCGCTGCTGTTAGCGATTTCTTCTTGCCCAGGCAGAAGATGGCGAGTAATCCGTCAATTACCTTCTCAACGCTGATGCGATACGTTTCCGAATTTTGCAGTCGGAGCACAAAATCCAGTCAGGCAAAGGCTCTTTGCACATCGAGATGGACCAAGTGCCCAAAATTTTGAAGCCGATGGTGGATAATTGGACTGGGAAAGATGGGTTTGTTGTTTCGTTCAAGGTTAGTTACCTCGTCGTCCGTTACATCTTGATATTTACGCCCTCTCTGTCCCATGCTGATCATCCTTGCTTGTATGTCTAGCTGGAAACGGACCCTGCTCTCCTGATTCCAAAAGCAGAAACATCTCTTCAACGTTATGGACATCAGGTGGTTATAGGAAACGACCTCAACCGGCGAAAGTTCGAGGTCGTATTCATTTCGTGGAAGGACGCGTTGCCGTCTTCATCTATAGACACGGCGGATTCGAGTTCATCTTTCGCAGAATCATGGCTTCGAATCGATCCCCATGACCACAACAAGGAGATAGAGGAAGATATAGTTGCAGAATTGGTCAAAAGACATGAGATGTGGATTGCAGGTGGTACAACGTCAATTAAATCATGATAATGGATGGAAATGCATTATGTCACAATTATTGAGTGGTGACTGTCGTTTTAGCATGAGCTCTGACAAACCGTAATCAGGATGGAGACTGAAGAATAAGGCGAACAGGAACCTGCGTGAACTCCTGTCCGCTTATAAATCCTTTTCGAAAACGAATAACCCTGCCGAAGACAAGATTTAGCGGATTGCACCAGCCGTGGTGTGGATGATTTTGAGAATATATCTCATCAGCCACAAGACATGCCCATGGGTCACTACAATTTGTTCCGTTTCTTCACGCACGATGATGTTAAGTATACATTGAGCCGTTCTTGTAATCGGCGCAATGAAGTTGCAAGTCCATTCGGTACCGTGAGGACTGATCTCTGATTTGCCTGCTAGATGCAGAATTTGGACTACCGAAGCTGGGAGTTCGGAGCTCCGGTAAGATGAACGACAATCGAAAATGTTTATCCAAAAGGTCAGTCGGGCGCATCATTCCCCTCATCCTCGACTCATTTGACCTCCTCCAATATCGCAACGGACCGGCTGGTTTAAAAAGTATTTACGTCTGCTCAGGTGATGGAAGAATCTATGGGACTTCCTTTCCTTCTCCTTAAGCTTCCTCCGCCAACACATGGTGAGCTCATATCTTTTTCCTTTGTTCACATAATTCATCCAAACTATTTCCATTCAGATATCATCTTACACCACTCACGGAGAATCGTCAGTTGGTTCCCCCAAATCACCGCAGAAAACAAGACTATTGAGGAAGATACTAGGAGTTACATGTGCCTCATGACTCTTCAGTGCAAATATAAGTACTCCTCTGATATAAAAGATGGTTTAAACCAGCTCCATCTTACTTCAACGAACAATCACTATCGAGATGAAATCACTAATCGGAGGCAATGGAATGATCCTGCTCTCATTCGTTTCTAGCGGCGCACTCGCAGCATTCCCCGACTGTGCCAATGGCCCACTCGCGAAGAACCTAGTGTGCAACACCTCCGCAAACTTTATTGACCGAGCTAAGGCACTGGTGGCAGAATTTACTGTCGCAGAGATGATCAACAACACTGGATACGACACACCCGGTGTACCTCGTCTCGGACTTCCTCCTTATGCTTGGTGGAGTGAAGCTCTGGTCAGTTCAGAACCCATCTTATTGCCTCCAGACGACGTGACTAAGTATTCTTCCTACAGCATGGTGTAGCAAGCAGTCCGGGTGTTACTTTTGCCCCACCAGGAAACAATTTCAGCTTCGCTACGTCCTTCCCTGCGCCAATACTTACGAGCGCAGCTTTCGACGATCAGCTTGTCAATGATATAGCGACCGTCATCAGTACGGAGGCGCGTGCCTTCAACAACTTCGGCGATGCTGGCTTATCATTCTTCACACCCAACATCAACCCGTTCAAAGATCCTAGATGGGGTCGAGGACAGGAAACACCTGGAGAAGACCCATTCCACATCGGAAGATACGCGTACAGCCTAGTGACCGGACTTCAAGGGGGCCTTGGGTCGCAGCTCGATGGTGCCGAACAGAAGTATCTGAAGATCATTGCAGACTGTAAACATTACGCTGCATATGACATGGAGGACTGGGAAGGAAACAATCGAATGGCGTTCGATGCTATCGTATCCACGCAAGATCTAGCAGAGTTCTACTCTCCAAGCTTCCAAAGTTGTGTTCGAGATGCACAAGTCGCATCAATCATGTGCAGCTACAATTCGGTCAATGGGATCCCATCTTGTGCATCGGAGTACCTGATGCAGAATATCACCCGTGATCACTTCGGTCTCGGAGAGAATCAGTGGATTACGTCTGATTGTGATGCAGTCGGAAATATATTCGATCCGCACAATTACACCGACACGCTAGCGAATGCGAGTGCAGTAGCGTTACATGCTGGAACGGATATTGATTGTGGGACGACGTATTCCAGCAGCTTGCAATCCGCACTAAACGAGGGACTGGTCAAGGAGTCGGATATTGTGCAAGCTATGGTAAGACGGTATGGATCGCTCGTTCGGTGCGTGTTGGGCTACGACTTCGAAGAAATATCAATTCAAAAGTTTTTTATAGGCTCGGATACTTTGACTCCCCCGAGGTTCAGCCCTATCGACAACTGAATTGGAACGATGTAAATACTCCTGCCGCCCAAAACCTGGCTTATACTGCAGCCATTGAGGGCATCACCCTTTTGAAAAATGACGGGACCCTCCCTCTGAGCTCGTCTATCATTAGTGTTGCTCTAATTGGTCCCTGGGCCAATGCTACTACCCAAATGCAATCCAACTACAACGGTGTAGCACCGTTCCTCATCAGCCCCCTTGATGCATTCCGGACTGCAGGGTTCAATGTAACCTTTGCTAGTGGTACAACGATAAGTGGAACAGACACGAGCGGTTTTAGTGCTGCTCTAGCTGCTGCTCACTCTGCTGATCTTGTTGTATTTGTCGGAGGGATCGACGATACAATTGAGGCCGAACAGATGGACAGGTTGGAAATCAGCTGGCCGGGGAATCAGCTGCAGTTGATTGGGGAACTGGCTTCAGTTGGAAAACCCTTTGTGGTTTTACAGATGGGCGGAGGACAGGTTGATAGTAGCGATATCAAAACAAATGAATCTGTGAGTATATCGGCTTGTCTCCTTTTTTTTTTAACTAAACATAGAATATAGATCAACGCTTTGCTGTGGGGCGGATATCCTGGCCAAAGTGGGGGAGCTGCACTTGTCGACATTCTTACAGGAAAACAAGCCCCTGCTGGCCGCTTGCCTACTACCCAATACCCAGCAAACTATGTTAACGAGGTTCCTATGACAGATATGACACTGCGCCCTTCCTCCACCAATCCTGGACGAACATATAAATGGTATACTGGCGAGGCGGTATTCCCATTTGGTTTTGGTTTACACTATACCAACTTTTCATTGGAATGGTCAGAGCCACCCAAAAGAAGTTATAACATTCAAAGCTTGATGTCTGCGGCCAAGTCGGGAGGTGCTCCCGTCGATTTGGCATTACTCGATACTCCCTTCGAGCTGACCGTTAGAAACACTGGCTCTATAACATCTGATTACAGCGCCTTGCTGTTTTCAAACACAACTGCGGGACCGACGCCTGCTCCTTTGAAGCAGCTCGTTGGGTACACCCGTGTCAAGAGCATCGCAGCGGGTCAAAGTGCAACGGCGCACCTGAACGTGACGTTAGGAAGTTTGGCAAGAGTGGAAGAGGATGGGGACAGCGCGTTATATCCTGGTACGTATAATGTATGGGTTGATACCGATCTCAATGGGCTTGGGGTGGCAGCGACAAGCTTCGAGTTAGTGGGAAGCCGAGAAGTAATTACTGAGTGGCCTCAGCCTTGAAGAAAAGTAGACTATCCTTAGATTCAGAGTGTGTACATATTCCATTATCAAGGTCCACGATGTAAATGTTACATACCCCTCTACTGATGATTCTCATAACGTCAAAAAGTCAGTAGCGGCAATAGCTTATACTCATTCTTGTGCCAACATTGCCACTGGCCAGACACAACTTCTATCAATCACATCTCATGTCGTTCAGCCAAATCCACTGAAATGGACGACGTCAACTCAACATCAATGACCATTCTTGGAAGTTATTTGTGGGATCAGTCGAACGAGGGAGAAGAGGGGAGAAGAAGGACTTGGAAGGAAGGAGATCGATGTTCTAAGTTATTACTACGGAAGTTTTTGTTAGGGATTCATTGATTACTCGTTAGATTTGCCTTTGTTGCTTTGTTGACGAGATGGGACACATATGTACAGTATAGGTGTTCGAACTTGTTTCTTTTTCCAGTTGACAGAAAAAACTTTCCTTTTTTTCGTTTTGTGAATCTCGTGACTAATAATGGCCACCGTGACCGTGCTCATTGATTCTATCTTCCGACGTTCTGTGTCCACCTAAATACATATGGACCTCGGACTTACATTTTCACGATGACTGAGACAACGACAAGGGAGCACGATATATATCATCAGGGTTTATTCACGAGGATCGAGGAATGCAGGTACGAGCCATAACGTGGCTTTGGGCAGTTTGTGCCCGTTCTGGGGGACTAATTTATTTCCAGGTCAGGCCCTGCTAAGCGCTTCGCCACACTCGCAACAGCCAGATGCTAGAATGTGAATACCACCAATCTGTCTTTATCTGAAGACACGCGCCGAACCTGGCGCTTTTTAGGGGGGTTTCACATCCATCGGTTCGCTTCTTTGTTCCCAGCTTGTTGGCGGTTGAACTTCCTCTGTTGACCGACTCTTCAGAGTCATGGTCGCGTTCGGGCGACTGAAGCCTCGCCATGTCCGGCTCATCGCGATATCCATCGTTCTGTATTACATCTACACGACTTTCAAGTACCACTCAAATCGACTTAGCAAGTCGGAATCGGTTTGGACAGAATCGCTGCCATTGGAGTCTTCTACTCAAATTCCAAATAATCTCTCATTTTCAGCACAAGTCAGCATTGCTCGAGAATCCTCACGTTGTGCTCCCAAGCAGCATTCACGAACCCTAGGAACAGGCGCCCTCTTTGTTATTTCATTAAAACGTGTCGAGTCGAGGCGTCAGCAAATGGATGTGCTCGCGAAGGCCCTCGATTTGGATTTCACATACATTAACGCAACAGACGCTCAGTCATCTGGTGCATACGGTTTACAAAGGGCTGAAAGAATCATCAACCGCGTACGGTGGCAACGGGATCGTTTAGACGAAAAGGATTTGGAAGACGGCTCCGTGGAAGCAGACTTTCATCCAAGACCTTCTGAAAACCATCCAAACTACGTATTCGATGCGTTTCCGTTCAAATGGTCGAACGACGCCATGGACAATTTTGTTGATCCTCTGGCGAACGAGTTGGGCATATCTGGAAGTGATTTTTGGACGCTGGAATTGGATCGCTTTGACTCAGGCGAAGGCTTGGATGAGGCAATGGCTTGGGAAGCCGCAAATCCCATGCCTGCTCATTGGCTGCATGAATCATGGAAGCAGTCTTCGGAAGCCTTAGTAAACCACGCTTCGGTTAGGAACAACCTGCAGATGAGTGATCATCTAAGTCTGGGTGGCGTTGCGTGTGCGGATTCCCATATACGTGCAATTCGAGAGATTATACGGAGGAGTAAGCCTTTATCATCTATCCACATCTGAGCTCGAATGAATATTTACTGCTAGAACTCGACTCGGCGATAATTTTCGAAGACGATATAGACATCGAATTCTCAATTGAGAGAATCTTACAACACGAATGGCCATTCCTTCCTCCAACCTGGGACATTGTCTACCTTGGACACTGCTGGTCATCTACCGAACCTTTCCAGCCTTTCCTTGATCCAAAAGCAACCTATCTACGCAAAACCCAACACGCTTTATGTCTCCATGCTCACGCTATCTCCCTCAGAGGCGCACATAAACTCGCTCGATTCCTTCGTTCGCCCGATTACGCGTATTCACGGCCAATAGACCATTTGATCAAGGACCTAGTGCAGATGCATTATCTGGAGAGTTACACGTTTGTTCCCGCGTTGGTTGTACAGACGAAGGAGGAAGAGAGTCAGATCAAGGTGGGACAGATGAATAGTGCGTGGAAGGATGTGAGTGGGGAGTGGCTTGTGGATTCGACGAAGGAAAGGATAGCATTGGTGAGTGGTGGGTTTGACGAGAGTGGATGAAGTTAGGTATTATTATCTGTATCAGTGCATTATCTTTAGGGGAAAGTAAGTAGGTTAAGAAGTAATAAATTGAAAATGGCCGGGCTATTATTATACACCGAAAATTTAGCGTGCGTGCGAACATCCTGTAATATGCCAGCGCTTTCTTACCCATTTTCATCCCATTTCCATCTCATCACTTTTGACGTTGCTCGCACTGGTCGGCGATCTCTTATACCCATTTTTACGACAATATGGCTAGCATAATCGAGTCTGCAGATAATGACCAGCCTTCTCAGTCTCCTTCCACAGAACTGACTCAACCAGACGACGTCGACTATCCGGCAATAACCGCTACTACGCCAATGTCCCTGTCTTCCGTTACTGCGATACATAGCAGAAGATCATCCATTGACGACCCACAAACCGAATTGATATCGACGCTTCGAGGACAAATACAGGATTTATTTACTCAAGTGACTCAATTAAACTCGAAACTTGTCCAATCCTACGACCGTGTTTCCGACTTGGAAGATGACCTACACGTCAATCAATCCAACCTCCGCCAATCTACGCTCAAAATATCTCAGCTCGAATTAGAGAGGACCCAGCATCTTTCCGCGTTAAACACCGGAACGCTCGTCGAGCGAAGCAATGTTGTCGAAGAGTTAACGCGGTTGATGGAAAGGGCTACACAGGAGGCGGCACAGCGCTCTTCTGCGGAATCAGCCAAAAGGAATATCGAGACAGAATTAGAGGAATTGGCAAAAGATTTATTCGAAGGAGCAAATGGTATGGTCGCGGAGGCGAGGTATGAAAGATTTCTGAGTCAGCAGAGAGCAGAGGAGAGTGAACGACGGGCAAGAGATGTTGAGGAAAGACTTGTTGCTATGCAGCAAGAAATGCGCCAACTCGACAAGGGTAAATGGGTGCCAAGAGCAGGAGATCTGGTCAAGGAAAGAAAGTTGATGTCCTCGCACGTTCCCTATCAGGAATTTCTAGGATTTGTTGGTCATTTACGTGGATTACATGGACAGCAAGGACAAGCAGTTCCCGCTATGACTACGCTGTTGAGCTTACCCTTTCTGGCAAGGATTGCTACAGAGGACAGGTGAGGACTTCGTTTCTCTTCATTTCATTGGCTCATTCATCTCTTCTTTTCGCGTCTCTCATTGTCGTTCTATGATAACTGATTATCGTCCTACTTTTATAGTGACCCAACTCTACGTCTAGACCTCGCGCCTTCTTTCAACTGGCTCTCTCGGCGTTCCGTACTCGCGGCGATACACAATGGCTGTCTTGTCATCGAATCGGTGTCGTCCGCGGACTTTCTGCATCAGTTATCTCAACGACAGCAACGACAGGGTAGCACAGGGTTCAACCTGAATAATCTTAGTATCACTGTTGGGGCAGGAGGAGCGGGAGGTAATGGCACGAACCATAATACAGTTGCATGTGCGTTGTGTGGGGTCAATATATTTCCTGGTCCGGATGCTGCTTCGCCATCAACGCACTCTCAACCAGCTAATCAACCTACCGGGACGTGGCCAACCTCAATATCGTTATTCAGGAAAGGCTCCTCGGCATCACTGAATACCACTCAGTCCAGTCAAGGAAGTCAGGGTATTACACCGCCGCCTTCACCACCGCTTCCATCCAAAGCAAAAACGATCCTCGGTGTTGGTTCCAATGAAATTGCGCAGGGCCAGATAATGCCGGAACAGGTGTATGTCTTTCGAATAACCTCCAACTCCGCATCCTCGACCTCGGCTTCAACTAGTAACAGCACGCAATCTTCTTCCATGAACTCGACTGCTTCGCATGCGCCTACCCTTCCTCCCCATCCTCCTGCACATCCACCTGTGACCCAATCGGTGCCGACACGTCGAGGTCGATCCGGGACCGTCTCCCAGTCTCCATTTGGATCTCCGACCAAGGTCTCAAGGCCATCTTCATCTTTCCAACCTTCTTTCGCCCCTTCGTTTTCTTCCCAATCATCCTCTACCCAACCCAGTACATCTACTGCTACTGGCGCGGGCTTCAATGGCTCAGCGAGTGCCGCGGGTACTAACACTAACACGGGGACAAACACAGGGTCTATATATCCTCTCTGCACCTCGACCTGGTGCCTCACCCGTCTCCGAGCCACTTGCGAGATATGGGCGTTCGTGCGAAGTGGTGTCGTTAAGAAGGTCTGGGAGGAAGATGTCCCTGTTTCTAACACACTGTCGGGTTTGCCTTTGCCTTCAACCAACCCTAATATAGGATCCTCCTCAACTATGCCAGATCCACCGCCTACACACCCGTCTCAAGCTCCCCACATTCATACATCGAACACATCAACTTCGGGACCTGCTCCACCCATCCCACCACGCAAACGTGGTCTGTGGGGGACGTTGGAGTCTTTGAGTGAGAGAGCTGCTTCTTGGGGTGGCGGGAGCCAGTCGGGTAGTAGACCTAGCACGCCTATTGCGGAGGAGAAGGAGAAGAAACTTCCTGTGCTTCCACCTCCCCAACCGCTTGTTCATCCATCCGTAGCTTCGGTTCAGCAAGATCCGCCATCTGAAGATGGGGCGGGGGTCAGCACGGGAAGCGGGACTTCAACAACGAGTGCGCCTCCCCCGTTGCCAAAAAGGAGCGAAGGTCGCGGCCGGCAGTCATCTGCGCCTACCGCGCTCAAACCTGTTGCAGAGGTTACTTCTCAAGTCGATACTGAACCTCCCGCTCATACTTCCGAAGCGAACGCTGACCTCCCTGAGGAAGGTCAAGAAGATCCCATCCATACAGTTGTATTCTCCGCATCAGCACACAACTCCCCTATTCATTCGCCTACTCCTGCAGTGGCTCAAGAACCTTTCAAACTCCCTTTACCGGATTCACGGCCTTCAACCCCGGTTATTGGCGGATTGAGCACAGGCTCGAGACCTGGGACGCCTTCTAATACTAATAAACCACCTTCTAGGCCTAGCACACCTTCGAATGCAACGGGTCTTGTATCATCTAGGCCGGGAACGCCTAGCAATAGAACAGACGGTGTTCCTCCACCGTTACCGAGACGTGCTGTTACTCGGGGACCTAGACCGATGTCGACAAGGAAACCTTCCACATCTCCTGGACCGCCTGCAATAGACATGTCTCGTACAGAGGTAATCAAAGAAGAAGGGGAGATAGATGCTGTGGAGACAAAGGTAGTTGAGAAGGTGGAAAAGGAGGAGCAGGAGGAAGTTAGCAACGGGACGAATGGTGTAACAGAAGTACCCCAGCCGGAAGGAACGGTAGAATTGAAGCCGTCAAATGCAGGCGTCGAGGGGCAGATACAAAGAGAAGAAAATATCGGTGCCGAAATGGATATAGGCAACACAAGTACAGGTTCTACTAAGCCGGAAGTGGAAGGTACCGGAGGAGCTGAAGTGGCGGACGCGGGGAGGATGACGGCGATCACGACGGACAAAATTGAAACTGACCATCATGCAGCCAAAAGAGTCGAAGAAACAAGCGCAATCGCGGAGGAAAATGGAACCGACACTTCTCTCGAATCCGAAAAACCCTTCCTTCCGTATACCAGTGTCGGTCATTCGACATGGGAAGAACGCACTTGGAGAGAAATTGTGAGACTCAAGGAGGTCATGTTTTGGGCACGGGTAGGAGGCGTAGAATCTTCTTAGGCATGTAGGAGGTCCTTGCTCGTCAAAGTCAAACGGTAATCTACGGTAATGGGATGTGTACATAATGATTTTTAACGTAATAGGTGATACATATACCAAAGGATATACATTACGAAGTAACGTCAGTGCTACGTGCCTTTTAGAGTATCTAAAACTGATTGAAGGCTCCTGTCATGGTCATGGTTACTTACATAGAATAGTCAATGACGTCTAGTCTATGATTTCTGATAGCAATGTTGTGTTCATCCACCGGTCAAATTCCTAACCATTGCTATCCTCTCCCTCGTCGAATCCAGAAGCCACTCTCCACTCATATCCTTCCATGCACTATTCGTTTGACCCATCCTGATTTGACTCTCATCTTCCTTCGTCTGCACAACCAGCGCTGGAACGAACGTGTAACTCTCCAAATAATGCATCTGTATCAAATCCTTGATAAGATGGTCTACCGGCCGTGAATAAGCGAAATCAGGAGAACGAAGGAATCGAGTGAGTTTGTGTGCGCCTCGAAGGGAGACGGCGTAGCCGTGATTACATAGGGTGTGCCGAGTTTTGCGGAGGTAAGTTGCTTTTGGGTCGATGAGAGGTTGGTCGGGTTCGGTGCCCGACCAGCAGTGTCCAAGGTAGAGGATATCCCAGGTTGAGGGTAGGAAGGACCATTCGTGTCGAAGGATTCGTTCAATGGAAAATTCGATGTCGATGTCATCCTCAAAAATAATGGCAGAGTCAAGTTCTGAAAAAGAGTTGTCACTTGAACTTAGTAAATCCAGTCGCTTTGACAAAAACGCACTTACTTCTTCGTACAATTTCTCGGATAGCACGCATATGCGAATCGGTACAAGCGATTTCAGCGAGCGTTAGGTGTTGAGTCGTCTCTAGTGAATTTCTGACAAAAGAAGGATTCACCCAAGCTTCCCGCGATTTTCTCCACGTTTCATCCTGCCAAAAAGAGGGCATCGGATGCTGCTCTTCCCAAACTTTTGCCTCGTCCAAGTCTTCGCCTGCGTACAAACGCTCCAACTCCAACGTCCAATAATCAGCCCCGGAAATACCCAGCTCGTTCGCTAAGGGATCAGCTAGATTTTCAAGAGCATCTTTGGACCATTGAAACGGGAATGCATCGAGTATCATATTGGGATTGGTGTCCGAAGGCTTCGGGTGGTTGCCAGCTACCACGGTATCGTCGTTGACATCCTCTTCGTCTAGGCGATCTCGTTGCCACCGTATGCGGTCAAGGATTCGCTCAAGTCTCTCTAAACCATAGACACCAGAAGATTTGTAATCTGTGGCATCGAAGAAGGAAAAATCCACATCAAGGGCCCGAGCAAGCGATTCCATCTGCTTGTGTCGATTCTCGACGCGTTTAAGCGATATAACAAAAAGACCACCGGTTCCTAGGGTGCGTGAATGTTCCTTGTGAGCAAAAGGCGAAGTTTCTCGAACTGTGCCGACTTGGGCGGAAAATGATAAATTATTCGGAACTTGTGAGAAATGGGAAGGAGATTTCGAAGATGCGGGGTAGTCTATCCATTTCGATTGCGAATTGGCGAATTGGTTCGAACGGTTGAAAGCCACGTAGGTGTAATACATGTACAAGACGAAAATGGATATCGCGATTAATTGGACATGACGGGCCTTTAGACCGCCTATTGATAACATGAGTGCCCGAGTCAATGAGCGGAGGAGATATACAACAGTCGCCTGAAGGCAGCTGGGGGTATATTATGTATGGAAGGATGGAAGTTGGAAAGAAAGAAAAGCGGGATTCAGGTTCGCGCGTGAAACCCTGCGTGAAACCCCCCCTATATCGCATTCCCGCACACAACAATGCCAAGATCTGGATCAAGCGTTATCTTTTTGACACATGTATAGCGTGGGCCCCGGCTGTCCTTCGGCCGTGGTTCCTCCTCCCCAGTTCATAGAGTATGAAAGCCCCATCGTCTTTTCGACCATGCCAATATCGAAAATAAAATCAAGGGGACATTCAGGAAATCCTGGGACGCATGTAAGCTGGAAGGATCGTAAATTTAATTTCTACTAAAGCTTTGACTGATTGAATAAGTTTCAACCGCATATCAAGTCGCAATTTTCAACTTACCTGGTGGTTGCATTCAAATCATCGAAAACCAAATTAAGAGAGCAACGTCGCGGCGTTCTAAGCGCCTCGTGTTTATCGAGTATTCACCTGAATTCGCACCACAAGGACGATTAGAACAAAGGAGAATTTCTGAATGGCAGTTGAACGTTGAACGTTGAAGCTTGAAACTTGGAGGACAAAGCTAGTGAGTAATTACTAATAAAAGAAGCCCGTCGTAATTGGCGCCTAACCTCCAAACCCAATCATGCCTCCTGCCAAAATTTACGGTTACCTGGCTTTCGGGCGATTCCAACGACCGCCACAGGCTGGGTATGAGAACGAATTCAGTTTGCATTTTCTCGGAGTGTCTACAAAGGTCTACAATGTACGACGGTTTACTTCTATTGAGCTGCACCAGAGCCATCTGCATCCAAGGCCATCAGAGGCCACTGCAAAGCATAGAAGGTGAGGATCATTCGAAATTGGCAAGTATATAATTAGGCGCTTGCAAGGAATAATTTTTCGAGGCTGTTTCAGCATCAATTCACCTTGAATAAGATAAGTATTCGCTCAAACGAGCTCGATATAGAATACCAGAAGCACTGGGAAGTGCTCAATGATAGTAGAAGAGGTTTGCCTGGGGCACAGCCCCGCTCGGGTGGGAAAACACACGAAACACGGTTTGGCTGAGCCTGGAGCGTCTTTGTCCAAAGACTAGACACTAGAGTAGTAGAGGGAAGGGAGGGTGGGCTCACACAAAAGAGCTAAGAGATGGATTTCGACGATGAGAGTGTAGTTCAAAGGCGATAAGCGCCCGCTCTCATCGCCACATCTTATCTTATCCTCTGAGAAGACAGCTCTGCTGCCTTCTGGCCTTCTCTCGGAACGTTTGAACAACAAGCGCCCGTGTAAAATTTTCTTGTTGTCTCTGTCCGTTTCGACGGCGGATACCAGCGTATACCTTTGCCCCATATAAGACAATCATCCTTCATCGAACGGTGACTCTGACTCCAATCCTGCACTCTACCTGTCCCTTCCCACATCTTACACAAACTTCCCCAGTGCCACAAGCTGCCACAAGTTTTCTGCTTCTACAATCTTTGCTCAATGTCGACTGAAATAAGCATTCATTTCTCATCTTCGTGTGATATAAGCCTACAAATTTCATAAAGTCCAACCGATGAAAGAAGATCATCAGGCAAGTGAGAAAAATGCGTGTCCCCAACGGGTTACTATCTGTTACTATGTCAGCACAGCCCTAGATGATGTGATATAAAAAGCTCGTAGGAAACGGAAAATGGTCAACAACTTGTTAAGAAAACGAAAACACGGTATGTAGTCGGCATTTGCTCCTCACAAAAGGCTAACATTATGAATAAGCACATCGCCCGCCCGCAAAGAGGCAGGATTAATTTGCTGGTCAAATTTTATTCTTCTAGTTTCTGAGCTTTGAATCTTCTTCTTCCTTCGTGGTATGTGAGGATGATATTAAACAATGATTCTGACTAAAGTACCACTTCGAATCCACTTCTACTTCCTTCTTCACCATTAGTCACTTCTCTATACACAACTCGTCACTTGTATATGATGTTTTTCTGCCTCAGAAGATGCTTACTTGTCGCCACTGCTCTCATCAACATCAATGCGGCTGCCGGTCCGTTGCCATTGGTGTCTCCAAGTTATGCACCTGCGCGGCTGGAGATGCGCGGCGGAGGTAAGTAAGCTCTAACCCTACAGGCTCGAGGTTGACGCAATGTATACGAATCAAGAACCTTACACCAATCAAGTTGTCCGAGTAGGGTTCCAAGACACACAAGGACACTGGCGAGATACATATTCGAATGGCGACGCTATTGTTCTTTTCGTTGGGGAATACGATACGTTTGCGGTTGCTCAAAGCTGTCCGAAGAACATGGCACTATTGTTGTTGCATCCACCTCCTATGACATTCAGAGATGTTAGAGCTCCAGCGGCAGCGGAAGTGCGGCGGATGACTGAATTGCGCATATCAGTCACTTTCGAAGGTTATAAGGAGAAAAAAGCCGTTCTCCACACCTTGCGAGACATAAACAAACTGGAGCGTACAACCTCCCTCAAATTCTCAAACGACTTGGAGTATTTCGAAATTATTCTTGAACGTCTTCACTCCTTGGAGAGAGAGGGTCTTGATGTGTTCGAAGTGACGGGTGATGGGAAGGGATGGGAAGATGTGAGAAGAACAGTAGCAAGCGCGAGGGGATACTGAAAAGGTACAATTTATACTTTTCTGTTTTTCAGCGTCGAGCCACACGATCGAACGGCGCTTCACTCCCGGAATTTTTTGAACCGTCGACCATATGTATTTGTCATTGATATCAGATTCAAGAAACTTGAGCCCTCTTGAGCCCCAAGATGTTATGCTGAGTCTATGACGGCGCCGACTGCTCTCCGGGATAAAGCATATGATATTCATATGTAGTACAGAACGATATTAAAATGGAGGATGCTAAACACTTGGTTTGATGCAATACATAAAGGTCTAAGGTTCGTTTGGAGGAATTTTCAATGGTACCTGACTGTGCCCTACACCCCGTCGTACCAGCCGACGGAGGTCGGTCTAGCGGTGCAGCGTATAAAAGCTGCTAGGGTTCAAGCTAGACTCAGACTGTAACGGTGTAGAGCTGGACTCCCCGCAACTTCAGTACGCATGTCTGAATCATGTTCACCCTTCTATAATCTAATCCGGTCTCCTCAGGATCAATATGTATACTCCCAAGGCTGCCTTTTCGTTGCTCGTTATTGCATTACTCCTCATCTCGATGTTGCAATCAGCGGAGGCGGGTCAATATCACAAGCAGACATCTAAACCAGGAGGAAACCAGGGCAGGCAACGTTCAAAAAAACCAAAACAAATGGCAACGGATGATAACTTGACAATTCCTCCAAAGACAAACAGCAGGCAAAGCAGGACTTGTAGCAATGGTCGTGAGCGACAGTATCTTGAAGGGACATTCGAGGAGTAAGCAAAATAAATATCCTGTCTAGTCCAGCTTGATCATTGATGTCCCGGATACATAGATGTGGGACGACCAAATCGAAAGGCTGGGTCAGCGCACACAACTGTGCAGGGCACTATTACTATTGCGTTCGAGAAGGCCAACCTGCGTGCTATAAATTGAATTCCATGACGGAACCTCTTGAAAGAGGAGAATGTTTCTTATGAGGGTCAGGGCACGGGCACGGCACATAAGGAGACGGTGGTGGGCCATTAGAGTTGGAGATATTGCAATAGCGCATGCAATTAGTGGAAACAGCCGGTTTGACGTTTGTCAGGAATGTATCATAATTATTGCTATCTGCTGCAAAACTCTTCCATGCGAAACGACGAAATTGCAAGGGAATCAGGAGGCAGAGGAGATGTGCTTCTTTCCGAATCCACCGCAACGCCAACCTTGCTCGCCCTTGGAAGCACATATGAAAGCTAATTGTCGAAATTGTTTCTGACGAAACAGTATCCTCAGCTCCTTTCACCGATGATCGCCTTCAACAAAATAGCTACTCCCCACGCACCCGGATCCATCTCCTCTTCGCTTTCCTCTCCACCTCCATATACAGCCCTCCCTGCCTTTGCTTGCATCCCCTTCGTGGCTCGAGCAGCTTCTTGTGCTTTCTCGCACGACTTAAAAAAATCAGCTTTGTCTGTAGATAGACCCTTCACGAAAGCATCGAGAGGATCGACGAGCGTACGCGATGGAGGGCGTGCACGAGTGTAGGTGTACAGTTTCGTAAGGGCGTGGTTCAATGCTGAAGGCCAGTTGACTTCTGGGGTTGAAGAAGAAGAGCGTAGTCCTTGAGCGAGTGCAGAGAAGAATATGCTACGAGCGACGTAGCATATCAATGACCTATCCAAGATGAGAGGGAAGTGATAGAACTCACGAATACAACCCTCCGCTTGTTCCGCCCATCTTGTCCTCGGCAACACCAGCGATCGCGATGAAAGTTGTTGGAAGATCATGACCATTTATTTCATTGGATTGGATGAGTGATAGTACGCCTTCGGCGCCGGCCTAGAAAGTATGCTTAAGGATATATCTTCAAGACTCGACACAACAAACATGAGAAACCCACCTTTAACGTTAATCCGCAATCACCATCTCCTGCAACTGTATCCATTCGTGTCAATTCAGGCTCAACATGAATGAGAGCGTTGCAGGCGCGTCTGATAACCTCAACAACTTGTCTCGCGCCTTCATCATTTGACGAGGTAGTTTTGGTAGTAGACACAGACGTGGATGATGACGGGGTTGAAACTATCTGGTCAGATAAGGGGATAGGTGCTCTGCTAGAAACCCAGCCCCAACCAGAAGCTTCTGCTGGAGAATCAAGAAGAGAGAGAAGCAGATCTTGACTTGGCTCTTGTCCTGCACTCGGCAGCTGTAACAAAGTCAGAGAGAACCCCGGCATATTCAAACTTGTCATATACGTCCCACACAGCACTCTTTTGATTTTCAATCCTTTGTCCGATATGACTTTTGTGGCCTCTACAGACACAGCGGAGAGTTCAAGGGGTGATAGGCCACCGAGGTTGTTCACCATCAACACCACATCGGCGGAAGGTGCGAATGAGACCCAGCCTCGTTCAGGATCTTCTTCTTGGGAAACAGTCAACAGATTAACGAGACGAGGCATAATTTCGGATAAAGGAGGCGGAAGGCCGCTGGAACCGTGGAGACGTAGAACCCCTGGTTCGTTATGAATTCCCATACCAATTTCAATCTCGTCTTCTCCCAATACATCCTGTCCCCGCTCGGTTCCAGGTACATGTGAATGGCCGGTGGCGACACCGATGGAAGCCAGATTCTCCGCCACGTATTGACCAACTTTCTCAACTTCATCTAAACTCGCACCCCTCGCAGCCAACTCACCAATAATTTTGTACGTCAGGACAGTTCCAGCAAGCCCCCGTCGTCCAACAAGAGTGATTCGAGAACGAGGGACAGCAACATCGTCAGCGACGGTGAGGAAACGAACTGAGTTGGCATATGCCGGATATGAGCCTAATGCTTCTTTGGCCAGTCCAAAGTTCAGTACGTCTCCTGTATAGTTCTTGACAATGATCAACGTTCCCGCTCCTTCTTCAGTATTGCCCGAACTCGAATTTTGCGGATGCACCAATTCGACCGCTCGCCTGACCTGTTTTCCACTAGGACTTGCGAAGACACTTCCGGATACAGCGGCAGTGAGAAGTCCTTTCCCGACGAAAGCTGCGTGAGCAGGCTCGTGGCCTGAGCCACCACCGCAAATGAGAGAAACTTTCTGAGATGAATTGCTAGATAAAGGCCTGAAGAGCACTCTAGCATCCTTATCCAGTCTCAAATCGGGATTGAGCAAGCAAAGGCCCTCGAGTGACTCGATAACGAGGGTGGAAGGCGAATTGATCAAGTGTTTCGAGGCCATCCAAGCTTCTATAGCGTCAAGTTTTGAAGTTAGTAAGTTTCGTCGGGAGGTAGGGGGAAGGATAGATAGTGGGGAGTTATAGAGATAGGTTAGGAATTTGCCAGTACGCTATTCAAGTATACTGTAAGTGTGACACTTGACGAGAAAGTCAGCTGGCCCTCGGGAATGTGTAAGGTCTAAAGAGAAAACTAGTAAACCAGTGTCGGCCCCCTTATCTAATCTGATGGAATCGATAACATCAGGAGAAAACGTCGCCGTACGCGTATTCGATGGACCGCAGGCGGGAAGTTGTGCTGTCTACTTCGTGGTATCTCAAGCCATCCCAGTCAACATTTTATGGTCATAGTTATCCCTAAATGAAAAAGATTTCAGAGACTTGTAAGCACAAACTGAAAAGCACGCACGGTCCATGAAAACTCCCTTCAACGTCAGATTCAAGTTCAGCAGCTAATTGTAAATTCGTGCTGCAAGCGAGAGAAATAATAAAAACAAATCCCCACGCTTTGCTGCCATCTTCGGTTACTTTAACTTTTAACTCGTTGAATACCCAACATGCACGTATCATCTCGACCTCTTCCGAACTCGGCCTCTTCCGAACTCGGCATGCACCTCTCAATTCACCGAATGCACGTTGGAACGGATCGTGCTCACCACTATGCCACCCTTACACAGAATCCACCTCCAGAGTTGAATTTCGCCATTACATTCGAAGCACCTAACCTCGCGCTATCTGAAACCCGCACATCAACACATCACTCGTACAAGAATGGCCACAGTGGCACGGCGTTCGACGAATATCAGACCTGGTTTTCACGGTGTTCTTGAGCGTGCCTTTGAGGAACCGTATACTGCCGTCGTAGTAGAGAAAGGAGGAGTGAGTGTTTCATTCGGTTGATGAAATACGACTATGAACGATGGAAGGCAAAAAAGACGACAGCGCTATATTTCTCGATTGCGCTTGGGCTTACGATGCTCATCTCTGATGGCGAATTAGGACCAACAAGATTTAAGAATGGCCCCAATCGCTGCCATCGTTCACCAACACCTATCAACGTGTTTAATCGAATCTTTCAGCGCAAAACGAAGACTAGAATTCAAGTCTATGAAAAGTCTATGAATAGAGCGTTGGGGCAGTCTACACCGTCCATACAAGCTGCGATGCGTCAGTGGAGATTGTCACACTATTCTACCGCAGCTGAGTTCGATTGACGCTTCAGTATGTCACTTTTCCAGATCCCTCCCGTGTTCTCTATTTATGGTGCGCTATGGACAGCCTCAACTTCAAGTCGGGCTCATTGAAGTGCTTAATGAGACGCTCTCGCTCCTCCTCAAGCATTCAACAAAGCATTATACCGTGCAGTCCTTCACACCATCTTTGAACATTCAACATGTACGCGTTTAACGGAGGCAAAATTTAATCCAAGGTCTGAATCTGAACACCTTTCCAAGACATTGCCCGTACTTCCGGGTCCTTAGACAGCAGCCCCTTCAAGGTTCTCCCCGACCTTAAACAGAACTCAGATAAATTATGTCAGAGCCACACCAAGTCTCAGATCCCGCCTGCTCACCACCTCATTCGTGGGCAACGGCTGCAATTACGATACATTCTAAAAAGCGACTGTACACACACTTTCGGCTACCAACTACCCACTGCCCAATTTTTCTCGTGCCTTATTTCTGATATACGCGAGTGTCACCAGGATCTGTGTTACCCGTAACGAACTATACGACATCCACCATGTATTCCACGCTACCCTTCCTTCGAAAGATTTCTGCAGTCAGCATTGCGATATTTCTTTTCGCATCTGCCTCACCAACTCGCGCTATTCCAATTCGCATTGCCGTTTACGTTCCTGCTGCTATTCACCTCGACGTAGAGGTTACTGGCAGCCAACTCAATCACGATCTCCACGCAATCGCTTCTTCCCCCGACATTCACCTGGATGTCGAGAACGACAGCGTTCAACAACCAGAACACGCCCTTCACGCATCTGCTCTTGTCGTTGACGTCCATCCAAGTATCGAGCTCATCGGCGGTCGACCTGATCATACAAACGTTCCCGCCGCTGTAACTTACATCCGTCCCGATATCGAGGAATCGAACAGTAAATCTAGTCATCACGATTTGGATTACAATCATGAACCCCACGACTCCACACTCTTTCATGAACTTCTTGTCGGAAACGCGAAATCGCATGCGACGAGTGCGCCTTATCCAGGCGAACTTAATCACCTCAATGACGGCGGCGTTGTCAGTGGATTGAAGATCAGTACACACAACCCTTTTCGCGCTCTCAACCATGCGTCTTCTCACAGTGACTCGCTCGTCATTCAGCCAGACACCGTTACCTCCTCTGCGGAGGACGTTCATTCTCAGTAAAGAATTATTCATGCCTTAGATTCTTGTTGCGCCGTTGCACTGTAACATCGGCAAATTTGGGAAAGAGGAAAGCAAGAGACGGTATGGCGCGGAACAGGTTGCAGATGAAGCATCTAACAACAGGCTACGATTGTACTTTCTACGGACAATTCTCTTTGTATGATTTTTTTCGATCTTTTGTATGTAACTACGGATATGTAAAATGCAAAGTACTGAAGACCAAGTTTAAGATCGTTGATAATTTCTTCGTTCCAAACTTTTTCTCAGTGTAAGGAACTCACAGATCAGTACAACAATATCAACAGTGTCCTCCGTGTGCATCATGGCATTTCGGTAGAAATTGTGACTTCTACATAACCGCTAGGAGAAGTTAACGATGTCATTTCATGTTTATTTCTTGGAGTAAAAAAAAACCGCTTCACACTGTAGAGTTTCGGGGTGCTGTTATTACTAACCAAACTGGTCAGATCTCCCGTTCAAAGTACACTGATTTTGCTTAGGAAAAGTCATAATCGGGTAATAACACCCCGCAAAGTTCCCGCCTTGCATAAGCGGGTTCAAGATAGGCTGTTGTACTTGCTTCCTAATGGCGGATTTGACAACTACGAGATATCACGAAGGCCCTGACACTCAAGAGATCACCGTGGCAAGTAGGATGAAAGAAACACTTTGTTAGCACGACTTCGAAGTGAATGATTTGGGAAAGGAATGCCATCGACTTACTATTGTACCACCAATCAAGGCGCCGATATTGGTTGTACCGCTGCAGACCGCTGCATACGGTCTTAGTAAGTGTGTAATTGCCACTACCGACGTCCCCATCAGTCCCTGGATAAGGTGTATAATGCCAGTATAAGTGTCCCCCTTTGCATGTACGTATGACAATTTAAGGAGAATCCCTTGGCTCAAGAAACATGATTGTCGCCTGGAAAAAAAGATCTTATCCTTCATTTTTGGGGTGGGTATTGAAGTCGGAGTTATGTTAGTAATTTTACGGGAAATGGGTTCTCAAGATTCATGCTTTACAGCTATCTGCTGGTTCAAGATAGTGGGATCTTGAAGAGTATCACACCGTAGAACCCACTGACTAACCTAGACCCACCTTGAGATGATCATTGAGGAGGAAGCAGTGCTCGCGGGCGCTTACTGATCTTGTGCTTGTACCAGCATGATTCGACATGGCTTCAAGTGAATTAGAACGGAATCTCTCTTATCTCGAGCAGGGAAAGGTCCTGTTATTACAGTCTTCGATTTCGTCCGGATCCGTAGTTTTCCACTGTTTCCATGATATCAGATAGAAGCAGAAGTCAACTTGAACCATGACAGTGCTTTCCAACAAATCTACTGGACTCTAGCCCGCTTGGTGCTATCGCCTCATATCTTTTTGAAACTGCTCAATGCCCTTCAATGCCTAACTACAATAGACCATCCACCCAAGATCCCTTACTTCCAAGATTACACGGATGGATGTATCGGCACCGAATGAATTCAAGTTTTTCAAGTCGGACTTGTCCGAGTCGTTTCGATCCTTCACTAAGGCTATATCCTGGAATGATATCCATGAGTTTGTTCCGGGAGGTATCGTTATATACATTATACGCATCCCCATACCGTACTAAAGGTTCGGAAGGGCGAAGGTTGCTTTTGTCGAATGGTAACAGGGTGAGGCAAAAGCCTCGACTACATGCACGGCTATACACGGCGGCCTAAGGATTTCTCTTCATCCTCATCAGGAGGTACTTACAATAAGCGGTTAGTCACTTATATTACATCCTATAGATGGATTACTCATTGTTGAGATTGCTAATATTTTCACCTTATGAGAAAGTCCTAATTTTTGTCATGCAGATTACACGATGTTTGTCAGATGGATTTGCGCCGGGAAAGTATTTAAGTGCGACGGAAAACCCTCTAATACTTCACTCAAACATCCGCTTCCGCTCTCAAACTCATCACTGACAGCTCGAAAGACGCAAAATGGTCTCTACTCCCTCCCTATCGGCGCTATTCAAGCCGGCGCAAGTTGGGAAGATGTCCCTAAAACATCGCGTTGCGCTGGCTCCCCTCACGCGTATGCGTGTCAACGCAGCACATGTCCCTCATCCCATTGTCATCGAACATTATGTTCAAAGAGGAAGTATCCCCGGAACGTTGCTCATAACTGAGGCGACGCTGATTTCGCATCAGGCTGGAGGCTACGCTCATGTTCCTGGCATCTGGAACGAGGAACAGATTGCCAAGTGGAAGGAGGTTAGTACTTGCACTGAAAAATCTGAACGATCTTTTCTGATCTTATTCCACTAGGTCGCTGACGCCGTCCATGCCAAAGGCTCTTATATCTATCTTCAACTTTGGGCAATAGGACGTCCCTCTGTTCCAGGAAAGCCAGGCATGGAGTCCGACTTCCCCTACGACCATGTCTCCGCGTCAAACATTGCCATGAGTCCCGAGGATCCCCAGAAGCCAAGGCCCCTTACTATCTCTGAGATCAAACAATACATAGAATGGTTCGCGGCAGGTGCAAAAAATGCTGTTGAGCGTGCAGGATTTGACGGAGTGGAGGTTCATGGTGCCAATGGGTATCTGGTTGACCAGTTTCTGCAGGATGTAAGTAATGACAGGAAAGATGAATATGGAGGAAGCATAGAAAACCGGGCGAGGTTTGGATTGGAGGTGATGGACGCGATAGTGAAGGCCGTTGGTCCAGAAAGGGCTGCAATAAGGCTCAGTCCCTGGAGCACGTTCCAAGGTTAGAAATTTCGGTTGTTGAACTCACTCATGTGAAGACTGAAATCGTGTGTCACAGGAATGCGAATGAAGGACCCTAAACCAACGTTCCGATACTTCGTTGAACAACTCAAGAAAGCCCATCCCGCCCTTTCTTATATCCACGTTGTCGAGCCTCGTATAGATGGTTTCGAAATTCGAACAGACCTGCCTGAGTGGGAGAACAACGATTTCATTCGTGAGGTCTGGACTCAGGAAGGGAATTCGAGGTGGCTGATCAGTGCCGGAGGTGCTACCCGGGAGAATGCCATTCAGTCGGCAGATGAGAAAGGTGATATCGTTGCTTTCGGGAGACCATTCATAGCGAATGTAAGATACTCGTTTATCTCTTGTTCCCGTTGGGCCGTTGCTGATTGGTTGTTATGCTTAGCCCGATCTTCCCTACCGTTTAGAACACAACATACCGCTCAATGCATATGACAGGAACACGTTCTATGTCCCTGACGGTAATACGCCAGAGGGATACACGGATTATCCTTTTGCCCCTAAGAAGGAATAGATATACCTTACTGCTGTGGATTAGGACGACTACCGTTTACTGTTAATTGCATAAGAAACACTACTCTCAGCTTGGTCTTGCATCCTTGAAGGGTCTGCAAGCTCTTATAGTAGCTTCTGTATAGTCATCATAGAGGGGAATGGCCAGGCAAACAATGCATTGTACAAATATTCCAGGTTGTACGGGTCTCCAAAGTCACCGTTTTCTAGATCCTTTCGGGGCGAATGCAATCGAAACATACTCAAAAAATTGAACCGTGTCTTACTAAAGCACTCAACTAGAGACTGCGCCTCAATGCGCCTCTACATGATATTACTTCTCCTCACCTGTCACAATACATAAATAAGTATCATCCCAAGTTCAAGAGTGCGGGCTGTCTTGATGATTCAAAAATTGGCTGGTATACATACTATTCATCCTTAATTCATGTCGAATGAAGTGCCAGTGTTGAAACGTTGACAGTGGATAACATGAAGAAACGCTATGTAAGAGACGCGATGTTCTATAGACGCCGAATAGACGCGTTACGCGCTATCTCACGTGCTTTGCCTCTCACGGGCAACTCGCAGCCCTGACCGAGCTCTTTCATTTGTTTTTGGCACTTTCTGGCTTGTTCTCTCTTATACCACGACACCGCTCCATTGACAGCACCAATGGATTCTTCTCTTAATCTAACTACACTTGCTAGCTCCCTACCGAGCCCGTACCAGAATGCTGAGAAAGATCTGCTGAATAACTTCAAAGGTATTACCTTTCTTTTCATCTACTAATCAATCTAATCTGACTGGTTCTCTGCAGCTGCAGCGCTGAGTATCACTACACTGTACCGATCCTCTCGAAATGCTTCGAAGAGAGCGTACAACGCTGGCTATGCCAGTGCGTGCAATGATATTTTGTTGATGATTCAGCAAGGTGTTTCGGTCGAGGGAATCGAGCATACACAGAACCATTGCTCTGAAACAAGCTCAACCACACCATCGTCCTCTCAGGGCAAAGGCATGACTATAGGAAAGGTCATGGACTGGATAGAGGCCCGCATGGAAGCGATCAAGTCTCGAGAAGAGGAAGAAGACGAAGAAGAGGAAAGGGAACGGGAACGGGAACGAGCTACTACTTCGACTGCGAATACTGCTGGCTCTGCGACAGCGGCTAATCCGTCGGCCAAACCTATAACGGGATCTAAGCCTTCGATCCAACCCAAATCAGCGAGGGAACAGGTAGCATCAAATTTTTGTAGATTTGTATTTGCTGACTCTTTGTTCTATTCAGCTCATAACTAATCACGCGTCTGACCTACCCGGGCAATCACAATCACCCTCTCCGCCACCCGCTACGCTGCGACAAGCACAGCGGGCTCACAACAAGTTGTCTCGTACGCAGGCACAGACCAAGGGTGATTCTTCTCTACCCTCTAGTCCACTGGTGCCCTCCGTCGATCGCTCCGCTCTTCACAACCCCACAACGTTCAACTTTGTCTCCGAAGATCATGCGGTTTTTCCGTCGGTGGCCTCTTCGTCTCCACCATTATTATCGACATTGTCGTCTTTCCCAGACCACGTCCCGGCTGTCACTGCCGGAGCGAAACGACGCCATGCGGTAATGATGATGCTCGATTCGTCTTCAACGTCCTCGTCGCCTACTTCCGTTGGAAGCTCGACCTCTACACCTAGCGGGACACCTCCACTTATACATAGTCACCTAGGCGTGGGATCCAGGAGACGGACCAGGAGTACCAGAAGCACCAACCACAGCCTAGGTTTGAACGTGAACCTTGGGTTGGCTTCTGAAGCAATGGACGTTGAAGAAGATGGGCTAGGAGGCAGGGAAAGAAAGAGGGTTGCGAGACGTTGATATTTGAAGCGTCTTTTTGGTATGGCTTGACATGACTCTTCCACCGGTTTTTGTCCATTCTTTCATGAACGCATACTCGTACTCTCTTCTTGCATGACGATCTCCATTATTTACATTGTCCATCGTATTCTGTAGTCAGTAGTAGATCATCCACTCCGAAGTTCAATCTAACCAACAAGTGTATTATCATTTCTCCATCATTCCCTTCCCTCAGTAGTAATAGTAGTAAGTAGTAGTAGCAGTAGCCTTAGGTATGTAATCGACGTCCATGCAAATCAAGTCCATGCAATACAATCTGGGAGAGCTGCTTCTAGTATAACTTACTATACCCTTGACTCTTGAGAAGTTCACTCGTTGAACATAAATCCCCATGTCGGACTGGTTTAGACTTGCGGCGTAAGCGGTCACACCAAGAAGACTCACTTGCAATGACAATGATAGCGCTGCTACTACGACCTATATCGAGGCTTGATGTATGAGTCTATTATCGATTCGTACTGTTACTACAATATTTCAATAGTTATTTCGAGTTTAATAAATCCTTTCTGTATAGGAAAACATGAACATTGTCAATACCAAAACGAAAATCCTTTTCCAGTACAATTTTGTACCCCAGTTTTGTATATAGCTGCCTAGCATGAGGCTGGTAAAAGGTCGTTCGCAGGACTATTGCGGTCAACTTGTGTTTACTCGTAGTCGCATGCGCCTCGCACGCTTCGATGAGGGCACGAGCGATACCCCGTCTGCGGTGATAAGGAGAGACTATCATACGACGAAGTTCGGTAGTACCAGGCCCCGAGGTGAACGGAGGAGGGGGGGGATCACCTATGAGGATTGAGATAATTGTGCTGACAGCGGTAGGGCTGCTATGTTTTACTCACCAAGACTAATACAACCGACGATTTCTGCTTTATTTGTCACTGGAGACACAATTTCTGCCACCCAGAAGCCTTTCATACTAGTTGCCTCAAGTTCTGGATCTTCCGAATTTTCATTCGAAGTACTCGTCACCTGGCAAAGGTTGTAGTGACCTTGTATGTTCTTCAAGTCAGTTCGGAGGCATGTCAAGCCAAATTGAATGTAAAATCCGACGGCACTATATATCGAATAGCACAGATACAACAGTACCAAGAGGGCTATTGCTGCAACTGTCACGTCTAGATATGCTGGAAGAAAACTGGATAACGTCGTGACCTCAACTGTTATCGAAATGATGAGCAGTGCAAAGGCGCAGAGAAAGGAAGGTGATCGCGTAGTGGCGGCAAGGTGTGCTCGGGCTGGTGCTCCTTCTGAAGGAACGAAAAACAAGTCAGCGGATGTACTGTGACAAAATTTAAATGGAAGGGAGGCCAGAGGGGTGTTAATACTTACCGCCTATCATCATGCAAGTCGTGAAGAGTCTTCGTACAGCTTCGGAGTCAGATTTCCGAAATATCCGAACACGTACGGAGCTGGACTCGCTCGAAGTTAGTGTAATCAGTTCTTTTCCGGTGATGCCATTGGGGTCGTGCATTAGTGGGGGAATAGGTGCATCAAGCCCACCAATCGCGCAATAAATACCCTCAGAGTCATGTATAAATACAGTAGCTGTGCTGTCCTTCCTTGCCGCATTGATCTGATTACATGCATATTAGTCCTCACCCCGGCTACCTATATAATATACTCAGACACTTACCGATTAGTATCGGTCACTTCAACGAACCGTATACATAGTACATAGGTGGTTCAACAGTAGAAGACATCATTTCCTAACTCAACCATTTCCCCCTCCGATGATCCCATCGCATGCTGAGCCTTGCTTTGGTCAGTAGGTTGTACTGTATTCTTATTTATGCGACCCGAGGAATCTTTCTATCTTGAACGTTTGAATTCCGAGTTTCTCTATTTTTCATACATCCAATTTCAAGAAATGGAATATTGCGAAAATGTATAGCGAAGAGGATACTGCGACATACTCTAAATCGTCTAATTGCTCGTGCGAATGCGTAGTGACGCCGTCAACTCCTACTCAGTGCTACTGAAAGGTGTAATCAGTAGTCGGCCACGAGCTCGAAAAAAGACCTAACGTACTCTCATATGCATATGATAATATAAGCATCTCAATATTGAGGGCAACGTACATTCATGGATGACTACTCCCGGGCAGAACGATCATTTATAAATGGAAAAGATAACCTGAAAAAAGACACACCGGCGAATACTCCGCCGTGGCTGAGGTTTATATGGCATCTCTTGTTTGCCATGCAGCGAAGACGAAGATGAAAGAGCAGGATCTTCACTTTCAGCAAACCCCGAACTATCTCCTCGCCCGAATAATGCATCATAAGTCGATATTGTCGGTTGATGTATGCGGAGAACGTCTTTCATGAAACCAGAGCCTTTAAGTATAGAGCTCTTCGAAGTACCAGGATTGGATGCATCATTTGCAGCTGCCAAGGAATCTCCTCGTGCAGGAGACGGTGCAGCCATGACCAAAGTTGCGAAGACCGCAACAGATACAACTGTAAAGAGCCGCATAAGAAGAGACCTCGAGTGTAGTAAGCTTGAAGCTTCAACGTGGTAATGGCAGACGGGAATAAGACGACCTAAAGACGTGTCATACTTGTACTCTCGACGTTGGAACGTTTCCTTTTGAGTCTCGATGATGATTGCTGGACCTGCCGTTATTAGGAGTCATTAGCTTTTATAACGTACTGGTAGATCGGATTAAGCGTGTAGGGAAGGAAGTGATTACACGGCATGGTCCAGAAGTGAACTGAGGAAATTCGAACGGTCCCTTGCAAGGATCGCAGAAGATTTGGCTTCACAAGAAAGCAAGGAATGGAAGCAAGCCTTATTCGAACGATGACTTTCTTCAGCACTGATTGAGAGTCACATACATATTAACAACATATGAAAAGATTACAAGATTAAAAGATAGATATAAAATTGCTAGTCAACGAATGAGATCGTGTTTTTGTTATAGAGGGGTATGATCAATACCTTGCAGCGCGTGAATTCTATCCACAAATAACATTCTTTTGGAAGGTTAGTGTTCCTGGTTGGCACCAGTATCATAGTTCTTGAGCGGATCCTTCCGAAGGGCCTCGGCCTCGGAAGTCGGGGTCGCAGATTGAACGTCAGCTTTCTTTAGCTTCATAACTGAGTCAGGTACCGCCAAAGATGACGTTACAAGTGTATCCTTTGAGGGACAAATGTTAGTTCCTGAGTATATGAAGTATGAGTGGGTTCTACACTCGCCTCATCGCGGAAAGGAGTAAATTTGGGAGTAGATGGGACGGTGAGAGCACTTTCTTTGACGGGTGTGCTTGGGAAGCGCGAAGTCGAAGAAGAAGCGATGGGCGGCGGCGGTGGAGGCATCTCATCCGGACTCGGATCCCTGTAGGGTACAATCTTGGAGCCAGATGAACTAGACGCCAGCCTCTTCGTTTTGCCAGTTTGCTTTAGTGTTGTTCCAGATAACTTCTTTGTTTCGGGGACGTTCTCCTTGACTCTAGTCTTACGTGTCCCGATGTCTGGCCACGCATTAACTTCCATCTCCGCAGAACGGGCAGCGGATCCTGAGGGATCCACAAAAATTTGCATATGCGTATTCGACGCATTACGAGACCTTGTTCGGGTACTTGTTGAGGGTGGAGACACGTCAGTGGATGTAGCGGAGGTGGTGATTAAAGCCCTCCGCGTAGTAGACGTGTTTGGCACAGTCGAAGCAGCAGCAATCGGTGGCAAGGCGGAGGACATCATGCGCTTCTGAAAATCTTTATATCGACTCTTGAGATGATCCAAGGACGACACCTTTCGAGCAATACCCAAACAGTAAACGTCATCCGCTTCCTTTCGTCTATGTACATCTATCAATGAATTGTAGACAAGAATTGAACCTGGACACACCTTCCATCTCGCTCCAGTATAGCGGCAAATTCTTCGTACAAGATTGCGAAGTCCGTTCCGATATCATTTGCGAGCAGAAAACGATAGATGATGCTAGGTTTCTCGACGAAACTAGCGTAAAGCATCCACAATTTCAGATATTTCATTTCGCCTCTCCATTTTCCATCTCTATCATCTTTGAGAACACGAGTTGCTTCCTCCAAGAGCTCCAATAACCCCGATTCGGCACTGTGGCCTTGGGGATAGTTTTCAAGCGTCCAGTTCACCAGGGTACAGTAAGCTTCCAATGGGTCATCATCGTCGTCTTCCAAAGCCATCTCTATGTTTATGCGAAGCCTGTGGCGGGTGGCAACAAGTTTGGATTCTCTTTGAGCATGGGGAGTGGCTAGAACGGAGGAAAGTGAAGTAACTCGGCGCCCAGTGGCTAAAGGTTGGATGTTCTCCTTGGCTGCTTCGAGGACGTCGCAGTCAACCATTGTAGTAGAGCTACTGCTAAATACATCTTCTGTTGACATGACTGAGGCTTCAAGAGAAAGTGAATAGAATGAAATAATGTAAATTGACGCGAACATCACATGATCGAGTCAACTATGTACCAAAAACCGAACGCTTTGACCCGCGGGCCCATGTATTTTTTTAAATCTTTTCAATCAAAAGCTGGATCCTGGATCTTCGTCTCTAAAGCTCTCTAGAGATTTTAAAATGGCGGTTATTGATCGCAAGTAAGTACTACTTGTGGACCAAATCCTTGTTTAATTGTATAGTATAGCGATGAGTTGTAGGGGTGTTCTGTATGTATGTGGAGGTATGTGGGCCACCATTGTCAACTTGCAAACCTCTGTCATTGAATATTGAAGGCTTATAAGGGCTTATATGAACCATTTCTACGACGTGAGTATACAGCGAAGAACAAACTATAAATACAGGTAGCTCTACCAGACTATTATTAAAACGTCATGCGGTTTTATACAGAATTTCGTCAGATCGGACTCCCTGGAACCGTAAGCGTTTTAAATAATATAACGGAAAGTAGGAGCCTGTAAGGGATTAAAGTCATATCTTATTTGTGAACGGAAGAGGACAGACCTTGTCCGCCATTTCTGCGACATCCACTCGAGCATCCTCTTTGGGAACTCCGTGTAGCTTGTTTCTACGAGCGTTGTCGAGACGGTAAGAGATCTGACATACAATGCATCAGTACACAATTTCGAAGAGCTGCTAAAGTCGTGTGCTTACCGTCATAACCAACGCGCAAAGAGCCCCGAAAATTTCAAGGCCACAGCAGACTAGCGACAATGTCAGCTAAAGTTTTCCTCCGATACTACTATTTTTTCAGAAAATTACCCGCAAATCCTTTTCTGCAAACGGGTGCTTCAGAACAGGATGTACGACAAACTCAATCGCACTTACATGTATCGAGGACCCTCGGTGGTTGGGAAGAGATGAGATCCGAGGATACTGCCGCATTGACCTATAGCCATGAACATTGGGATGCCCGTCGCTTTTTTGGTTTCAGACCCAAGATTATGCGCAACTGTGATGAAAACCGGCACCAAGCGAGTGAATATCTTTGATTAGACAACCTCACAAGGACACGTACACCAAGCGATTATGATGCCAATGCTGGTATAGGTACCGCTAGTGATACAGAACGTTGCAAAGTATCGGGCGTGTAGGTTAGTCGGGACAAAGAGAAGGATTCTATGTATTTCGATATCAGCCGCTTAAGACACTTTGTGAGGTGCGCTGACTCACAAGTATCCGACGCCTCCAACTAAAGAAGCCAATGCTATAGGAATGCCTTCAAATTTGTAGCTGTCAATAACAAAGGTTTTTTTTTTCGACAAAAACGCGAAACAAACCTCTACTTTGCAATCTATCCGATATCCAAGAGCCTAGTACGATAACAAACGCTGCAACAGCATATGGTGGCACAGTCATCAACTGAACTCGGGCAGAACCTATATCAATTGTTAAATTTCCATCAACTCTGAGGTACATATCTGCTAACTTACTAAAACCCAGTGTTTTTAGAATGGTCGGGAGGAAAGCGGAGGTGGAGGCCAAAGAACAATTGAGTGCGAAGTATATCACTCCTCCAGTATAGATCTTGACAACTGTGAGTCGCGTAGTGTTACATAGGCTCAACAGAAAATTACTCACCCTCCAGTCCCGAAATGCCATGGAGATATGAGCTGAGTAAATTCAAGTAGTTGAGCCTTTGGCATGTCTGTGATCGTTGCGTCCATTACGCTCACATCTATTGACAACAGCTCCAACATCACCGCTCGTTCCGCGATTCATTCTTGCAATAGCTATCTCTCTTTCCCTCTCATCTAAATAATGCGTAGATTCCGGCCGGTCTGGAAGGAAAAAGAACGTCATTATTCCCAGGCAAATGGCTGGCAATCCCTAGAATGCAAAATGTGAATGTATTGCATATGGTTTTGGGTGACGCTATCACCTCGACAATGAAGAGAAGGCGCCAATTACTGAAAGGCAGAATCGCGTTTTGTATTCCAAACGCGACTATCCCACCGAAGGCTCCAGCAACGGCTGCGAACCCGAACCAGTAAGCCATCTGAACGCGGAACTTGAAGTAAGTGACAGATATCGCTCTGAGGATCATGAATTGAACATACTCGCAAGCCCATTTCCTCCTTCGTGTAAAAAAGCGCTGCAGGAACGAACGTTGGCATTCAACAAAATCAGGAACAATTTCAACTTACAGAAATAAAGAGGGATCGCGGGACCGAATCCCGCTTCAAATATTCCCAAAAACACTCTGGTGGTCATCAGACCGCCGAAATCAAAACCGGTGGACTACACAACAGATGGTGTCAATGCGTTTAAGTGGCTACAATTGCGGTTTAAGTTATTTACCATTAGTGTTGAGCAGGTTCCCCATCCAATGGCAGCTAAAGCCAACCATATGCGAGGGGCAACCAACTTGGACAGAATTGTGGCAGGTACTTGACAAAGAATCTAAACACTGAATTGAGAACCTGATGAACGTCAAGTAGATATGAACAGTGCTAACGTAGGAAAAGAAGAATGCCGAGTTGACCCAGTCAAAGAGGATTCCTGTCGGGTCACCACCGAGTGCATCGGTGGGAAGAGGTGGTTTCCCATCGTTAGTCCCAGTGAGAACTCGAGCATTGCCCAAATTAGAGCGATCCAAGTCTGGAGGTTAATTTCCAAGTTATGTAAGTGCGCAATAAATAGTCAGGAATAGAAATGCTCACAAGCAAACAAGTAGAGTAAACATGCTATGGGTAAGATACGACGATCTAGTTTTCGGATGAGCCTTTTCTCTTCCATGAACCAGGCCCCGGATGCTTCAAGCGAGGCTCGCTCTTCGGTCGCCACCTCTACTTTCATGTCGTCACCCTTGAATTCCTTGCTGCCGTCGTAAGTTGAAGCCATTGTCAGAAGAAAGAGTGAAGATGAGTGGAGCAAGGAACTCCTAAGGAACATTTACCTGGCTTCCCGTATTTAAACTTCAACGATTACAGTCACGTAACAGGCTATGGATCTGATGAATTCAATTTCGCCGTGAATTGCGGGGTAAGCTGGGGAAGACAGGATCTCGATTCAAACCCCCCACTGAAGAGTCTTTCGGCCGATGCGAGATGTTGACTTGAACTCGGGAATGTATATAGATATAGCCATCGATGATCCTGGCGAGGCTGGCCGATAGCGAAGGCATGCACCGTCTTCGGCAATAATGCTGGCAAACCGGTATGACTTTCCAAAATCTACCCGTATTACGGGTATATCCTCATACGGGTCTGGTATTCTCAACCTTCGAGTCTTCACGATACGGATGGTCGTATGGCGTTCCGAATACCAGTGATACCGGATGCGAAATCAACGTTGAGTAAAAATATGTGACATGAATCTATACATACTGTCCAAATGAATGATTGTCCCAGTATAAAGAATTTCGGGGACGTACACGACTGCATCTAAAAAAACCAGACATACAATACCTGAGCATTTCGGGACGGGTATATACGGTACTTACCCGTATATCGTCGACGACGCTGTAGGCCAGCCACAACGCCTGAATATCTATCAAGATTAAGCTGCTACTGACCAGGTTACTGATCTCGTGAAAGGGGGCAAGGTGGGGCTTGATAGACAGATGTTGTAGGCGTAAGTATGTAACTGAGCTGCATGAGAAAAATCGGCCGAAAGTAACAGGATTGAAATTCCATACATACATAGGCACCAGATGTGCGCCGGTCCCGTTTTCGTATGCAACTGTGTCATAGATATTTCGGAGCGCTCGTACAGAAAAATAGGAAAACAAGCCTACCGTCAATACTTAGTGCGAAAAGAGGGTCAAAGAACTATCAGTATTATATAGTTTGTGTTTTTGAGCCTAGTACTGTTCGAGCAAATATGGTGGGCTAAAGAAAATCTTGGTCTTGTTCGAGTATTTTGCAGGAGGATCATATATCGCCCTTCGGCTGACTTTAACCAACTTTGAGTTCTGTGAGGGATGTTGGTGGTGGCAATCCCTGGTGATCCCTAGAGTATCTGTAGTAGTACAACGATGGGCATAGATTAATCATGGATCCAGTACACCCAGATCAATGTCATGGATGCTAGGACGACGTCAGAGTCTCGCAGTCACAGTTAGCATAGCCTTGCCTACCTGGTACTGAGGAGGCTCAGCGACCACCGAAATGACCGTGACGAGCGCGAGGGTGATTCATCTGGTCATATAAATATACATATATATTGACTTCGATTGTTGTTGAGGGGGTGAGGAACAATATTAATGTTACCGTGATACCTGCGACTGCCACCTTTCGCGAGAGGGGATTGTTGGGAAAGTCAATTGATAGAACTTTTATAGGCCGAACCACTGAGGGTATTCTAACATCAGAAGGCAGCTTGTTCTTGTTGATATTAAACAGTGTCGCCCAGCTCGCCATTGATATTGAGGGGGCGGTCAGTAGAAGTCCACGTTGAGTATTAGTACAAGTCAGACAAAGCTACCTTATCAAGTCATTTCCGCTTGCCGACTTTCATGGAAAAGTTGACAAAGGGTCAAATACGACAATGAAGGCTGGATATTGTCTTCCTCGAAGATCCAGGGAAAGTTCTCGCGTTAGGGCTGTACTTTGCCACTGCAGCGCATTCAACTTTCTCCTTAACCATCATCTTCACCATGTCCTTCAAACAATACGCCATTTTTCCTTCCAATCCAGCGACAGAAAGAGGAATCTCGACGAAGCTCAGTGCAAGTAAAGATAGAATTGTGTATGCCAGTGGCAAGACCATCGTGGTCAGTGTCATAGTCATCGTGGAAAGTCATGGTGTAAAGGCTGTATAACCAACATCCGATTGTCACAGATACGCGACCTCAAGGTCAATATTTGACTTCCTAGTCACCCACGACCAATATTAACATGTCTTACTAGAATCCCAAATCATCGATTTCGTATAACGGACATATACAAAATGCTACTATTGCCCGTATCTCGCCATCGGGATACTACTGCGCATCTGGAGATGCTGGAGGGACTGGTACGATGTGCTAGCTTTGTACAGATTTTCCCTAATAAACTGATCAGTCAGAGTATGGGATACTGTGGGCGAAGACCACGCATTGAAAGGCGAATACAAAGTCATTTCAGGTCGAATGTATGCAACTAAGTTGCCCTTATCCATAAATTGCCGAACTAAATCACCTTTCGTAGTAACGATCTAGAATGGGATGGTGAAAGTAAGAGGATCATTGCTGTCGGAGACGGTAAAGAAAAGTGCGTACTTGCAACTGATTGCGATCATACTTGTACTAACCATCGACCACAGATTCGGGCATGCCTTCATGATGGATACGGGAACCTCTACCGGGGTGATTAGTGGGCACTTCAAGGTCGGTTTGGACATCTCTGCATCTATATCCCGCCTTCATATACTTTCTGTAGGCAGTAAACGCCGTATCGATTCGCCATCAGCGTCCGTTTAGAGCTGCCACCGGCGGAGACGACGCTGGGATCATTTTCCACCAGGGTGTACCATACAAGTATGACAAGTCCATCAAAACCCACACCAAATTCGTTCAAGACGTTCGGTATGCACCCTCAGGGGATATCTTTGCCTCCGTTGGTTCTGATTTCAAGATATTCCTATACGATGGGAAGAATGGTGACACTCTCGACGAAGTCACGGATAGCCCGCACAAAGGCAGCATTATGGCGTGCACTTGGAGTCCTGATAGCAAGTCGTTAGTGACATCCTCTGCGGATTGCACTGTAAAGCTTTGGGACGTCGAAACTCGCAAAGCAATTACGACCTGGACTGTCGGGAACGGAGTAAGCTTCCAGCAAGTTGGTAACACCTGGAGCGGAGAATCTGATGTAGTCTCTTTGTCGTTGAGTGGTGACTTGAACGTGTTCGACATTAGAACGGGTGACAAGCCTTCCCGAATAATTCAAGTGCGGGTCTCCCATGTAATGTCAATTTCATGCAATGACACTCCTTCACGATTAGGGTCCCCAAAAACCTATCACTGCTATCGCACCCGTCCCAGCTTTGCCTGACACGTTCTTAGCTGGAACCGCCGATGGTCGAGTTCTTTCATATTCTAAAACGACAGGAGAATCTTCTCATATGCAAGGCGTCAATCATAGTACCTTGGTAACTAGCCTGGCCTCCTCTTCTGCGGGTGGTAGTGCGTTTTCTGCAGGATTTGATGATTGCGTTAGGGAGATTGGAAGTGACGGGACTGGTTTCACGTTAGTCCACTTCTCTGTTTCACATCTATGTACTACCGACTCTGACTCTGAGGTATACAGACCGTCATCTTTCTCGCTTTCTTCTCAACCCAAATCGCTAGCTGTTGGGGATGATGCCTCTGTCTTTGTAGCGGAAATTAAAAACAGCATTGAAGTTATCAGGTCAAATCAGAAAATTTTTGACCTTTCTACGAAATACACTCCTAGTGCCATAGCAGTGAAGGGGTCGTTGGTTGCCATTGGTGGAGAGGTGAGTTTGATGAATTTTATATGTATTCTAGGATCAGTCTTCTGTGTTACTAGAGCTTTACTTCTTCCTTTTCCGTGTCATCATGATAACACGCATCACCTGCCAGGACTCCAAGGTTCACCTGTATCAATGGGATGGTAAATCACTGGAGGATGACGCGGTTCCGATTTTGCAAGGCAACAAGGCCGTTGTGTCCGCATTAGCGTTCTCACCTGACGGAAATCTACTTGCTTCGGGTGATGTGAGTTCTCAATATGTTCTATTGCTGCTTGCCGTTTTTCTTCTCCTTTTGATTGACAATTTTCAGTCGAGCGGTAGCATATCGCTTTTCGATATCAAGGAAAAGAAGGTAATTTCTTCTGTCGTTTTAGATATATGAATATTGATTTCTTGCTTCGCAATGGCCGTTTCGGAATATCGCATCCGAACCTCACTCTCTCGACTCATTCTGGAAAATTTTACTTCTAATTCATCCAACTTTCTCGTGTTTTTTTCATCCAGCTCATTACTTCTCGCTGGTCTTTTCACACTGCCCGTGTCAATTCACTCTCCTGGACCTCTGACTCCAAACATTGTGCTTCTGGTTCGCTTGATACCCATGTCTACATCTGGAGCGTTGCTAAGCCTTTGAGAAATATCGCGATCAAGAATGCAGGAGCTAGAGGTGTTAACGCTGTTTTATGGATAGATAACTCCAATGGAAAGACAGGTCAGTTGGTTAGCTCTGGGGCAGATGCCTCTGTAAAGGTTTGGGAAGTTACATTCCATGCGGCGTAGGTTGAGAGAACGTAGTAGCATTGGAATCTGGATTGTGCAATCAGAGGACAAGCCAATGTAGAAATACTCAGGAACTAAACACAAGGAATGTATACCAAATATTATCCAGGACCACTTGGAACTTTCTTGGACTAGAATGAGAACGATATTGACGCCATTAGATGATCTGGTTCTGGCTCAACAATGAATGAGAATTTTACACCGTGCTCGGGTGCCGATCGAAAAGATTATACGACCAATGTACGGTGAAATAGGACGGTAAGATACACAGAAGAAATAAATACAGCGAAGCACAGGAAAGTATACCATCTACTAATCGGCCGAAAGTTTAGTATAAGTAAAACGGACTAGTGTCCCCCACTCTTGATCTCATCCTAAGCCTAGTGTTATTCATTCTCTACGCCATCTCGACATCTTGCTCTCCAACAGCTCCAATAGCAGAATCTGCCACAAGAGACTGTGCTTCAGCCGAAGCACCGGCAATCGGTGCAGACTCTGCGTCTCCCATGAACGCATCCAACTCTTTATCCAGGTCCTCTGCCGTTTTGGGTTGCTTGGAAGCTTTCGGTCTTGGATCGGAGCGTTGAGTAGCGGCGCCACCTCTAGGCATACCTCGGCCTCCTCGACGCGAGGGTCTTGTGCGTGTGGGACCACTGCGGTGATCAATCAGATTGGGAGTAGAAGAGAATACAAAAAAAAAAATCAACGCACGGGCCAGCTGAATCCTTGACTTGTATGTCGTCGGAAGAAAGGCGATCTGCAAGGGGTGGTTTTTGTATTCTGTTGATCAGCGATGAGTGTGGTGCGCTGACAGCTCGTCGAGATTGCCGTGGTCCGCCCGTGTCAAAGGTGATTGTCATGGGTTGGCCTAGGATATAGGAGAGGATACTGGCGTTAAGAACGTGGGTCCAAATTGTTGTAGAGAAAGAAGTAAAGAAATAACAGAGGAGAAAGTGAAGGTAGCAGAAATGTGATTCGGTATTGAATTCAGTCTCAAGAGATAGAAAATAGTGATCAGAGAAAAATATATATATGGCTGTCACTTCACCTTTTGCTAGGACCCCATCGAACGTTTTCTTGCCTTTGGTTGCCTCAGCGGCTGTCTCGTAAAACACGATGGCGTTTCCTGTTGATCTTCCACTGCGGTCGTACTTGATTTTTGGAATGTAAAAAACCACAGAAGGAGAAATTGAATCATTCGTTTGGTTGGCTTTTCAAGCAAAGAGTTGGGTGCTAGTCGGATTATCGTACCCTAATCAATGGCTCGCGAACGAGCGTGCCAATCTGTCCAAAGATGGCCTATGCAAATGGTGTTTGAGCCTGGAAAACAATGAAAAATTCATTGAACGCACGGCAAGGTCTTTAGGAGTGACTTCATAGTGCAAATTTGAGACAAGGAGCTTGGTGTTGCTTTGCTCAACTATATCGGATGGTCCCCTAGGTCGAGAGTCGGTATTCATATTTTTCATTCCAGGGGCCTTGTCGTGAAGCCATTGTCCATTAAGATCACCTCGAGGTGGGCGCTGTGTAACCATAGAAATTTAGTCGGAGGAAGAGTATGAAGGGCTGGCTGTCTCACACTGTAGGGTTTGTTCCCCCCTCTTTGTGCTCGGAATGCTGACATTTTGCGCGAAAAGTTCGAGTAGAGAGTAACGAAGAAGAGGTTGTGGATAGAAGCGGGAAATGACCACGTGGATTTTGAATTCCGCCCAATCTCCATGAGTGGATGAGCGCCAAAGACTCCACCATCTTTTCTTTTACCACTTGATCAAGGGCGCTCCGACTCGAAATATCACTACCTTGGGTGACTGTGGACATTGTCGAGTCCTTCGATCTTCTTCCCAGTCTTGATTTATGGAATAGTATACATACTCACCCGTATCTCGACTCAAGGTGACTTTTCAGCCTCAATTCCACCGCAGATTGCTTCTAGTAGTCTGATATTGTGTATGTGTGCTTCTCCAAATTCATGTTCCGAATCTATGGCAACCTTAATCATGTACTTCTGCAACTGAGAGTCCAAACTTCATATACATAGTCGGTCATAAGATGTATTGCAAGCAAATTTGTAGCCGACTAAACCGACGATCCATTCGACGTCTGAAGAAACCGGATATACTGTTCATACAGACTCATGTGGAAACAAGGCATTCGTTGTGTTCGATGTGGTGGAAGATCATCAGCTAGGGCGGAGACAACCTCCTGCTAGAGAATCTTGTAGTTGTGGTCTGGTTGTAGTAAGTCGCAACTCATTCGGCCCGGAACTATAAATTATCCGGTATCTCGAGAATATTTACACGAGAGTCGTCGATAGGAAGAGGATAAAAGAATTCAAATCCTGGTCAATGGATGGAACTTTGTGACTTTGCCTGTGACCATTCTGTGACTGCAATTTCTTAATCGGGCCGATTCCCGTTGTTTAACTGATTTTTCCTCTCCTTTTAAGCCTTCATCTACTTGCGACGTGCAGGTGAAGATTGCCTCAGTCATCCTAACCGCAAGTTTTACAAAAGTCATATTATATCTGCACATCAGAACCTTCATCCCAAGGCCTTGCCGTTATCCTCCTAGGGGCGAGAATTCGACTAATAATGGATTCCATGGATTCACTAGAGCAGGACCATCAACTTTCTTCATCCGCCGATCTGTTCTTTCCAGGCGACCACCAGCACCATATGGGCTCTCCTACAGATCAGGCTCAGCAAAAAGATACACTAGACGGAGCACCATCCGGCTCAAATTCGCTGAATCTCAATCCTTCCTTTCTAAATGAAGCAGGAGGGAACAGCATGGGAATGGTTATGGCTGCTCTTCAATCTCTCGGTAGCAATACAAGGGCTTCGAATCCTTCCGATGGTGAACAGCAGCCTGCTGCCCACAATGAGGACCCCGGAGCTGGACAGGGCCAAGGGCAGCTTAGAGAACAAATTATCCTGGAACAGTTCAAACTGGCGCAGCTTAAGCAGCTGCAGGAGATCCAGCAGCAGATTTTTCAGCAACAGGTCTGCCAGCTTTAACCTTTTTACCCCACTCACTAAACTTTTATTGCCCAGATGGCGCTACTCAATAGCGGAACTACTTCTCTGGACAGTCAAGCTCGGGATCAGACTCAGCGCAGATTTCACGGTTTACCCACGCCAGGTTCATCTACCGAAATTCGACCATCTCAACCTATCCCTGTCGAGTTCGTATCCCCGATGCTACTCAACTTCAACGATATAGACTCAAGCTCTATCATGTCCCTCGATTTTCCCGGCCAAAATCCGTATCCTCGAAACAATGCGGCCTCCCACACTCCGGTGTTCCCTTCACGCGACCCCGTCGGGTTAGATATGAACGTTAGTAGCTACGCAGCAGTGCATCCGCAATTTGGCGCAGGAGGAAGTACAGTTACGGGCAACAATTTTGCATCATCACCTCCGTTCCATGCCACCTCGAATACAGGCGGGGGTGGTCATGCTCGAGCTCACGATCACTATATTGCTCATCGAGGGACTGCGTCTGCCCCTGCGCATATTGCCTTCGGTAACCCGTACCACTCTTCTCAAAATGGTATGAATATGCACGGTGGTATCAACACTATGAATATGTCGTCCGAGCCTTCGTCACCGTTACATTCGGAACTAGACTTCGATATATCACCACTGACGAGTCCTTGGCTCGGGGCAAAAATGACCGGAAATAGCAATGGAAATGGAAGAATTCAGGCGTATGGGCATCCCCAGAACCAAAGTCAAACTCATCGTAACCAAAATCAAATGCACTCCCATCTTAACACTCACGCAGGATTAAAACGCGCTGCATCACCGAGTACTCCCGATATCGACGTTGACGTTGTATTTAGTGGTGCTTCAGACGAAATCGGGAGGTCACGGAAGCGACAAGCTTCGATATCCCTGTCACCTAATACTATGCGACCTTCTGCTTCCAATTCTACTTCGTCCTCTAGGTCTTCACGTGTCTCAAGTTCTGGGTCGAGGTCCATGAACTCGACGCCCTTATTGAGAGGAATCAACCCAAATTCGAACACTAGGGCGAGAAGAGGAAGCATAAAATCAAATAGTCCCATGACTATGGCGATGACTGGTGGAGCTGGTATAAGTAGCGTAACAGGCTTTTCCAGTATGCCGAGTCCTCTGGTTGACTCTAATTCGGGATCATCGTTCAGGGGGTCGAATATGAATGTCAGTAACGGTGATTGCCATACTCATAATAACAGCGACGGAATACCCGTAGGCAATGGAGACAACTCAAATATTGGTTTCGGAGTTGTGGGAGACTCACCTTCGCCTGTGGATCTTTCCCTGTCCATGCCACCCCCTGCGGCACCTGCTTCGGCATTCACTCCTTCAACAAGTACCAGAGGTACAACGTTACCAGAACCACTGGTTCCTGTCACCCCTGCGAGTATCATGAACCTTGGGAATTCGTTCGTGGGGCTCGGTGGTGGACTAGGTAGCGTCAGTCAAAATCATAACTCTGGTATAAGTGCGGGCGTTGACGGAGCCGCTTCTTCCTCCACGCCCGGTGCGTCAGGTAATTTTCCCGCCTCGACTTCTGCAGCTGCGGGTGGTGCTGCGAAGCCCGCCACGAAAGGTGCTGGAAGAGGTGCGAAGAATGACAAAAATGATCCCGGATCAGGGACAGGGACACGAAAGTCCGGGCGTAGAGGTGGAGGTGGTGCAGCGACTGGCGACAGTACAGGCTTGAAACATATATTACCTGGTGCGTTCATAAATCCTTCATCCTCGATTCTGAGGAAGTATCTCAATCTTTTGATTTCAGCTACCAATCCGTCCCCTCCGTCTTCGTCCTTACGTCCTTCCTCAAACCTGAACTCAACCTCTGTCGCCGCCACTTCATCAACCACAACTATCGTTCCCGTCAAGGAACGAAAGACCTCACATAAAGCTGCTGAACAAAAACGTCGAGATTCCTTGAAGACTACATTCGATGACCTTCGTGGGCTCCTTCCGCCCATTCCACTCCCAACAGATGGCGATTCCAAATCCGGAGGTACTGCAGCTGTAGATGACGAGATTGGTTTCATAGCTCTCGCAAAAGCCTCGCTTCTTCCGGGGGCTCTACCTCCTAGGGGTCCGCCTAAAGTAGGGGAGGGTCCGAATAAGGGAGTGAGCAAGTTACAACTGTTAATTTGTGGGAATGAATATATTCGAGTGCTCAAAGGCAGAGTGGAAAGACGAGACGAGGAGGTGGAAAGGTTGAGAAGGGAAGTTAGGCGGTTAAGATCGAAATTGATAGGGGGTGAAGCTGAAGAAGATAGTGGTAGTAGTGGTGAGAATGAGAATGAGGGTCAGGAAGGATGTTGTTATAAAGATGGGGGAATGTTGGATTTGGATAGAGATTTGGATGCTGTGGAAGTTTTGGAGTCGATGGGGACTTCGTCTTCTGGTCTTTCTGCGTCCATGAATGGGGGAGGTTATCTCACGGGAGTTGATGAGGATGTAGAGGAAGACTAGTGCGCTTGGAATCCATATGGACTGACGGTGGCCGTGTGGTTTCGAAAGACGTTTACCGCTCTATATGTGCAACGTGAGCTTGCATTTCTTAAACCCTTCACGTTTAACGCTTAAAATCATTATATGATCCAAACTTGCTCATCATGACCATACTTAGTACCTTAGTTTTGTTGAAGATATACCTATGTATTCACAAACAGTGTTTGCATAATCCATGTTGTAGCCTTAGAACATCAATCCACATATACACAGTTGTAGTTCATCACCGTAGAATCCTTTGCTATGCTTGATACATTAGGGTGTTGTGCCCGAAGAAGACTGATCTTAGAGAATGAGATTGCGCCAGTTCTCATTAGTGCTACATACCTGCTAGGGTCCCGATCACCCTTTCAAACATTCTACGCGATAAAGATGGGTAGCACTGACAGTAATTTGGCCGCGACCGGGCCACGACTGGTGACCGTCATGATAAATTATTCAGCAATGAACAAGCTATAGCTGACGAAGATGCATGACCTGCACAGTCACGGACAATTTTTGAATGAAGGAGACCGATGTATGTATATTTGTTTTTACAGCACGGTATGCTCGAGAACAAATTTTGAACGATCCATCATGCATCATCCCGCCCTTTGACTAGAGAGGATATTTTAGTATTTATATTAATATTATACTCAATGGGAAACGGTGTTAACTCACCGCAGCTCTGCTAGGTTTCGCAGCACGTTTATACGCATTTTATTTGTGTGCTACGATAATCGCACTTTCTATAGAGCAGAACGTAAGTGTTAGAATCCCAGTGAGATATTATACTAGAAATGAAAGAATGGAAGTTAACAAAGAGTAAACGAGGACGGAGGTTTGAGTCATGGTATCTTCAGCTTCGAGAAAGTACAGCAACAGGCCAGTACGCTTGACCTATGTATCCCGCGTTCCTTCTGAAGCACTAAGTGCAGGGCGCGAGCTTGGCACTATTGAAGCAGAAGTGGCGTCATTTGAATTTCTTTGACCTTGAAATAAAGCGGTGTTTGAGCAATATCGGAGCAGAACAAGAACCGTAAAGGATACGAAACGGTGCCAATACCATGGAATATACATAGTACGTGTGTACGTATCGTATCGAGTTTTTATTCGCGTGAAGTTGCATTCGACAATGTTCAAGGTGTATGTTAGGGAAAAGGCTTGTATAATGATCCTTAAACATCGAAACTTCAGAATGGTATTCGATGAAAATCTTGAGGCTGTAACCTGATTGAATAGTGCGGAATTTTGGGCGATGATGGTTTCCAGTAATGTCATGGCGGGCACCGCTTTCGCGACGCGTTTGTGACACTGTTACGATACGTCACATTAACGTATAAATTGAACCTTGCCGAAGTTATTAGCTCTTCTCCCCTCCATCCACTTTCAAATCTTTACAATTTCAAAGCTCTTTCTTCTTCTTAGGCATGTCAATTTCTATGGACCTATTTTCATTGCTCATCGATTTGCTCGTCCCGTTGTCACAGATTCATCCATGTGTGGAATTTTTGGCTACTGCAGTTTCTTGAAGGAAAAGGTGAGGAACGTTCGCACAATTTCCCTTACTGGGATCTGCATTTATGTCCACGTTGGGAACCAATACTCTTGTCAAATGCATATGGCTGCTCGTATTCTGCTCTTTTTCGTTTACCCGTTAATATCGTAATACTGATCTCGATATGACTTGTTGATAGAGCCGCAAGGAGGTTCTAGAGGTCCTTTGCCAAGGTTTAGCTCGCCAGGAATATCGTGGTTATGACTCTGCCGGTCTTGGGGTCGATGGCGATAAACCTGGTGAAGTCATCTTCTTCAAGGAAGTCGGCAAGGTTGCTGGCCTCCGCAAGCAGATTGCTTCTTCCAATGTTGATGTAAACAAGACCTTTGTTTCCCAAGTTTCCATCGCTCACACTCGTTGGGCGACTCACGGTGTTCCATCAGTCGCCAACTGCCACCCTCTCCGATCCGACCCTACTGCCGAATTCTGTGTCGTTCATAACGGTATCGTCACTAACAGTGCCGCGCTTCGTCTCGTACTCCAGAAGAGAGGTTTCACTTTCGAATCTGAGACAGATACTGAAGCTGTCGCTAAACTTTTGAAATACGTCTACGATTCACAAGCTGACAAGAAGAACTTGACCTTTACCGATTTGGTGAAGGCCGTTCTCAAGGAACTGGAAGGCTCCTTCGCTTTCGTCTTTAAGTCGACACACTTTCCGAATGAAATTGTCACTGCTCGTCGCGGTTCTCCTCTTTTGATTGGTGTTAAGACGGACAAGAAGCTTAAGGTCGACTTTGTTGATGTCGAATTCGCAGGCCAGGATAGCAAGGATGTTAAGGCTGACACTCGTATGTGATTTGAGTTTCTTTTCTTTTCGTTTTGCCTGACTTCTATCCGTAGTTCACCCGACTTCTCCCTCCGCTTTGCTGGCGCCCCCATCTGCCAACCCGAAAGTCCTCCGCACACAATCTCGAGCTTTCATGTCCGAGGATGGCCTTCCTCAACCCATCGAATTCTTCGTCGCATCTGACGCCTCTGCAGTCGTAGAGCATACCAAGCGGGTCTTGTACCTCGAGGATAATGACATTGCCCACATTGCTGATGGTGAATTGCACATCCACCGTCTCCGCCGCCAGGACGACCGAGACCAGACCCCTGCCCAAATTGCTTCTACAAGAACCATCGAAACCCTTGAGATCGAAATAGCGGCCATCATGAAAGGCAAATTCCATCACTTTATGCAGAAGGAAATCTACGAGCAGCCCGAATCAGTGGTCAATACTATGCGTGGTCGTGTCAATTTTGACACTAATCAGATCACGCTGGGTGGTTTGCGCGCGTACCTCCCGATCATGCGTCGTGGAAGACGTATCGTTTTCATCGCTTGCGGAACAAGTTACCATTCGTGTATTGCCACTAGAGCTATTTTTGAGGAGCTCACAGAAATTCCTGTCAGCGTTGAGCTCGCGAGCGACTTCCTCGACCGAAAGACTCCGATCTTTAGGGATGATGTCTGTGTGTTTCTGAGTCAGAGTGGTGAGACGGCTGATACTATTCTTGCTTTGAGATACTGCTTGGAGCGTGGTGCCCTTTGCGTTGGTGTCGTCAACACTGTTGGCTCTACGATCTCCCGGGAGACCCACTGTGGTGTTCACATCAATGCTGGGCCTGAAATCGGTGTTGCTTCTACCAAGGTTTGTCTCTTGACTTTTTTTTGTGAGGACCTGTCATTTGACTGTTCCTAAGGCTTACACTTCTCAATACATTGCTCTCCTCATGATGGCACTCCAATTATCGGAGGATCGCATTTCCCTGACTGAGCGTCGTAACCAAATCATTGCCGGTCTTCACTCAATGCCCGCTCAGATCAAGAAGGTCTTGGATCTGGACTCTGTGATTCAGCAATTCGCTCAGAGCGTGGCGGATTACAAGAGTCTGTTGTTGATGGGTAGAGGATTCCAGTACGCCACCTGTTTGGAGGGTGCTTTGAAGATCAAGGAAATCAGTTACATGCACTCTGAAGGTAAACCTACTTTCATCCTTATTTTCGCACCCAAGTTTTATTGACTGGATATCAGGTATCCTTGCTGGTGAACTAAAACATGGTCCTCTTGCCCTTATCGATGAAAATATGCCTGTCATCATCATCATGACCCAGGACTCCCTCTACCCCAAAGTCCAGTCTGCATTTAGTCAAATCACTGCTCGTAAGGCCCAGCCCATTGTCCTCTGTAACGAGGGCGACGACGGTATTCCCGCAAATGCCAAGACCATCCGCGTACCCAAGACAGTTGATTGTTTGCAAGGCATGTTAAACATTATCCCGTTGCAGCTGTTGAGCTACCACCTCGCGGTCAACAAGGGCTATGATGTTGACTTCCCAAGAAACTTGTATGTTTTGATCAACTCTGTCGTTCTAGTCATGGTAGCTTATCCTTCTTTGTTCCTTCTTACAGGGCGAAATCTGTCACCACCGAGTAAACGAATGAATGCACCATAGGTAGTGGAGATTGTGTATGATTCTGAGCGGACTGAAAATTATTGTACTTTTACATATTTCGACAAGTTTTAAGTAATGTGGGTCGGAGCTGCCTTGCGGGTACCCGATAGAGCACGGTTTTTCGTATAAATGGACTATCTTACTGTTTTTGTCTGTACATACCCTGCAATGTGATCTGCTCTCTGAACGTTCTAACCAACGATATTGTGTCCATCCTCCAAAGTAGGGGATGTCAAAGCGAGTCTTATCATCGCCACGCGTTCACTGTTCAACCAATTTTTGCATCAGTCTTATCATTGCGTTCTGACATACTCCCATCTTCGATCCCATATCTATCTTTACTTAGGCCTATACAAATGTCAACCCCAATCCCAGCGATTGCGGAACATGCAAACGGACCAGCTAGCGTTCCACGGCTCTCTAGGACTCTGCAGACTAGCACGGAAGCTTTCATTCGTTGGCACGATGCCGAAGTTGCCCTCGCTTTAAAGGATATGGAAGCTACCCGCGAATATGAACGGTGCTTAAGGATTGATTTGCAAAATCAATTGATCCTTTCGGAACAGAATCTGCGGGCATGCGAAAGACACCTGGAAGTTGTGCAGAAGAAAGTCAACCCAGACTTACGGAAAATCAACATGGACTCGGCGCGCCTGCAGCAGGTAGAGACAGATGTGAAATCGATCATTGATGTATTGAAGAGGATTGGCATACGTTTGTGCAAGGATACGAACGATGTCCTGTGGTTGGTTTGCGACGTAGATGCGGATGCTCGATGGACTCAGGTGCAACAACCCTCCGAGGATAATCATCGCTCCTTTCAGGATGTGCTCGATAGTCCCTTGTGTTCTCCGACGAGTCAAAAAGCAACGATCCAAAAGCAACCATTGAACGCCATTGTAGCTATAGACACCCTCCTCGACGCTCATAATAAGCACATGGCTGAGAAACGCATTCTTAGCGCACGGTGCAACACGGCAGAAAGCGTGGCAGAGCAATTGAAAAAAGAAATGGAGGTGAAGGACTCCAGGATCGCCGAGCTCGAAGCAAAGATCGCTTCAATGTGGGTAGAAGAGCCGTGCTCAACGACAGGGGTCACGAATGTGACGTGCATCAGTCCTTCGCAGCTTTTCAAGAACCCAAAGTTCTCGCCCTTCCTTTCTGAATCCTCCAGCTCTTCAAATCCATTCCAGCCTGGAGTCGGGGTCGCTTCTAATAACTCAGATTACGATTCTTCCTCCAGTGATCCTTCAGATGGCAGTACAGATCCACAGTCTTTTCTGAACGCATCCGTATCGCAAATACGACAATTGAAGAGCCTTCCGCCTTCGAGTTCGGATAAAGCAGGTTGTAGTGGCACCCGGATTCGGTATCACCAATATGCGGATCCTTGAACCACTGAGGATGCAGACATTGTAAGTCCGTACCTAAAATGAATGGGAAAACAGTGCTAATAAGATAATGATTTAGAACATCAACTGCAAGTTGAAGCATGGAATATAATGTAGATATGGTATATTTTAGTACGCAAATTTTTGAGTAATACATAGTCGTTCTATTGTTTCCGATAGGTTTCCGATAATGAATCCTCACGATCAAATCAACATCTTTGGGTTGTGGCTGATGTAGAAACCTCATTTCCTTGAATATACTCCACCTAGCTTTGACAGACGTGACAAGTACCTACTGTACATATTTCTGTTTGTATTGATCTTGCAATCCTTGCTATGTTCATTTCGCGAGTCGAGCCTCTTCTTCAAACTTCTGTGGGCCAAAAGTCTGCTTCGAGCTCTATTACTCTTGCCCAAACTTCCTCTGCACGGCTCCACTCTGCAGATCCTGGTTGAATTCCCAATGAGTCCACCAGATCTGCCAAGTCGTCAACGAACTTGACAAATTCTGGACAGCTCCAGTTGTCCGATAGAGAAATGATAGCGGAGTTTGTTCGTGTTAGAGATTTAGAGGAGAATATGAATAAGGCACTGGTATTGGTCAAATCTCGAACGTAGGTCCATGCATCCAGATATACCTGGGGAAAAATAAGTTTCTCTGACTAACAATGCTAGTTCAGGTCCAAGCTTTACTAACCCTTTCCATAGCCCAGAGGAAGATCAAACCGTCGACTACCGCACCATCATTTGATATTCTTGACATCTCTGCCGTATAGTTTCTTGTCCCTTTTCTCTCAGGCCATCCTTCCAAATTCAAACCCCATTTTTGTGCTGTTTCCTGAAAGAACCCGACTTCTCGGTCGACATTCTGCAGAGAGAACAGCAGAAGTTTGAATATTCGTTGGTTGAGAAGTTCTTGGGTCGAATTAAGAGAATCTTTCGAATTGAATGGGATGTTCGATATAAGAGATCCAATGAATTTCGGATACGCGTGAGCAGCGTATATTCTGTCCTGAGCAAGCCAGAGAGCGAGCAGATTGTGATCAAGAGTTCCGCTGCCTGCTGCTGTGAGAAAGGAGTGCTTAGTGGCAGATGTATAAGCTGCAGTGGATGATGAAATGAGATATTTCGTGAGGGAAGGTGACATGATAATCGGATTCATAAGCGCTCAGAAATCCCACTTTACCTTAAATTGCCCCGCCAGGCCGAATTCATTCCGTGGCCTCCATGTCGGCCGTTCAAGCTCTCAAAAAGTTTCGTCTTCACGAGCTGAAAGGCCTTCAGAGCCATATCTCCCGCTTTGGACCTCTTCCTGCTTCTGAATCATCTTCTGGCGTCCCTCTCCCAAATCCTTTTCTTCCTCACAAAAATCCACAAACCGGAAGATGGGCCCCGCCTAAATATTCTCTGCGACGTCAGGCAGAGCTGATAAAGAAGGCTAAAGCCTCCAATAATCTCGAGCTACTTCCTCCAGGACCAAAGCTCTCTGTCCCTGCTGCCAGTATCTGGAGTCAAAGGCTGGACGCGACTGTTGGTTCATCTCAAAAGTTGGCGGTATTGGATGAGACGCTAGCTTTTCCTGTGGATTGGATTGGAGAATTCAAGCTGAAGGTGGCGGATGGAACAGACTTGGGTGCACGGCTGTATACAGGAAAGAAGAGGATGTTCAAAGGACACAAATGGGAGCGGGTCAGAGAGCGTCGGGCTGCTCACCATACTATGTTGTTGAAAGACATGGACAAGCGCGTCAGGAGGTACAAGAAAGTGAGCTCAGATGTACTCTCCTCAAAATGTGACTCTGATCAATCGTTTTTCCCAGCAACATCTGAAGAAGAGACCAAATCCTCTCAAGGTTTCTCGAAAGATATCTACAAAATTACCGTTCTAGTGGCATGCGTATTATTGAGTATAATCGTTGTCATTCAATCAATTCCAGCTTTCACAAGAAGCATCACAGCTGTGGTGTCGTTGCACCACATAGGTAAAGAAACAGATCCACGGTCCCGTTCGAGCATGCCCGACTATATCAGCTAGAGCTCGAAGTTTGGTCCGTGCATTTCTGGTCGAATTTGGAAGTAAAGAGAAACTATGTATTTTGGGTGCCCTCGTTGTGCATCACTCTCTTTTCCAAACTCATCTTCGTCTCCGCCAACGGAACGGAGCCGGAGGTATCGCCAAGGGACTTATCTCAATTCCTGAAGAGCGAAACTATATAAGACTTCAAGTTGTGTATGATATATGTCTTTTTCCTCAGTCATCTTCCGTGATTTTCCCATTGACATGAAACCATAGCCTGTGAAATGATAATATAGCCTATCCCCGCTGTGGAATAAGACAGCCTCTCGGATGTCAGGAATGTGTGTCCTGTCCGGAACATTATCCTTTCTCGTTCACAAACGACGTAGAAAGGTTACCCCCAGTTCAAACGAACATTCTCTTGGCAGTACTGAATGTTCCAAAGATGCGTTACTTCTCCCCGAGTGATTGCACAGTGGACTTGTAAGCGCGCTCCGAGACGGGTATTTTCGCTCGTGTGCAGGTTGGAATTTTTAAGTCTCTGAAAAAGGCAAGGCCGAACGCAGGTAAGATACTCCCAGTTCAGTTTCGACGCATATCACGTGCTGGTCACAGCTGTGACCCCGCCAAAAATCTCAAGGTGCAACGAATTGGTCTTTCGAGTAGTTTTCATTTGAGTTATGCAAAAATTAAAACACGGGCACTGTTAACCTACTGCTTAAAGACAATATCAGATTTTCTGAGATTTTATAGTGAAGAATTCAGAGATGAGATAGCATTCTGGCAAGAGTGTCTAAACTAAGCGCCAAGTCCTTAATGGTCCTCGGTTCATATTTTTGTACATTGACTGCACTTTTCTCATCATCCCCAGCTGTAAATCATGCTTGAATGAGCAATGTTTTATTATGAATAACCTGGGTGATCCATCCATTCTGAGAGTGGAATAACTTCAACAAGAAACAAGATGCATACCATGGACAAGCCACAAAACTGTGCTGAAATGATGAGTATTTTGCTCTACAGGCATCTATGCACATCTCTTACTACAAAATACAATACAAAGTCCTCAAGTGCTGTTGTTCTTGACTTTTGAGTTTTTTCAAGAATGTTGAGATTCATCAAAAATGGTGAATTTTGTGATTTCGCACACCATAAAGCTATAGGCTTTCTCAATTATGGATATAAGACTTAGATTTTCTGGGTAGGTCTACCTACGAGGGTACTCAACAGGGCCCGTGTTCTCAATAGACTGTATTGGGGCTGGGTGTTGAGATAAAAAGTGCTCAAGGATTGTCACTCTGAAAGTCACTGAAAAGCACATGACGTGCGTCGAAACTGAACTGGGAGTATCTTATATATCCGAGTGAACTGTCTTCCGTCCCGGTGCCTTTTCCGTCCCGGTGCCTTTCTGAATCATTTGGACTTAGAAACTCTCAGCCCGAATGATCTTTTTGAACTCTTCATTAACCGCAAGTAAGTAAGACTAGTACTAAGGCGCGGGGAGCTGCAGCCCGAATGATCATTGTCCACAGGATACCAGGTTGTTTGAGGACGTCTTGATGGTCATCTCACGATACAAAAAAGTCTGTCCGGAGAAGTTCACTTAGACACATAATTGGATTGAATATTAAATATCTGTCAGTGGTTATATATAAACCCCAGCATAGAGGCTTGCAGTACCTGTGTTAGAATTAGAACTTGAAGTCATCCTTCAAGTGTTTATGACGTTCAGTCTGCGTTCACTGGTCCGGGAGCGCTCCAAGAATCACCAAAAGATATAAGTATATAAGCCTGAGGTAACTTGGTTGGTACTGAATATTGAACCTCCACAACCACTGAATCAAAACAATACGATGACCAGTCATTCAGAGTACACAAAGACCGAGCAGGTAGTCGGAAGACCCAGAACGACGTCGCACAATAGGATGGACGATTACGTGAAGAACCCTCCCGACGTACGTCCTGGTACGCCCCGCAGTGAAAATAGTGAATACTAACACCGTATTGGAATAGAAATTTGTCTCCGGAATCGTTGAAAAACGCTGAGAAGGCCATCCGGGATTCTGAAGCTTACGAAGACAGATTGAACAATGATAAGCATGAAAGACAATATCGTGCTGAGACCAAGGTAGGTATTATTGGCTAATATCCAGTACTGATTAATAACAATAATTCCACTGCAGAAACATACCGGTGGTCGTCTGGGGGCTTTGGGTGATGCAGAAGAGGGCGGTATCCCCCAGGTCCAGGATCGGCAAGACAGAGAGGTTAGTGGAATGGTAGATCGCGCAGGCGTAGTTATTCACAACGAAAAGGAGCTGGGTAGGCCTGTGAGGAATGATGTGGAGGCGTCGCTCCTGACCTCACTCCAGCGTTGAGACGGGATTTTGAATAAATGTAATTTCATCGTAGTCTAGAATGCAAATATTTTGTTGATCTCCAATTTCTTCTTCGTTGCTTTTACAAGTTTGTTATCTATTACGTTACACTTCCTAGAAGCACGTCAGTACTGTGCCAGTGATGGGCAAGCAAAGAACATACTGTCTGCAGCCACTGTAACGATAAAGCCCATACAGGAGGTAAACAATGAACACTGATGAACATCAAGTGCTTACTTAATCGCCCTTCAAAAAAAACCAGTTACTTGTAGCCACCATCCTCGAAGGTTTCACGCCTGCATCATTTGTCGTGGATCTGTCTACAGCTTATAAGGCAGCTTGAACATTTCCAGTGCAGTTCTGGCCAAATATTTGATCTTACAGCATATTCTTACACGTTAATCAAGATGGATCCAGAATACCAGGTGCCACCACAAGAATCCGGGCCTCAGCCTCATCCTTATCTTCATGAACCTTTATTGTACATCACTAATCTTCCTGCAAATGTCACTGACGACGCTATTGGAATGGCATTTATGACTTGCGCCCCGTTCAGACCCAAAATTATCAGAGATACAGCTAGTCCAATGTTTTCTGGCACCATCGAGTTCAAATTTCTCGAGAAAGGTGCGAATTGCTGTTCTTATCGGCTAGATCAACACTGACCTTCACGTTCGTCAGCCGAGAAAGCATTAGCCACGCTTCAATCGCGTCCTCTGCCAGATGTACCAGGTGTACTTCTCGTGTTATCGCCTTACCCGCCGACAAACCCTCCCACACCTCTACCTCCACCATCTGCGCTTCCCAGGCTGGTCAAACACCTTCCAGTAGGCTTTAGCGACTCCGCTCTATTTGATCTCTTTCGACCTTACGGTGCTCTCGCGTCCGTTCGAATCCCAACGCATTTTGGGCCTGATACCGGCATGATCGAGTTTTGGAACGAGGATGACGCGCGGAGCGCCGAAGAGGCCATGCACTGCGCTGATATCGAAGGTCAGAACATCGCTGTTCAGGCTTACCAGCCACGGAGAACTGCTAGTGGAACTATCAACGACTTTAACACGAATGCCCCGGCCTTCGTACCTTCAGGACCAGTGTTCGGTTACTCAAGTCCGGCTGCGACGTATTCTCCTCCTCGTCCGCACTACAGTCCTAGGAGTCCCGTGTCGCCTATCCCTCATGGTGGTCCTCAATTTGTCCATGGACCTGGACAGCAGGTGCAACTCGCTCCAATGGCTGGTCCCGGCTCGAATAGCCATAGCGGGTTAATCGATCCATGTAACCTGTTCTGCAAGAACTTGGACCCAGAAATCGACTCGAATGCCCTATTCTCTCATTTCCGTCAGGTGTGTCTGTCGTGGCTCCCTCGTAGTGTCAAGTCTCTTTCCTAATTGAAACTTCCAGTTTGGGCAAATTGTTAGGTGAGTATATCCGTCCAGTATCTTGAAATGGAGCCGAACTCTCTGGTATCAGTGCTCGTGTGATGCGTAACGAGGCCGGTGAAAGTCGAGGCTTTGGCTTTGTATCATTCCAAATGCCAGATCAAGGTGTGCTGAACATCTTTCGCCATAATGCTCAAATTCACATTTCGTCGTAGCGGCTGCTGCCATGCACGCAATGAATGGTATCACCTTAGGGTCCAAACAGGTTGTTGTCCGACTACATGAGCCCAAACAGCTGCGTCAGGAAAAACTTGCCGCCAGATTCGGCGGTGGAGGTAATGGGCATCCTAGAACAGCGAGTGGAGCCACTAGCCCTACTGCCAGTGAGGGTGGGGACAGCTATGGCGCTGGATGGGGAAGCCCAAGTCCAAGAAATAGAACTTTAGGTCTAGGGAATTTAGGCGGTTCTCCTGGCTATGGCACTGAGAGAGATAGAGGAAGAAGAGGAAGCGGAAGCTATTACAACGTAACAAATTTTTCTTTTGGTTGAGAACAGAATATTGAACTTTCAGAACAGGCCGCTCTGACTGGAACACTGAACCTTCCTATGCGTTACGACGACCTGGCTGCTCTATCTCCGGTCGTACGCAAAGAAGTTCTTACTGGCGAACTCAGCAGACGCGTCAAATCCCTCGGCAGCGTTGCTCCCGCCGACGTCGCGAGTATCGTCGACGGTCTAGTTAATGTGTCACTGAGCGAAATTGTTCAAGCAATCGATGACCCAGAAAAGCTCGCGAACCAGGTTGATAAGCTAAGAATTTCACGGAATTTATCTGCATCGACCTCTCCGTCTCCGAATTCCAACTCACAGAGCCCGGCGCGCTCAGCTACCGCATCGCAGGACTCACGCCTCCTTGATCCTAATGCTCTTGCGGCTACCGCCAGTGCGCCTGAGCATCCCTCCACACCCATCTCGGTGAATGCTTCCTTGTCAACACCACCGCGTACCTCCTCCCCATCAGGCTCCCTTCCACCAACGTCGGAACGCGATCGTATTGCTGCCGCTGTAGCAAAATTCGAAAATTCTCCGTCAGAGAAACAAGAACAGCTCACAGAGCTTTTGATGAGTCTTCCCAAAAGAGAACGCGCGCTTTGTCTGTTCAACATGGAGGTGTTCCGTGCAAAGCTTGCGGATGCCAGGCTGGTGTTGGAGAGTATGGAAGAGGAGGAGGAGGAAACCAATGCGACCTCTGTTGCCACAGCAGCTGCCGTTCCTCCGTCTACGCCACAAAACAAGAAGACTTCATCATATTCTACAATGGAAAGATCTCCTCAGACACCTGACCTCTCCTCTCGCGGCCCTAGTGCCACTTCTTCACCTCTCCCTGCCACCCCCGCCGCCGGAACTCCCACAGGAGCAGGAAATACATACACAATCGCAGCGCTCGCCAAGCTTCCTGCCAAAGAGGTTCTCAAAATTGTGAGGTCCTCCTCCGTGATCTTACCTGTGGACATGTCCAAAGCCGACCCGCTTGTGGTGCAGGCTACGGATGAATTTGTTGATGGATTGATGGATAAGGCCCCCCAAATGCAGAAGCAGCTACTAGGTGAGAAACTGTTCAGGGTCGTCAAGAGCTTTGGAATCAAAGGAGCAGTGAGTTTTTTTTTTCGTTATGACCACTGATATTGCACGTTTAACCACCTTCCTACGAAGCCCAAAATTACTGTTACTCTTTTGGACCAGGAGGACCTGCGCTCTCTCGCGCATCTGATGAACAGCTATCCTGCGGTGTTGAAAGATAAAGCCCAGGCTCTCGTCGTTTCCAAGTAACATGATCGGCTGCAGCCTGCATCCACCATTCCAACTTCTTAATATATTTTCTTTTATTTAGCTTTTCTATACATTATTACAGAAAACATCCAGGTTGTGCTGTTTTTGAGTAATTGTTTCTTGGGTGTTTGTGTTTACTCCAACATACAAACCGTCTCACTCACACGTCATCATATCCATCCATTTGTTCGCTATACTCTTTCAGATTGTTCTAACCTCTATTACTGCTTCTTCATCTTTTCTCTCGGATTCACAACTCGCATACTTTTTCTTTTTACCCGGTCGTCCGATTTTATTTTCTGTCTATCGTTTCATCACTTCTACCTCTCAATGGCATTGTTTTCTCTGTTTCCTCGTCGCTGTTCCTTTTCTCTCGGTCTGTTCTATCCTTTTCTATCGTAACTCCTAAATTTTCTCGGCTTTCCCCTGCCCCTTCATTAGTTCTTTTGAATTCTTCCTTGTTCTATCGATCTTTCCATTGTTTTTACTTAACGATTTTACGAAACCTTACGATTTTATCTGACTTGAATCGGTTTTCAATTGTGATTTAAGTATCCTGCACCCCATTTAGCTCAGTCATCAGACATCGTATTAACGTGCGTTAGAATAAACGGCTAATCAACCTCAGATTGTCCCCATCCTTTACAATCGTGCGTCAGCGTAAGTTATTGCAGTTTTTTCATGTAATTACTTCCGTTCGTTAGCGTTCTTTATGCTCCGGTTTTACCATAACAGAAACTCACGATCCGACATCTCTCGATTTTAACATCCATAGGTTCAAATCGGATAATCATCCGGGTAATTGGGAATAATGGGGGTTGAAATCGTTGCATTGCTCTTTAAGGTAACAGCAGACCCCAAGAGGACTACTTTATAAACCCCGGAACATTCAAGTGAGATCCCACAACCTGACCAGTATGGCCGTTCCAGAAAGTATGACTACTCTCAACCTGAGTGGCAAATTTTCAATCGTACGCATACATCTTTTCATGTCCTTTGCTGAGTTTACCTTCACCGTCATAGAACAAAACGCTGAGCCATCCCCCCGAAGAGATCTTGGAGCTTCAAGGTGTGGCCATGCTCAAACGCAAAGCCATGGGCGCCGCTACACTCACAGTTAACATGAAGCATTACAAGAACGACAGTGGGAAGGAATGTCTCAGCCTCGAGCAAACCATTGCAGGCTTAGACCTAGGGGTGCCAGAGGAGAAAGTCCTTGACTGGGTAGAGCAGACCAGAGACACGAAGCTGATCGGCACCGTGGTGACGAAAGCCAAGAGGGTAAAAGTCGACGAAGTCGAGAATGCCTACCTGAAAGAGGGATGGAGCGCTGATACTTTGGAGAATGGATGTATCATGGTTCATGTCACTCCCGAGGGAAAGGATAGCTGGTCTGCTGAACAGGTTCGTCAAATCCAACGTTGTTCTCCGTTAAATTTTCACCTTGCGCGGTTCTAGACTTGGGGCATCGGCGAGGTGAAGGGCGAGAGACGCCATGTCAGACGCATTGCTTTCACTGGACCCGACAAGAAGCTCGAGCACCAGTTTGTATATGACTACCGTGAGCGTTCCCTTCGTTGAGGAGAAAAGTTGTTTTACTCACCTTTTCAACGAATAGTTGGAGAGAATTAAGATTTACTGGTACAATAACGCGTAACTATGAATGTTCTTTGATGTAGATGCGTGATACATACATACAAGCTGTGAACTCTCGTTGACCTGGCCGCAGAATCAAGGAGCGAATAAAGCCAACCCATGAATTCTAGTAGTAAAGTATGTGAAGTACAGAAAACTTTAGCAAAATGATAGCAAAATATTATTCATTATACCAAACACCAGATTATATGCATACATAGATGGGAGCAGACAAGATCCTCGAATTCGACATCCAAAACAAACTAAAGAAAAAATTAATTGGAGGAAATGTATACCTAGATGGCAGTGTGTTATGGAGCCCATTCTGCACTCATCTCCTAAATCCAGATTTAGTATAGATCTTTGAAGGACCCGAAGGAGTGTAAAGGAATTACGGTCACATACTAAAGGTCTCAAGCTAGACAACTACGAAGTAGCTCAAGGTCATTGCATTATTACTGAGTATGAAAGATACAGACCTGTGGATCCTGAGTTTCGTCCATATTCAATTGCCCTTCATCAAGAGGTTGATCACTCGCTTGGGAAGGGTGTTTTTGTTTCCATTTTGCTAGCTGCTTCTTGTACTTTAGTGTCTCCTTGTGGTAAGTATTCACTATGGCGTGGTGGATTCGACGACTAGTTTCATGACTTGCTTGTGAGCTCGAAGTGAATGAGGGAGGAGGAAGAATTAACCCAAGATTATCCATCATCGTAGCTAGTCTGGGATGAGGATTTTTCTCTGGAAATGCAATCTTCACTTAGTCTTACATGCAATCTGAGACAGAATAAGTAACAAACGTAGTAAATCCACCAAGGTCTTGGTTAGCGTGCCCTGATCCTCAGATTCCCAAGCCCTTTGAGCGTCCGTACATGCTGACAGAGCAATCTTTCGAGAGATGCCCATTGCAAGGCAAATTTGAACTTTCCAACGACTTCGCTTGTACAAATTTACTCACCACCAATGGTCCATCATAGATATACTCATCCCGATCATGGCAATCTCCATCACAAAATTGAATCGGACTGGCACATCTAGGAATCGGGATATCAAGTGACCCTAGTCGAGTAGGTTTCCGCAGTGGAACTGAGTGTTTCTGCGTCGTAGTAGCAGGTTGAATCTGCGTTTGTACAACTAAATTTGAGTTGTTGTATGGGCTGGTGTTTCGCCTTCGAAGAAAATTCAGGCTATTACTGACAGCGCTGATGCTCAATGTAGTGCGAGTTTTTCGCAGTATGCGCCAAACTTTCGCAGAAGTAGCAGTAGGTGTTCGGGAGGGGAAGGCTTGATTGTTCTCGACGTTCACAGTCCTCCTCAATGATATTGGGAGAGTAGTCTTAGACTGAGTGAATTGAGTGTCATTGGTGCGTAGATTTTCGTAAACAGCCAAACCCTGTTGACCTGTAGAGTATACGAATGAACAACGAAAGTGATTCAACGATGTGATTCAATTCATACTTGTTTGTTTGCCATTGTTATTTCGCAGAGAGTGTTTTTCTTTCAGATGGAACTGAGGAAGGAAAGGAACTTTGGCCCTACGACGGTTACAGCGCCAATGATCGAGATCTAGACTCTAAAGTATGAATGTGGTTGGACGGCCTATATATACAAGAATCACCTAGCAAGGTTCCAGAGTGGCAAGCATCAAAGACAGCCTAGGGGGAAATCCGGTGAGATCGTGTTGTAGTATTATTATACCCAGAATGTGGCATCTCACAGTCAGTTTACATTGCGCTGGTAAACTTTCGACTAGAATCTCCCTGAGCATCTGGGAAGCAGATCAACTTCAATTGTGAGCATTAATTGAAGGCATGCGTACATCATCCTGAATCGCATTCTCCACTCCATCACAATCGCATGGTACAATAACTGGTTTGAGTTCGGTTTGAGCTTCATTGATGACCTGGGAAATGCATAAGGAACATTGGACGCACATTCATCAAGGCCGTCCTCTTCTTTAGGATCGTCGGTTGTTTGCTGCTCGACATGCCCGGCGTCTTGAGAGAGCTGGCGTATCAGGGCAGTAATAGGAACGATATCGTATCATACATACAGTAAAAGAACAGATGATCTCGAGGTTGGGCATCTTCAACAAGGGCGTGCAACTCTCTAAGCTTGAAGAACGGGATTAAAACACGTTGGTCGTAGTAAGAAAAAGTGATCCGCTCACAATATTCTCCCGAGTCGGATGTCGATCCTTAGGATGAGTATCGTGGCAATCAAGCAACGTAATGATATCTCTCTCTTGATATTGGTATGTGGCTGGTCAATCGAACGAAGGATTGAGTAACAATTCTTTGGAAGTCGCTTTACGATTGCCGCACCGATGAGCAGATTTTTCATTGCTCTCACATCTTTGTGTGTTCCAGGGAGTTTTTCAGCCTGGGGTTGTAAGGTCTCCTTCACCCCGATCAAGAGAGCTTTTCTCGTGAGCGGCATGTCCGTTTCTCGTCTATTTGTTGCATCTTCCGAGTTTATTATAAGGTCCTGAGGTCGGGACCGGGATGTGTGTGTATGTCGTGGCATTGGGTAGCAGTGAGATATCCTGGTTTCGCTTTGAGTCACAGATTATATGGCTAGTTTAGCACAGCTATTAGCAAACTGTGATGGGCATCCCGATAAAGAGGATTCCTGTGGACGAAAGCTATGGAAGCGAAACGAGGCAGCGAATGTCAAAAACATGATTGATGAGGAAAAAAAACGCCCAGGCACGCGCCTAACAATGAATAAGTAGGGCCAAACGGTGTCGAGGAATTCCACAACTGACTGGGTGAGTAGAAGGAACGATCGCACATCATATCAATTTTTGCGCAAAGTCATTGGTCAAAACTGGTCAAAGCTGTTGATATCGATTCTATTTGGGCAACAATCATTTACTACTTGAACATATGATAACTACAGAGATATTACAACGATGAATACAATATTTGAGGTAGGCATGAAATCATAACGTATAAACATTAAGAGCGTCGTCAGTTGAGTGCGAACATAAGATAGAGATTAATGTTTGTAAAACTTCAGGTACCAATTTTACTGGAGGTAGCGACTGGAGAATTGGAAGCGGCCTTGGAGTAAAGGCTCAAGAAGTACGATCCTCCGCACATTTGCGAAGAATCCCCACCGCATTTGTCGTTACAATTGCTCGAAGCTACAACGGTGCCAGTAGCTCCGTTGTTTGTGATCGTATTGCCACAATAACCTATTTTGATAGCGTTAGTTGGGATGCTGAACGGAGACATACTCAGGTTGTTGACTTACATTGGGTGCTGCGCCGTCGAAATTTTACATTAGGTGCGTGAATTGAAGCAATAGAAATATTACTCACCTATATTCGGTACCGGAATATACATATCCTGCACAAAACGTCTGGCACTTAGCGGGAGTCATCGAGCTGACCGTATAGTTTGCCCCAGTAAGAGCGCGACGAGTCCCAGTTGTCCCTTCTGCGACACATCCCACATAAGAGAATGAGGCAGAAGCATTTGGGGCAGTTGAAGAAGTGGAAGTACTGCTGGTACTACTTTTGGTGGTGCTGGAACTAATACTTGTGCTGGTGCTTGTCGTACTTCTACTGGTGCTGGTGCTTGTTGTACTTCTATTGATGCTGGTGCTACTGGTGATGGAAGCAATGAGAACCCGATTTGGAGTACAGATTCAAGTAATAACTTCCTCCACATGATTGGGACGAGTCTCCACCGCACTTGGAGTTGCAATTGCTTGACGCTACCACGGTCCCAGTTGCTCCGTTGTTCGTGATCGAATTACCGCAATAACCTATTGGATTGCATGAGAAAATATGGCAAATTGAAAGGCAAGCATCTACTAACATTGTGTACTTGATATCGTTGAAAACAGAGCTCAGTATGATTACCATATGATGCGTGCAAATGCTTACCTGTACTCAGTACCTGCGTATGTATAACTTGCACAGAAGGATTGACATTTAGCCGGAGTCATTGCACTGTTCGTATAATTGGCACCAGTCAGAGCACGGCGCGTACCCGTCGTACCCTCGGCAACGCATCCCACAGAAGTGAACGGAGTGGAAGAACTTGTTGCTGTCGCACTCGTGCTTGACGTAGTGGAGGTTGAGATGCTGCTGGAGGTACCAGTCACCGCAATAGTCGCTGTCTCCGCTCCAACAAAGACGTTGTAGTTATACTGTGACGGAGTAGCAACCACGCTGAATCCAGTGGGAGACGCGTTGATGACAGTCGTCGAGCCTTTGACCATCTTGATGCCGACTGTACCGACAGCAAGCGGGAGCTTTAGTTTGTTGACGCCGGAGGCGAGGTTTGAGAAAGTCTGCGTGGAACTACCGAGTGTGAGGGTGACTGTACACGTCGAGGAACAGAAAGCGGCAGCCCATAGATAATCCTAATAAGGAAATTTTCAATACATGGTATGAACGACGATATCATCACACCAACATCAGCCCAATTGTAGCCATTGGGTCTTCCAAGCGAATCACCAGTCGCTGTAGCTAGCGCGGGATGTGGCCGGCTCCACCAGTACACTACATCTTGCTAAGAGAAGAAATAATCGTAAGTCTGCAATTGTTCAGCCGAAATGTAACTTACAGTGATGGTTGGGTAGGCTCCAGTTTTGTATGCAGTGATGTAATATTTCGAAAGAGATATCCAAGCCGTATGTGGGTAATTTTGAGCCCAGTAAGTGCCTGATGGATGGCGATGAGTTGTTGGGGTACAATTTGGGTTCTGGACTTTGCTTACCAGCAGGTTGTGCTCCCTCGAAAGGACCAAAACTAAGACAAATGAGAATGTGCACGATAAGCTTACACGGTGACATACTAGTCGGATTCGCCGTAATCATTCCTGTCAGAGAGGTTTAATTAGCCACTGAGGATACCACTAGTAGGCGGCGATTTACCAAGTGACCATTTCGACAAAGGTCAGTTGATCGCGCAGTTGGAAAAGCTCATCCCACCGGTTGATTATAAGCCAATCGTCGCCACGCAGATAGAAGTTCTTCGAGCTGAGGTGCGTGCTACAAGGGGGAATTTCGTGTGAATATACGTCAAAGGTGAGATAGACAAATAACCTACAAGAACCAACCACTAATAGTGGTGGCATACCGACCGGCGCCAAGTTGCTGAATGTCTAAATTTCAAAATGAATAAGGGATATAAATTCGACTGAAAAAATGACGCTTGACAGTATTGATCGTCAGTAGTCTGTGAAAATCGATTCAATATACAAAGGGTATAAAGTGGAGAATGCTCACGTTCTTATCCCAATCGCCTTGTGGCCAAGCACATCCCCAGCTAAACAAGTGACATGATTAGAAAATGTCTCACTCAAACTTTTTAATCGCCTACCAATACCAAGAGTCCAAAAAGGCCCAATCAGTTTTGAAGGTGTTCTCCGAATCCCAGAAGAAAGGCATCAGATATCCGTTGGTGTTAGCTTTGACCGTTTTCCAGTTGGCGACTCCCAAGCAATCATAACCACCACCATAGGTGGAAATCATGGGTTTCCCGTTGACAGTGAATTGAGCGGGATACTTGGCGAAATAGTTTGTCCAGTTGGTAGTTGCGTAACCATTGTCGCAAACGAAGGAGGTGTAGTCAAAGGAAATGAACATCTTCAAGCCAGTTCCTGAGGCCGCGGCAGCGTTGTAAGCGTCGACAACGCGGTCCCATTGCCACGTATCACTGCCTATGTTGAGTGCGACAGCATCTCTGCGGAAAAAATGGGTTACGGAACAAACGCGCAGATAAAAAATCACGCACACGCCCATGGCCGATATCTGTTGGACGTCACTCAGCCAGTTATTATACACATACGGGTATCTGCGAGTACAACAACTGTGAGCAGCATTAAGAGAGGAAATCGCAACGAATTTACGTGTCTGCGCAGGAAGAGGAGATTTGTCAGCGATCTGTAAGTTAAGAAAAAACGAACGAAGGCGTACTTCCAACAATCTATAACAATACGATTGTCAGAGAGACATCAGAACGCGAGACCGCTGACCATACGTACATGATGCATAAATACATATTTCGTTCCATCTCTCTTTGTTAGAGGCTCTGGCGAGAATGTGTCGCGTTGCAGCGACAAATCTATAATGCCTTTGCGTTGAAAATCGTCCTGATCTTGTCGTAAAGCAATCCCTGGATCGCGGCGAATATTTCGAGCTAAAGCTGGAAGGAGAAAGAAGATATGAAAGAGCGGGAAATTTGATAGGGCGAGCATGTTGCTCGGATAGCGATGTGGAAATAGTAATGTAAGGGCCTTCGCGGAGAAAGAAACGCGCAATCGCGAAAAAGCTTATTTATAGGCTCAATGACAGACTACTTTGTCCCAGTTTGACAACATATAGGAGCCTTCTACGAGACGCGCCTGCAATCGTCAGCGGCCAGGACAATTGTTGGCGCCTAATGCATGTTCTGTCGGAGAATCATATACTGCAGCTGGGAGGCATGTCGAACTGCTTTCCATATAGCAGTAAACGACGGCTTTAGCTTCAGCTCTGATAATTTCGAAAGATGTACTAGCTAGGACGTACAACTCTGCCAGTGATCACATGTTGGTACCTCCAGGAGAGTCTGAGATATATGCCCTTCATTACTCGAGATCTCAACCGTTGAACCTGAATTCGTTACTCGAGGGAAAATATAGACATGCATGTTGGAGACTGTGGAATCGTGGAGAACTGAAGAGTCTCAGTCAACTGAAATGGAGAGCATCAATTTGAATGTGGGAATCTCTGATTGATTGTCTCGTTTCGTCTAAGACAACGTCAACTCTCAGAGTCTAAATGGTCCATGCGTCCTGTAAGTTTTACCAGTTCAAGCAAATATGTTCGATGAACCCCGTTGCTTATATCTAGTCTATCGAAGCACTGATAAATTAGCTCGGGGTCTTGCGGCCAACGTTTCAAGAGCCAAGGAGAGCCAGGGTCCTCACTTGTCACGGTGTGAATCGAGTTTTTCCGTACACATCCAGACACAATCGTACACGCACACAGTAATGAATCGGAAGTGAGCTTGACGGTACACAATCCCCTCGAGCTTTATGTTCCTAGTATGTTGCCAGTGAGAAGAATAAACTGGTCTATGCGAAAGCTTCACAAGGCAGGCCTGTTAGTTGCAGATAACTTGTTATAGTTACCTCAACATTCGAGGCAATGGTGATAATAGCTGATACTTTGCTCACTGTTCGCTGTCCTGCTAAACAACAACATCATGAACTTCAGCCTAACTTAGCCTCATCGATCCTCATCGGTCGCTTACAAAGATTCTCCGCTCGCTTGTAATAGCTCCATCATGATTGGTGTTGGATATTCTATTCATCTCAAAACGACTATCCTAAAATATCCTACCGGTGTACGCTCATTCCAGGTGTCATTTAGTCCTGACAGGTTTTAAAGACGGGCGGTAAACTCACGACATCGTGAGCTTTCCTTTGCCTTCCCCATCCCAATGATACCAGAATCTATCAGCGCAACAAATAGCAATTTGAAAGGTATATGCCCTTCGAACGTAGCGGCGACCCAGAAAGTAAGGAATGTTAAGATCAGCCCAAGCACCAAGCAGATCGTCTACCAAGTCGTTCCGTTCTACAAAGGGCCTGAACGGATGACATCGGAAATATGGCTTGCAGATACAGACATCGCAGGCAGTGCTCGCCGCCTCACTGATGGCCTGTTCAACGATAGAGCAGCAGTATTCCACCCCGATGGAAACAGTGTTATCTTCGTTTCAGACAGGACGCAGCCGGGTAAAGCCAAGGATTTGTATCAGCTCTTCCTATCCGATACAGAGGACGCCCGCGATCCTCGATTTTTGAATTTAGGAAGAAGTGTACAAGAATTCGAGATTTCCCCGGACGGTCAGTACATCGCTTATTCTAGCATTCGCCATTCTTTCGCCGAGTCCACCGCATGCGATGCAAAGGTGTACGGGTTCCAGAAATCACCGTTGGGCCTCTGGATATACTCGTTCGTCACTGCTGAATCTCGTCTTGTTGACGGTATTGATGGCGTTTGTCATATCGAATCATTCACATGGAGTCCAGACGGCTTCGAACTTTTGTACCGTTTACGCAAGGGAAAGGAGGCTGAATATTCAGAACAGGAGATCCTTGTACAGAGAATCTCAGTCAAACCGGAGTCTCGTCCAATGACCCTTGGGACATATCCTCGTTCTCCTTCTGGTTCAAATATCTGGCTGGGCTCTGGTCATATTGTGGGTCTGCAAAGCTACGAGCCATGTAACTCTCTCGATGCGCGGGCTCTCTTCATCCACGACATATCGTCAGGAAAGCCCAAAGCGACTAAGAGACTGTATGGAGATTTTGAGGACGCGGTCCGTATTGTTGATATGCAGTCCAAATATTACTCGAACAGACATGGCGGAAGCGGAATGATCGCAGTAGAGGTCTGCTCAGACGTGGATACTCATATTGATGCAGTTTATCTCCACCGAAATAACTCAACGCCAAAAGATAACTATCTGTTCGCTGTACTCCCGTTATTCCGCACGCAAGGCGATGCTATCTGGTTCGGGGCTTGGGACGCTAAATATGCGTATGATTCTGCTACTGACAAAACCACTGTCGTAGTTGCAGCAGTGCTTAGCTCTGGGATTCTCAACGAGCCTCCAAACGTTTGGTCCGTCAGAATTGACGAAAACATGGAGACCAGAGGTACACCACCGTCCCGTGCTGTGACATCTGATGACCGACTTGAATACGATGTGCCGAACTGGTATTATCCTTCCTTGACCTCCGTTCGCTACAAACTTTCTTCGCATCTCGACTGGCTCAAGAATTCTGCACCTCTTCGCACGGAAGTGATCCACTGGCAGGCAGAGGATGGCACCCGATTGAGTGGCGTAGTAAGGTCGTCTATGTCTGCCGTAAATCGACCTCTTCCTACAGTTCTGTTCATCCATGGAGGACCCTATCGGTAGGTCAATCATCTCTCGTATAAAATTAATAATTGCGTCGTTAACCTTTTTGACGTGGTGAGCAAGTCGTGACATACCTGGTACGTTGAAAATCCGAATAATCCTGGAATAGTAATCTATGGCAGTGACTGATGTTACTTTCATGTAATGGCCAGACTATATGCCGTACTTCTGTAATTGGCGGGAACTTCTGGCGAGTGCCGGATACCTTGTTGTTTCTCCAAATTATAGAGGCAGTAAGTGGTATTCTTTTTGAATCAATACCAATAACTTAATCAAATCTCAGGTCAAGGTCGGGGTCATGCCTTTGCGTTTGCTGCTAACCAAGGAATTGGGGTGTACGATTGGCCCGATTGTGAGAGTATGGTCGACGAAGTGATACGTCGCGGCTGGGCAGATCCAACCAGATTGGCTGTGGCTGGATGGAGTCACGGTAACGTTATAATTCGCCAGTATATGATTAATCTAGCACACTCACTGGGGTTTTGTCAGGCGGATCCCTCACTGCATGGGGTGTAACTTTGACGAAGGACCGTTTCAAAGCGGCCGTCGTTGGGGCCGGGGCCTCCAACTGGGAGGGCATGGTAATGGAATCTGGATCTCCGGAGCTCGAGGTAACCATAAAAATCCTCTACAAGCTTCGACATTTTGCTTAATGCTAGATCGAATATTTCCAGAAAGCGATAAGTCAGAGAGATCCTTGGGACGGGGAGCTTCACAAACGAAATCTCAGCCCCATTCATAGAGTTGATGGGGTCTCAACTGCTGTATTAATTCTTCATGGTGACAGAGACGAACGCGTGCCAGTTGGCCAAGCTATCGGATTGTACAGAGGGCTTCAAAGAAAAGCTAATGCAAGGGGAAAACGAGGCACTGAACTCGTTATTTATCCTAGGGAGCCCCATGGGTGAGAGTAAAATTCCTTCACTTGGAAAACGCTGTTGACCGAATTGTTGCCTCGTAGGTTTTTGGAAAGAGGACACGCTGAAAATGGTAAGTTCTAGATTTTTTAGATTTCCAGATACGAAGTGCAATCCTGATGCTTTCCTATTTTTTGACAGTCATGGAAAGGGTCATTCGACATTTTGACAAGTGGCTATGACTAAGTAAAATATCTATAGTGTCAACAAGCTAAGGAATAGATGAAGAGTGGGGCTACACTGCGTTAAAAAAAAAGTCGTCGTGCTACATGGAAAGTACATACTATCATATCCTACATCATACATCATAATACAACAAGTTACAACAAGAGTTATATATGCTCAGACACAAGGAGTATGCTTGTTCGTGCTATAAAGTTAGAAGAAAAGAGAAAATTCGATGCATAAGAAAAAGGCTTTAATTATGCAGCATGCCGTCCAATTGAGCAAGATCCTCCTTAGCACTCATAAGGGCCTCCTGATAACCAAAAGTAATTCAAAAATAAACCATTGTGATAGAAGTACTGGGCTTACCGCAACCATGGTTTGTCGGTTCTCGTCACGAATCTCCTTCAAACGACTCTCATAAGTTGCTAATAACTCTCCATACTCGTCCCTTTTTCTCTGATCACCTTGCATTGCAGTCCGTATAACTGCTCTTAGAACATAAATTCCAGCGACCCATTCAACTTCGTCTTCCTCCCACACCGCGTCGCGCGCGGTCATCTCAGAGAAAGCCCTGCTCATGGCATACGAATAACCACTATCATCAGCGTGTCCGGAATGTTCCATATTTAGCATCCCGAGCTCTAGTGCTGCTGCGTGTATACGAGCCCATTGTATATGATCCTTTTTACGTTGTCGATCATTGGCCAATCGTTGCATTTCGTCCGATATAGAATAAGAAGAAGAAACAGAAAAACATGGTGCAGACGGACTTGGAAACCAGATGGAGTTCTTCCGAATTTGCATCTGCAAAGCTCTCGGTCCGGCGAGAGGACCAGACACACCAGCATGAATGATGGAGGGTGGAAAAAGAGTGGACGCATCTAGAAATCTGCGCAGACAAGCACGAGGATCCCTGCTGAAGCTCAGCTCAGCGGTGACAGCTTGGAACAGAGAAGTTATAACCGGTGTCAGAGGAGTAGTAGAGGGGTTCAACATCACAAAGGACTGAATCATTGAGGCTAAACTTGAAGCGTCAATTCCCTGTGAGAAGGAATCACGAAGAGTAGAGGTTGTAATCTGAAGGTTGACTGCTAATTCCAGAGACGAGTGATGTTGGCGTGGGGACTGTTGATTGTGCGATGACTGTCGATGTGCCGACATGGGATCTAAGGGTCCTCGATGTACGCCTCCGTATTGAATTGGTGAGACTAAGACCTGTGTTGGACTTGCAGTGTCAGAATCGACAGGAGTCTGAGAGTAAGGCATTACTGTCGATGCCGCTATATCACCCGTGCTCCAGGCATTGTTTAGTGTGTTATTCAACGCGCCCTCTGAGATAGCAGTAACTAGAGTACGTCGGCAGTTCATTGTCTTCAAAGATCTGAATTCACTCACCTTTCTCCAACACCTTCTTCATTGACCTTGGCCGACCCTCTAATTTCCTCCTGGTGCGCCCAACGGTATTCTTGAACCAGTTGTAGATTTGCTATTTGGCTCCGTCAGCTCCATTGTCGCATGTAATCGTTGATGTATCCACCTCCTTGAACCTTGGTTCCGCCTCTTCCACATGAATGAACTCATTGGGTAAGCCAAAAGCAGAGATAAAATCTGCTGCTTTTTCAAGTGCGAATTTTTTAGCATCTCCTCTTATGGATCCTTGAGTCCGACGCTCAAATTCGGGTAAATGGCTTGAGTATTTCAAATTCGACAATGTCTATTAGATACTGGTCGTAAGGAAGAACATCGCTTTGAATACCTTTTTAAAAAGGCAAGCTGCTGGTCGGTGTAGGATTTGGGCAGCCGGGTTCTTTGTTGTTGTACCCTGGGATCTCCGGTAGACATTTCGACACCAACGTTACAGCAGAGGTTGCGATTCCCATCAACAATCGCAAGCGAAGTCGGCTTTTGCCGGTTCCATTTTACATTTTTGGATTTCTTTTGTAAAATCCTGATTCAGAAACACAAAATGTCTTCGAGACATGAGTTGACTTGGAGTTACTTGGTTGCTGATATCAACGCGACTAAGTACCTGACATCGTTATTCTTTTTAATCCACAACCCACTCATTTTCTGTAGACTCATTCTAGCCCGAGAGTCGAAAAAACCGTCTGAAAACATTGTTGCTTCTCCTAGCTTCCCCTTTATTTGTGTTACACCAACGTTACAAGGTTTATAACTAACTTGATACTATGATAGTTTGCGATCGGGACTTTTTGCAAGATCCAAAGTTGAGCCACCTCGAGTGAATATAGACGGAAGCCCGCCCTATGGCAATTTTAGAGATCTTGTACAAACTGGTTCATCTTTCCTCGGACCCGTCGTTAAGTTTTTTTTTTCGATTCTGGGCAAATTAATCGAAAAAATATGCCTCTTGATCTCAATTCCTTACCCAAGTTGAACTTCAATCTGCTGATTTTCACGCTCTGTTGCCCCACTTGATATCATTTGAGGACTAGCGCGCAACCTTTCCATCGAAACCGAAAATCCTTGATGAATCAGCGGCGACGTTAGCTTGAAATTTGGGTAAGGTTTACTGCCATGGAATGTCGCATGAGATGTGATTTGTGAGTTGACTGCCCCCGAGCTCACTTATCAGTGTGAGCCCGCATAGAAGCGGTAGTACTAGGCTTGATAGGGACTACAAATCTCTACAAATAATACCGGCGGCGATACGATTACAGTAGATTGCAGTCCTCAAACTTTCAACGACGTCCGGGATGTCCACATTTTCTCATGTCATGTGGAACAAAAAGCAAAGAGCTCACAGCTGATACGATGAACCTTTCTAGAGGCGCATTGATCAATTATCGAAAGTGCATATTTCCCCACCACTTATTTCGTCCTACGATCATTTAGCTGGCAGGATACCTTTCCGTCTACTAGAGGGAACATTTTTCCCGTCTCCCGCCAGTCGCGGATCGAGTTTGAAGCTAGATCTTGTACTCTGCAGTGGCAAGTCCCATCTTGATTCCTATGATTGATCATGAGTACAGTCCGGGCGTTTGCCTTTGCGAATCAAGTACTTTAACCAGTTGAGTACAAATTACGCCCCCCCCCTAACTAGTCATAAATTACTTCGTCTTCGGTAGACCCTTTTTTTCAGATACGGGATGCTACGATACAGAATGTACGACTCGGTGTCTTTCGTGTATGCCTCAACTGGTGCTTCCTGTGCACGGGTGACAGATAACAAATGTATTCCGAGCCAAAGCATTTCGACATGAACAAAACAGTACTATTAAGAAGGCTTACAGGCATGGCATTGTGAGACTATTTTGAGAGTGGTATACTGCATCCGAGCTTCAAGGACAATTTCGAGTAGCATCGCACATTGGTGTGTTCACGCAGTGTTAGCCATGCGACTGACTGTAATCTTTCAAGAGTTGACTACCGTTAAGTTTCTCTGCAGCCAAACGCACCAACGCAAATATGCATGCCGGCTGGGCAAAGCTTTGTTTCTGAAGCGTATCGTATTTCTTCCCTCAGCACCTATCATGAGCATTACACGGAAATCCTAGCACGGACAATACCGTGCATAGCGGGCAACTCTCCATGTATATCAGGTAGGAATGAACCCTGGGATTTCCGATCTTTGTTTTAGTGGTCATAGGAAGACTAGAAAAATTGCTGTCTTTTTGTACATGGTACATTTACCAAATCCCTCCAGAGGTTTCGTTGTGCAAATATTGGATCTGAACGTGACGAAATGTCAGTCCGAGGTTCTCGTCGCTATTACTTGTGATATAAAGAAGAAATCCTATGGTCACACTTCCAGTCGCGAGTATTTGGCCAGTTGTGCATAGGACTTGAGTAGTGTTCCATCTGCGCATCGTATGACCAAAAACGTGGCTCCAAGGTGAGTGCAACGGAGGTACACTTATCAATATTGGAATTTTAGTTTGGCTTGAGTGGTGTACGAATAACATCATACAAAGCCAAAGAATGGGATCCATACAAATCAGTACAAATCTCAGCGAAAAAATATCTTCAATGAGTTGCATATCAATCTAGGTCGAACTCACCAGATTTTCATCTGAGCTGAGTAATCTTATAGCTGTATACGTGCAGCGTCATCGAACCCCACGAGCCTGAAGAACATGCAAGGAGCATCGGAACCCCGCATACTTTCCATGGACTTCCCGCGAACTTGAGAATATCCATAACAGCTGCACCGGGCTCGAATACCAAAATTCAAAAAAACAGGAGAACATACGGCGGTGGAACGTTCATGCTATTCTAATGATTTACTAGGTCTGTTAGTGAAGAAAAAAAGAAGTGGATTTTGTCAACCAAACAAATCTGATGCACAGCTAAAGAAGTGCCAGGGACCGAACGAAAGCTTCCATCACAATGTGGTCTGAGAAACGGATATGTTCGTGTTCCTCGATGGGATGGAGCCGATGATTGGGAATTCCAACAATCATACAAGGAAATTTGAGATTGTCCACTGCACGATTCGCCGACGGGAGAATATGTTTAGAGAGTTAAGAAGCATCCTGTGAGCTTCTAAGAATTCGAGAATTGTTTGAGTGTATGCTGGTACTATGGTCGTTTTGACATGTGAACGGTGATTGCAACCTCAAAGTGCGGCCGGCGAAGTGGGAACGCGATCCTGCACCAGGGGTTCTCCGATTTTGCGGAAGGCCAACATTAGGGCTCGAGATCATGACCGTGAAGATCAATCAGAGTTGTGAGTGTTGGAAGTTTTCAAGAATAGAACTTGGTCTATCGGCAAACAAAGGGGAAATGAGATTAACGGAAGGACAAGACGAGATGGGAAGATTTAGACAAACTCAGATATTGCGGAGTGCATGTGAGCATGGATGTTCGATGTGAGTTGGAAGAGTCAATGATGTGTCAAAATTCGAGACGAAAGCTTGCACTAGACAGACGGAACTTCCCTAGTTGACGTGAGGCGAAGACTCCGGAATTTCTGGAGCTGGGAAGATGGCACTCGTAACGGCAGACATGTTGAAAATAGGCCCGCGTCGAAGGAGGTGCATGCACGGGCGTAAGGGGTGGAAACAATTTCTCCTAGACTTGATACAGTGGTAGTTCAAAAAGGACAAACTGAACGGCATCTCGGGAGAAGTCGAAAATTTTCAGTATCCGCGGGCCGGAACAACATCGGAGATACAATTTTGCGTTCAACACTATGTGGTACACTCTCTCAAAGAATTCTTCAGCAAGTTGTACAATGTGTCGGACGTGGTCAATACTATATCTTTCTCAGATCAATTGTTCCTACTCCTCAATTCTTGCTCTCAAAGCAGATGCGGAGATCAAGCAGGACGTATTATTTGATGAAGGTTGAAGAAGATGCCGGCAGCAATGGAATGAATACAAAGGGATATGCCACGAGTTCGTATCAACTTTCAAGTTTCTATAGCAGGATTCCCGGAAGTCCTGAGCGGGCATGAAGGTCTCTAATGCATGGGAACGCGCCGTTAAGAGGATGTCTTCGGCAGAGTTCTTGTGGTACATGCCGAATCATCGCTCACTAATGCAAAAAGAGGACGCTCGTCAAGTTGACTTGTTTCTCCACACCCATCTTTGCCCCCCCATCACTTGTTCAGAATGGGCAGAAGAAAAATTGAAATCCAACCAATCACGGTCAGTGCTCATCGCTCTCAACAACATGATCTGACTGAAACGAACTTCATGGTTCCACATTTCCTTCCCCCATTTGTACTTCACCTAACCTCGTTAATTCCTCGAATCTGGTATACTTAGCACGAACGCAATCGTATGTTAAAAACACCATCAAGTACAACTTCAATTCGCTAACTCCGAGCCCGTAGGTTCAGTGACCTTTTTAAAGGTACCTATTCTTGGCAGTGTGATAAAATTATCCCGACGCGCTATGGTCGAGCTAACACCTCAATGATAGAGGAAACACGGTCTCTTCAAGAAAGCGTATGAGCTGGGAGTGCTCTGTAGCGTCGACGTCGCAGTCATCATCTTCGGTATGCCCATACCCTATTTTTAGGTTGTGGATTAATCTCTTTTAGTAGAAGAAAAACCAGGTCACAATTTCAAGAAGCTGTACCAGTATTGCTCCTGCGATGTCCAGGACATAGTACAACGACATATAAGGGTGCGTCAGAATTGCTAGGGTCTCCACAACGGCTTTGAACGCTTTTAATATATCACAGCACGACGGCGAGAAAGATACCCGAGGGCCAGTTGACTTTGCTGGTGGGCCTAGCGCCAAGTTTGAAGATTTTGGAGAAGCCGAAGACGATGATGTAGAAGACGAAGAAGACATACGTAGGGGTGCTAAGCGTATAAAGCCCGAGGAGCTCACAATCGATGTCGACGTATGTGATTCATTTGTTCTCTGATTTGTTGCCTGACAGATATCCAGCTGGGCTACGTTCCCTCACCTCCTTCGTCAATGCACGGAATCAATCCGAATAGTCAAATTCCTTCTGATCGACACCTTCACCACCAGCATTCTTCCATAGCGCCGAACAAGAGGCTGCGGTTTACAGGAGGTAAGAATGGGCTTTTTTAATCATATTTTTCAATCCTAACTAAAGACACCCTAGATCCCCTTTCCAAAAGTCCAAGGAGTACTCAAGCATTTAGCATTTCTCCTACAAGTCAGGTCTTTGGCCGATCCCAGCAAGGATCAAACACTTATAACAACGAATTTTTCCCCGGTGCAACGACATCGCCAACTTTTCATCCGGAATCTAATTTTAATACAGCGGGCCATTCATCAAGAGACTCACGGGGGGGTCATAGCGGAGCTCTTAGTTACCCTCCACGGAGTACAGCCTATGATGCTGCGTTATACACTCCCAGTATCAGGCAGCAACACCAATCTCACACGGGCAGTGCAACGAGCGGGGAGGTTTTCAAATTCCTTGAAACGGATTCGCGTAGTCGCTCCTCGGGATCTACTGGGCATTTAGGAACAAACATCGACTGGCCGGACCATACTCATTCCGGTTATAGCTCGAATGGCCCGACAGCTAGTAAGTGCTCCGTCCGATATCGTAGGTTGTAGCCCCGAGCGCTCAATTTTACTTTCCTTGACTTAGATGCTAACCATAATACATCCCCGGAAAGCGAGAGCACATGGCTTGACTTCCTTTCAACCAGTCCCACCCATGGGAGTCATCCAGTAGCAAATGCACCTGACGCCAGTGGGAGACGAAATCCCGAATCGCTGTCCTGGGAACGCGGGCCTAGTACAAGAAGCTCTATGGGCTCACCTTTTACTCGAAACATCTCCGCAGTTGGTGATGGGACAAGAAGATCTAGATTAAGCTCCTCGGGATCAGCAGGTGAAGATGAAGCCTCTGTCTCGGGTGGGAACGGTGTTCCGAGCGGCATGGGTAATACTAGAATTCCCATTAAACTGGAAAAGGACGTTGGCGGATGAAGTGTCGGGTGCAGTTGCCTCGAACATCCCCCTTCGAATACACGATCATATCACTTAGTTCTCTTGTTCACTTTCCACATAGTTCTAAATACAGGCTGTGGCTTGGCATGGGCGGGTTTTATACTGCCAGTGCACATATATATGTATGTTTGTAAATGCTCTGCGAAAATAGATAGCGTCTTTTTTCCCATGGGAGATTCAGTAGGTGATCCTGGGGAATTTGCGCTCAGGCTGCACCTTGTTTCGAGTTAACTGTTGTATCAATCACTGCACAGTCTGACTTGATAAAGTCAGCTTTGACCTGCCCTTTTCCATCATGTACGTATAGTGACTTGGACCTGGTTAGGCCGTCTCGTAGTTTAAAAAGAGAATACATCTTCGAGAACATGACAATATTATCTGATCTCTTTCGCTGACTGAGCACGTAGCCCAAGGACCGTATCGTTACCTCGTTACCCTGCGTTTTGGCCTGTCGAATAATCATAATCTCTGTTTAGGTGGAGTATGCAGCATCTTAAGAGTTCTCCCTTCCCGTGTCATTAAACTTTTGCAGATCTCATCATCGTTGAAAGCATACGAAGGTAGACGAAAGTACCCGCTATGAACGTGTGATAACTACGTGACGACTTGCAGCCAGAATGAGATTGGGGATGAAAACATGGCTACAGCTGCGAAAAGGCAGGATCAGTGTCTTCTGAGAAACAGTCCATCATGGAATAGCATGGAATATGTCATGAAACCCGCCAATAGGAAGATGTTTTACAGTATGCATATGGCGTTACTAAACTTTAAGGTGCTAAGACACAAGGGGGACACAAGCAGTGCATCCTACAGGACCTTACAGGACATGTGCTATAAAACGTAACGCGTTACTGGTTCCATGGTTGTCTTCGTATAAGTAGCTTTGACCGAGCTCGATTTAGTCAAATTTCCCAAGGTGTGATCCTTGCACGTGATATCCACGGTCACAATGATCATGAGTCTTTGCCGGTTCGTGTTGAACGTTAAAACGTTGGACATCCACTTCGCTTGCTTGTGGATGGCAGGCGCCTTAAGCGGGCACATTCTGGACTCATATTACACTCTCAAGTCATCGCAGTTCTCTGGGCCTTTTGGCGCGGTCATGCATCCTACATTCAACAATATTGTTTCAAATCCCTCGCCCAGCGATAGCAGTCGCATAGTCACAAATGGCGCTATGTCTTTCGATCCAGATATGCACGGAAACGCGCAGCCCATGAAATTGGTCTCCGATCTTCCAGAAGACGACAATTCATTCATGAATCTCTCGAAAGCCACCTCTATAAAGATTGCCTCGTTGCAGGCCAAGCTGAATCAACAACTAGGACCTGAATATATATCGACTCGACCAGGGCCAGGAGGAGGTCCCAAGCTTGTGTATGCGGAGGGATGGAAGATTATCAACCTTGCCAACGAAGTCTTTGGCTTCAATGGCTGGAGTTCGAATTTAGTTAGTTTGACGACGGATTTCATCGACTATAATGAGGAGACCAGGAGATATTCTGTGGGCGTTACAGCTATATTACGGGTTACCCTCCGGGACGGTGTTTTTCACGAAGACATTGGTTATGGTATCTTGGAGAATTCGAAAACAAAGGGTCCGGCATTAGATAAAGTGCGTCTATCGTGCGCGATTAGTTATATCTATGCTGAATCTGACTCCCGCTGTTTAGTGCAAGAAAGAGGCCGTCACTGATGCCTTAAAACGGTCGCTGCGCAATTTTGGAAATCTCTTGGGCAACTGTCTATATGACAAGCAGTATACCAATGAAATCGTCAAAATAAAGGTCCCTCCAGTATGTCTTCCCAAGTGATTGATACTCGTATGACTCAACAGTACGGTTTTCAGCCCAAATTCGAGAAGGAAAACCTCCATCGTAGACCGGAATTCTCGACTGACATGAATAAAGCTGCACCCAGCCCAGCAACGAACAACACATCCAAGCCTGCCACATCGGGCAGTACGGCAACGAAAGTTGATACTACCGCTTCAGCAGTCAAGTCTGAACCAGCGCCCTCCAAACCAATATCTTCTATCCCTCATCACGTTCGTGAGCAGGTTCGATTGTCTCTTCAAGAATCGTCTTCATCGAGAACTACTCCAAACCCACCCAAACCAAATATTTCTGCTACCCAATCTGACATATCGTCCAATGTTACCACGCCGACAACGGGACCCTCCAACCGAGGATCTGCAATCAGACACGCCGCTATCATACATGGACTAAATACACCTATTACAACGCCTGCTGCTCTTCAACCGATTCCTCGCATACTTCCACCTCAGCAAGCACAAGATACCCCCAATCACCGCCAAGTTATGTTTGCTGATTCTCCGTTGGCGAACAAAGTGACTGCCGTAGCTAATACGCTTCCTGCACCGCCAGGCGAATCTTCGGACGACTTGGGGGCTGGCGATGATTCTTTCGCGCTTGGGTCAGAAGATGATGCTTTCTTTGCCTCAGTGGACCTAGGCAATGCTGATATGGGAAGGCCCATTGGCTTCACGGAGGGGCCAGGCAACGGAGGAAATCAAGAGCGGGGCCAACATCATCTCTCGACCTCAGCTTCACATCAGAAAAACATCCAATCTACTCATCTGAATCCAGCCTCGTCATCTTCCTCTGCCACGTCGAGTCCCGCCATGACGCACAACTCATCGAAAGTATTACCGCCACTTCATCCGCGCAAAGATGGACATCGAAACCAAATTCTTCCTCATCAAGCGCAGCGGCCTGCTCCCACTTCAAAAGGCTCAGATACCCCTGATAGACAAACTCATCCGGATGCAATATCAAGTAATACAGCTAGAGACCCAACGAAAGTTGTCGCGACTTCTACTCCTGCTCCACGTCGAATGGGAGGTTTCTCATTCCCGCCCGATTTGGCAAGTTTCGATCAAAGTCGGATCATCGTATTCTTCTGACCGGTGTTGTAGCTAAATCGGCAGCCTCAACAACCACAGCAAGGGATTGGAATGAAACGGCCGGCAGAAGCTATGAGGTTTGCATATCTCCTACATACGTCAATTTCTAACAGTTGACCTACGCTCTGACCAATCAGAACACCCGTTAACGCTGCTACGGCTTCTCGAGATCGAAGACACGCTCAGGGAATGGGATTGATGACAGCGCAGGGAGCTGGTATCACGAGACAGCAGTTTAATCAGGCTAATGCACAGGGTTTGGTATTGGACCGGGAAGAGGGAGGAGATGCTAAGAGGATGAAGTACTGATATTGTGTAGTGCGGAACGTCTTTGCGCCTCATGATCGGACCTACAAGCTTTCAGGTTAGAACAAGGTTGGAATATCAGTTGACATGCTGTACTTGACTGCTCTTGTTGTTGTTGGATATATACATAATGCAAGCATTGTCACATATGTTTTCATGGTGTCGTCTGGTCTAAGTAGTGTTGGTAGGCAAAGAGCTCGAGGTGAAGCCTGGTCGCGTTGTGTCGCGTTCCAATTAATCGGCTGGTATAAGTTGCCGTCCCGGTTTCTCGAGTCCCCGAGGTCAAGACCGAACTAGCATTTTATGGCCTGCTCTGTGCTATTCCAACCTCAACCTCGTTCCTTCCAACACACACATGGCTGCTGAAATTTCGAAATTGATTGGATATGAACTCCCTGACCGTCCTGTGAGCAAAGCATTGTCAATATCCATCGTTCGAGTAATTACAACGAATAATCTGCCAACTTAAGGTGTCATGGCTGAAGCGGGATCTTATTCTGTATGCACTTGGGATTGGGGCAAAGGATGACAGCGATGATCTCTCGTTTATTTATGGTATGCTTGACTCCGCTAATCCCTTTCATGCCTTGCGTTAACTATACCCCACAGAGCTTGGTCAGTACTTATGCATTATCCAGTATTGAGCACCGGAAATCCTGACGCACACATGCAGACCCTAATTTTTCCGCATTCCCCACGTACCCTGTGGTTTTGACCTTCAAAGGTGACAGCCAGGAGCTAAATCTATTTGCGGAGACGATGAAGTCGAGCGCGCTTCCTGGATTGCCCCCAGTAGACCTGGGTAAATCTGTAAGTCCATTCCAAACCTTCTCTCCTAAAGTCCCAACCATCTGTCTTCATGCGATGATCTACATAGGTCCATGGCTCCCAGTCCATTGAAATACTCAAGCCTCTGCCTCTTGCAAGTGGCCCTGGATGGAAGTGGAAGACAAAGTACACTGGTGTCTCGGAGAACAGTGAGTTTTCCGTTTGCTTCTCTTGCATCGCTGAATGGTTCGATGTTCTCAGAAAGTGGTGTTGTCATCACCAATGAAAATCTTCTCGTTGATCCTCAGGGGGTCCCCTATGCTAGACTCTACGTAAGATCAAGTTACCTGAGTCCCGTTCCCAGTTTGCTAGTTTGTTCAATGGCTCACTTTGGTTACGTTGATATCGATGTAGAGCTCGTCCTTCAACATCGGAATGAAGATTACTGGACAGAAGTTTGCTAAAGTGATTGCTGGTCCTCCGCAAGCAAAACCCATCCCAAAAGACAGGAAAGCTGATTGGGTGGTGAGGCAACAGAGTGCTCCTGATCAAGCTCTCTTATACCGACTTTCTGGGGATTATAACCCTCTTCACATTGGTATTTGCGTCACCTTCGTGAGAGGTTGTGTATGCGTCTAACTCTTATTCTAGACCCTCAAGTGGGGCGCGCAGCCGGATTTGGCGGCACAATCCTCCATGGTCTGGCAACCTTTGGCTTTGCAGCCCGCGCACTTCTGAATGCTATTGCATATAACGAGCCAGAATCACTCAAATTCTTCGGCGTAAGGTTCACTTCACCTGTAAAGCCTGGTGATGTTCTTGAGACGCATGCTTGGGAAGTGGGACCTGGCCCGGACGGCACTATTGAAGTGGCGTTTGTCACAAAGAATCTTACAAGTGGAAAGGTATGTTTCTCTCGGTCAGGTTGAGTGTGAAGTGTGCTGAAGCAATGTCTGCAGGATGCACTTGGGGGTGGCATTGCATACATCACGAAAGCTCAGGCTATCCTAGCCGCGTTGTAGAATTTTGGCAGTATGAAGAGAATGTACTTGTACTCAATACAACTGCTACATTGTGAGAGGTTGTTCGTTTTTGCACTTAAATAGCTTGTTTAAAACTCGATCTCGAACGACGCGAGACCTCGCGAGACGCGCCGGTTTGATTCACGATCACATGCGTGCTTCGTGATGCGTGAGCAAATCAACCGGTTCATGCATTTACCGATAACCGTACGTAGACTTTCATTAGCTTTCACTCTAACGACCAATTTTGCACCCAATGTCTTCAGAGATAGAAAGAGTAATCGGTTTTCAGCTACCTGATAGACCTGTAAGTTACCAGGTTCCTTCCACGCGATGAACAATCAATCCTGGGCCGTCAGGTAACTTGGTTCAAACGAGATTTGATACTTTACGCGCTTGGAGTCGGAGCAAAGAACACTGAAGATGACCTTCCTTTCGTCTACGGTAAGCCGACTATATTCATAACAATGGTTTGCATGTCATTGAATACACATTACAGAATTAAGTACGTAAAGCACTATGATTCCGCGCCAGCCAGGACCGTTGACAAGTTTATCGTAGACCCGAATTTCGCCGCACTGCCTACATACCCTGTTGTATTAACATTCAAGGGGAACAGCCAAGAATTAAACCTGTTTGCCGATCGAATGAAAGGCGACAATATTCCTGGAATGCCTCGGGTGGATCCCAATCGAATCGTATGAATCTTTGCTCTTCAGACATGTAGATCACTTATTGGTTTTGCAGGTACATGGATCGCAATATATAGAAGTGCTAAAAGCTTTGCCCCTTGTCAGTGGTTTAGGATGGAAATGGAAGACGAGATATACGGGTATATCAGAGAATAGTAAGTCGTGCGGATCGTTCAGGCATGTTTGGGTGTCCATTTATGTATTGCTCGTATCTCCAGAAACCGGCGTTGTCCTTACAGCGGAAAGCACTCTTGTAGACCCGAAGAATGTCGCATATGCTAAACTATACGTGAGCTCTAGCATAAGACCTAACATTCGCGCTCATTCCAGGTGCTTTGCGCACAGAGCTCGTCGTTCAATATCGGCATGAAGATTACTGGCAACAAGTTCAACAAGACAATCGCTGGACCGCCCCAGGCAAAACCCATCCCTGAAAACAAGAAGCCGGACTGGGTATACAAAGATGAGACATCGACTCATCAAGCCCTTATATTTCGGCTTTCAGGGGACTATAATCCTCTTCACATTGGTATATAACACTGCAATATATCTGAACTTTGCAGTGAGAACTGATTTACGGCGTCTATTAGACCCAGCGATTGGTCAAGCTGCTGGTTTTGGAGGCGTTATTCTTCATGGCCTATCGACGTTTGGATTTGCAGCTCGTGGACTCCTGAAAACAGTTTGTGGCAACAAGCCCGAGGCGCTCAAGCTCTTTGGAGTCAGGTTCACGTCGCCTGTCAAGCCTGGAGATGCGCTCGAGACACAGATTTGGGAAGTTGGTCCTGGTCCCAATGGGACAACCGAAGTCACTTTTGTTACGAAGAATCTCAGGACCGGGAAGGTACGCTCTTCCTCCGGATGGGATAGCATTCAATTTGTGACCAATAATCTTCTGCTAGAACGCTCTGGGGGGTGGTATTGCGTATATTGTGAAATCACCATCCGCAAAGTTGTAGTGACCCATTGATTGAATGTAAAAATATGTGTAGGTGAACATGGACAATGTCAAAGTGTAATATGTGGCCAGGTATTTCTCAGTAGTTCAATGAGCAAAGAAAAAACGATGGGGCGAATCCGGATTCGAACCGAAGACCCCCTGCAACTGGATATACATGCACCCAAAGCAGGTATCATACCTCTAGACCATACGCCCATAAAGTTTCGGGGCTGATAATCAACATTGGAAGTAAAAAGTTTGAGCAGCCAAGACATGAATACGCGATATTGTGAATAGGTGTCCTGAAGGCGACCATTGGGCAACTACTTGATATGTACACCACAAAAGATGTCGACACTGATCGGGACTCCTAAGAATGTGAAGGCTACATCCACTGTTTTTCAGTAGATGTGTAAATATGATGTTCTGTAGAAGACGCCGATTGGACTCACAGAAGCACATTGTGTTCACTGATCCATTTTCCACTCTTTGAGACCAAGCCTCTCACGCTCCTCCTTCAACGTCTTCGCCTTGAGTTTGGAAAAAGGCATGGCATGTAATGGTTTCGTCTTCAAAGAGAGCTGGTCCTTTTCGTACAGAGCAGTGTCAGAGTGGGACAGGGATGAAGTCTGTGTCGCGAGAGCAGCAAAAGAAGTGGTAGATTCATGATATCTATCAAGAATCGTTGTTGCATCCACAGGAGGAGCTTAATTCGAGTACATACAATCTGGAGGAGAATGATTAACGGCATTCCGAATCGTTTCAGACAAGGCTGACGGCCTCACTTGTAAGCTTCCTTGTTCAAACAATCAGCTTCCTCTATCTTATCCAATACATCTCTCTTGAAGGCGGCCTTGATAAAATGCAGGACATCAAAGACATGGTGTTGGTTTGGTCTACAGAAGTCAAGATGAGGAAGTACTTCGGTCACTGTACAGTGATACGGGAATATTTTACCGCCATGCTCGAAATTGAGGCATAAGAGAGAATGTTCCATTAGAAGATATCAGCGGATGGAATACATCGTTTATGAATTGCACTGTAGGAGGGCGCTCAGGATAGTTGGAAGGAAAGGTGAGTTTGAATTTAAGAATTGAGTCCGCATAATATCCTACACAACGATTGAATCCATATCTGATGAGCCTGAAAGGAATATTGAGTACAGACCTTGATGGATGAAGAGAACTGCATCCCAGATTAATATCGTATCTGCTGCAGGTACAACATATAATCCGAGAGGACAATGCGACCTATTCCTCAGAGAGGCATATTCCAAAGCGATGGCTGCACGCGCAGCGGGGCTGGCAGCTTCCAAAGGCTGAGGGGTAGATTTGGATGAACGGTGAGCCGGGCGTGACTGAGATTTGGTCCTTGTTAGCACGTCTAATGGAGGACCGAGTGGGTTGAACATGTGGAAGGAGTAAGTAAATAAGCGCGCGCTAATATCGTCGTACTATCGTGGAACGCAGACCTACGCAGACTATCGACGATCGTGAGCTCTGCAGCTGCAGCTGCAGTAAATTTGGTGCCACCGCAATTAAGTATTTGACAATAATTCACGAAGGCTTCGCTAATCACTGTGCTCGCAACTCAAAGATCAAATTTTAGTACTTGTACCGTGCTCTGGCCCGGCACGGTAGCTGGTACGGTTTCATTGTCGAACCGCCCCACGTGCATTATGTGCACGCACACCATTGCTCATCATCATCTTGTCCTTATTCCTCTTCCCAAAGTCGTTACCGCGAGTATTTTTGGTCCTTAAGGCACTTCTAGGATGCCTTTGGTTCGTATAGAAGTATGTGATTTCAAATCTTATCGGTCGGTCGCATTCAGTCTTTTCGCGGCCTATCCATTGACCAAAGTCTTCCAGAGGCCATCAAACTATTGGCCCCTTCAAGAGCTTTACTTCTGTGATTGGACCCAATGGCGCCGGGAAATCCAATCTCATGGACGCGATTTCATTTGTTCTGGGGGTTAAGAGTGCACAACTTCGGAGTTCTCAGTTAAAGGATCTTGTGTATCGGGGAAGACGGCTGGCAAAAGAGAACCCGGATGGCTCTATGGCTATGGATAATGAAGATGATGAAGATGGTGATGGTGATGGAACGGCGAAGAAAGCATGGGTTTCCGCTGTTTATCTGGATGTCGAAGGCAAGGATTGGACGTTTCAGAGAACGTGAGTAGCCATACTTCTTCTCTATAATTTTCAAATCAATTTCAAATCAATAACGCGAGCTCCGAAGTGTATCTACTACTGGATCATCGGAATACAAGCTGAACAATCGCGTTGTGACTTACTCTGCTTATAACGCCGCGCTCGTGACCCACAACATTCTCGTGAAAGCAAAGAATTTTCTCGTTTTCCAAGGTGACGTAGAGGCAGTGGCATCACAATCGCCTCGAGAACTGTCGAAATTAGTCGAACAAATCAGCGGGAGTTTGGAGCTCGCGGCAGAGTATGAAAAGGCAAAGGAGGAGTTAGACAAAGCCACGGAGAATGCAACATTCAACTTCTCTAAACGACGTGGGATTGCTGGGGAAATCAAGCAGTACAAGGAACAGAAAGGCGAGGCTGAAAGATTTGAAGCAATGGAGCAAGAACGAGTAAGCAGCACTTCATTTATGATATATGTACATCTCTGACAGATACCAGGACGCGCTCATTTTGCACAGAGTATTGTTCAAGCTCTACCACGTGGAAGAATCCATCGAGCGGAACGCGCATGAAATACGAACAAAGAATAAGGATTTGGGCCGGCAGCGTGAAGAACAACGTATAAATGATGAATCATTGGAAACAGCTAGAGCAGAGCAGGCCAGGGCTCGTACAGGGGCAATGCAGATGGAAAAGAAGATTAAAAGGGGTGAAAAAGCTTTGGACTCCAAGGTACGTATGTTCCGTATAGGCTGAGTGAAACTAGTCGACAATTTTAACTCCACAGAGACCCGACCTCGTTTCTGTCGAAGCTCAGATTACGCACTCTACCCGAAAGACGAACAATGCTAACAAGGCGAAACAAGATGTAGCCAAAACGCAGAGTGATTTAGAAGATCGAGTGAACAACCTGGAAGCTGAATTAGTGAAGGTCAAACGAGATGCAGATAAAGCTCAGGGTACGCGTTTAGATGAAGCAACCAAGTGGTACTGATCATCTGATTGTAGAGGCCCAACGTATAATGTCCCAGAACAATCTCGCGCTTAGCGATGAGATTTTGGAAGAATATCGGAGCCTGTTCGTGATTAAGTTTCCTCCCTGGAGAACTTAGCTTTCAACATGATTCTAGTAAAACGTCAGCCAATCTTCTTGCGATCGAAGAACGCCAGAAGCTGGAGAAGCTCACGCGAGAAGAGAAGGCTGTTATTCGAGCGTTGAACGCGCTCAAGGAGAAACACCAAGGTCTCGAAGAAAAACGCGACTCTCGTGGTGAAGAGACCACCAGTCAAACAACAAAGAAAACCGAGCTGGAGGAAAAGATTGCCGGGCTCCAGGACGAATTGACCAACAAGAAGCAAGAACTAGAGAATCAGCAATCTGAGCGTACAAAGATTTCGTGAGTACTCTTCTTAAGTAGTCATGTTGATCAGGGTGATGATTGGTGTAAACAGTCAATTGGAAGCACAAGCGAACGAAAAGCTTCAGAGTGTGTATCAGCAACTCTTACAAGCGGGAGTTGACAGGAACGAGTCTGAGCGAGAGCGAAAGCTCAAAGATACCCTGACAAGTCTTCAGAGAATCTTCCCAGGTATGATTTCGAATTAGTACGCTTTGAGTATTCCTACACTTTCCGCTACTGTTAGGAGTTCGAGGCAGAGTCATTGACTTATGTAAGCCTTCTCAGCGAAAATACGAAACGGCGGTTTCGGTGGTCCTCGGAAGAAACATTGATGCTGTGGTTGTCGATGAAGAGAAGACGGCAATCGACTGTATTGAGGTGCAGGTTGTTTTTTAGAAACTGGTGATCCTCTCTGATACTCTGCTTCTGTTCCAATAGTATATGCGAAACCAACGGGCTGGTCAAGCAACGTTCATCCCCCTCGACACGATCCAGGTAAAGCCAATCAGTGACAAATTTCGATCATTTGCAAAGGGTGCACGACTGGCAGTCGATGTGATCCAATACGAGCCAGCCGTTGAACGAGCTATGCACCACGCATGTGGAAATGCGCTTGTTTGTGATACAATGGATGTTGCAAAATATGTGTGTTACGAGAAGGGGCAGGAGGTCAAAGGTCTGTGAAATTTCAGGGAACAGTAACATCACAGATAAGAACTCAATGGACACAATCTTCAGCGGTGACCTTGGAAGGGACTATTATCCACAAGAGTGGTCTCATCACCGGTGGACGCAGTACCCACGGCGGCGAGAAGAAGTGGGATGAAAAGGACGTACAGGGATTACAAAAGTCAAGAGATTCTCTACTGGCTAAGCTCAGAGATCTGAGCAAACAGAAACCGAGAGGAAAGACGGATGAGAATCTCATCGCAGAAATTTCTCAGCTGGAATCCTATATTACCATTGCAAGGGATGAACTGGTTCGTTGTGATATCTCTTTCACTCACGCCTGTTCCTTCTTAGTTGATCGCCGCTTTTCTAGAGCGCTTGTAAGACGAGACTCTCTGGTTTGAAGGAGGAATTAAGACATTTGGACCGAGAAATACAGAAGAACGGTCCTGAGCTCAAGAAGGTAAAAATATTATTCACCTTCTCAATTTTTATATCATTTTTGATTCAACGTTCGTAGGCACAGAAAGAACACGGCAAGCTTCAAGAACAAATATCAACCCTTGCCGAAGCAGTCAACTCGGCGGAAGATGAAGTCTTCACTGATTTTTGTAGAAAGATACGAGTTGAAAATATCCGTGATTTCGAGGAAAGGCAACTTAAATTGGCTCAAGAAGAAAGCGAGGCTCGATTGAGATACGACAATCAAATCGCTCGATTAACTCATCAGTGCGTATAACGTGGAATATCTTTTGCCGCAATTTTGTTTGATCATGATTGCTTTCACAAGGTTAGAATATGAGACTGAAGCACTCCGAAGTAGTAGGGAGCGTTTGTCACATCTGGAAGAATTGGTGAAGACAGAAGAGGTCAACCTAGCGAAATTACAGGAACGTAAAAAGACAGTCGAACAAGAGCTGGCTGACTTGCAAGAAGGCATTTCTGCACATAAAGAAGAGCTGACAGAGCTGCAAGAGGTGTTGGACGAAAAGAGCAAAACCGTTGAACAGGCCAAGCGAACGGCCTTGCGATCTTCAAGAATATTGGAGCAAACTCTCAAGGAGATCAGTGCAAATGTGAGGAATCCGACAATTATAACGTAGAGTTGCTCATTAATCGAAACCTCACCAGAACGACGAGATTGAAAAATTAGCCATGGAACGTTCTACGACGTATCGGAAATGTAGACTTGAAGAGATCAAACTCCCTCTACTCGAAGGTAACCTGAAGAACGTCCCAATGGAAGAGGTGAGTATGTCGTTCTGTCGTTTCGGAAAGCATCATCAAAAGATCAATTACTGTAGAATTTGCGGGACGAAGTTGCCATGGATGTCGATGACGATGAAGATGGTACGCAGCGACCAAAGCCTGTCCAGAACTACGGTATAGAGGTCGATTTTGCGGACATCGACGATGAGGAACGAGAAGTGTGTCTGTGGACTATAATATGATATCATGGTGCTGACGCCAATCTTTCCAGGACGGGTCTCCAGACGCGCTAGCTGAATTTGATGCACAGATAGCCAAACTCACTACAGAAATTGAACGTATTGCTCCGAATATGAAGGCCATGGAAAGGTTCGTTAATGTGATTTCTCTCATTCGTCGAAGTTACAGCTGATCAACTTTAAGATTGGACGACGTTGAGCAGAAGCTTGCGGAGACCGAAGCAGAAACCGAAAAGGCTCGCAAGGACTCGAAGACAGCCAGAGAACATTTCCAGGACGTTCAGAGGCGACGGTACGCGTATAATTGATTGTTAGGAATGTTGACTGATGTTCCTTCAAGGACGGAATTATTCATGAAGGCCTACACGCATATTTCTGATCGCATTGACCAAGTTTACAAGGACCTGACCAAGGGCAAAGCTGCGCCCATGGGAGGAGTGGCCTATCTAAGTTTGGATGATTCAGAGGCAAGGCGCTCGCTATCATTGATATCGAACAAGCAATAAAACTATCTTTGCAGGAACCATACAGTGGTGGTATTAAATACCACGCAATGCCGCCAATGAAACGATTCCGTGACATGGAACAGTTGTCCGGAGGGGAAAAGACAGTCGCTGCACTAGCCCTGTTGTTTGCTATTCATAGGTTTGCACTATTTTGTTACACCCGCTTGACAAGGACCTGATTGAATTTGCATCAGTTACCAACCCGCTCCATTTTTCGTCTTGGACGAGGTTGATGCAGCGCTAGACAACACCAACGTGGCCAAGGTGGCCAATTATATCAAAAGTCAAGCATCAAGTTCGTTCCAATTTGTCGTGATTAGTTTGAAGGGATCCTTGTACGAGCGTGGTGATTCTCTTGTGGGGATCTACCGTGATCAAGAAGCGAATAGTTCGAGGACTCTGACGCTTGATGTACGCCTTACAATATTTTATCTTCTTTATCCAGGTTTGAATGCTGACACTTCCTTTTAGCTCACCCAGTACGATGAATGAATGCTTACATATCATATCACTATTATCCTTATTTTGCCCTGCTTTGTTGAATGCCTTCCCTTGTACTATCTTTTCTTGTACAGTAACAGCTTGTAACACCAATAATTTGAAAGACCTGGCAATGGGCCTTGCGTTGACTTGGAGCGATGTTTATGAGCAATCGGCGGTCAGTAATTTTAATAAAGCTCATTTTTGCTCTGCTGCGTGGTGAGCGCCAGGCGCTAAATATTTTCGTCTAACCAAAGAGGGACAAACAGCTGCCTGTGGTGATGTTGATAAGATTATTTTTTGGTGCCAATCGGCCCGCAAATTTTCCGCATTTGCTTGCAAGTTGAATCATTCTCATGTTGCTTCGACCTATTCCGCGTTCTTTCCCATTTCTACACCCTACAAGGCTGTCCTTGACACCTTCCATTGCTTCAGCACTACTACGACGCTCTTATGATGCTCAACAGATTTCGCGATTTCACAGTTCTTCGCAGAGTCAATCTAATCAATCCCTTCTTTCGCGTCTTTCACATCGAGTATTGTACAAAAAAGATGGGATAACGCCCCGCTCAAAAAAGCGAGGCTTCGTGATAGCCAGCTGGCTTTCTGTGACAGGTCTACTACTTTATACTGCAATCTCACTACTGTCGGACATAGAGGATATTGTGCTCCTTCTCACGGCCTTCATTCAGCTGCAGCAAATCGATGCATCCTTCTACACTCCATCTGACCCAGACACCAAGCAGCGAAATTGGGATGACTGGGGAGAGAGTACTTCGTACTTCAAAAGCATATGCAAGCCAGTTCTAGTCACTTTAACATGGGCAGAGCCTGTTCATGTAGACCGTTTTTTTGCTGAGCTCGAGGATGTTGTTGACCGGCTCGATGACTTCGATGTAAATCATCGCCAGATGCAATCCGAGACGGAAACATTGAAAAATAAAATTCACAACATCATGAACAGTGCCTCACATGCCGTTCATCACTCCCTCCTTTCCCTTCGGCACGAACTGAGTAACCCAGAGTCTTCACTCTCGGGCTTGCTCAAACCGAACTCTGGAGGCTCCTTACGCACTACTGGTGCCGAAATCACGATAGAGGGAGCTTCTGAGGTCGTACAACACATTCGCGAAGCCATTGAGGCTATCCTACACGCTTTACAGGAGAAGGTAGATCGAGAAGTAAGTGGGGAGATCGATAAAGAGCTCTCTGGATGGTTCAAGGTTAAAGGCGATGGCTCTGGCAGTGGGAAGGGGAGTAAAGGCAAGGGATATGATATAATAGGATAGCAGGACACCCGGATGTACTGTCGTCAATCTGCTTTCCAAATGAATCAGAAGCTTACGTGTCCAACAGCTTCATGCCACTGGAGGTCAGTGGTTTCTCGCAAGGAAATCAGTGTATTCGTGCGAGTCCATCCGGAATCATTGCTTTGCGAATTCTTCCCTGTTTTTCCTTAGTCCTGCGAAGGAATCCACAGCAGGGTCGTTAGCCTAACTAGCGCCGAGAATCCCTAACCTTCCTATAACCTTTCCTTCCGAGACTGGTTTCTTGACAAAACATGTCTCGGCGGGCATCACCAACCATGACACTGACTTAATATGATCGCACCAGCTGGTAGCAGGATTTAATAGGTAGGCCGATAGACGGTGAATCATGTCGCAATATCAGTCTGAGTACGAGCGGCGCGCCCATTCGTAGCCATTAATGCGATCTCAAACAATGGCGCAAACTGACATGAGCTCTTATTCAAAGTGGTGACTGCGATGCATTTCATCCGGGTCCATGCGTTGCAACATAACATGGGTCTGACCTGGGATATGTACACCACCGGTATATATATGCACTACAGTACCATCGGAGGTATGTACATACATGACTGCGTCGGTTGCGTACCCTGAATTCGGAATGCGGATATACTCTGGATACTTTTCAATTTGGAAACATAGACTGTTCCACGTTCCCATTCCCCTGCTTTGTCCTGGGCACGATTTTCGGTTTTCAATTGATGATAAACTTACTAACTTTACTCTGGTATCAAATTATCTTTTATTTTCCGAAACGACAGACGAGGCTCGATATAAGTAGATCTTAATATGATGATGCACGTATGCGAACACGTCTTGTACCAGCTCGTACCTCCGGTGTACCTCTACAAGATCCCAGGGCCAGAGCAAACCTCGCAAAATTACATGTTGGATATGCAACAATTACAATGTCGCGTAGCCATTAATTTTCGTCAGCATAGCACCATAGGTCAGCATCCGTCCTGTTAGGTCCTGCAATGTGCATTTCTTGCCTCTGTCGCCTCTTCTGTCACGGTCGTCTGCAAGAAATCAGGATCCGACCTTGCAAGTTCGGGATATTGCCAGGAGGTCTATCTCTCTCTCTACAACTTCATGGCTAAGCTCACTGATTCGAATTCGACGATTCGACAACCAGAACTTGAATCAAAATTGAACTTCCTCGCCCCTGCATCACCATGAAATTACCCAGAAATCACCCGAGATGACCCCGCGCGCCCGATGCCGTACATATTTATTGGATACACTCCAAACACTCTAATTTATGTATCACCGCCTCCGTCTTGTTATACCCATTGTCAACATTCAGCCAGAGCCTCGTGGTGGGCGAGAATATTAGTACTTACAGCCGATCTCAAACGTTCCTGCCTTACTCCTACTTTTCTCTTCTCGCCAGAGATGTCTGGCACTGAGGCCTTTCGCCCTCAAGGCAGGCTGCCGCTGGATCCGTTTAGCATTGCACCAGCAGGTGCATCTTTGGGTAGCGCCGGGACTGGGAAGGAGAAAGTTCGAAGAAAGACAGGCTGGACTGTGAAAGAAGAAGATCTGAAGCATGTTTGGACGAAACACGAAACTGCGCAAGGGAAGGTCATCCTGGTTCTAGGAGGCGAGTTTTTCTTCTCCTTACGCCGGTTGGGCGCTTGGTTAACTGATGGGTGCCTCCGCCATCTCCTTTCTGACATCGTTTTTGCATATTTAGAACCCACATTAAAAGACCTTAGTCCTCTACTGAACTCCTCTCTCCTGTCAAAGTCATTACTTATCCTTGCTACGGAGCGCCCGCCATCCGATTTGGCTTCATTTCTTCAAAATCACACTTTGAAAGGCCTTGATTTTCTAGTTTTACGCGTCCAGCCGCTTCCTCACCCAATTCCACAACAAAATCACTCCATCTTGAGCCGCGCGGAGCTTCTAGCGAGGAAATGGAAACAAGATCGAAAATTAATATTTCCAGATCCAGAGGATGAGCGGGGAAGATCCAAATTCAGAAGGAACAATAGAAATACTTCTGATGAAGCGCCAATCAAAGCGGTGCAGCTTTCAGAAATCGGAGGTGTTTTTGGGCGGGATTTTACTGTAAGGGAGGAGGTTGGGTCGAATCCTATGGCCTCCGCTAGTGCTTTTCCTTCGTCGGGCCCTTCATCTAATCAGACACAATCTCGTTCTCGGGCTCCCTCATTTAAATCTGCCTCGATTTCCAAAAAGATTCGAGGGCAGCGTTCTTTCGACGCTGTCATCAACTTCGTTCCCTCCCCTGGAGTATATGAAGAGGGTCAGGAATCAGTGTTCATGCACAATATATCTTCCGTCTCATCTGCTAGTCGTGCATTCCTCGCCCCGCCTTCTTCTGGACCTGGTGGCTCAGGCGACCGACGGGGCAGAAGCTTGTCAAGAGGCTCGAAGGGACGAAGTTCTAGCTTGGATCGAATTAGAAATTGGATGAGGAGTAGATCACGTTCCAAAACTCGAAATGACCAGAAGTCAGAAAAACTTATCAGTCATAATCCTGAGTCGAGATCTGGGACCGTGAGTCATGGAAGGCAGGGACGTGTGTCCGATTCTTTGGCCACGATGGGATCAAGGGATAAAGGTCTGGGGGTAGCTCTGACTGGACCTACAGACTTTAGGAAGGAGAAGGGGAAGGCTGCTGAGGACAATGCTCGCGAAGATTCCGTTAAGAGAATTGAGCGTGGGGTCTTGACTTCGTGGAGCCGGACGCAGCTTGGTCAAGCTAATCTCCCCTCTCAAATCCAAAACGATTCCCGAAGTAACTTGGGAACAGCGAGTTCAGAAGGATCCAAAGCATATCTTATTCACGTTTTGCCACTTTCTCCCCCGCTGCCTACAACCGCCCTGTTGCGGACAGCTTTTTCCCAAGACCGACTAAGTACACACTATTCAGAGCAGTCTTCTGGTTCTGTCATTTCATCTGCGGAAACGGAAATGCCGCCCTTAGGAGCAAGTCACAGTACTTCGGAGGAGTTGAAAGATCACGGTGTTTCTCGTGCGGTGAGGAGATATTTCTGACATGTTCGTTATGTCGTCACTCACATGCTATGACTCTCGAAGGTACCTGCCGCGCAAAAGCCAGAATCTGTCGAATCCTCTACGGCTATAGCCCTCAATGGAAGTCACAACCGAAACGGATCTCTCGATTCCAAGGTAGATTGTCCTGTCAAGACCGGAATTCACCTAACCAGAATCCTGTTCTCAAATAGGTTCTCTTTTCACGATCTAGCTCCCCCGGTTCTACACCTACTTTTCGAACTGTATCGGGGAATGAAACTAAGAATGAAATCAAGAAAGAACTGCCCAATTCGGAAAATCCCGTTCGTCCGTTCATTCACAGCTTGCCTGAAGTTTTTCGAACCCCATATAATTTTTTCTACAGGCTCCGATTGGGAGATTAGAATCAACCAATCAAGTATCTGCTACAGAGAGTTCCTATCCAAACTTAGACGACAATCACTTGGTTCTTACTAGTTCGTCGCAAGAAAATACGAGCCTAAGCTCCCCGCGATCGAAAACCCCACTCAACCGACGAGCATCGTTAATCTCTCCCGCTGTCGAAGCTGCTGTAAAAATTGCCACTCGACATTCACATTCCTTGCATGTCAGCAACGGGAGAGCATTGTCGCTGACTGGACCGCAAAAGGACAGGCAACTCCAGCGTCGAAGCACTGCCATGCAGGTTGCGTCTGCGGCAGCGCTTGCGGCTTTGGAAGTTAGCTTTACTAAGGCCTATGAGAATCAGCTAAAAAGATCTCGCGTTAGTGACATGCCTATTATCGGCCTTCAAGATGCAGTCGATGAAAATGGTGCAGGATCTGTAGCCCTTGAAATGAATGGCCCTGAATCAGACAGCGATCCTGACGGACATATTATCGTACACTCTCGACAGTCTACGCTTTCTACAGACATACCAGAAGCGTTAATGCCTCATCCCCATCGTCAGAGGTCGCTGGTATTACGTGACAGTATTTTCAATCCTCTGGATATTGAAGCCTTGTTTCAAAGATTCGATTCAGGCTTGGATGGGACATTGACGGAACGGCCAACGCCGATATCACTGCTACCCCGTCCTCATGCTCGTGCAAGAACACAATCTCTTGATGGACCGACTAGGTTCTCAACGAAGTCTGATGCTTCTTCGAGGGTTTCTGACATTATTTCTCCTATAACAACCGCTCTTCCGATGCCTCCTCTTTCTCCAACTGATCCTGATTTTTATTACGAGAAAAACAATCTGGTTCAAGAGTTGGAACAATTCCTTCTTTCCTATTCTTATGCAGACTTCTCGTCCTCCGTTGTCTCACTCTCGGCACTTCCGAAAGGTGCTGCAAAACCTGCCATAATCAGTGGTGGTCCTGCTGATAGCAAAAGCCCCATCTCAGTTGATGCTATGGACGCATCGAACAGACTAAGTCGAGTGGATCAAACACCCACGTCATTCCTTCTTCCTCAAGGCTTGTTAGGACTTTCCTTCAAGACCACTTCTTCATCTTTCCCAGATGACTTAAGGCTTTCATTTGTAGACCTCATCCTTCACGGCCTACTGGATCCTACGTCGGAATCATTAGCGCTGTATCGTGATGCTATGTTCGTCGCCAAGAAAATGAGTCCTCCGGGGCTTCACGCCAGTGGAAGAAGAGGTGTCACACTGAACGAGCTGCTGGCCTTGGGTGCGTTGAGTGGGGAAGAAGCCGGTGTAGCGCATAGCATGCCAAGGGCGTGGGTAGGAGGAATTGCTGACGTCGATATTGAAAACGCAATTCCGGAAATTTCCCACTTTAATTCAGGCGTGCCAGATAGTGGAAGCACCACTACGACGGAGGGGTTGCCTTCAAGGGGCGCAGTGGCTGGGTCGAATACCGGTGAACTTCCTACCACACCTCCCATTTTCTCCATGCCACTGTTATCCGCTGTTTCTCTGCATTCCCAGACTGTGGCTCGATCTCTGAGAGAAAGAGGAGGTTCTGAACCTAGTAGCCCACATCTGGACGTGGTTCATCTACAGAATAAAGTAGAGGATGGTTGGAAACAATCCGTCAATGAGTCTGTGGACGCGAGAGAGGATGATGGCGAGCTGAGTGCAGTTGAGTCTCGTCAAACGCATACAACTGCAGTTGTTCCATCTGTTGCTCTAGATACAGTACATTCAAAGCCATCACTCGCTCGAACCGCTACTGCACCTGCAATTTCTTCATTACACTATTCAGGTGCACTGAAGCGAATGTATAGCTTCATACCTCCTGGTGCAGCACTTCCGGTCAGTCCCCACTTGCCCAACGCCTATTCGACATTCCCCAGGCATTCTGTGTTGCTCATGAGTCCTACAAGTCTTCCTCAGCACCAGCAAAACTTTACAGCCTCTACCGAAGCCAGGCCACAATCTGATATTGATTCAGAAAATGGTGGTGAGGACCACCGTGAGGCAGACGATGATATGAAGGATACGGACACGGAAGACGAAGGTATGTTTTATTTTATTTTGAATGATTGTATGAACTCACTTGCATTTACGAAAGAACGATGCTCGGAACTTACGAGCGGCACGTCCATCTCTTCAAATCCCAATCTCATCGGTGCAATTCCGCTTCCTTCAGTATCTTCGCCACTTCTCGGTAGCCCTCACTCGAGCATCTCAGGATCTGGTACTGTCACTACAAGTCTCATTTTCAGTGACGAAACAGAGATCCTACCTTCTCAGGTCGAGCCAGAAGTTAGTGTTGAGGTCGTGTCGCTTTCGGACAGTATTTCTATCATCCTTGACCCGCCGCAGCCTAGAACCAGCCTACTTCTCGGGCCTGAGGGCTCTGAATCAACTCCACCAGAGTCGCCAAGCACCCCGACAGGATCACAAATCCAACCGGATATCACGGAACGGCAAAAGATCGCTAGTACATTCGATTCAGATAACTTGGCATCTAGTTCAAAGCGCAGTGTACATAGTAGTCCAAGTGGAAGCTCTGCTCCGCGTTCTCCATCATCTCCCCTCATTGACGGAAAGAGAAACTCGAAAATTTGGCTTCAACGTTCTCTCAAGCCATCTGGGCAAGGTACACCCCCTGAGTCTCCAAGCAGAGGGTATTTCAGCGGCACTGCCGCTCCTGAAGGACGGAGAAATTCACGCGTTGGAGATTCAATCGTTGATTTGCCCAGCAGCAGCGTCAGCGATTCTCCTGATACAAAGGGAAAGCTTTTAAATCTCCCACATCTCGGGATTCGTAGACGTTCTACCGTGCCGAAGGAGCGACCGTCAAGCATGTATAGCGATAGTGAGAACGTTGATGATACAGAGGCAGTTCCGAAGAAAGCCAAACGTCTCTCAAGAGCTATTTCGTGGATGGTGACTGATTCGGACGATGGTCCTACTTATACGCTCGACGTAGACCTCGAGGAAGGACAGCGATCCGGCAGAAGCTCAAAATCTGGTAGTCCAGTCAGAAGTTTCTTCAACAGCCTTGCAGCATCAGCTTCTGCGACGTCTTTGTTGCTGAACCTTTCACACAAGGAGAGGAGGCTCAGTACGAGCAGCAGTAGCATTGAAAGTGGAACCTTCACCGTAGACGGCCCAGCCACCAGTGGCACAGGCTCTACTCCAATTCCAGACACACATTCTCCAGCTCCAGCATTGGTAATCACACCAACACCCTCCCCACTTCTATCAATTCTTTCCCTCCCTCTTCATAACCTCTCGAGTCGCCCGAAAACCCCACCTGGTCAAGCTTTAATCATCTCTGACTCAACGCCGAACTCTACATGTTCTACTATACCTCCATCTTCGGTTAGCGTCCCCCAAAGGCTTATGGTTTCCACTAACGCCAGTCTCGCTCGACGACATTCCAATGGCGCAGCCCCTGTGGGGCCACGGGCTCCAAAACGCAGTGGATCTATGCGTACTGTGACTTCTGCTATCTCTCTCAAGACTAATAGCGGTGAATCGACACAATCGCAGCTGCTCATGAGCCCAATTTCTAATCGCCCATTACCAGTTCCTGTGCCAGTGCCACAATCAGAGTTGGTGCACACTGATGTGGGATCTGTAATAAAAGAAGACGCAACAGAGAATCTCATCACTCCTTTCCCTGCTCCTAGTCCTAATTCGAACAAGGACTCCGAGAGTCGTCCGAACACAACGAGCAGACCTCAATCTCGTAGTGGTACTCCCACCGCATTCTCTCCATTACGGAAACTCGCTATCGACGAAGTACCTTTGCGTACGAGGATTCCTCGTGCAGCTATCCCTGTAGGTAAAGCAGACAGGCCTACGAGTGTCGCCGGTGTGGGCGACATTGGTACAGGAAGTGGTTCGTCGAAAGGGAAGTGGAGGTTCTGGGGTAACGGGACTGGAAATAAACGTCCCGTATCGATGACAGTCGATCTCACCAGAGAAATTTAGATCTGAATCAGCAACCTTTTTTTCACCACAATCACCCTTATTGCATTTGCATAATTCATATACTATCATTATATACTCATGTAGCACACAATTCTGGAAGGAAAAAATAATTGCATCCATTATCTCGTTAGTTGTGCCCACCTCGTCTGAGTACATCGACAACAAGGTGCCCCTCGACACCTCTATCTCAGCCTGATAGGTAGATCTGCCTAGCCCTGCGCCTTCACGCATCCCTTTCAGAGCGCTGACCACATACAGACAGCCAACGTTCAAGCAAGCTCGAAGGTAATGACTGCCCTTACTATACGATTGGCATGTTTCTTGCTTGATGATTATTAGTGCTCCTTCCGATATCAATGCTCTGATTGTCAGGAATTTGCGAGGAACGTGCTAGGGGTTGTCCGTGAAACTTTGTAAAGATGGTATTCGCGTTTGTGACTTTTCCGTAGGCGGGGGAGACACCGGGCGTTCGTACACTCTCAAGGCGTTTAGATTTCGACGATGTATACAATGTCTACGGGTATTCTTCCGCCTCACACCTCCTCTCTCTTCCTCTTCGATAGTTCGGACATTCTGCGCATGTAGCTGGTAAAACGGAACATATTTTCGAGTCGTGATTGTCGGAAAGGGAGTGAATATATCAAGAGCGGAGGAGTATGAATAAATATGAAGGTTTGCAGTAGGAAGCCAGAAATGGCGAGAAGGGGGAAGGAATGGAGCCAGGGAAATAATCAGTATTCGTATATATTATGGGGTATTGGCATACGCACTCATCGTATTGACACCTAATGAACGAACGCATAACATTCGTTCCCGATTAAAACACACAAAGTGAATAATCATACCGGGTACAGTGTATGGTTGAGCGAGCAATTAACACAGAGCAGTAGCCATGCGGTTGTGAATGAATGAAAGGAACCAGCTTCGTCAGTATATGAACACAAGAAATAAGTACAACACACTTTTCATATGCATGTTTCTCGTGTTCGCATTCCCAAGGCAAGAAGTTCTTGTCTCTGCGGCAGATGTTCAGCGGAATTAGAAGGCTGGTGATTCGGAAGTGAAACGGATGTATGAGCAAAGCAAAACAGAAAGACCAGTCAATCCTCAGTATCTTACAAGCTATACACAAGAAACGCACGCAGAACATTGGTCCCTCCATCCTAATGGGAGCCTGGCGGCTTTCATCTCCTCCGGGGTAGCGAGCGTTGTAGGGCTCATAGTGCAGTAAGTCTTCACGGGTTTCCTAGGCAGGGTATTACTATTTAGAAGAACTCAAAGGCTTTGACACTCGTTCCACGATTCGGATGCGTCGGGAAGGAAGGAGTTTTGTTTGGTTCAAATGACTCAGCCAAACATTCTATTCTAAGGGACCGCTTCAATCAGTGTTGCGCTACAGAACATTTCTATTTATCTATTCATCAGGCCAAGATACTTACAAGGACCGAAGAGGGCGTCAAGCTTCAAGCTTCAAGCTTAACGCTGAAATGTCATACCAATTTCTTTGACAACAAATCTATTGGTCCACCATACACAACCATACACACTCATGGACTGATCTTGTTCCCTTGCCACTGCCTTCAAATTGCATCTCATATCTTGCCGACCTGCCAGATCGCCTACCACATAAGCTCAGGAAATTAACTCGCGAAACGAAGGCTGAGCGAGCGTTGTATCGTAATTTTGGTTACAGTAGAGGTGATTTTCGCACGAGAACGTCATACCCTTCATTTCTTCCAATGTGCACTGAAGAAAACTTCAGTGCACGATATAAGAATCGCATCCTTCTTTATTGAACTCTTACGCCGATTCAGAAGATCCCCGAAGAACATCGACTCCATGGCATGGACATCATCAGGCTCCTCTAACGCAGAGCTCATCGATAACATGCTCCGGAACGGAATTCTTGGGAAGGTAGTGGGTGATGTAGTAGATGGCAACAAAAGCGAAGCTGAATGCGCCAGTGACCGTATCGCACGAGCAATGAAAAAGGTCGACAGAGCGAATTATGTCCGGGATAAAAGAGATGCATATGAAGATTCCCCACAGTATGCAAACGAGAAATACGTATATACACCTTCATAGCCGCGCTGAAGCGTTATCTCCTCCAGGACTATTGGGCATGGCGCAACAATCAGCGCTCCTCATATGGTGCGTTCTTGCAATCAATGACCTACTTCCTCTTCACTTCACATCTAATTCTAACCGACAGCACGCTTACGCAGCCTCTCATCTACTTCCGTATCTCCCTCCAGGCGGTCGGGTCCTCGACGTCGGAAGCGGCTCAGGCTATCTAAGCGCCGTCTTATACCATCTCATCGAGGATCCACATGGCCACAAACCATCTTTGTCAGACTCTGACGCAAAGTCAAAGCCACTGATAATCGGTATCGAACACGTCTCCGAGCTTACTGACTGGTCCATTTCTAACCTCAAGCATGACGGACTCGGAGAGGCACTGGAGAAAGGACAAATTGAAATGGTTACAGGTGACGGACGTTTAGGTTCGTTGTGTTCATATGTACAGAACTCGCATTAAACAGCTTTCATCCAGGTTACCCGCCAAATGCGCCTTATGATGCCATACACGTGGGTGCTGCTGCTCCGGAGCTTCCCCAAGCACTAGTGGACCAGCTCGCGCCTGGTGGAAGGATGTTCATCCCGGTGAGTAGTCAAACCTCACAATGTACATCGCTGGTTCGACTCTTTTCAACAACTCTACGTCTTACTACCAGATTGGAACCTATAAGCAAAACATCTACCACATCGACAAGGATGAATCAGGAAAGATCACACAGACGGAAGTTATGGGTGTAAGAGTGAGTCTTCACTTTCTGCTTTGTCTGTCTCATTCTCTCGCGGCCCCCTTGCTTTTCGTATCTTTTGGCCTGGGCTCGTGAGCTCCTTACGATCTTCCCTCCCTAGTACGTTCCACTCACAGATAGGAAGTCACAAGAAGAGCACTAAAGCAACAAATATCAGTTGCCGAGTCTTCACCGTTAAATTTTAGTGTCATTGAAACTAGCTGCCTTCATTGTCGATGGTGCTCTCGTTGAAAGATCATGAAATACCAGTGAGGGTGAAAAAATGGACTGCAGACATGATTTTGAGTTCACCAGGGGAAATGACTCCAGAGCATAGAATCCATCATTGCACTAGTGTACATCAAAATTTTCGAACATATACTGTACGAAGTCCTTCAAAATACTGTGACAAAAAATGACAGCATCAGATGAATACATCGTTGAAAGCAGAGAAACTGTTTCTACGTTATTCCGACAGCGAATAATTTAGTCTATAAATGACGCCACCCATGCACCCAATGGTAACACATAAAAAACAACAAATGCATGAATCACCCAAGAGATTAGATATCTGAATCGAAGCCATCCACTTCCATTTCCTTCTCCTGCTTTCGCCTACTGCTGCGCGTCCGTGTCCGTGTGGCCGGGGGTTTAGAAGATTCAGCTGAAGCCCCCTCTTTCGCTCTCTCCTTCAACTTAGCTTTCGCAGTTGACGCTCCATTCTCTTTTCCTTCTGGTCTGCTTTGCTTCGAGACTTTCTCGTTTGCTTTCGTCGATACTTGACCAGACGCTCTAGATCGCGTCGAAGCACGGCTTGATCTTGTCGATTTTGCTTGTGGTATCGGGGAAGGCGACGGCTGTCTCTGAGCCTCCTCCTCCTCCTCCTTTTGTTCATCTTCCTGCTCTTCATCGTCATTATCCTCTCGTTCCGCGAGTTCATCGCCTGCCACTTCTTCCTCTTCCGGAGCATCTCCGGACCAACTTGCCGCAACGGCCCTGGATCCTCTCCCCCGTTTTGGTGTTACCCTCGGTTTTGACCTCGTTTTCGGCTTGGGAGAAGGAGACGCATCTCGTTCAGGCTCTTGCTCTTGCTCTGCCTCCCGCCTAGACCGGCTTCTGCCTCCAGCTCTCTTCTTCCGTATTGGACTAACAGGCTCAGTAGAAGGTCCCGCTTGGCTCTCCCTCTGTGATGCGCGCGTTCTTCTGTGTATAGATGTATCAATTAGTCTTTGAACGAACGAAGAACCAAAATTTAATGCTTACTTTCCGGCCTTCTTCATCGGGGATGTCGTGACCACAGACGAAGGTTTTAGCGGCAGGAGGACTTCTTTCGCTTCTGCGGACCGCCGTTTCTGCCTTGCATCCGTATTCTGTTCTGTATCCATCTTACCTGTCCGACGACTCCTGCCTCTCCGAGCAGGTGCCTTGGCAATTTGAACATCCTCTTCATCTTCCTCGTCCGGGTGGCCATTTGAGGATTTTGAGCTTCTAGTAAACCTGGACTTGGACTTCGCCCCGGCTGACACACCCTTCAGTTTTGATTGTGTCTTCGAAGGTTGCGTTTGGTCCTCCTCATCATCATCTTCTTTCTCCAGCTGCTGCTCTCCTGTCTCCACTGCATCCTCATCCTCTGTAGACTGCTTCTTCTTCTTTTTCAGTGATTTCGAACGTCTCTTCAGCCTCTTTGGCTTTGTCGAGATCTTCTGCAACCGTATCTGTCGTATCCTCTTCTTCAACATACTCTTTAACATACTCTTCATCTTCTTCTTCAACATCTGACACTTCGATGGCATTGGCCACAGACTCAATCGTCGGCTCTTCGTGGAACAATTCTTCGTTTATCGGTTCCCCTGTCGCCTCTGGCACTTCCATGCCTATGTCCTCATAGAATTTCTCGAACTCCGCATCCACATATCGCCCGGGATCGATATTCTCCAAACGTCTCCCGAAGCCTTTTTGGAAACGATCTTTGACGCGTTTGAAAGTACGGTCAAGAGAGGCATCGTCGAACGGACATTGCTACAGTGTACAGCATGAAGACAAGAACATTCGGCTTTGAGTAGGATTACTCACTTCTTGCAAATTCTCTATCAGGATATTCAACTTCAATACAGTCCGATTGTCCAGTTCCAACCCTAGCTCTTTCGAGGGAAAGAATTGTAATTGCCCCAGGAATTGGCAGAACGCCTTCCTGGTGTCATCGCTCCGTTCCGAATCATACAATGCCAAGAGGAGTTGCAGAGCTAAATCGGCATGCGGGTTGCGATCGGAGGGTTTGGGTGGAGGAACTTTTTCTACCAACTTCGTCATATCCGTCCAGTCGATCATCAAGAGTCCAAACTGGTGTAAAGACACCAATTTCGGGTCTTCTTTCTGTTCATCCTCGAGATATTCGTGCATCCGCGAGGCAAGGTCAAACGCCTCGCTGAAAATCTAAGTAGGACGAAAACCGAACAACTGAATGTCAGGATCCAGACGGACATATTGACCTCACCCACCGACTGCATTCTGTTCTGATTCTCCCTAGATGAGTAACAATACACCGGAAAGAAATACGATAAACACTGTTTCAGCTCGGCGTTGTCCATTGTCGATGGAGAGATGTAGATCAGTGCGAGGCTTAGAAGAACCTGCACAGATTCAGTCAGTTGGCTGTGGTTGATTCACTGTGCAAACCTTTGAATCCGTGACCTGCCCCAAAAGAAGGAGTTTACACATTCCTGTGCAAAGCACGGATTGTATGGCGGGAGATTCCTCCGAGTCAAGAGTTTGAAGAATGAAGGAGATAATTTGACGTGACTGTGTACGCGAGAATGGTTCAGAAGAGAGAACCTTTTGGCAAAAGGTAAGCGTCACTCACGATCTCCTCTGACCTTCCCAAAAAATCGCGATCGTACACGACTAACAGGTCAAAAACAATCTGGAGGACCTTTAGTTTCAAATCCTCAGGTGCGGTTTGCACCTGGTTTAAGAATAACTGGAACGAGTTTGTTGCCATGTTATGCGCGATGAGGCAACACAACCCCAAAGCAACTAGGCCTTTCTCGCGGAGTGCAAGCTCCTTACGTTTGACTGCAGGCACGATTAGATCAGTGAGAATACCTTCAAGGGTTGAGTTGTCTTCGAAAGTCTGGATTGTGTCAATTAGAAGATATTTCTGAGAGGAACACGCTGAAAACGTACTCCGTTGACCCGCTCAAGCATTCCGATGCAAAGCACAAGACAACGCATGTCAGTCAAATCATTCTGTTGTTGTTCTTCGGGAGTCATTTCATGTCGATCCTTGCTTCTTCGCATAGATCGTTCTTTCTGAGTGATATCTGAGCGGCTACCGTCAAAATTCTGTCTTAAATGTGAGTTGGATCAATCTAAAGTGATTTGCTAGACACGCACATCATCAATGACAGGTTCGACTTCATCATCATCGCGAAGCTCGATGATAATTTCAACCACTATGCGAATCAATTCGCGCTCGGATGGGAGTATTTTCGACAAAACATCGAGACAATGTTCAATGAGTCCTGGCGGAAGGTGTGGATGTGCGAGCATATCCTCTACGAAAGAACATCAGTTTGTTTCAAACCGGAATCGAGCAAGAAACTCACTGACAACGGAAAACACTTTCCGTCTTCCAATCTCATCCATGTAATCCAAATTCAACGCTATTCTCAGTAATTCTCCGAGAATTAGCTCCTTTTTTGCTAGTTCCTCCTCTCTCGCCTCACTCTCTTCATCGTCCGGTTCCCCGATTTGCAAAAAGTCCATCTCCTGCATCAATGACAGCAATGCATTGTAGGCTTCTTGAATGTGAAAAGCAAAAGCAGTGACGACTGGTATTGCAGCGTCTTCCAAACGATTTTCGCTCTTGGACTGTAGACATTGATCGACAAACACACGAGCGAGAACAGCGGACTCGGGTATAAGGTTCGCCCAAAAGTCATCTACAAAACATGCGTCGGCAAGACGTACATGAATGAGAAAGTGAGGCTTACCGTTGAAAACGAATGCGTCTAGAAGCGCTGGCTTTGTAGTGAACACGGAAAGCATTGCGTCGACTGCGATAGCTTCACCGGGGCCAACGACATCGAAAAATGTCAAAAAGTTGATAAATCCCTTCATCACACCCCCGTCATCTCCTACCCACGTCTCCGGGGGTTGACCAGGTGGATCTTGCTCACTCATAGCAATATCCAGCCATTTGGTTATCATATTGCCTGCAGCTACCCGAACGGTTGCTTCCCTATCACCCAAACCAACCTTGGTGATATCCTCCCTCTGAGCAATAGTCAAATGTCGAGGATGACCGAGCTTTGGTTCGAGCACCGAGCTATACGCCAGCTTCCGCGTAAGGGTATCCGTGTCCCTTGTGCGTGTTATGATGACCGGAAGTGTTTCGGGCGTGACAGGGAGATTGATAAGTGCGGCTCGGCGTACTTCACTAGGCATGGATAAGCATTTAATAGGGTAGGTGGTGGATATGCTCACGGGGCGGTGTCGTATTGTGTACACTCTAATAGTAAGTCCAGGCAAGTCTTCTCTCCCTGTTTGAGCTCCTCTGGGTCCTCGGTCCCAACGAGTTTGGAAAGCGCGATGGCAGCATGAGCACGAATCAATGGCTCCTTGTCGCACAACCGCTCAATGAGATTATCACGAAGTTGATTATAAGTGGATTCACTATATGGGCCTATCCTGAGTCTCGTGGTTTCCATGTTCAGAATAACACGTACTCGATCTCTCCAAAGTTTGCCATCATCTCTATCACCAGCTGTATTGACCTCTGTCTAACCATTTTGTTCTTTGCCTTGAAGCCTTGGAACAACCATTCCAAGAGTCGAGTAACAAATCTTGAAGCGAATGTTTCCTCCTGATTCTCGGCTTGTGTGCGATCCTCCGTAACTAATCAGCAGATCAGGTCAAAGTAACGGTGCATTGTGAGTGCGACTCACCCTTGTCGTTCATCATCTTCACATAACTACCCACAAATCGAACGATACGATCTGCGAATGCTCCCTTCTTCATAGCAAGAGTTCTGTTGACCATATCAATGAAGGCATCGCCAAAAGCCCATTCTCCCGTCAATGCATCCTCATTCTTCTTCCCAGGATCCTTGACTCTGGAAGCTTGAACATGGAGTTTGTGTAATGCGACGCAGTTTTTCCGGTGATTGGCTAGAGATTTTTGGGCCTCGTCAAATCTAGCAGCTATCGCAGCTGGTACATCATCGAGAGAAAAAGTTGACTTTGCAGGCATCTGAGAGAGGACAGTGTACTAATTCCGACGGAGGTTGCGATCAACGAAGAAAGATTCAAACATACGCGATGACCACGTGGTACGTGTTTCTTTGTAATACAAGGTCAGAAATTCTGATCGAAGATAAATTACATATCCTTATCCTTTACAGGATTTGGTATCTTATCTATATTACGGCAATGTACATAGAGATAAGTCCTACGTGTATATCGCCGATATAACCCCTTCTGATCAACGTGTATGAATTCTCGGTGCTTCCGCAATTTACGACACCCCATATGTGGTATCAAGTTATAGCTGTGAGTAACACTGTTCGAGTACAACAGGAGGAATTAGGCAAATGATTTGGGGATTGGTTCAAAGTTGGAAAGGAAACAAGCATTCAGGAAAAGGGGAATTTAGGGCATTGAAGCCATTGAAGCCTTTAGGAGAGTTGGGGTGTTCAAAGGGAAATCTGTGGAGTGGTGAAATGTTGATGGTGGGTGAACAGTGAGCAATGAGCAATGAGCAGTGAGCATGAACAAGGTCCCCCTTTCGACCCCGGATATATGAAGCATAAATATGCTGAGAGATATACTGGCTGGCGCGTGAGCACAGATAAATGGTTGCTAATCGAGATGATATTATTCATCAACTTCTACTTTTGTCAGTCTGGCCGAAGGGGGAGAGAACGTGTTCGTCGCAACTGGGGACGAACGAAGGGCCGGACATCGGCGGTCGGAGGTTCGACACCGCGATAAAATTGCGTGATGGTCGTGTACGGTGAGGACGACATAGATTGGGCCCTAGGCTTCGTTCGCCTGGCAACGTCGTCAGAAGCGACGGACCGAGGTCGTTTGAAATGAGATGAAGATGTATCCGATGACGAGGAATCAGAGTCGACGGGTTCCTCAGTCCGTGATGAAAACTGTGACGAGTCGGGGGAGTTGTGGTAGACATCTTCCCTCCACGACTCTATTGACAAAGATACTTGGGGAGGCAGAAGAGAGAGGGACAATGAATTCAAAGGATGAGCAGTTTCGAAGGAGTTCTCGTCCATGAGAAAGTCAAAGCTGCCGCCTGTCCCTTCAGTGAAAGAGTCTAAATCCTTAATAAGAGGAGCAGCTGGATAGATAATGTGTTGATGCTCGGAATGAGCAGTTCTGTTCAGTAGGGTTAATGTCGCCGCCGTGTGAATGGCACGAAAGCAACGACGTACTCATGACGAGGAGGTTGTACAGAATCTTCAAGGGCAGGATGCTCGTTTGCATGTGGTGTAGGAAGAGAAGTAATCCCAGAGCTTGGTGTAGCGTCACTTGAAGAAAAGGTTATAGTTCACATCATACGCAGCGACAAGGAAGTATTCACATATCAGGGAAACCCTTTAATGGCAAATCCATAAGTTCATCCAATAACTCTACACGCTCGTCGTATATGGATTTTGTAGGCGGCATGGCTGCGGTTATCGTTTGGTGGAAAGGTCGTCAATTATATAGTTGAACGATCGTGATCGAGAGAGCCAGGGACTATGTGGGGAATAAGCTGTTGCAGAAGGGTATAGAATATGGTAGAATGGTCGTACTATGTACAAGCTCTATGCAAGAAGGGAAAAGAGGGAGGATCTAGAAGGGTGTCGAAGGAAAGAGACGAGGCGGAAGAGAAGGGTTAAGCCGTAAGAACAGAAAGGCAAATTACCAAACTTTGATTATGTACTGAACCAAATGCCGGAGAGCTTGCCGCGCACAGGTCGGTGTTCACACGACAATTCCACTTTGCAGAGAGCACTGAGCAGAAAACTGCGTCGACCCAGATGGTCTGATTTTTTTTTTCTTATCGTTCCATTCGTGATACCAACCATCACAATAAATCAAGAAAAAAACATGCTACGCAGAACCGCGCCGCGGGTCGCAGTTCTGAATATCCAGCTAACCATACTTGAAATTTCCTTTCAGGGTAATTTTCAGCTCGTTACAAATAGTACCTAATACTGTCTTTGAGCCCAGTGCCTATGCTAGTCCAAGTGGCGAAAAAATCCGCGGGAATTTTTCCCCGGTAGCCCGACTTTTTCACATGAGCGCGACTTGTTCATGGTGCGCCCGACTTTTTCTTGTCAGCGCAAATTCTTTTTGTTCAGCACAAAAGAACAATTTGCCACAGAAAATGTAATTTAGACTCCAAGAAGTAGCGTAAAAAATAGTCCCCCGTTGAAAACGTGGGTAGCTTTGTTGAAAACTAAACCTCTCCATGATATATAACTTACGACTGTAAGCTGAATATTTCAAGCCTAAGTAACATTTTCTGTACATTGAATACTATTAAGCTCATTGTAATGAGTCAGGAATGTACTGTGTATAAGCCGGTAGGTTCGATAATGCTAGAAGAGAAAGTGCAATAAAGAGTGACTTGGAGATAGAATCCTTTGTCCGGAATCGCTAGCGCTAACAAGGGTATAAGGGATTGTGAGGGAGTAAGTAGTAAAGCAAGCAATCAGATGAGAACATTCAAAGCCTAAGTCCAGTTGTCCCAACTATCCTCTTCCTCGTCATCATCATCCTCGTCAACTCTGTCCTTACCAGCATCTTGCTCTGAGGATGCAGTCGAGGAGCCAGAACTAGAACTGTAACGTCTAGACTCATCTTTGAGGCTCACTACGTAACTTATAAGTTCCCTTGTCTCACTCTTCCCAGAATCAAATAATTTTACCTTCAACTTTCTTAAAGCCTGGGCTGTCCTCACCCTCATCACCTTCATCACCCTCGTCACCTCTGTCTTCAATTCCAGGGTCTTTCAGGTCACCTGAACAGAAATATATTTAGAGATAGTAAACACCAAAACTGAAGTGAACTGTACCGTGATCATTTACTCCTTCTGAAGATTCTTCTTCATCCTCAGAGTCTGTGAATCTAACCTTGGCACTATTTTCATCCAGGTCAGAAATCTCTATGTACTCCTTAGCTAGAGAAGCTAAACAGGTAAGAAAAGTTCGTGTAATATTCCTAACAATACAACTCACTTTTGGGCCTTTTACTGTTTCTTTCCTCCAAAGCCTCATCATCAACTGAACTACGCTTTCTCTTGAGCTTTTGAGTTGATGAAAGAGCTGCAGGTGATTCAGGCTCCAACTCATTTGAAGATTCTGACGATCCAGAGTCAGAAGCTAGGAAAAATAAAGCCTTTCCCTTCCCTTTCCTATCTTTCTTAGCGGTCTCATCTTGAGCTTTCAATCTCTCCAGAGCTACTACCGGATCTATGGCTTGCTCTCGGGAAAAAATTGTAGCAGTGCGCCACAACCTTTGAGTGGAGGTTGGAATAGTCTCCAGTGTTGCTACGACAGAAATTGAGACTAGGTGGATACTCTATCCAGGAAAATAGGTACCTACCCAAGAAGAGGATCCTGTCGTGAAGGCCGGTCTTTTTACTTTTGAAGCAAAGCTCAAATAGATCACGTCCATTTGGGAACAAAAGCTGGTTCCCGACATGCTCCAGACGCCTCCCCTCCTTGACAAAAAATAGAAGATTCGGCAGAAACTTGTGTTCATCGTTTCTATAGATAGTGGGATGGAAAGGATTGGCTGTCACAGAATTGTCGTCGTCCAGGTGCTCCATGAGTAACGGAAGAGCCTGCCAAAGGTGGGTTATAATATCATCAAACGACATAGACTTCTTGAATGTAAGGCTTGGGTTGTTAAACCTTTGAGATTGGGCACCTAGGCCTGATTGAACCAGCTCGTTATAGAAACGGGGACTCATTTTCAAGCCAGAAGAACCTCCTTTGAGCGCAAAACATTGATCATCAAGAGCTAGCTTATTCCGATTTCTCTGTACAACAAATGACTAAATAAACAGTTTAAGAGTAATTGGGACTTACGGTTAACTGAACGCCCACGGGAATAACGTACAAAGCCCCCACTTGAAATGTATTTTCATTCTCGTCATCTTCCTATGAGGGTAAAGGTAAGAATAGCAACCAAAGTAAAAAGAAGGGTAAATATTACTTCTTTAGCTTTAGCCTGTGTGTTTCTTCTATTCTTTAAACCGTCAGAAGCCTCTTGAGCACTTTCCAGCATTGATTTGATTACAACGCTGTTAGGCCGGACAGATCGTTGTATGTCTGTAGCAGCGTTCAAGATTCTTTCAGTTTTTGAGCTGTTGCGCTCAGCCTTGGCGGGCTGAGAGATCTGGGAAGGAGGAGGTGGCTGCAAATGAGAGGGAAGGGGCTCCGAGCGTTGAGAAGGTTTAGAAGAACGGGATAAATTAGAAGCATGAGAGGAACGGGAAGAACGAGTGTAAATAGACTTTTGAAGTTTCTGTTTTGCAGTAACCTTTTTTGTCCGGTCTGCTAAGGTGCTCATAGTGGATAGAAATTGAGCCTACTTTCCAACTTCTAGCGATTTGTTGATTTGTGCGTGACACAAGTGGGCGGCAACTTAAGCGCCAACCTCCTTCCTCCAAAAGGAAACCTTTTGCGACTGCGTAAGTAGGATTAAGTAGCGGAAAACAGTAAGTGATTCATAATATGTAAATACTGTCCCCACTGTATAGCCCTAGGCATCCAGATAGAATGAGGAAGATCAATACGAAGCTCTTTTCTACCGCGCTTGCCAGTTTTGATAAATTCAAAAGCAGGATACTCGCCATTTTCCCATTCTTCTGCCCTCAGATGATAATTGGCAGGTATTACATTACTGCGATCAAACTCTTCAATAGCTTCACAAAATAGCTGCAACTTTTCTGGTTGGTGCGTGAAAGGTGATTGGTGTTTTGGGGTGGGAACTGGACAGTGTCGGTAATGAGTGGCCTGCTCTTGACGTATCTGTTCAATTACAGATATTTCCGCTTCTTTACCTGCTCCAGAGGAAGCCGGGGGGTTGTATCGTCCATGTTTCAGCTCTCCGTAAAAGCGTAAATCCTAGTAACCTAAGTTTGAGTAGGTGAAAGTGGAAGGTTATAATTTACTGACGTTGGGAGTTTGGTAGTGCCCGTGACCAGAAATTGGGTGAGAGTTCCAAGTACTGACAAACTTCTGACAGTCTTCATTGATTAGAGGTAGGAAAAGGGTTTGAAGAAGCCATATATGAGTAGGATCTTCTCTTTTGAGACCGTGAAGGCGCTCAAGACGTAAAAAGAAAGCTTTCCACTGACGAGCGAACTGGGAACCTACTTCAGGCCAAAGTCGCTCTATTTTGGTATTATGTGTAGAAGATCCCCACATAGCGCTAGCCCTGTTTGGCCCTCGAAGAAATACCATAAGTGTGGCGACTTCAATATTCTCTCCTCCCCTATCTAGTCTGACCCGCGAGGGAACTCCATATTTCTTAGCTGCTTCTGTGAAGAGATTCAAAACAGTGCTAGCCTTATTGTTCGAACTAGCTTGCAAGCCTACAACCTGAAGGTAGAGAGCGTAAAGGAGGAACAATAAAAGAACAGAAAACTACACATACCGTTCGGCTATAACCATCTACTATGCCATGTATAACTATACCCCAGAAAATAAGCTTATGGTGACCATCCAGATGCCATAACGCATGAGGTCGGGGAACTTTATAAAGTCCACGCGAAATCGTAAGTCTTCGTCGGAGCCGTGAGCCCAGGCGATCCACTCTTTTCAGGGAGTCCTTGACCCGCTGACGCTGAAGCCTATAACCTTTTTGTCGTAGGAAGCCCATAACATATCCAAGACCAGATGCAGGGTTTGTTTCCTTGAAACGTTTAGTTAATTTGTCCAAGTCTGCGTTAGTTATAGGGCAGAATCTATAGTCAATGCCGTTCTCCTTCAGACGGGTGCGGAGTGTCTGTCTATGGATACCAAGACAACTTGCTAGCTTGGTAAGAGTAACCCTCCTTGCGCCATTAGTAGCCTCCTGTAGAAGTCTAGGAGCAATCAATTTCCTGGGCCTGCCCCGTCTTCCTGTTTTGGCCAAGAATACTGGTTCTGAATAAGATACACTAGTTTGCTCCCTGCCAGAAGGTATTAGAACTTGACCTTGACAAACGCAGAAAAATCTAATTTACCGCCCGAAAGCAGCCTCTTCCGCTTCTGCCAGTCGTCTCAACAGTTTTCCAAACTGTTGGCTGACACCCTTAATCCAGTCTAAAGACAGCCCCTCTTCATCTGCGCAGTTCTCCATATCTAGCAAGAGGGGAATAGCTTCTTGATGAATCGCATTTTTGTGAAAAATACTGCGGTGTGCATCTAAGCTGCCTGCAGAAAGTGAGGTGGAAGCTGGAGAATAAAGGTGTTCCAGAAGAGAGGCGGCATGATACACCTGAGGAGAATAAGGAAGTTCTCGATGAGGTAGCGGATTCAGCTTCATAGGAGTTGACAGTAGAATTGGGCGTCTAACAATCCCTGGCTAAATTGAATATTTATTTATTACAATACGAAATCGTTGTGAACCCAGCCGTTTCCGTCTCTCTTGTAGGATTCCCCATCTTTATCTGAATGTAATACTAGAGAAGATCTGATTCCTTGATAATGAAGATTGAAATGTGTGTAGCGTCTTGAAGGAAAAGCCACAAAGTCCCCGTTAAACATTTCCAGCACCAACTTTGGCTCAAAAAAACACAATTCCCCGCCTGAGCAACTACTGATCACTAAAACTATACAACCTTTTTGATCTTGCTGATCTTTATGAGCCAAGGTGGCGCAGTTGAGATTGATCACAATACTTCTGAAAGGGCGCCCTGGAGTGGAATCGTAAAGGGGAACGATGTCAATTTCCCCAGCCAAACCTTGGAAGAAATCTGGTAGTCGGGTAATAGTCTGACGAAAAATTTAGTAAACAGTTCCTACGCACGTAAATCCTTTTTTTACCTTGCTGGCTATGTATTCCAGAGTATCTTCCAGAGCAATACACAAAAGCTCGTAAGGTTCTGGATACCTTCTCATATCAGCTGAAGCGTATACGTGAAACTGAGACGTGTTGGTTTTTTTTTCTTCCGTTCTTCTAAGCAAATGGGGATGGATATCTGTTGGCGCATTTTTGCCCTATATAACCCTTAGCTCAGATTCTGAAATAAGAAAACTCCGAAAGCTTACGTTAACCCCGTATTTAGCGTGGTAGGAAAAATGTAGAGCAGTGAAAGCAGTATTGGAGGAAGAATCCGTAGTCTTCAAATCCATGCCAAACATAGACAAGCTGGCTGTTTGACACCAGGCCTTTAGAGAATTGAACAGATTGGTCCGGACTTCTGAACTGAGAGTCCCATCGATGTGGAAAATCAATTTGCCGTCCTGATCCCACAAGTTAATCTCTCTCCTATATAAGCACAGAGCAGAAACTTAGCACTAATAATACGGAGAATGAATTTATCTTACCCTGCGATAATATGTTGAGGGACTTTTAGCCATTTCTGATTTTTTCTAATCTTTCCCGTAACCTGGTCGTATCTATCCTTCAGCTGGAGGGAAGTTAGATAATGATCCAAGAAGCGGGTAATAAGAACAAACTTTTTCTGCCAACTCTTCTGTATTTCCAGGACTAATAGCTTTCGAAGCTGCTGCGCGTTTTTCTTCTGTCCAAGTTTTACGTGAAGATATTTTAGCTGGAAACGGGTTACTCTTTCCAATCGAATCTTCTCTGAACCAACTCTTCAATTGAAGGATATTACCCTCCTCAGGACTCCCTCCGTAGGAGCTAGCAAACTGATTATCTGATGTGGAAAATCCTTCTCCCCTCTCCCGATAGTCGAAATCTAGTCCAGGTTCCCAGGCGTCCAAGTCTTGGTCCATGTCTTCAACCCCAGATGACTGGGTAAGGTATCGGTTCCCAAGGTTGTTAAAAGAAATAGGATCGTCTCCTTCCTCTGGTGCAAAAGATAAAACTGGTTCCCATATTTCTTCTTTACGTGCGAGATTGAATGAGGCCCTGAAAAATTAAAAGATTACTGTTAGCGTATTGAGGGAAAACAATGAAACCACCTTTGGTGAAAGCTATCAAAATACCGATCACTGGTTACAAGGTCCTGGCAGAGAAGAATTTTGGGAATGTTTTTCCGTTTTTGAATAATAGGAGAATATAATGTGGGGATCTGAAGAGGAATCAATTTTTGTAATTTTGCGATAGCGGGAACTAGACGATCTGCCACAAATGACCTAGGTACTAAAGAGTTTTGAGGAATTTTGTTCGTTCTTCAACTATACACTCACAAGGGTTATCTGGCCACCGTAGGTCGTTACACAGAGCAAATAATACAGTACTGCTAACTGCTTTCGATCTTAATTTAGAAGCTAAACCAGGTTGTCCAGCTATTATCAACAAGAGATAGATAGAACCTTTGAATCAAAATTAATTACTCTGTGACCGCTAGAATTGAGCCTTTCCACTTACCGGCTGAAGCTAGACGCCCCCAGCGTGAGCCCGCGTTCAACCAATTATGCATATTATTTCGGGTTATACCTTCGCTTACAACGCTAGTCATTGCGGGATAGGCACTTGAGAGTGGGGCCCCGTCCTTGGAATTCTCGTGAAGTATACTGTAATGAGCCTTGAAAAACAGTTCCCAAAAACTCAGTAAAAGCTTACCTGTTCACTTTTGCTGCCAGAAACAGTTCGCACATCATTCTGACAAAGGTAGCCCCAGTATCTATCTTTTCAGCCCTACTACATCTTTGAGCTAGATGAAGCAAGGAGTAGCTACTCAGCGCTCCGGATGCTTCCTCCCAATCCACACAAGCCACAATTCGTAGGATATCTTCTGCCCAAACATCAGTTCCCCAACCAGCCCCCCCAGTCAAACGCAACATTAACCCCAAAGATGCATCGGTAACCTCTTTGGGTGGAGCGCGGGGGTGAAGGCTGGCTTCATAAAGAAACTGCTGTCCAGTATCCTCCTCCTCCTCCTCCCCCCGTTCTCCTGAAGCCAGGTTGGTCCGATGATTGACCTGCAGTCTCTTGCGTGAAGCGGAGGCCCCGTTACGATTGCAATCTGGTCTTGCGTCAGCTACCCCTGGTACCGCTACCCTGGCAGGAACCTCTTCCCCAAGAGATTCACGTAAACGTCGTCGCTTGCGGGAGGCTGGATCTTCGTGTGCCGTGGCAAAATGAGAAGAAACAGGATCAGTACGTGAGCCTGGCTGCCCTGCAGTAGAGTTGACTAAGGGCCCCCTCTGTTCCTCCTCTGATAGGGATAAGATTAGAGGGTCTAAGTCTGAGAGGAAGATTGCGTCCTCCTTCTGATGAGAGTCACAGGCCTGGCGGGTATTGAAGTCGGGGTCATCCAATTCGCGGTCGCCCAATTCGCAGTCGTCCCATTCGCGGTCATCCAATTCGCGATCATCCAATTCGCGATCATCCCATTCGTGGTCATCCAATTTGCGATCGTCCCATTTGCGATCGTCCCGTTCACGATTGTCCCGTTCGCCATCGTCCCATTCGCGATCGTCCCATTCACGTTCGCCCAATTTGCGGTCGTCCAATTTGCGGTCGTCCAATTCGCGGTCGTTGAGAAGCTCGTCTAGGAGAGCTTCAAGGAGTGAGTCAGGGTCTGCAGAATCTTCGCGATGCTGGTCGCTGGGGAAAGGGTTCTCGTTGGCAAGGCCGGGATCTTCTTGTGGCCCGTAGTAGAATGGGTGGCCGAGGAGCGCTCCATCCTTAGCTTTGCCTTGGTCTAAGGCCTTGGGGAGCGCGCCCTGCGTGAGCGAATCCTGCGCGTAGTTGTGGGTGCTGTTGCTGGTGTTGTGGGCGTCGTAGTTGTTGTAGTTGTTGTGGTTGCGGGAGTTGGCGCCAGTATCCGGAGCGTAGTTCGCTGCGCCGGCGTCATCCCGCAGACCTTGGCCTTCTCCTCCCAACTCTGAGCCAGCTCCGTAGTCAGAGGTAGAAGCAGGAGAAGGAGGTCTCGAGAAGTTCTGGAAAGCTTAACTTAGCAGTTTCCCCAGGATAGTCAGGAGTGATTGCGTACCTCTGGAGCCAAATCTGAGTCTGCTACCTGGATTCCCACCTCACAAGTTGTCCTAGGCTGTGAAAGGAGCCCAGGAGACCTAAGTCTAGCTCTAGCCAAAGAAATACTGCTGGTCCTAGGGAGTCTCTCTGGGGAAGGAGATGGGGTAGGAAAAGAAGGAGCAGAGGAATTGAGGGCCAGTTGAGCTTGAAGGCAGGCAGGCAGAGACTTCAGGTCATCAGAAAGATGGGAGCCTTGAAGAAGAAGAAGGGTATGAAGAGCCTGCAGTTGAGTTACAGAAAGACTGAGATCAGCCATAATTAGCCTGTGAATTGAGCCAAGAAGGTGGAGGCCGAAAAAGGCAAACCTGTCTGAAATCCCTGCTTTGCCTAATTGAGCGTCCACTTCCAAAGCTGTGCAGCTATAAGCGCCAGATAAGCGCGCGCCTAACCCAACAAACTTGAGATTGAAGAGCAGAACTTGCTCCTTGCTATCGCTTGGTCTAATGGCAAAGGTCAGCCACCTGACTGGCAGGATTTCATTGGCATCATCCTTCTGCTGCTGATCACAATACCGACTCGGACGACCGTAAATAAATTGTATCTCTGGACACCAACCTCCTTCCAGTTCAACCTTTGTCCCACCTATTTACGATTCCCCACGAGTTTTCAGCTGCCCCGGATGTAGGTTGGCCTGATATATTCAACTCTGGTGTTCTAGTGCTTTCTCCGGGTGAAGAGAAATTTTCGGAGCTTCGGGAACTCTTAAAAATGAACGGAAGTTGGGATGGTGGGGTTCAGAGAATTCTCAACGAGTGGAGAGGAGATAATTGGAACAGACTTAGCTTCACGCACAACACTACTCCAACGGCAGCTTACACGTAAGTTTCGCAACTCCCTTGGATATAGTGCCGAGTATACAGCGATACGCTTCCTGACTTGGGCGTCAACCCCCGCCCATTGTACCTTTTGATAGCGAAGATTACCGGCGAGGGAAAAAGAGCTGGGATGAGCAAACTGATGCTAGTAGCCGAGATGGAGACGATGAAGACAATACCGACTCGGATGATGATGAACGATCCGAAAGAACGTGGGTTCGCACCCGCCATGGCGACCACGTTGGCATTAGAAGGCGTTATAGTAGAAGACGAACTGCTTCTGGCTGGCGGTTGCACAGCTGTGGGTGATTCCTTAAATCCAAACTCGCGAGAAGAAAGAGGATCTAGAGTCGGAGAAGTACGTGAGTTGGATGCGTCATTCAGTGGTAGTGCTCTTGGAACTGATGATGTGTCCATGGGGGTGGTCTTGAGTTACCCGTCTGGAGCGTTAGAGAGCTTCTTCTCGGGCTTCCAATTTTCTGATCTTGCAATAGTTTTGGTGTGTTCGATACCTTTGGCTAGTTCGATACCTTTGGCTAATCCACAAGAATAGAAACTTAAACGGCCTGCTCCCGCATTTCTGGAGAAATATTCTGAACGCCACATACTGGATATTCTTTCTTTTTGGATTTCACACCTTAACTCACCGATGAACCTAGACAAGCCGGATACAGGAGTTTCGTTGTCACTATCGGCGAGTCGGCTGACCACTCCGCAAGGCCCCAAGGCTTTGTGTAATACATCAAACAACTTGATGATCACTTCCCCTCCTTCGTCTGCTGGTCCTGTATCGCCTCACGAAGGACAGCCTATCTCCTCAGTAGTGTCTTCCAGAAAAGCTGGGCGAGTGTTTGACCTTGCAAGAGGTGTCGAATTGTTCAAACGTGGATCAGAGGAAGTTTTGGCTAGGTTTCTAAAAATGAGCTCATGGGAGGAAGAGTCCTCTCCTCAGTGGCGATTCGGTGCTGTCATCGTAGTAGTATCTCATTTCTGAATTACGATTATTGTCTTTTTCTTTTTTTCCTGTTGTATGTCTTCCTGCGTTTTGGTCGCATCTCATCTCTCCTGCTTCCCTACTGTCTGAAGACTGTTTCATCCTTTTTCTATTCTCGCTGTGTTGCCCTCTTTATGAACGGGCCTCTTCACTCTTTTAGATCAAAACACTCATTAGATTTTCATTTCACGAACCACAAGATCTAACTGTCTACGTCTCTACATCGCGTTCGTATCAACCCCACCTGTTAACCTCCGTAGCCCCTCTTTTTCTTTCTTTGCATGTGTGCCAAGTGCAAGTTGCGTTCTTTCTTGGTTCTTCCGTTTGCATATTTTCAAGCGAATTTTCCCTTCAGGAATCTCTTTATACCCCAATTGCAGTTCCATATTTTAATTTGAATAAAATAGTCAACGTTGGATGTTGAATCCATGGCGACACGGGCGTCAAAAACCATACTCATTCTTGCTCTCACCTGTTCACAAGATAAAAGTTGATCCCTCTCTCAAGCAACACATATCCAGATAGACACAGATTTAGGGCTATGAGTACTGAGTACGGAGTATATAGTTCAAACTTCAGCTAGAAGTAAGTTAACGGCGATTAGAAGAAGGGCTTGAAGTACAGAGGGGTTTACCTACCGTTCCCTGGAGCTGGACCTCTTCTAGGGACGTGGTATATGTCCTCAATTGAAGCTACTGCTTCTTCCACCAGTTCCTTCATCCCAGGATAATCGCTTTTCCTTGATAACCAACTCAACATGCGTGCTTTGCAAGACGGATTTACTTTGGGGAAATCTGTGTTTTGTAGTAGTTCAAGAAGCTCCCTGTAGGTGAGAGGCTTCTGGAAGTGAAGGAGAAGATAGCCAATGTTCTCTTTCCAAACCAATTTCCAGGCCTTTTGACATTCTTTATGGGTTAAACAAAGATCAGCTTCTTCTTGCTGGTCCTTATCTGCGAGTTTGAGAGCAAACGACCTCTGAGATACTTCGGTGAGTAAACGCTGAATGTTCTCCCGGGTTCTAGCTATGGTCGGATAGGCAGCTGCTATCTGCTGAGCCTCAGAGTTCGTTATTTCACCAAGAGGCCTCCGGATAAGATCCTTGACTGCTGGACCAACCCAATAATGAACCTCTGGAAGGTGATGAAAATCACCAACCAGTTGTAACATCCTAGCAGAAGGTAGACGTAAACTTTCCAGACCACTGACAGCGTAAGAAATCCCATCCTCGGCCTTCAAGGTTGAAGAGACCCTCAGAAGATTCACCAGACTTTCTTCCGTTATCTTGAAAGGTCGCCACTCTCTACCGTAACATAATTAAAGATAATAATTGGGGAAGGAAAAAAAAAGTTACCTATCATGAATCCAATCAAGGAAACCAGTGAATTCTCGAGTTGTGAAAGGCAAGATCACTGGATTTTCTTCCGTCCCTTCAACACTGTCTAACACCTGGGTCAAGAAGTTGGCCAAAACAGGAGCGTGAAGCTCTAGCGAAGACAAATGGAGTTTGAATCGAGAATAAATGGCCTTGCCTGTCTGAGATCCAGTCAGTGATTTTACAAGTTTATTTAAATACATCTTGAAAGTGTACTTCGTCGATCTCTTGGGTCTCGATAACCACCATGCGATTGTTATGATAAAAATCCACAACATTCACAGAAATTTTACACTCTGCTTTGTCAACCAACATTTGGTTCTCGATATCCTCTGTGGATCTGGGCTTAGGTTTGGGATGGTCGGCCATCTGATTTAGTAGTAGTAGATGAAGCTCTGACTTTTGCGTCACAGTGACAGTCACATCTTTCCTTCTGGACTCTCACCTTCTACCGACAGAATTTTTCTCTAACAGCCACATCAGTTTGCAAATAGTACAGATCAGCTTCCATGTCTACTGCTCAGCCAAAATCCACCCCTCTATCTTCAAAACCCTCTGTTGTTACTGATAAAAGTCAGGAAAACCAGCAGCTCCTTCAGGTGGCTCAATCTTCAGTTTGTCGCTCATGCAACATCAAACAAAGCAGTAAGTTTCTGGCCTTATCTCCATTCTGGTTTCTTATCTCAAGTCTTTCTGTGCTCTGCTATACAGATGTCAAAGTTGAGCAATTTTGGAAGAATTTTCCCCAGGAAGCCACCGAACAAGCCAGTAAGCTACCAATATTTTTACTACGAGATTCTGCAGTATTCAGCTGCCTTTTGTAGATATTCAGAGAGTCAACATCTGAAAAGTCTTAGTTTTCTTATCTACCGCAGTGAGTAAATTTCATGGGGACATATAGCGTATAGACAACTCATAGATTCTCTTTGGGGCTAGTGAATCATCTCCAATTTTCCTTACTTCCATTACCCTTTCCCCAGTTATTTGTTGCTGTAGTCATTGCCGTAGTCATCACCGTAAATTAAAAAGGTTTCACTGAGGAGTAAGGTTCCTGGTGAGGGAGCACACCGTTATGTAGGTACAGCTTGGACACTTCCCATTTGAGAGATGTTCTTATTACCGTAAACTATACAGTTATACCTATGTACCAAGCTGACAGTGTATTAAGCTCCCTCAGTGGCTTTGCAGACGTCATAGCAAGACACTTAGGATACTCTGACAATACAATAGCAATGAAAACTGTATATGATAGTGTCGTACCTATTGGAAATTTGGAGGCTATAAATGTTTTCTGAGGAGAACAGTTTTTCGGGAACATGAACAAGTTCTTTACTACAAAAGCAAGAAAAGCAAGTTTTCTGCTGGTTTGAATAAGTGCTGGAATCCAAATAATATTTTCTGCGGCAGATTGTTCTTTTGTGCTGAACAAAAAGAATTTGCGCTGACAAGAAAAAGTCGGGCGCACCGTGAACAAGTCGCGCTCATGTGAAAAAGTCGGGCTACCGGGGAAAAATTCCCGCGGATTTTTTCGCCACTTGGACTAGCATACAGTGCCCACTGGCATCTGCAGAAGTTGCTCAGGCTAGCATTTTCCACAGATTCCGGGTTACAAGCAATGTTTGTCATTCGATTCCAGTAAGTGATATCAGCTTAGGTATGTACGGACAACTCGGAACGAGAACGAATTCAACACAACAATTCGGTCCTGTCAGGTCTTGATGCGGTCGCGTCATTTTCGCTAGTGAACGCGGGAGATCCAGGCAAAATTTAGGAATAGCACGGAGGATGGAACGGAATTCTTTAATCACTGAGGTCCCAGTTAATGGTTCCGGTCCTTTCCCCCCCGTGACGAGAACTTGCAACTTGCAATCTGACTACATTTGGCCCACTCAGGTAAATAGGCGTCACCCAAGCGCCCTGCTATTGATGATCAAGGGGTTTATGGCGCTATGACGCAGCGCCAGCGTAGAAGTACGTGGTTCAAGCCTTCTTTCAATTGCAATCTTTGCGCAGTCCTAACAATAGCGTCTGAAACGCGAAACACCTCCTATCTACATGCATACACGTAGTATCAGTGTTAACTAACACGTCGAACGACACGCTCCGACACGTTGATTCCAGAGACCTGAAAGCAGTTCTTGGGCGACCGAAACTTCGAAGATGCTCAGTGTATCGAACACTCCCATCCTCAGCCGAGTTTCATCGGGAATATCTTGCTCATATACAGATCAACGTCCGCGTCGCTCTACCTTGATTTGTCAACAATATCTTTCTATCTCAGGATATGAAGCTTGAATGATTCAGAACGAGGTCTTTATTCATTTCAATCGTAAGTTTCATCCGTCTTTGGATCCCGGGAGCCAGAGGCATAAAATAATTCACCGGAATTAGGCGGGACTCTCGGTTGTCCCTGGATGGGGCACCATTTTCCTTTCCTCTTTCTCCGTCTATCCGGTTCATGATAGGCAAACAATTCATACTTTTGCCAATTTCTGCTCTCTATCATATAAACGGATAACTGATTGTATATTCTGGTCAAAAGCATGGTCCACCCCAGTGATATTTCAAGCCTCGGCTTCCGAATTCATTACATCCGATTCGCACAAAAGTGTTTTGTCTATCGTTTTGTTTTGCAACACCACAACTCCAATGGATTTCGACGAGCAGGGCACCAATACAGGAGATCCGAACAGTGCGGCACGTAACGAATTGTAATCAACGCCTCCTTCGATCAACCTTCAACCCTCAACCCCAGAGCTTACCACACTCATCCTTTCCTCTTGCAGCCATCATCAACTCGTTATACCCTGGGCCTCGACATTGTTTATTCACCACTACTACGACGAGGAAGACAACTTGACCTCGACCCCGGTCAGGTCTAGTCCTACACAGACTCCGTAAGTGTCAGGCCTGTCTCTCAGGTAAGCAGAGTTGAACATCGAGACAGAGGTAATGTCTCTTACTTCGCCTGTTGCAACCCGTGTCTAATTTCTTTCGAAGAAATCCATGAACAAGAACTGTCCCATTTCTGGTTCCGATATCAACATGCAACGGCGATTTCCCAATGAAATTTCCAGCATCGTTGTTGACTATCTTGTCGACGACCCTCCCGCTCTCCAGAATGTCGCTCTACTATGCCATGATTTTGCAAGCCTGGCACAATCGCGCATCTTTGAGCAGGTCAGCTTAGAAGACGGTTCAAAGTTGGCATCTGGTTATATGCCGTGGTCCAGGTGGTCCAGGTACCAACGGCATGATTACGCTCCCCTCATGTACCGGTTCAATGCCCTATTGAGCAATCCTCAGACGGGTTTCCTAGGAAAATTTGTTCGAAGACTCGACTTGGATCCATGCTTGGGTCCCCTCAGAAACATGGAGCATACCGAGGTCGATGTGACCATTTCTTCCATCTTTCAACAATTACCTGCCTTGACGGAGCTCAGAATCAATCACGGACGCGGCGAACACTTTGGAGCTGTCGAAACGTATCTAAGTCAACAGTTGAAGGAATTATGGATCGGACATACCACTATTCATGAACAAAAATGCTTCGAATATTTCCAAAACATGCTCACCTCTCTTACTGCCTTGACGCGTCTTTCTATCAATAATTGTTCTCTTAGTCACCCCCCAGACGTCGGGTCAAACCCTATACGCGCGCTCATTTTCCCGAGTTCATTGAAAGCAGCTTGTATCACAGGTACAGATGAGCGTACTTTCCGTGCCCTTGGACTAGGATTAGAATGTCCTCAAGCTCCAGTGTTATCCTCCTTTCTTTCGGATTTTCGGAATGAAGTGGAAGATCCGAAGTATACTTTGGAAAGGACTCGGGACCAACAGTTCGATTATTTTAGATGTAGGAAACATGATGTATTGGCCCGGTGGCCTTACAATGTGGAACAGAGCTGACCCAATAACTTCCTACTTGCCGGGTGAGCATTCAACTATTATGTTCACTAGCAAATTTCCATTTATCTTTCATAGCTATGATCTCCGTCACTAGAGGGATAGAAGGCCCCAACCTAACACTATGTTGCTCGCAGTTTTATCAACTGATTGCATATTTCGCCCACTTTATTTCCGTACTTCCCGAATCCGTTCGAAGAATATGTATCGATTTCAATGCTGGAGCTACCGATGGACCTCCAGATCTTCATCATCTGGATGGGTGGGTCAAACTAGATGATACTCTTATGGATAGACATGCGATCGGATTGCTGGAAAGTGTCTGCTTTAGGTGCACGAAACGTACCATATCTGGTAATGGTCCATCGTTCAAGAGTGGTTCTTCTCTTGACCGAACAATTTTAAATCGTGTATCTGGATTGTTACATCGGTCAGATGAGGCAGGAATGCTCGAGATCGACTATACCACACTCATCTTTAAATTTTAGCGTCTACGTATGTACTGGAAGAATTTTGGCCCCAATTCACAATCATTCCGAGCGTCATGTTGCCTTCGTCAGGCTCACGTATATCATTTAATAGCCTGACATAAGTGCTAATCTCCTCAAGAGCTTCAAGAAACTAAAATCTGGTCAAAATTAGTAGTCCTCAGGCAAAATATCGTATTCAATTACTCCGAACAGTCTTCGAGCCATGCAAAATGCATAGGGAATGCTGGATAGATGTCTCTCCATGATGAAACACCTTAGTACTGATCCTGAAGTTATATCATAAATACCGAGGCGACAGGGGCTACAGTTCGAGGAAGAGACGAGGAGTAAACACAATGGAACGACTATACACCCAGAGCTATTAATTGGTTTGCGCTCCGACAGCCTGCAAAACAGCAAGGAATAATTATAATCAGACTTACACACGAAAAAAGAGATCAGATACGTACCAGACGTTTCAAGTATTCCATGAACACCTGCAAGCTAACATCATCCGTGAAGATAGCCTGTCCGGACCCTGCAGCGGACGACTGCCCATACATAGTTGCAGACATGTGGGTCGTTGATGGATTTAATTTGGATAGTAGGAACCGCGCTTGACTACCTCCTTGGTCACAGACAATGTACCGAGGAATGGGAGTTCGCTCGCCAAGGAGATCCTAAAAAAAGGGTGCGGGATCAGCGCGCGATTTCATACCTCCAAAAATAAAGGCTCACCTGAGCATCTTGGACGGGAGCCTCCAATAACTCTTTGAAATTTTCATATCCCTCCTGGTCCTGGTAGCCTTGTTTTCTCCACTGAGCAACAACCTCTCCGTGCCAAATCAGGATATGGAAGAACGTATCGAGAAGCAGGACGACATCGGGCTTGATAGAAACACTGTCCAGCAGTACAGGTTGCGGTGGCGTGTCAAAGGTGTACGACATGAGTGTTGGCTGAATCATGATAAGAGAGTTGTTGACATCCTCTTCATTTAGGACATGTCTAAGAACAGTTAAACGTGAAAGAGTAACAGATTTATTATCCGCGTACCTGTAGAACGCAGTCTCATCAGGACTGTTGTTGAAAACTTGTAAAAACTGACTCCTCCGTAAATGGAACATGAATTGTGGGTAGATGCTGAAGTTGTCCGTAAGCCGGAAACTGGTCGGGTCTTCTTTCCTGTAGTCGGCGAACTTTTGGCACAGACGTATAAGCATACGGTCAACCCATCGAAGAACATCAGGCGATTCGTCAACTTCCGCTTTGAACACGGCTACCCTGGCCATGAGAACAGCAGCCGTCTCTTGGTCGAACGATGCAGCAATGTTGGGTGATCCTGCCTCGGCAAAATTCCGTGCAATGGTGGTAACCCGTAGTCGTTGTTGACCAGAAGCATGTTGGTAGTGAGTAACGAACTGTATGAGACCACGCGATCCAGGCTGGAGAGGCTGCCCGGCGGGAGTAACGACTTCAAAGTACACACCCGCCGATGTTCGTGGTGTCAAGGTGTTGATCTTCCAAGCAGATGTTTGTCCAATGCCGATCTCTGTTTCGCCGACGCATCCCGACTTTTTGCCTGCAGAAATAGCGTGTCCAATCATGCCAGAAACTTTGAGTTCTTTTGTCGTCTAAAAATGAACGGGGTTCACAGTTATCGCCGGAAGAATCATCATGAGTACAAACCTGTACGTCGAAAGTGGCATTGAAGCCCATTTGCAATTGACCCTGTTCGTCCTTGTTGAATATACGTAAGAAACTCTGTTTGAAGATTGACGTTGCGAAAGAATCAGACAACACGATAACACCGTTTGTCGAATTGGGCAACGATTTCATCTCGAGCAGACCGACTTGATCGAGACACCCAGCGAACAGATCGACGGCGTGACCATTGTTTGAAGCGCGTTTAGCAAGTCCTTCGTAGAACTGCCATGACGTCAATTTCGACAACACCGAACAAGTGAAGGAATTTCAAACCTTCATAGCCCGTTTATAGTGCTTAGCACTGTCCCTATCAATATCGTGATGTGAACGAATAGGCTCTTTCAGCTCGTTGCTAACAACCATTCCTGGGCCTTCTGTGGCAGGCCCACCAGTAAACAACATGATACGAGCACCAGTGTTAGGATAAGTGGTTTCCAAGAGACCGATAGCAACACTCAAAGCTCCACCAGTGCATCGCAACGCCCGTTTGTCGTTGGCGACAGGCCATGGGTCGCGTGTGAGTGACTCGAGGATTCCTGTGAGCTGGAACTCGCATTGTTGGACAGGGAGCAGGAAGCGAGAGGCACCAAAAGCTTGAGGAGGCATAGGTTGTCCGGGGCGAGGAGCAGCACGGTTCGTGGAGCTAAGCCCGAGCATATCTTGTATTTGTTTCGGTTGGTACTCTTTTCCGCCACGGAAAACATAAGATTTGCTGCATTCAGGATAGCCGATTTCGTGGACTTGTGTCTATGACTTAGTCAGAAAAATAAAAGACTTGGGCGCGGGCGAGTGCTAATTACCATGGTCCCATAAGTGAGCAATCCTACCAGTGCGTACGGAGGTATCAAACTGAGACTGACAACAAGAGCGTCGCGTAAAGCCTTCAGATCATCCTCATCGAGACAGGTATCGACGACGAAAAGGAATATTGGAGGAACCTGAGCGGGTCGAGAAAGTGTGTACTCGATGGTGGTGTATTTTGGTAAAAGTTCAGCAGGGAGATTCGTGTTGGAAATATCTTTATAATGTGGAGGAAAGGCATTACGAGTAAGGCAGAAGGGACAAATCCAGAGCTTTGCTCTGATATCTATTTGACTGAAGGAATTTGAGAACTATATTCTGTCTGCAGGTCACTATCACATACCAATACGGATTTAGGATTGCACGACATGGCGGCTTGCAAGCCACGGGTTCATAGAGCACGGGAGGCAAGTCTTCCCTTACTTTCAAAGGCGTATAAAGAGCTGAGATTGGGACGACCGTTCGAGTTGCTTCAATGCGAGAAGAGGGCCAAACGTTCCACGATAATCGAACACCTGAAAGTAAAGTACAGTCAACACAAGAAAAAAGTCACATATCAGCAAGACGCACCATCTCGCTCCTCTACATCTTCAAAGTCCAGCATTTTAGTTGTAGAGTATGCCTCTAAAGGTTAGAGAAAAACAACCGACACGTATCAAGCAGGAACAAATACAATGATATGCTTAAGCGCTTGTACTGCCACCCGCAAGATATGCCGAGATGCCGACGCCTCCAAGGAGGAGTCTCTCTTCATCATGAAAAATTATCTCTTCTCTCCGCCTTGCCTCCACCACTCGTCTGTTTAGTTGGATTTATAGCGCCTGTTGACACTCCTTGAACTCGATCGTATATTTACGAAGGATATCTTCTGAAGACAGCCATTCGTCGTCCGAGTCGTTTCAACTTTGAATCTGCCATCATGATGGCTCAAAGGATTTCGCAAAAATCCAGGAATACGTCGGAGGTCCTGAACACCTTACCCAGGAGGGTCTCTGAGATAATAAACGAGGTCCAACTCTCCTCATCTAACCACCATAAAAATAAAGTTGCCCTTCATAGGGTCTATGTCGATGCGATTTCAATACGTGAGGTAGTCAAAGATGGATGCGTCTTAACCGGCATGCATAAATTCAAACATGCCATCTATCTCATGGTCATCCGACTACTTGACGCAGAAAAGGGTGCCTCCGGAGATCGTGTGGCCAAATTCCTTGTTGAGTTCATTAAGTATCTCCTTGAAGAAGGTAAGACATATTCATCACATCTAACATCCATCGACCAGGCATCATAACAATCTCTTGTAGAAGATTTTCATGAATATGAACAAGACTCGAATAAAATTCAAGGATCCATCGCTCAAACGTTCACGAATCAATTTGTTCAGCAACTGCTTAAAAAAGGCTGTGCCGCGAAAGAGAAGAATATTCGATACAGAAGTGTAGCTTTATGTGCCAACATTGCCCTTGGCTTGGTCCAGATCCAGTAAGTGCTCTTGTGTAGTAGTTCAATGTTTGTCCTACATTTTTCATCGCAGTGAATCACTCTATTATTCTTTACGCGAAATACTCTTTGATCGAATCAACGACGAAGATTGGACCATTCGGGAACATGCAGCAATTGCGCTATGTACTTTTCATAGGGTGGATGATCCTGAGGAGCTTGAGGCCAAAGGTTTAACCTCATCGTCCGACGTTTTACTTGACTCTTTGTCCAATGACACCAAGCAGTATGCATTGCTTTTTCTTTATTGAAAGTCCATGGCTAACTTTCGTTAAAGAAACGTCCGCCTTTCTATATTGAAGAATCTAGACATCAGGGAAGATACAATTGATTACATTCTTGACCGCACTCGGGACACGGTTGTCGAAGTTAGGAAAGAAGTCTACTCCTTACTGGAAAAGAATGTACTCATCGGTGACGAGGATGACAAAGACGACTTGGAAATGGGTAGGATGCACCCAAAAATATTATCAAATGCGCATCGCGATCTTATCATCAAAAATGGGCTGGGCGATCGGGACCCTAGTGTTCGAGACTCTGCTGTCAAACTTTTGACTAAGTGGGTAGATAGCATCACCATAGGGGACGTGTGGCAAGATAGACCTCAAGGGAGCATGCAGGAAACAAATCTTTTCAAATTATTGACGTTGTTCAACCTACGTGCCAATGACACACTTTCTGAAGCCATCATCAAGGTGTTTGAGACAAATCCGAGAATTTGCAACGATGTTCTTTTTTGCAACACCGACTGGTTATCATTGACTCCGGAGACAGCCTTTCTTGAACGAGTTTACTTCCAATATTGTGTCAAAAACAAATGTATCACGCAGCTCGCCGAGGTGCATCCGGTCGTCATGGATTTTGCATTTTACATGCAAGAGTACTTCAATGGTATGGTCGATGTCATTCAAAGGTACCAGGAAGAGGCATCCAATACCAATCTCGATGATGTGGCCCGTGCAATCCTTCAAGCTCAAGTGGATGATCAAGAATTGATCACCTCCGAAGTGCTCAAAATCGCAATCCACCTTGATTATGGAGATGAAATTGGACGGAGAAAAATGGAACAGCTTGTTCGTAAGTTTCTTTTTTTTTGATTCTTCTCCAACCCCGTCAATGTTGAAGTCATACAGGGGACTTCCTGATCCACGAAGATCTTCCGGTAGGGCTTATAGGACCATGTGTAGAATTACTGAGAGAGATAACAGTTAATGAGCACGAATTGATCCACATTGTCAATCACATTATCATACCAACTGTCCTTCGCAACAGCGAGGTGAGATACAATTCATTCCATGGCGGGTCAACCGTTGACGACTCGGCGAGTAAAATAGGTTGATGTTGACCAAGTTTGTGCAAACTTTGATGCTCTCGATGTAACTTCATTCCCGTCTCAACGACAACAGGCCCGCGAATATTCAGCTGGTAGTCAAGGGCAGAAGGGGAAGGTAACTGCTCGTTGTTTGTGTATTTGCGAGTCCATGCTCGTGCTTGTCAATGTGGTATAGAAATATTGCATGTTCTTATTCTACCAGTACTCACGACACATATTTTCCAGATAATCAAAGAACATTCTCCAATTCGCAACATTGCTGACCTCGTGTATTCTGCGGTCGAGAGAGAAACAGACGATGAAATTAAGGAAATGGCATTTCGATGTTTTGCCCTCATTGGTCTTATCTATCCGAGTGTCGCCGCGAAGGCATTGAAATTCTTTCTGGGACATATGGCAAACCACGATATGCCAGACGAATTAAGGTTACTTGCTACCCAAGTTAGTTTTGACCTACTACTGTGGTATGGTGAAGAGAATATGCACAAATGGTGCAACGTAGGTGTTCCAGCCTGTCTTGAACATTTTTAGGGTTTTAAATTTAATGCTATCTCTTGTGTGTCGCAGGTTGATCATTTGGTCATTCATTTTGTCGAGGCACTGGACGAAGAGGAACCTACAGATGACATGCGGGTTCTCCTTTGTGAAGGACTAGTGAAATTGATGAATGCAGGGGTACTTGTAGATGAACAGGTACATTAATGACATGATCATCTTTGCTTATAATAGCCTGATTCTCTTTCTTGGAATATGTATAGATCACCAATCTCCTCATTGAGAACTACTTCTCTCCTGAATATACCAAAAATCAAAGTCTCAAACAGTGTTTGTCATTTTTTGTTCACAAGTACTGTGCACTCCTACCGGATAACCAAGAAAGGATTTCTAAAGTATGCCAATTTCTTGGTGTTGATATACTAGCATCTGACTGATATGACTTAAACAGACATTTGTACATGCCTTTCTGAAATTGTGTGATAAATTGGACACAGATGGGCTTCCTCTCATAGCCCAATTTGTTGACATGTTCTTGACATGGACTCATCCCAAGTATATTCAGTGGGCATTTTATAATCTACCTCTCCCAATCATGGAGCTCAACTTCTCCATTTCTCAGGGAACAAGACAAACTGAGGAAGTGTGGTGTCAACCTGGATACATGCATACATTTAAATCTGGCTTTCCGAATCATTAGAGAACTTCTGCAAGAGGATAGTCTCAGGGTACCCAGTAAGTAGGACTGTCTTGTGCTTTGTCATGACTGTTGAAATTGTTATTTGTGTAGAAGAGCACAAAAAGATACTTCTCCAGGTGTTTTCGCATAAACTGTATCTACCAGACCATATTGATGATGTCGAAGTTCGACATTTCAAAATGCTGCTTGACAAGATTCCTTCGGTGAGTTTGGTTCCCACAAATCTGCAGTCTAGTAACCTATGGATTTTCTATGTTGTAGTTTTTCCATCTTGATGCCTCGTCGAAGAAAGGTTTCGAAAAATTCCAACTGGATTTTGCAAAGAAATACGAGAAACAGCTGGAATTATTCACAGAAACAAATCTCCGCGCCCTCAACAAATTTCATAAGGAAATTGCTTTCTTGGACGAAATTGTTCCTTCCCGACCCGAGTCTTCAAGTCTGAATATAGGCAAATCATCAAAACGCGGTAAAAAAAGGTCTGTATCCTTTACCGATTTCAAGATAACAAATAGCTCACAGAAGTATGAATACTAAACCAGGAGATTTGCAAGCCTCACAAGTAGGTCATCTTCTGAAGCCGATGACATTTACCCTCATGGCAAAAATGGACCCTCAAAGTGAGCACACCCACTTGGTTCATTAGCAGTTCTCAGTGTCATGTATTGCAGACGCCCTCGTCATACTGTACAGCGAAACGAATTCGATTGGGATTCTGACTCCCTATCGCTATCAAATTCGCCGTTCTTGACACGGTCAGTGCTAGTAACCCGACTAGAGCATTCAATCGGAACTCAGTTCAATTTACTAGTGACCACGCTTCAAAAGATGTCGACGGCACTTCGAAAGAGGAGATCCTCGATGATTTGCTAATTGTCAATCAGTGAACAGAACACAACTGAGTAGCTATGAAACGGAACTTATTTCGTTACACGAATCGAATTCCGCCTCGAGTGCGAAGGGAGGTTGTGCTACGTTTGGGAAATGGGTCGAGCAACTGGGATATCGACAGCAGCGATACGATCCGTTCGTTTAGCGTGCTTTTCTGAGGTCCAAAAAGGGAGGGGGAAAAATCTAATTAAATTTTTTTTCGAACTCCTACCTACCACCTATGTACAGAAACGTAGTACCTACCCTAGATCTGGACTTTAACTATACGAACCCTCGAAACAAAGTGCGTACGCAGAGTACCTACCAGATAAGTCATAAAAGATATTGTATACCTACTTATCATGTCTTTTAGAATCAGCCAGTTGCTGTATCCATGCTCCGCTCCGACGTAAATCCAACAATCATTCCGGAGCACGAGCTAAAGAAAGTGGATGTGACGGTGTCATTCGCACCTGGTATTCCAGAACCCTAGCCCTTAGCTCCAGTTTCACAAAAAATACAGCATTGCTTAGAGCTCGTAGCATCAGAATTAGGATTCATCGCATCAATATCTGATACGAAAGGAGAGGAGAGCCATATGTAAAATAAGGCGTGGTCCATTTTATAATGGCAGGATCCGGATCGTATTCAGGACAGATGGCTGCTGAGGATATAGTCGCCGAGAAGTCTACCACGTTTCGATTGAAGATGTTAGACGGAGAACATAGTAGAGGAAGGGTAGTCAGACTCATATCGGATGGGTCAGTTCAGTCTCAGCAGAGTGCTTGATCCATGGCTTTGATTTTTTCTTGCGGAACTCGCTACATCAATAGACTAGGCTCTCATTTACAAAGAACTTGGACAGCTGAGGATGTTGACCGGTCTCCAATGGACCTTTGGTAGGATCGGGAATGGACGTCAATGGACAGAGTTGGTTAATACCTATGATACATTTGATACCAATTTAAATACACTGTATTTTGGGCTCTGCAAGAACCACTCTCTTGATATTGTATCATATCTGGCAGATTTCTATAATACCCAGCATGAAGATTTTGTATACATACTGTCCATTAATTCCAAGTGGAAATTTTGCACAGATGGATTTTGTTGCAGTACACATTCATTAATATGGTGGGTACGGGATGTCAAAATGTACAACCAAGAGAGCAAAGGAAATAGACCCAATCATCTCAAATCAATCCAGCGATCTTTTTTGCTCTTAGCACTCTCCCTCTGTCCTTCATGATATCACCCTCGAAATAGCATCCTTGCAACCATCGACTTATATCCTTCTTCTTCTCTGTCGTATCAAAATCAGACCTACCACTATCTACCGCATTTGGATCCGTAAAAGCCGTCCGCGAGTGCAACACCCGCCGATTATCGAAGATCACAACATCTCCTTCTTGTAATGTGTCCTCATATGTATTTTCGGGGCTATTGAGTAATTTGGCAAAACGTCCAAGAGCGAGATAAAAGCGGCGTAGCGCGGAGGATGACGACGAAGGGGATAAGGAGGATAAGGAGGAGCTGGAAGTTGGGCTCAGCAGAAGCGGGGCTTGAAATGGAGGTCCGTAGTTTATGCATTTGATTGGCGGGCACCGTAACCCAGGATTATAGTGATCTTCCTCGATAGTAGGGTGTGAGAAGTGTAAATGATGATCTCCATATAGATACTCGAATGGGACTGGCGTTTTCGTTAGAATATCATAATCCTCCGGATAGAAGCTTTTCAGCATTTTAGCCGCATGGAATGAATCGCTGAAGATGGAGGATCCGCCTTGGACTCTGTTCCGGATGCAGTGGAGAATCTGATATCGAGGAGGATGCTCGAAGTAGAGCAGGTCCATGTGTAGTCCGAGTTTGAGATTGGTGTATGCAATGTTCTCAGCATTAGTGTTTTGAACGTGGAAGATACGGCCGTAGAAGGTTTCCCGGATTTCGCTGGAGAACTGAAGCGCGAGATCAGTTAATGTAGGTTCGGTAGGTGTAGTGGTTGAAACGCCTTTCTGAGAGAGGAACTTATTATGAGCCGCTCGTTTTCCGAGATGAATGTACTTGCACGCACCAGAAAAAGCAATCCATGGCGACATAGTTTATCGATAGCCCGTGATAAACCAGCTGGCGTCTTGATCTCCTCATGCGATAGATATAGATCCCTACTCTGTTCAATATCTTCCTTGTCCCACGTCTCAGCTTCAACATCTTTCCGGAAACTCCCAAGATACTCTTTCGATGAGTGCCTCTTCAGGAACGATTCGGGGAAAAACGAAACATGTCCGTCAGGCCATTCTATGTGGATACCTATCCCACCTTTCGACTCGTTGTCCTCGATGATCTTCACAGTCTTGGGCCGGATATCAACATCAAAATCCGTCGAAGAGTGCAGTTTCTGCGTCGTCTCTGGATGTTTACATTCTGGTGAATGGCACGAGTCTCGGAGCCAGATATAAGGGAAAGTGGCATTATTAAGACTAGGAATCGTCAGGGAGTCGTCGTTGAGGGTCGCAGTAGTTATACGTCGATGGAGAGCAGGTGAGATGAGGATCTGCTTGGGGACGATTCGCCTGGGGAGCGAGCGGGAAAATCTACCCGGGACTAGGCGATAGAATGAGAAAGACATGTTGATGGTCCCAGATAACCAACGTTCACCTGTGATTATTATATGTCTTGTTTGACCAATCGAACATACATAATTATACTGTGTTTCTCCCACATACTGCTTTTTGTGAGCTTGAGAAGACGAAGAATTATTCTGGTTATCAGCAAAAGCACCCGAGGCTTATACAAAGCAGGTTGTAAGCGAACTGAAGACAGCATTCCGTTCGGTGTGGTTATGGTACTAAGTATTGTGAAATCGGAAATTAGCAACACGTGGTCGTGTAGATAAGCTGTGATTGCGATAACTCCGGCCAACCCGTTGGTCAACTTCTGGACCCATAACCACAGCTTGCTGGACCATGGCGTCCAACACGAACAAGAGCTTTGTCAACTGGAAAACCAACGGGAGAAACTGGATGACGAAGAGTAATGAGTTTGGCTCGCCGATGAACTTGATGAGCAAATCCTCTTCCGGACAACGCTCTGAAGCAGAGAAGAGACCGGTCTATCCTGCGACATCCACTACTGTGAGCACAAGCACTAATCCATCCAAATACTATCAAACTGAAAATAGAATCCAGGATAGTGGTCATGGAGGCTGGAGTGGAAGTATTAGTGAAGATGCGGGTTTCAATACGAGCAGAGGCGGCATAGTATGTTATCTTTTACTAATATATCTCCAGTTGCATTGATATAGATACAGGTAGATTTTTCTCAGTCTTATCCTACGGAGCGCGTGTTTCCGAGTAACGTCAATGAAGCCATCAACCCATCCAAGTTCAAGCAATGGCAGCCGTCCACGTCTAGTTTTGAGAAACGCGCAGAGCACAATTATAATCCAGCTACCAACGGACGCGGTGGTAGAGTATATCACACAGTGAGTAATGCTCTTGATTCATTCCCAAGGTGTGAAGATCTAGCTTACATGTATACATACATGTTCAGCATAATTCGCAGAAGAAGTCTTATGCACAGTCGAGTGTAACCCATAATGGACCAATTACGCTAGGCAAAGGAAAAAACAAACAGGTATCGGCGGAAACAGTCACGCATAACGTCAGCCGCAATAATTGGACTAACGATAACACCAAGGTGAATACCGTATATACTAACCAATCGAGCCTTCAACCCAAAGTTATTTACATCCCTATCAGAAATCTCAACGTCCTATCAACAAATCTTATCCATCTTTTCCTTCTCAACATTCAGTCCACCCCCCTAAGAAGCCATCTGCCCAAGTTCGAAAAGGAGTCCCACATGCGGAAGATCTGCAGCCCAACGAAGGTTTTACCGGCGTGAAAACTACGGTAGCACCCGGTGTTCCCAAGGTGCTCTCGACGTCAGGTAAAGTCAGTAAGAACGGCAATACGTTTCGTGGAGGCTGGATTCCAAAACGAGGTAACTGGACATCGAAAAGAGGAAGATGGGGTGATCAAACTGGGAAGCAAGGAAGCGGCAGAAATCCTAACCTACCTATGCGACCTGCACAACCTTCAATTACTTCCTCGGATCTTTCATCATCCAGTTCGCTCGATCCTGGCATATCCACACCACATCGTCTCCCTCCCACTGCTTTAAGCAAAGCTCTCAACAACCACCATATCATCCCTCAAAAACGGAAAATTTCGCCGAATTCTGACCCTGCTGCATCGATATCCTCATCTTCGCTAATGAGTATCTCTACTAGTAGTAGTGGGAGTGGTGCACCAAGCGGAAGCACCGGCCCGAAGGACTTTAGCCATTTGCTTCCTGCGGGGCCTTGGAAGAACGTTAAACGACGAAAGATACAGGAGCAGGAGTTAAGGCAGGAAGATGAAGTTCCACAAACTCGTGAGACTCTGAAGGAGGAGTTGGCCAATACTGGTGCAATACTTGTGGCTGACGGTCAAACCGTGGGCGAACGCACAGTGAATCTATCAGATCATGACCCAATGGAGCTCAACGCTGGAGAAATCAAAGTTGAATCTATCGATAATAGTTTTCAACTTGTATATCCTCCTTCTTCACCTGCTCCTTCTCGTCCCTCGCCTTCAAATGTGCTTCCTGCGACATCAATTACACATTCGAACTCGCAAAAAGCCTCCACTCAATCGAGCAGCGGGACTACAATTGTCAAGGCTACTCCCATCTCCACTACAAATATCAAAGACGAACCACTCGACGTTGCACTTACCGAAACCACAAAACCCAACAATCCAACTTCTGGTACCAAACGATACCACCCAATTCCTTCTTCTTGCCTCAAATTCTTCTCCGTTCCCGCCGTCAATACATCTTTCCCTAACATCCTATCCTCTTCTTCAAGCTCCAAGTCGCAACGTCCGGGTCATCAACTAGTACCAAACCCCCATTTCCGTACCGCTCGTGCCGAGTTCACCAAGCGCGCTGTTGCTGAACTTCGTGCGGAGGGTCTGGTAGTGTTGAGGGTATTGTGGCGGGACGATGGGTTTTGTGTAGATTGGGAAAAGCTTACTGTTCGAGAGAATGCAGCTATTGGTGCTGGAGAGGTGAATAGTGGAAATGGAAAGGAAGGAGCACCGGACGTGGGGACTAGGAAAGAAAAGGGTGCTGAAAACAGGAATGGTCAATTTCGGACGATGAAACAGGCATCTAGCCTCACGGGAACGAGGTTTAATAATCTTTATTCAATGGAGGATGGAGACTCGCAGGATAAATCCGAACCTCGACCGGATCCTAAACCACCGACTGAGACTTGGAGACCTGGCATAAGCAGCTCACGTCGCTCACAGCTCAAGACTGATGTAGATACCAATGTCGACATCATCGACCTCACCTTGGACGAGGAGACGCCGATACCTCCCGTTTCCGTTCTCCCTAACACCTCCAACTCTGATTCTTCTCCTGGCATTGGATCCAAAGAAAATGTCGTTGTCGAAAATGAAGATGTTCACCGTTCTGATTACAAACCTCCGCTGCTCGTTCGTCTCGGTTCCGGGCGCACTCCAACTGTAGATCCTTCTCGCCCGGTAACTGGTAGGACAAGATCGCCCTTCCTTCGTGATATTCCGCCATATCTGAAACCTCGCAAATCCTCCACAGTAGTTTTTGACTCTGGATATGAATGCGTCACAAAGTCTTCCTCTGAGTTATCTGGACTTGCTACACCTCTGGATTCAAACTTGATCAAACTTGAACCTCAATCGACGTCGCTAGTTCAATCTCAGCCTATTGTTCCTTCGGCTGTCCAACGAGTTCATGATGATTGCTTTATCAGCCCTCCAAGTGCTCAGTCTCTTTCTGCTGGGGCGAAACCACATACCGACAGCCGCCTCGAAGGTACGGAAGTCAGCCAGGCTATCTGCGTGCCGTCCCGTGACGCCGATGATTCCGGGGATGTGGAGGAGGAAATGCAGGTCCGGGATGAGCTTGGTCTCGATCTTCATGATGTGGAAGTGAGGCTGGATTCTGAAGATGACATGGATAATTCGAGGCCATTGGAGCAGTCTTCCGAATCTGTTGTTGAATTCCCGAAATCCACAAAGCGTGGCAGTTCTCAAGTCGCAAGAGAAGACGCGAGAGACTTTGGTTTTTCAAGCGCCAATGGACGTATCGAACGATTGGTCGTCGATCGGGATGAGAAAGTCAAAATGGAGCAACTGACACTTGATTTTCTTCGACGGTAATTTGAAATCACTTCTCTGGTGGGTAATCTTCTTTTACTGAGTAGCCTATATTGCAGATATATCAATTCCTGGGAATACGATCGTAGAAGTCTTTCTAGCGCCTACGCTCCGAACGCGGTGTTTTCATGCTCTGTTGTGCTCCCTGAATCGTCATCTGAGATATCCTTTGATGCAAGCCCCACACATGCCTTCGCATCACATTTTGTTACGTCGACATCCGCCTACAACTTCGATCCTTCAAGTTCAGCTTCAGCTTCATCTCGTCCGGTTCAGGGCCCACCTATCCTCATACAAACACCCACAGTCATCACACCTGCCCTTCTTCTCCTTGACCCCCAGCGGGCGTATACATTCTTTCCCCATGGGAGACAGGCAGAAGTAGCATACGACATATTATATCTCGGAACTCTTGGGAACATGGACGGTGGAACAAGCCTTGGTGTATTGGTGTATCTCGGTGTTCAAGCGGAGCTCAAGCGTCGAATACCCGAAGCCGATGATGACATTTTGAACATACTTACTAGTCCCAATGTGGATAAGAAGGAGAAGGGACGGTCGAAAGCCGGGATGGAAGGGAAACTTTGTCTCGGCTGGAACTTTGTTTTACGCGCTGGGGGTGTCAAAGACGATGATAACTTATCATTGCAGATTGTATCCCACCAGATGTTGGTTAGAGACGGACTCTAATAGATGCGAGTTCTAATCATTAGTGGCCCTACTACATACATACATATATCTTGAATGATTATCGAAGAGAAACTGATCACAAAATCAAAGTCATATTGAGGAACAAAATAATGGACACACTGGGAATTGAACCCAGCACCCCCCGCATAAGCGTAAAATGCTAAGCGGATGTGATAACCAACTACACCATGTGCCCTGTGGAATTTGGGATTAGAATGCGGCCTAGAGCAACAATGGAATGCCTGCCATATAGCAAATACATAAATAAATGCAAAAGTTAAAACCAAGCCTTCCTTCTCTCGTTCCATAAGTATAGTGCGTGTATAATCCCCCCAATCCAGAAGAGGAACGTGAGTAGGATATTGATTAGTATATCTGATACGGGCCGCTTCATTAAGAAGACCGCAACAGGGGGAAGAAGGATAGCGCACTACAACAATCAGTGTTAGATGGGTGCATGCCAATGAGTATACTAGAAAAAACCAACTATTATGATGAGGACATCATCAGTTCGTATAGCCATTCGTATATATTTGGGTGCGGGTGGGGCTTTTAGATATTCTGCAGAGTTCGGACGAAAAACAGCCACTATATATCTGCTACTCAACCCTATAGCGTCATAAATCCCAAGGTCATTACGAGTGTGGCGCAAATTGCGATGCATCCACAGTGAAGTCATCACAGTCTAGTTTGCAAGGTCGTGGTCAAGTCGTGGTAATGGGTAATTGTGGTGTGTATTATATGTATACAGATATGAATTCTATGTACTTGTCCAATATTATTCCTGAATTATTAGTATCCAGTCCTTGCAGTACGAACTCTCGGAATCCATGCACTAAGCACGCTGCTTCCTGGCCGCCCGCTTTTCAGCATCCTTGCACTTTCGGCTCGCATCTTCAATTGCTTTCACCCACACTGCAATGAGATCGAAGTATCAGCGAGACGTGCCATCGATATCACCGGTACACACCTTGACAATCCCTCGCGGAAGTAGCTCGCAGTCCAATAGTCTCGCCACCACGAGGATATGGCAGTGCAACTTGGAATGCAAGATCATCTGTTCAAATCATTCTCAGTGAATATATTTGGCGCACAGGGAAACTTCCTACCTCGGTTTCCAGGAAGATCTTTTACTTGCGTCTCTGACAATGCGATAGGCTACAGAGTAGAGGGTTATTGGATTGAGTCGTGTATAGCTCTTCATGGCAATTAGTCACCCTACCATACGATAAAGATTTTGGACTTTATCATCGGTGAGCACCAAAATATCACTGCACAAGAATGCGTGTAGTCTTCTTCCGCTTTTGGCTTTTGTCAAGGTGCCCTCCTTTAAGAGTTTTCGTACACCCATGTACCTCGTCGGAGCTGTGAGATCCAGTCGCCTTTCGAAGAAGAGAAGGACGCTTAGCCACAATCCCTTTATAATTTGAGTACCTTACCCTTGCCCAATCCATAGATACTGGGAAATTCGCTTCAGCGTCTCCTGCCCCTCCTGATATCGAATCGCTTCGTTGATATGGTTAAGGATTTTCTCAGCAATTTCAATCGATCGATCAATCGAATCTTTCTCTTCCCCTGGTAAAGTATAGTGAGAGATCTAAAGCGCGTTGAGCTTTGATATCTCGAGGATAGGAAACACTACGTGCTTGTCTTATGAGGAGTGGATACCTCGTAATGCGTTGCACTGGAAATAATGTAAGTATTATCAACACAAGAGAAGCCATCACGTACTAGGTATTAGCAGATAGCTAGACAAGTCCAGATTCCTCGACGATGGGCCATCTCGAATGTGTTGAAGTTGCAGCGCGACTTCAGAGTTCGAATTGCGGATGTCTTGCAAGACTTTGATTGCATTGCCTTGATTGACACAATATTCCTGTTTTGTGTAAAGGAATAGAATGGCCCATAGTACTATCGTTGCTGACCATATAGACACCCATACTCGACATGTAATTCTCTATTATGTCACCGATCCGATCAATGTACAACCTGCAATCTTTCTGCCTTTCCTCGAGCGAACTCATGAATGTCTGCGAAGGAAATATTCAACATAATTAGGAGGAATGTGTATATCAGCTCACGTACAATGTTTGTTAACAAGATATCTTCGATATTTGCAAAAATCACAGTTATTGCCTTTCGGTCCAGAAGAGGTAACAGTTTGGAGTAGAAGGCCTCGAGTCAAAGACAAAGCACGTCAGTTTGGATGCAGTAGAATTTTATAGTTAGATTCTCCCCACCTCAACTACAAGCTGTAGATCTCGAACGTAGGCGTTTTCAGTGGCGATCAGCTCGAAGATGGCCTAGAGCAAAATCTAATCATCGTCAAAGGAAACTTTTCTTTATTGGATTTACCTCTTGTCGGCGTCTCTCGTGGGAAGGTATACCATCCAGGGCAGATTTATCTACCAAACTGGCCCAAGACTAGACACAAATGCTGTTTGAACGACCAAGGCTCAGCAAATACGAAAATTTCCACTCACACTCCCAAATGCAGGACTGTTTGAGCGCGCGGAATCTTCATTAGAAAGGGAACTCAGAATGGGAGCGGAAATTGTCAGAGTACGTCTGTCGCTGTCCACCGGGGTCTTGGACCGTCCGAGGAAATGGAAAATCCCAGAGTGTGAACGGGTTTCGCCGTCTTTAGAAGGAGAAGTTGACATAGTCACCGAAGTCGTAGGGGAAGAGAGCGCGGTGTCAAAAGATGCAGCGGAGAGGCGGTTGTTACCTGCGCCTGACTGTGTGAGACGGAAAGCTTCGTATCTTTCAAAAGCATCGTCCAAGGGGGTTGGCTCTGGACCTTGCATAGACTCAGGGATTTTCGGAAGATCCTTTGAAGATATGGATGAAACGGACTGTGTTCGAGGAGCGATAGGCGGAGGTCGCCTTTTTCGTTTGGGGGGTCTCGGTGGCGGTTTAACGTCTTTCTTGACGATCAAACCAGCGGCTTCCAATACCATCTGACGTTCGTGTTCGCGGCGAGCCTCCCGTTCTTCATGCGTTTCCTCACTGTTTTCCTCGCCGTCACTGTCCTCGAATGAATGGTAGTCAGTATCAGAATCTGAAGCATCACTAGCAGCAGCATCATCCTCATGTTCGACCTGCTCAATGTTCTGAATGAAACCATCCACCACATTGAGATGATCCAAACTTCCGACTTCAGTTGGATTTACTGTCAACATATTTTGGGCATCTTTCAGTTGGCTTGCAACAGTTGTAGTGTGAAGAGCACCATCTGAATGTCAATAACAATTTCCATTCCATTCCGGGTCAGGATTTATTTGAAGGTGGTACATGATAAAAGAAAACCAGAAAAAAAGCAACTTCAGCCTGTTGTTCACATGACGAGGGTAAACAGAGACGCATAGGGGAGGTAGTAACTTGACTAACCCTGGATAATTTCTAAATAACCCGCGGGCACAATGAATACTACTCCACCCTGTTCTGCTTTCCACCATTCTTCTTCGCTCTGGTCGATGATAATAACTTCGTCTCCTTCGGCCATTGACAACTCGTCGGGATTTTCTCCAGTATACGTGTAAAGTGCCTTGGCCTTGACTGTTGGAAGATGATGAGACAATCAATATAGATAGAGTGTAAAGGAATCGAGACCAACCTTTCGTTACTTCCTGTACATATGTCTTCGGGAATAAACCCGACTTGCCGGTACAGTCTAAAATGCCATACCACCAATCGCCACCCGTTTTCGAAGGATGAGCAGTAAGGGTAAGGTTTTCTCCGAAGCCTATCCAGTCCAAAGATTAGCGGATGAGATTAGAAGAAACACAATCTTACTGAGATCATCGGGGCCATCGCCCTCGAACGGATAGAGTGACCTTACAGACAACGCTGTTGATAGATATTGGGTACCTTCACAAGCCTGCCCGAGGAAAAGAAGACTCACTGATAGACTTGTTGATATCGGCCATCAGATCGGAAGCGGGATCGGCAACATCAACTTGAATATCCGGGATTGGCGCATGGTATTGCTCAGACTCCGGTTCATATTCGGCATCTTCACCGATCGTGGCCGGAACCACAGGAACGGAAGTTTTCCCAACATCCGCCGCCAAACCAGCATACCAATCCACCGACTGACGGTTATCCTTCACATTCATAACAGGAGGCTCGGGCGCAGCCATAGGCGGAGGTGAGGGAGGCGATGGTGGGCGAGCAGCAGCGGTAATATGTTCTGGAGGAGAGGATTCACCCAATACCTTTCCAGATAGCTGAGGCCCACTCTTGTCCACAGTCTTTGTGGGTTTCAAGCGAAGTCCACTTTGGATAGAACTAAGGAGAGCGCCTCGATCTCCAGGAGCAGCCGGTGGTGCTCCCCCTCCGACCATGGGAGGCGGCGGCGGAGCAGTAGGAGCAGTAGAAGCCATGGGCGGTGCTGGCGGAGGTGGCGGGATACCCATGGATGGAGACTCGGGTTTAGGCGTATGGCTTGCACCAGGCGCAGGCGAACTCGGGCTAGACCCAGGCCCCGATTGAGGACGAGGTAACAAATTGCCGAACAACCTATTTGCAATATCATTTCGAACAGCCCTGGAAGAGGATATCTCATCGTCGCTGCTATCTTCATCATCATCCTTCTCCTTGACCATATCCCAGTCATCGTCGTCATCTTGAGGGGCCGTATGGTATAGTTTAGGTCCGGATGAGATAGGTGTAGGGGTACTGGGAGCCCTAGCAGCAACAGACGGTGTCGGTGCAGGAGAAGCTATAGCTGCTGCAGGTTTGGCCCAGGGGTTCGTACTTGCAACTGCAGGAGGTGAAGACGTGAAGGCTCCTGCACCTGCTCCTTGATTCATGAGACGACTAAAGGGATTTGTACTAGATTTATCAGGCGTAGACACTGGAGGGCTGGCAACTGGAGGTGCGGGCGGCGGCGGAGGTGGTGGCGCAGACACGGAAGGAGAAGGAGCAACAGGCGGAGGAACAACAGGAGAAGCTGCTGCAGGTATAGAAGGTGGAACTGGTGACACAGAGGGGCGTTCACTCAGAGCCTTCAGTCTCGCCTGGTACAATTCTTCTTCAATTCTAGCCTGTTCCGCTTCCTTCTCCATCTCTTCAAGTGCTTTCAAACGGGCTGCACGCGCTTCCCGCTCCTTCCTCAAAACCTCTTGACGTTTACGAATCGCTTCATCTTCTGCGTTAATTTCAGGCTCAGCGGGAGCTGCCGGGGGTACGACAACCGGGATGGAAGGCGCTGGAGGGGTAGGTACTGCCACCCGGATAGTCCGAGGTTTAGGCGGCGGAGGAGCTCGTTTACTGACTGGAGGTGGAGGAGCAGCTTTTGGAGCTGGAGGAGTAGGAGCAGTTTTCGGTGTGCTATTTTCTTTTAAAGCCCTTTCTTGGTCCAACCTCTCTTTACGAAGATTCTCCCTTTCCTCAGCTTGTTTCTCAGCAGCACGGACTTTCTCCTCAGCTTCCTTCTTTTCCTGCTCAAGTCGATCTTCGACGGATGTGTCAACCGAAGTGGGAGAAGGTGTGGCGACAAGACCTAGTTTGGCTTTGCGCTCCTCAATTAACCGCTGTGCTCGAGCTTGGGCATATGCTTGTCGTTCAGCGGGAGTCATATTCTTGGTCGAAGGACCGGGGGAAGGCGCCGGTTTCGGAGCCGGAGGAGGATCACGGATGGTGCTTGGTGGCGCAACAGGCGGTGGCGCTGGAGGGGACCGAGTACGTGCGGAGCTGCGTGGACGGTCATAATCTCTATCCTGGTTCCGTTCACGATCTCTGTAGTACTCAGAGTCACGGTCCCTATCGAGGCCTCTGTCTCTGTAGTCCCTGTCGTAATCTCTTCTATCGCGGGAGCGAGAACGTTCTCGATACCTATCACGGTCGTCGTCGTAACCTCCTCGCGAATAAGGTCTATCACGATCATCGTAATCCCTGGGAGAGGAATATCGATCATCTCTGTCGTCGCGATATCTCCCCGTCCTCTCGTTGGCACGATCGCGATCTCTCTGCCACTGCCTCTTTTCCCTTTCCCTCCTTTCGTCCCTGGCCTTGAGTTTTCTCTCCAACTCAGGCAATTTCTCGTGTCGTAATGATAGGAGTTCTCTTTCGAATCGTCTCTTGTCTTCTTCCTTACTCGCAGTCCTAGGACCTCGTGATACGTAGTCCAAATCTTCAGTGAGACGCTTAATACGGTATTTGAGATCGTCTCTCTCGGCATCAAGAGCTTCATCTTCCGCAGACCTAGAAGCATTCTCCTGCGATGTTTTGTCTACCATGTACGAGCTATTATCGAGCATGTGTCGCATCTCGTCAATGTCGCCGGCGCCGCTTTTATCGTGAGTTCCACGAATAGCGCTACGATCAACATGACGCCGTGAAGAAGTGTAAACGCCGCCCGAACTATCATCGCTATGCTTGTAGATGGTTGCATCCCTACTGGAGTCGAGCGAGGAGCCTGACGAGTTGAAAGAACGTTCTTTGAGGTAAGATACAGGGGAATCGTGGGTAGTTGGGGAGCGGTTGCGAGTTTCGTTCTTCAAAAGGTCTTTGAGAATATCAACAGAATCACCGAGATTTCGGGCAGACGGCGGGACGAGTTCGGGAGGCAGGGTCTCGGGAATATCATTGCCATTGAGCCCTAGTAAGGGTCAGTTGTACTGATTTACATGGTGTGATTAATGTACGCACGTCGGTAAATCAAACCCATAGCAACATGAAACTCAGCAAGGTTCAACTTTCCGCGATCGTCTACATCTGCTAGAGTCCTAAAGTCAAATAGATCAGGATGAACCTTAAGCCTTCCTTGCAGAGGTACTTACCAAATCCTGGCCAAATCGTCTTTACTGAGGCCACTTTGACCGAATACCTCCAAGGCGTTCTGACCAGTGATAAAACCAGTGCTCTGAGCGTCCCAGGCTCTGAAAATCTGATCATAGCTCTTCTTCTCAGACCTTGAGAGAGCCCAAGGAATCTTGGGTGCAGATCCCTGATTCTGCTGTTGGAATGACTGCTGCAAGTTCAGACCGCCTTGCAAGTTTGACGGTAGTTGCGGAGCACCGGTTGCGCTGTAGGGCATAGAAGTATTCACAGGCATAAAAGTGTTGGACATCATCTGTAATTTAGGGTCAATATAACCCGTTGCCTGAGGAAGTAGTGGTCGAGCGGAGCCCATTCCAGGAGATGGACTAAGGAAAGACCGGTTTTGAGGAGGTTGAGAAAGAAAGGTTGGCGTGGAGTTCTGCTGCTGAAATTGGCTGGGGATAGGTGGAACCGGAGGAGGAGGCGCCGCTCGTAGCTGCTGCCCTTGCATCATACCTGGATAGCCAGTTGCTTGGGTTTGCAGGAATCCAGAGTTGGGAAAGCCGGTCGGCTGTGCTTGCATGGCGAATCCAGTAGGCTGAGACTGAAGTCCACCTGAAAATCCAGGTTGCTGGGGCTGAATTCCAGCAGGAAACCCGGTTCTCTGTGGCAAGATACCGCCTGTGGGTACACTAAAGCCTTGCTGAAACTGAGCATTTTGTTGTAACTGGGGATTTTGTTGAAACTGAGGGTTACCGCCGGGCATTCCAGTCTGCATAGGGTACTGGTACCCTTGCTGCTGGCCCCATTGCGACATGATGGTCAGGAAAGAAGGAAAATGCGGCCACTGACGACGTAAACTTGGACTGGACGAATTGGCAGTGTGGGAAATTACGCGGTTTACGTCAGTCCCGGAAACCAAATTCTCGCCGTACCATAGCATTGCGATTCACTGTAAAGCATAGGTCGTCTTTGATTGCCCTTTCAAGTACTTATATCTTGTAGATGAAGATGATCGAGAATAAATACAACCACCTGCGCAAGGCGTGCATTTACTGTATATGTACTAGATCTCAAATGGCACTTGATAATTCTTGCCTGTAGCACTGAGGTGTGCAGTCCAGAGCGTGAATCCCATAGTAGAAAAAAGCCTGAACGTGAAACTCGCAATACTGATAGAGAAAGTCAATGGGCAGAACCCAAGAACAACTGCGATCTGCGTTTCACATCCGGAATTGCTGCGATGCTTTTAGATCATGTCCGATAAGCGATCATCGATATGACTCTGAGTCGCCTGAAGAATGCGAGTTTACAGACGTCGATCTGGCAATATCCATTCAGATTTCTACGATTTCACGACGCGAGAGTTTGGTAAGGATTAGGACTACAGCACAGAACTATTAAGGGGAGTGAGAATGGTAGACCATCAAGGGGAATTGTTTAGAATGATTTGCTGGCTTTCTCCAACACTGTCCACGACGAGATCAGATCAAAGAGTTCTATCGTGTGTAAAGGTCGTCAAACGCACCATTCTCGTATGAAACCTCACTCAAGTCACTTCCTTGTATATCGAAATGAATACCATCGAACGACTTCTTTAAGGCGTCCTTCGAAGAGGCGGTCAACATCCTGGACCTGACCGATGCCGCGTCGGGGTTCCTTATCAAAGAAGATCATTAATTCATGATTTATCCCGGAGAGACAGCGCGCGCGTGCATCCGCAGGGAAAAACCGCCAGGCCTCCAAAAAAGAAGAGAAAGAATTACACTCACCACAAGAAGAAACAGACCTTGTTCCTCTGACCGCCACCTTCTTTCTCATATTGAAAATCATATACCGCATATCGGCATTGGTCCTCTGGGAGGTCCGCAATGAAATCTTCGTAATTGTCTGATTCCGACGTCTTCTCTGTGATAATTTCTTTGTTGTCTGGGCTGAACTTGAAGATGATGTATTTAAGCTTTTTGCCCAATTTGAGCGTCTGGTAGTCTTGCAGACAACCGGGGTGGACACCGATACCGGAAGAGGCCTGTAGCGCGCACGAAATCAGCGTCAAGAATTTCCAAGATTGAAAGGTTTCTGACCATGGTAGATGTTGTTAATAAAGGAAATGGATGTGGTTGAGATGAAAGGTATGGATCAGTTCGAATCAGAGGCACTGGCGCTGGTTACGGTCTGGAATTTGTGACAGTGACTGACTTTATTAGGCAACGAAATAACTTGCTGGGACAGGCCCAGCCTTAGGGCAGAAATCATGAAGTATAACAACGTATGTAGCGTATAGTGAACAGTACAGTGATATCATACAGTATACAAGAAAGAATTCTACAACAGTACTATAAAATCTGCGATAAAAAAATACTAAAGTTACAGATCACAAATAGGCAACCCAGGAATTTAGGATGCAAAAGCTAGATGGCCGCATCATCATCGACCTACTCTTCCTCAGATTCGCTTCGATCTTGAGTTGCCTTTGCTGGCACGCGACGAGCGTCTGCATGAGAAATCAAGAATCAGCAAAACAGCGGTTCCTTCTGACAAGATCTAAACGAAACGTACTCTTCTTTGCACGTTTTTTAGCTTGTGCCTTCTTGCCTTTAGCTCGTTTCTCTAGAGCCTGATCATCTTGACCCTGGCGACGGGCCTCATCGAGAATCTGTTTCAGACAATGAGAGGGTTACACAATCGGAACACATAATCCATAACTTACCTCTTCAAACTCCTTCAGTTCTGCCCCGATATCGTTCTTACTTTTGGTTAGCCGGGCCTGATGAAGAGATCATAAGTTCGCAAAGAGGAAGGAAGGAGGGGGAACTATGACACACTTTCTGCAGAATCTCCTGGAACTTTTCAAAAACACCTTCCTCGTAAAGTTTATCCCGATAAAACGGCAGACCTTCGACGATCTTTTTGACCGACTTCTCAGACTTGTAAGGCAACAGCGACAGACAGTAGGCGATGTCGCGCCACTGTCGTGGATCATCAGTAAGTCTAAATCGCTGGCATAGTTTCTCGACGATGTTTTCGGCTTGTTTTTCCTGCAACGAAGAAAAGATGAATAATGCTTCTACAGGCACGAAACCATGAGACCGACTTTTTCGATAAAGCCAAATATGAACTTGAGTGTCTTTTGGAACTTCACTTCGTCTACAGCATTATCCCCTGCAGAAAGATGACTGATGACTGTGGGTTTTGCAGGTTACTCGTTGGTCAAAACGGGACACGAAGAATGTCTTACCATCGGGCAAGTTGTTGTAGATTGCATTATCCTTCGTGGACAATTCCTGGAAGAAAAGTTTGGCAAGATCCGAGATCCGTAAATCCTCCTCGTCCTCGACACACTTTGCCATCTCTCCAAGTTGACCTTTGACCTTGACCATACCATTTAGAATTAGGTGAGTGAGCACCATGAGCGTGTTCTTCTTCACGATCGGGTCGCGGTCAGAGAGGCCTTTGTATAATTCATTACTGTTTTCGTCGATGATACTGCTGAAAGACACAGCGACATCACCAAGAGCGATCACTATGTTGCTTCGAATACCAGCATTCTTGGATGTTTCCAGAATTTTGAACAGCAGGCGATGATGCTGCTCGCAGAATGTAGAGCTGACACAGAGGAATTTACTGAGAGAAAGGGTGGCTGCAGCTCTGAGTGTAGGGTTCTGAAAAGACTTGATTTAGCAGGATTGTATCAGAAGCAAGTTCATGCATACCTTGAATTTTTGGGGACTACCGCAGATGTTCACAAGCATTGGACCATAAACACCAAGAAGAGAATCCTTATCAAGCATTTCGTGCTCTCGGATCTCTGTGATTTTGTCCCCGATTTCGTCCTCTGTATTCCCAGTAACTTGATCGAGCTCTTCTCCGTCCTTATCCGTGGCTTGGGGTCCGTTCGAGGTACTTCCCGCTGCAAGTAACGTCAGAAAGTCAGTATCGGAGCCAGAATAGAGCGCTTACCAGATTTTTGAGATTCTTTCTGCTTCTTCATTTCTCGCTCGACAACTTCAAGGTAAGCTATTTGTTTGATGGCGACGTGTCCCACCACAAACAACAATTGAGCGAGTTCAAAGGCGTCACCTTTGTCCTCGTCAGTTTGTGACGGGTTACCGTTGGCTTGTGAAGGATTTTCATCCTCATCCATCGCATCCAAATCTTTCTGCGGGATTTCTGCCTGAGTCTTGGGAGTGAAAATTCGGATTGTCATTTTCTTGATGATATCGCTACAGAGGTCATCAGGCTGTTGACCGAGAGCATAGATGGTGTTGATCGCTTGCTCGGCCAGGCCGAACCAATCCTTTGACCGACACGGGCGTTCGATGACATCGCGCATTTTGCGGAAGATTGGACTATCCATTTCGATTCGCTTTGTTTGCGGCATCGTACCTGTAAAATATATTAGGTGTCAAATTAGGATCCAGACTCTACAACTTTATCTGACGCCTCAAACGCACCCTTCACTTTTTTCATGGTACCAGCAAGACGCTGCAGGGCAACACAGGTGAAGCGCGCTAATGTGAGGTCCGCCTGTGCTTCATGAGTAAAGGTTATTGTGAAATCACAGTGGATGTACCGACCTTTCCTAGGGCGCCCAGTCCGACTTTGAGCATGACATCCACTTTGTCGACAAGCACACTTCGCTTTGAAAGAGCAAGCATACCCAGAATGATGATAGCTCCACGTCTTTGGTACTTTGGAATATGTTTTTCCACACCTGTACCACGTCAATCACGGATAGCATACAAGTGGGGAAGGTTACTCACTAAAGATGTTCCAGAGCTTATTGATAACGTCTTGATGCACTCTGTCATCTTCCATCATTGTCCGCATCATCTCCTCCAAGCTTGTTAGGTCTGCAAGTGTCGCGTCGAACGTGAGCCTAAGACAGCGGATTGAATGAACAGCAACAATAGCAGTTCACGCAGAATACGCACTGTATCATGTTCTTTGCGATACGATTGACCTGTTCCTTGGGAGATATGTCGGGTACGGGGTTGAAGTACAGCTCTTGATAACATTCTAATAATCTTGCACGAACACCTTTCAGTTGTTTGCCATCTTCAGACGTCGCGTTGTTGTCCTTGTTCCAAATCAAATGCAGCATTTTCCGGATACCAGTCTGTAGTTACGAGTTATAGACAGCAGATACCTTTCGAGTGAAGAACGCACCTCAGCGGTTGAAAGTTGATATTCATGTGCTACCCTGAAAAATTCCATAGCCTCCAAAACTTCAGCTTTACTTTTAGATCCAAGCATCTGCACCAACAACACTATGGCACCTTCCATTTGTCGGATGAATTCCAGACCATCTGCAAAGTACTTTTTTTGGAGACGAAGCTTTTCGGTGTCAACACTCGTTAATTTCCTGATCGCTTCGTCATCATTGAAGGCTTCGAGATTCAACTGGGATTTCCGTGGTTTCAGTTTGTTCTTCTTCGTAGAACTGGGAAGCTGCCCTTCTTCATCGACAGCCATTGAAGTGTTTTCGCCCTCATCTTCATTCTCATCCTCGTCATCGGTCGGTTCCTCGTCCTCGTCGTCAACTTCCATGTCATCTTCAGTTCTAGGGAAATAAGTAAATACAACGCGAGAGGATACCTGGTAAAGTTTTACCTTTTCTTCTTTTTCGGTTTCTTCGTAGTTTCACCCTCTTCATCCTCCTCTTCGTTTGTGGCTTCCATCACGCGTTGATGGGCTGTATGTTCTATCTCGTCGAGCTCTTTCTTCAGTTTGGCGTAACCCTCATTGAAAACATCCAAGGACAGCCTGCCTCCATCAACCATCCAATACGGGTGCGTGTGGAGCAGTTCGATGAGGAGGGTTATAGCGTTCTTCCGTACTGTTGGTGTCTTATCCTCGAGTGCCCCCACTGCTTCTTTGGTGACCTTCAGCCTTTGTTTGGGGAATTTCCTCTTGATGCGTGATAACCGAGTTAAGACAGCTAAAACTTTGACCCGCACATAGGAGTTGGAATCGTACACGCGTTCAAGGAGAAAGTCGTATATCCCTTTTATCTGCTTTTCAAACTGGTGGGGGTCTTCAGCAGTTCCGCCATCAAGTGCAGCGGCAAGGTCGAGGATTATGAGACCCATTGATTCTATGACAGCCATACGCATTGGATAGGCCTTTGAATCTTAGTCAAATTCTCCAAGAATATAAGAACGCTCACATCAGATTCCAACTGAGCAAGCAACAGACTGAGCTGCTTTAAGAGGGCGCGAGGACTGTCCTCTGCGAACTTGGTAAGAAGTCGACCGTAGATACGAGGGGCTTTGTTATCCTGCGCATTGAACTCCTTTTGCGAAATTTCACGGATAATCTCGTCACCGAGCTGCGTATGGTCATATTCCTTGGCCAGCAACGTGAGACATTCAGCTATCGGTTCAGCGAGGTGTTCATGATACTGAAGGCGCTGCATAAGCAAGATTTGAGCAGTGGCTGCGTGGTTTTGATTCTTCACGGCTCGACAAATGACTTTGTAGAAATTCTGTCTGACTTCGAGTGATTTCATGAAGACTTCGCTTTCTGCAACTTGATATGCCGGACGTGTAACGCAGCTGAAAGGCAGATAAGTTATATGAATTAGGCGTAATGTGCTGGGACTCACCTAATGAACACCTCTCGCTCTGTGTTGGTCGTCCATAGACGCTGGGTGTTCAATTGAGCGAGAAGACGCGCAATCAGCCCGAGGGTGACTGCCACATGGTCAAACCACGTCCATTCCTCCGATTTCTTAGTACGAGCAGGAGCTCGAGCGCCCATAGACTTTGCTCCCCTCCCTCTGCGAGATTTTGGAACAGGAGTGGAAGGCTCTGCTGTCCCTTTCACCTTCTCTGCAGCTTGAACAAACCACTGCAAGAGAAACGCGTACATTTCCAGGGGTGCCTTGTGGGTGCGATATACCTGTTGGTCTTCGTTCTGTATATCTTTCCTGGCACTATCCAGTTGAGTAGAGAGACCGGATGTGATGGAGTCCAGTAGCTTGTTCATGACAGATCCGGGCACAAATTCCGAATGTTTTAACAGGCTGCAGTACAAATCGAATACCTGAGGATCGGTGATAGAGTCGCTGGATTCCGCGACGGCTTCCACAGCAGCTAGAGACTTTCCGGTCAGAGTTCCTCTCGCAGGAGTCAAGGAGAACTGACCTTCAAGCAATTGCTCGGCTTCTTCTCTGCTAACATCTCTTTCATTTGGTATTTCGAACTCGGAAGCACTGGATGTGAGTCTTTCTAGGGCATCCGCTAAATCAAAGCTTGAGGTCATTAGAGCAGACCAGACTTGATATCGCAGCTAATCGTTAGAGAGAGATGACTGAGTGAATAGATACAGGTTCAACCCTTCCCAAGAAGTGAGATCGTTGAAAACGCGATACCCCGTGACTTTTGCATGATACCCACAGCGGTACGGCTAACAAGCGCTGGGAAAAACAAAAGGCGCCCGAACCTCTCCTGATTGGCGCCACGTATTCTGCAACTCTTCTGAATGGAAGGATGATGTGCTGAGAACCTTTCTTTTCCTTCGTAAGAATGTCAAGATTCGCTGAAACCCAGAACACAGTTGACGTCGTCATGTAGAACCGTGCTAAATCTGTCACGCATTCTGCAACTGATTTAATCTCCCTGACAATCTCATAGTGTCGGTGGTGGACCCGTAGGGCTACTTCTAACCTATCAACTTGCCCGGTTTGGCTGCAGAGTCTCTATCATAGGTTTGTATTTCTTGATGAATGAACTCTGTCTATTCCAAGTAACGACATTGGCATCAGAACAAGATGACAAAACGCAATCGTCCTATGGTCGTGCCAGTACAATGTGGCCCCGAACGATTGAGCTACTTGACCAGCTCGACCTTGCTGAGCCGCTTATTCAAGCGGGAATGATCACTCGATCGGGTTTGCACTTTCATGAGTAAGCGGATGCTTAGTGGATTACATTCTGTACCTACTATACCTTACTAGAGGTCGTCGTGTAAAAGGTGGTTTGATGTACGGTAATCGGATGGATAAACTTGGTGCGTTATCTCGACCTCACCGAACCCGTGGTTTAACTTTCTAATTAGGAGATACTTTCTTCAAATTTGCGTCAGTCGCGTCACATATCTCATCTCAGTCATCTCATCCTCCTTCACGTTTGCCGTAACTTGATACTAGCCTACATTTACGCCAACGCCTCACCGAAGAAATATTCGCCGACGCGGCCTCTAAGGAGATCGGGTCAACACATATGATGCTTCATCGGATGCAAGGCTTTACAATCGATCAGAATGAGGATTCGCATCCTGTGACAGTTCAAATCAAAGACTTGAATACAGAAGAAGTAGTCGACATTAAATGGTAAGCAAAGCGTATTTTAAGACACCATTTTTTTCCGACGCCTATGTCTCTTAGCAAGTATCTCATCGGTGCTGATGCAAGTACATTATTCGTTACAACTACCATTGATATATGTAGGTGCTAATATCTTCAATGGTAGGGTGGGAAATCGACAGTCCGCAAACTTGCCAACATCTCATTTGAAGGAGAACATACCCAAGGTCGCTGGATTCGGATGGATGCTCGGGTGACGACAGACATGCCCAACCCTCGTTGCTTGAATAGCATCGATTCCGCTTCGCACGGTCAAATTCTCTGGTGTCCAATTGACAATGGTCTGACGCGCATCGGATACGTTTTTTCTGGATCGCTCATCGAAAAATACGGCGGAGTAGAAGGGGTGACGCAAGAAGTCGCAATGGTAGAAGCAAAGCAAGCTTTACATCCCTTCAAGCTCGAGTTCTTGAGTGTAGATTGGTTTACTATTTATGTCCGTCTATGATTGAAAGAGGTCAATCCGTTTACTGAAGCAGGATCCCAGGGAATTGGGCAACGTATCGCTGGAACTTTTTGTGCCAATGATCGTGTCTTCCTTGCTGGGGATGCTGGTCATACACACAGTTCTGGGTCTGCGCAAGGTCTAAATACCGACTTGGCTTGGAAACTTGCAGTAGATATATTCTCTTCCCCATATGTATACTACTGATTCTATTTTCGTAGCTCCGTGTTCGGGGTTTAGCGAAGAAAGCATTGCTTGATTCTTATGATGCTGAAAGAAGACAAGTTGTGCAAACGGTCCGTTCCATCTAGTATTTCTTCGAAAGGAGAGCTCGTCTGAGGTCGTCTTATAGGTTATTGATAATGACAAGGTCATTTCCACCTTGATCTCAGGCCACTATCCACCGAGATTCCAGGGGCGCAGTGAACCAACCAGGTAACTTGTCTTCGGAAGGAATGGCATTCGATAGTTAGCTGACAGTGAGTGCTTTGCTCTTAGAGAATTATTGACAGAATGGTTCAACGATCTCAATATGCAACACTTTACTCTTGGACTTGGTGAGACTTATACGGGGGGTACTTATCTATGCAAAAGTTGATGCATCGTCTCTGTAGGGATATCTTACCGTGCGCTGGAAAGATAGTCTTATCATGAATAATACTCTGACCCGGATCATATAGCACTCAGTTTACTCAACGTTACAATTGCAGATCCGTCAGTTGCTACTATTGACCCTGGCGAGAGAGGCCCTGATGTATATCTAACCAGTCTGGGGTGCGAGAGATTTTTTCCTTTGGTATATCTTCATGCAACTTTGAACAGCACGGGGGATCCGTTACGTTTGCAAAAGATATTGAGCAACAGAGCTAAGTTCTCGTGAGTTATGATTTATTTTCGATGTGTCCCTCTCGGACTAAACGTCTCGAAGAATTGTAGTGTTTTCTGGAAATACCGAGTACACTAGATTGGCCCTCGTCGACCTCAGAACTACAATTACCGCATTAGATTCCTTCGTCAATGTATTCCCAGCGCAAATATTTCAATGGTTTACTATCCCCGCGACCTTTGGCAACGGGGGGCAAGAGATTCTTGGTTGTCACCCTTTTGGAAAGGTGTACCTAGATACAGAGATGAAAGCACACGAGATGTACGGCGTTGATATACGAAGAGGCGCGGTCATTGTATTCAGACCAGATGGATGGATTGGAACTGTCGTCCCACTCTCTGGTGTTGGACAATTAAACCACTACTTTGACGCAATCTTGAATAGACGATAATCAGGCACTTGCTAGTTCTGTTCCTTATGTAGATTCTTATTTGACTTTCCCCGATGGTTTTTAGGATGACCAAGTGGGTCCAAGACAGTTGAATATGACATTGCATGCTTCAAGACTATTATCTTCTTTGGACTTATAGGCGATTACGGACGGATATATTGTGCCTCTTGGAAAATTTGGGGTTAAAACTTGAGAGAAAGATTAACTATCGCATCCTGACACATCTTTCCAGAATTCGCAGATTCCACTGGCTGGTCTTTCAAACAAGTTCTGCTATCATTGCAGACCCGACAGTATACATGGCGGATGCGAGAAGACCTTCATAAAGTCACACCATTTAGAACTTGTTAAAACTATCCAGATGCAGATCAATCCTCACCTAGCAGGGCGATCAAACTGGTTCGCGCTCCAAAAGTTCGCTTGATAAATAGTAATTAGTTGACCTGCAGATGAGGCTGAGGACTGAGGAATGCTATCGGTACCTTTTCGGGGCCGCTAGATGTATAATCTCGAGTGTAAATTGCGCGTGTGATCACCCACGATTCACATAGCGAAGCAGCCAGTATAGGATATTTGCACGCAGTGATACAAGTTCTGGATTTTCAAAATATCAATCATTGGTCTTCCACTTCGTTGGGACTTCCATTGAAACTCACACCAGATAGACCATTGGAAGATATTCCAAAGTATTCAGATGCGCACCTGGCAGGAGTTCAAAATCGTTAGGTTCGCGTTCCAGTTCAAAGAAACGTCATACGTTGTGCACAGTTCAATCTCAATGCATGAAGAGACTTTGCAACCTCTGCCTGTTCTGCATATAACTGAGGAGGTTGGATACCGGATGCTTTGCGACGCGCGGCAACAATTATAAGCTGTACAGAGACAAGAAGGATGGAGGAAAGGAGTGCTGCGCCAACGTAAGGCAAACTTGGATTTCATTAGTCTCGTGAAGTTCATTCGCTGTTAGGTAGCTTACCCGTGTGGCACCGTTATGGTGATAGACATTGCTTGCTAGCTCTTGAGAGAAGTGATGATATACAGGAGTATACAGAGAGACTTTATATGAGTCCGCGTATGCGACTCACGCTAAACCCGAAAATCCCAAGCTGCAAATCCGTCGGATATCCCGGAAAAAGGCTGCACGGCATGACCTGACACGTACGTGCGGCTCTGCTCTGAGGCGCACTCACCTTCATCCTCCGGCACAATCGGGATATGTTTATAAGTTTACAAGATGATATTCATCTGTGTCTCCTATGTTGCTTTGTAAAACGCCCACAAAACCTCACACTACACTGATGCGATCTTGGGCTGTACGAAAGCTGATAAATTTTTCAGATACTTGAGCATCTAACAACGAAAAGAGACCACTAAAAACTGAGTAAAGACATATCTAACCACAGGTTCCTCAAATTCCAGTCAGAATCAAGCCCACGGCAACGTACAAAATCATCAACGGCGGGGTAACAATACAGTAGCTCCAAAAAATGGTGCGGGAAATGAGTCGTTCGAATGCATCTCCGGACGCAGCTTGAGTGATCTGTATGCACGACAAAGCTAAGGGCTTATTATATTTGAGGTTGGAATAAGCACAAACCTGAGCAAGTGTTAGGGCGGGAGGTGAAGCAATTAGTAGTACATTGGATACAACGAAAACGGGGCTAAGGGGATGAATAGAGGTCAGAATTGACATAATGTCGGTTATAGTCGTAAACGGCTTACTCTTCGAAAACGCTATGCCAGTCCTCCTTGGCCGCGAACGTTACCAAGGGCATCAACGCCAAAGGTGTCAGCACCATCCTCGACAGAATCGCGATCACTACCGTTTTCGTCTCACCGGGAAGCGGCATATCGCCGTTATCAGAGTGAAGGAAAGCAGGACGTCGCTTCCGCTTTGGGTTCAACTTTGAGAACAGATCTCTGCAATGTTGGACTGCGGACGGCTGAGAGGGACCCCCTGGTAGCTTGGATCTATTGTCTACACCATTGCTCCCTCCGGGAATAGCCCCTGCCTCCTGTACGCCTTCCATTCTCGTAGGTATCACGCTCATTCCGTCACCGAATCCGTCCTTCTCTTTATAAAAGTATGCGCCCAAAACAACCAATGTTACTGGAATGGAACAAGATCCAGAGCTCTCCAAGGCACCTTTGATAGGGTACAGGTGTACTTCCAAGGTGTGTTGTATAGTTGGAAGTAAAGCAACAATTATTGATAGAAAGGCGGCGTACAGAGGAACTGTCATAAAGTCTGTGAATCCGTGCCAGAATATTGACATTGGGTGCAACAGATATTTTTGAAGGGCAGTCGGCTGTTCAAGTACATGCGAGTGGCGAGACTGCGTAGAGCAAATTGAAGATTGTCGAACATTGGGTTGTCGAGTAACAACTTCAGCATTACGCGCGCGGTCTTCTTCCACCAAGCCCCGTCCTTCCTCCACCTCCGTGTCTTCGATATCTGGAAGAGACACTTTCGATTGGTTGGGAGAATTTGGGAACGAACGATAAAAGTACGAGGATTTATGAAGGTGACTCTTGGTTAAATCGGGACGAGCACGTAGAGTGGCATCTTTATCGAAGGGTTTAGCTAATGGTGGCGGTGGCGAAGGAGACGATTCTCTCATGAATGAATCATCGATGATTATACTGGGAGTTTTGGATTGATGCCCTTGCGATTGGGTGTCGACCATAGTTGCCGTGGAGGCGGAAGGCAACATTGCTTCCAGGTCACGAATTCGTCTTTCTCCCTCGGCGTCTCCGTCCTCAGGCAGTCGGATTGGTGAATCCAGAGGATCATCGGCTTGCGCAAGGAGACGGACACCGTAGCTCCAGCGTAACTGTGAAAGGAATATGTGAAGTGCCTATGCCAAGTCAATAACAGACTTACAATCATGCCAAATGTGCTGTACAAGACCAGATAAGTCAATGCTCGTCCAAGCATCGCATTCTTGTTATCATCTTTAGACCATTTCAGCCCATGTACAGTGACCACAAGGGACTGCATGAGTGCGACAGGCAGGGAATTCGAGTTCATAAACATAGAAGCGGCGATCGCGAAGCTCCTGGAAATAGACTTAGAAACGGGATATGTTACTGGATATAACAGACGCACCTCTGCGATCTACTCAACCGAAAAGTCACTGCCAGAAACCAAGCAACAAACATCGACACCGTCGTGACAATGATGAAAAAGATCGGTATAACCCATAATTCGCGCAGTTTTTCTATGGACATCAAGAGTCTTATTTGCCATTATCTTTGATGTGGAGGAATGGGCGCATACCTGGTGACAAAAAGAAGGCAACTTTTGAGAAAAGAAGACAGGGCGTAAATAGCGAAACATTGATTCTGTTCATCTGCTTTTGCGTCTTCTTATCCAGGATGCCTTTCCATGCGAGAACATAACCGGCGAGACATAGTAGAAATACTTCAAGAATGGACTGAATGTTCGAAAAAGTCAGTTTTACTTTTATAGGATATGAAAGGACCGGGACGTACCGCAAATACTGTGATCAAAAGACCACCAACATTCAGTGGAGCTGATGAGAGGATCATTCTTGTTCAACTGATCCAGAGAAAAATCCTTCGCTGACGGAGGAAATCTTGAGGATTTGAAGGTGTATGTATGATTCGAGCGAAATGCTAAGCAATGGGGGAGTGAAGACGTCAGAATAATGGAGGAGCGACCAGATAGAATATTTCGAGTACCAGGGAGAAAAAAGGAGATGATAGTGGAGGTCCAGCCTAGTAAAAGGCCAGCCTCGTTTTGCGCAGCGAGGATTCGATCAATTGTGGATCTTTCCACGCGGTTTTACCCCCGACGCTCGTTAATCACTGTTCCGTCGGCCGCCAATGTCTTTTCTTTCTCTTTCCTTCTGTCATGACCGTTGAACTTGACGGTAACACTTACCGCGAATTGCTCCCTATTGCTCCTGCTTTTTATCGAGAGATTGTAGCGATACACCAGCAACTCGTCCTTTGAGATCAATGAGAACAACGAACAGCGCTAATTGACGTACACTGCACGGCTTTTCCCTCCTGCCAAGAAGCGCTAAAGCTTTTCTAACCAAGACCAAGCTCCTTTTTTCCCAAGAAACGAACGGACGTCAGAAGCTTCGAGTCGCCGCAGAAACAGACGAAGGAGCAGCTAACGAAACCCACGTCAAGACTCCAAGTCCACGATTCAAGTTCGCATGCTTCTCAACGTAACCATTTTGGCTAATGCTCCTCTAATCTCAACCGAACAGCAAGGCAAAGTCGACACAGATCTGTGGTCCGCGGTCATTGAAATACTTGATTATACCGGACCTGGTTTCTGGTATGCGTATGACGCTCTACCTTACACATACCCACTGAACAATTGAATAGTGCATAGGCAAAAACCCAGTTATATCTAGCGCATCTGGGCACTGAAATCACATCGACTGTGCTGTGTATTCCTAACGCAATTCGGGTTGCAATCATACCTTCATCAACCTCAGTCAAGTCGTGCCACCATCATAGTCGTATTGACCGTTGCAATCCTAGTAGACATGCAATACTCCCGAAGAATGTCACCTCAAACTTCAGTACTTTCCCTGTATCACTCGCCAGTCCAGATGAACCTGGATATCTACGTATAGACCAGTGTCCATCTTACCTCACGCCATCTGGGAGTGTGAGCCTGACTTCCACTGGACTCTGTTATTCAATTCCTTTCCGCAACCTTTGGCTGTTGGTTCGACCAGTTTGCGGTATAAAAACGATGAGGATTCGTGAATATGGCTCTACAGAACCAGGTGTTCCTACAATCCAAATTAAGCTGCTGGTCAGCCTCAACACTCTGTACTTTATTTGCCTTACTCTTCAACTATAATGCATCGTCAAGCTTTCTTTTCCTTTATCGTCGCGGTAATCGCTTTGTGTGCTGCATTGAGCATCGCAGCCCCGACCGTACATTGTATATCCCCTTTCCTATTGAATCAGCGAGGCTCACCCCTTGTACAGACCGGACATTCGTCAAGTCCATCCTTTCCAAACTTGCCCAAGCCCGAATTCAAGCATTTCGCTCCAAGAACTAAACCCAAGTCCCCTCCAAACTCGTCATTAAAGGCACCCGCCAAGCCAAAGGCTGCAGCTCCTCCTGCTCCCAAGAAGGCTTCTAAGCCCGCTCATATACCGAAAGCTCCGACATCGTCGTCGACCCATCCGTCAACTCCCAAGGCTTGCTCCCCTCTCTATCTATTTCAAATAATTTTTCTAACGATCCGGTCTTGGAATTAGCTTCCTGATAGATGTCCAGCCAAGGACAAAACTGGGAAGAAGATTACAAAGGGTAGAAGTATTGAACTCGAGGGACGTACACCTAACCCTGGAACCACTCTGTGCGATGTCCCGATCCGCGAAAATGTGGACTGCACAGGCAGACCGAGCCCTCTTGAGCATGTCAAGCGAGTACGTTGTCCTATCTTTATCAACCTCCCCTTCTTGACATGATCCTAATCCCCTTTCCTCCTGTCATTACTATAGCGTTCCCCACCCGATTCATCCGACTCGGAATATCTACCTGGCCCCAGTTCCTCCGAAGACTCAAGTGAAGGTGAGGACGCTAACGTCTTAGAATGTGGTGGGTTATTTTTCCCTTTTAGAAGGCATAGTTTGGAGCTCAAAGTTGTGTGTAAAAACCCACTTCACAGAACACGCCGTAGAACTCCAGCTTCTCGCATTCACTTTCACTAAGAACGGTTTCTGTGCCGCCCTCGATGATCTTGTCGCTCTTTCCGGAATGGGCAAGGATGCCTACTTGACTGACATCAAAACCAAGATCAACCAGAAGACGAACTTGTACAACATTCCAAAGGACACTAATGCTGCTGTGAGGACTCTTTTAATGCTAATGTTTACGTAGTCCAATCGATCAAACACTAACACGAGAAATTCTATGGTCTATAGAAAAACCACATCACAGCAAAGTTCAAAGCTGGGAATGGTGCTTCCAACGCTGCAACAGCCCCGTTCGACCCCGAGAATGTGATTCAGTGGGGACGAGTGAAGACGTACCTCAATACTCCGTACGTTTCTAGCAATGCGGCAACTTTAGTCAAGTCCATAGACACAAAGGCGACGGCGCTTCTGGAGAAGGCAGAATTGGATGCCAAGGGTTGCCAGGCTTCTCAGAATACAATCGATTCTGCGAAAGTACGCGATACTCATAATCACCCAAAGATGATTTATGTACCTCTGCCATGTTTTTCAGGCCAAGTTCGAGCCCAGTGAAGTGACCATGGCATCGATATGGGAAAACTATGTCAAATATGTCACTACGCAGGCGAAGGTGAAGAACTAATCCGATACGTTGCTAATGTGTATCATAAATACAGTATTGACAAAGTCCAGCGAAATAACAAGGAATACAATAGTCAAAACAAAATCGGAGACCGACTCAATATCGATACGACTTTCTGCGCTTGCTCTGAGCTTTGAGAGATATAACAAGCACGACAAGTGCTGTAAATTTTTATTACAAGAAATACCATAGAATATCCTGCAGTACTAGTACATAACGACATTACCCAAGGTTCCTGACTCAAATTCTCTTTTCTCCACTGGCATGATAGGTCCTTATTCAATGTTTTGCATTTCTCGTTCAAGGCCGCTCAAAGAGGTTGGATCACTGTGATAGGTCCCACAGGAACGATCCTTGTAGGATTGATCTTTCAAAAGACGAAGATCAACATGAATTCGACAGAAACGACGAACACTTACCGAAGGATGTGACCAGTAATAATGGGTCTTAATATGTTCAAAATTAGTGCAGTCCTTGAACGCGGCATTGTTCCAATACAAGTTCTTCATCCACCTGCGGCGAGTGGGTCAGTACTGACATACGATGGTAATATGGAGGATTACAACGCGACAAAGGGAAGATCCGCACACTTACTTATTGATGGAGGGATATCCATTACGAATGTCTCGTATGTTACATTTGAAGTGACCAACATAGACCGGGTCGAAACGAATCTACTCGCAGTCAGTTCGGAAACGTATGTGATATGGAAGAGGGGGACTCACTATGGTTACCCAAAGCCTCACATCGCATTCTGTAAGCTGATCTCCAACAATATATTTCTTATCTCCAGCCAGAATTGCTTCAACTTTGTCTAGTGCTTCAAAAACCTCTTTGACGGCGGTTGAGTACGCATCTTGACTAGTCGCAAAACCCGCGCGGTAGACACCGTCTGCCAAAGGATAGGTATCAATCAAAACACCGTCAAGACGCCTTGAAGCCAAAAACTCACTATTGATATTCGGATAGATCCATTCATTCAACTCGTCAATCTTAGCTTTGAGAGATGCTGGGTAGAGATCGACCTGTGCAAACTTTTCTGGTAGCAGATGATTGAAAGCAGTGTTGAATATGCGAATGATTTCCGAGCTTTCATTATTCACGATAGTTTTGTCCTTCTTGTCCCAAAGAACCGGCACGGTGAACCTTCCGCTGTAATCAGGCGCGACGGAAAGATAGAGGTCCTTGACGTGTTGGGAGTCGTACAGCGGATCCACATCAGCTCCTGGAAATGGATCTACGGAAGCAAAAGGCCAGCCGTTTGCGCCCATGCGCGGTGATACCACGGAGACAGCTAAAAGTATATGTTCGGTCGAAGGAAATAAAAAGAGATAACGCTTCTTTATACGAACAAACGAAGTCCTCTAGGCCTTTGAGCTTGCGTACGATGAGAGTTCTGGTGGCCCAAGCTACGTATGGTCTCCGGATTTAGCTTGTACCAGATTCAGCATGTATGTACATACGACAAGCATAGGAAACGTATAGATGGTATCGATCTAAAATCAATAGTGGTCATAAATCCCGCTGGAACTGGATGCAAAGATGCAGAATGCGCACCTTTCTCTGGTTCAAACTGGCTTCCATTCTCTATAGAGTTCCTGAATGAGGCATCCAATCTTTTGAAGGATCCATCGGCCTCTGTCTTCATCTTAGCAATGTCAGTTTGGTGAGATACATCTCTCGTAGACATTATAATTGTAGATGCGAAGAGAGATGACTTTGACAAGACGCGAGGCTTATATGCTTTGAAAAGAGACTGCGTGAGACGCAAATGAAGATAATTCATTCTGTACAAACAAACGCTCTCACATTGGCCGTTTGCAAACCGATACGATGACATCATCATTTCGATAAATAAGCAACTGCTTACTAAGCTGCAATTATGAGGTGAAGCGCTGTTCGGGCGCTTATGCAGAAGCGCGGTGTCACCCAAATCTTTCCCAATGTACAATACAGGCTCATCTGTTCGCCAGACACTCCAAGAGAACAAGCGCACGCAGGGATACTGTTGTATAGACGATGTTATCAGTAAGAAAAACAACAAAATGTCAAGCAAATTTCTCCAAAAAAATGTGACACCGAATGGTGCAACGGCTGGAAACGGTCAAAGAGTCTGGTGGCTCCCGGTAACCATTCGACTGCCAGAGTTGTCCGCCTGACGAAGTGTGTAATATTCCTGATTTCTCTACTCTACTCTCAGTCAAATTCAGCTCATTGTCGTTGCCCACAAATCCAAAAATATACCACTGTTTTTTCCGTCTTTCCTCTGATCCATCTTCATCCGATGTTCTTCCGACAACATTTTTACCAGTACTCACATGGAAACAGAGCGCGCTTTCACTTGCACTTGATCATGAGTCAAAATTTTCAAGCATGGATAGAACCGTTTTTCGTGTCTCCTCATGTGTACGACCTTGCGGACCGTCTGCCTTTACTGACTGGATATCGTTTTCGAAAAACCCTTCCTCGCAACGCCTTATATATCCCCCAATATTTAAATGATCTGAGGACGTATTTTTCCTGATCCCCGCACCATGCTCTCTCAGAATAACTGGCAGTCCCTCGTACTCTTTGTAGCCTCGCTCCCTTTAGCCTATTGTCTCACTTACCATGGCGCGGACTACTCGTCTTTGGTCAACCTCGAAAATTCGGGAATCACGTATAAGGATTCTGGGACTAGTTGAGTTTCTGGAGCCGTGTCACTTCCCTGCCTATGCTAATACCGTCCATTAGGTGAAAAGTTTGACACAATTCTCGCCAATCAAGGTGTCAACCTGGCCCGAATTCGTATATGGACAAGTACCAACGACGCCGACTACAGCTTGGACTACGGGTTAGCACTCGCTAAGAGAGCTGTTGCTGCTGGAATGTCCCTCTTGATCGGTGTGTCCTGCATTCATGATCTATCGTTGATTATCCATTGACTTTAATCGTTTGGTGTAGATCTTCATTATTCAGACACCTGTATGTCTCAACTCGCTTGCTTCATCGACAAATGTTTACTTTGTTCATTTTATGTAGGGGCCGATCCCGAAGATCAAGCTACTCCCTCTTCCTGGCCTACCGACTTGGACGGTTTGAATACCGAAATTTATGAGTACCTACTATCTCCTCCGCGCGTTCCGTGCTTCATCTACAGATATCTGACAGCTTTTCACCTCTAGCTACACCAATAGTCTAGTGACATCATTCGCCGACCAAGGAACTCCAATCGACTTTTTGCAGGCAAGTGCCTTCACCTTCACGAGCCGGTCACCGTTCTTGACAATTCCATTGTCAGATTGGGAATGAAATAAACAGCGGCATCCTGTTTCCCACAGGTGAAATTTCAGTCAACGGGTATTCGCCGTTATCCCAGCTCTTGCATTCGGCGGCCAATGGGGCTCACGACGCTTCTGATACTGTCAAAATTGTCGTCCATCTCGCCAACGGCTGGGATGGCTCTGCTATGAGTTCCTTCTATGAGCAGATCTTCATCCAAGGTGAATTTGCTACGACCGACTTCGACGTCATGGGCTTTTCGTTTTATCCATTCTATGACGCGGCTGCCACATACTCTGCTCTGCAATCAAGTTTGGATAATCTTGTTGCGACATACGGCAAGGTATTTCCCCCCATACGTCGTTCAACTAATTCTGTACCTTTATTGAAATTCCTTCCTTCGTTCCGTTGAAAGGATGTGATGGTGGTGGAGACTGACTGGCCAAGTTCGGGATCATGTTCTGGCGTAACGCTTTCAGAAGATTTCGCGATCTCAACTTCAGGGCAGGAATCTTGGGTAAGTCAGAGTTTAAACCAATACATACAACGCAAAGTTCATATATCTTAGGTATCCGGCATAACTGAAATACTGGCTGGCTTGTCAGATGGTCATGGACTGGGTGTTGTATATTGGGAACCTGGATGGATTGGGAACGACGGTGGGTTTTATGTTCCGTAAAAGGAAGAATTCGTGCTCAAGCTTTGCGCGATCAAACGTTCGTAGGACTGGGGAGTGCCTGCTCGGTAAGCTCCACTTCAGTGATATTCTCATAACGTACATGCTTTCTAACTCCTTTTCTCAGAGCAATCTAGTTGTTGACGATTCGGGAAATACTCTGGCATCAGTCGACTTGTTTTCTGCCGACATGTAGTTTGCCTTCTCTTCCTTGTGCCATACAGTTATGTCACTGAACTTCTCGGAATGGAAGACGATATGTGAATATAGTGTCTACGACGAGTTCCCTTTTTGCGGAGACATGGGAATATAATTTCTGCCCCACAGCATTCGTTCTTTGACGATGTTCAAATGCTCATCACCTGAGTGCCGCTAGCTAGGAGAACCGTATCAACAAAATTCAGAAGCTTGCTGTTCGTGCGTTCAATCGCAGGTGCCACAGCCTCGATTCCGACACGATGTAATTCCGTGGTCCAAATTGCATCCGCGGATATTTCGAAGTCGTTCTTTGGAGTCACTGTGCAAGGGTCTCGAGATACCAAATTGAACTTACGCAAAGGTTTGAACTATTTCTACTATCTTTAATGTAATAGACCTTTCAGCATCATCTCATCTCAAAAAGCTGAGGAGAAAAAGGACGGTATAAAGGGATCTCTTCTCATGTAGACGATTCGGTAGTTCCGCAAGAAAATGATGAATCTCACCTCCCTCGTCTCGTCTTTGCTTCTCGGCTTCACTGTTATAGCCTTGGCGGTGCTGTACAGATATAGTCGCAATCGGTCGACGTACACAACGATTTGTTATCCCCCTGGGCCAAAGGTAACGAAGATGCCGACTCATGATGCCTGGGCAAGATATCGAGAATGGGGAAAGGAGTACGGTTGGTCTTCTTTTCACCGATCTCTAATAGGTCAGAACTCGAAGTGCTGATAGAATTTGAACCAACAGGCGGACTAATTTACGTTAGCAGCGCAAACGCATTGATCATCAACAAGGCTGAGGTTGCTATCGACCTGCTGGAAAAACGTGCCCGCATCTATTCAGATCGAGCTGTGACTCCTATCATGAAGCTGTGAGTCAAAAATTGTCGTGATCGCACAGACATCTTGAGCCAAGTCATTTCTTGAAGATGTGGAGCAGATCTAAACCTTGCACTCGAAGTAAGTGGACCTTCATTTTTCGATTTTGCTATCTCTGAATATTGGCTGATGCTATCAATGTCAGCCGTACTCCGACAGATGGCGTAGGGACAGAAGACTTTTTCAGCAAGTATTTCGACAAGCTACAATCAGTCGCTTTTATCCGGCACAACACTCTAAGATAAATGAATTCCTGCGTGAATTGTTATTTGCACCTGATGACTTCATGGACCATACCATGGCGTGCGTGAACAATAACTGGAGCAAGAAATTGAAGAGGCCTTGTACTGATATTCTATCGTTCTATCAGGCTTTCACAAAGACTTGTATACTCTGCACTTTATGGGTTAGACATCAGTCCTGGAGATTCACTTGCACAGAAAGCCCAAAATGCAGTAGGGGGCATTGGAAAATCTTTACTCAGTGGCAGCTTCCCAGCACTTGAGCGGTTCCCATTTTTGCGCTTTATGCCCTCCTGGTTCCCGGGGTGCGGTTTCCAACAAGTTGCAGAACAGTGCCGGAAAAATATTAAAGAGATAGACACCGTTCCGTTCAAACTTGCAGTCACTAATATGGTGTGTATATTCTGCTGTGATCGTAACGTACGCTGATCAGATTGCATAGGAAAATGGTACTGGTACTTCCCCTCTAGCTGAATTGGCGGCGAGGAAACCCACAGAGATCGAGGCAATCAAAGCAATGGGTACAGTGAGCTACCTTGGTAAGTGCTATCACACTATCTCGTTAGGTGATCTTACAATGTATACAATCCAGCCGCCGCGGACACGGTATGTTCGATCACTGCTTCAACCTGTGAGCAATGTGTATTGATATAAACACGGTCCAGACGATGTCTTCCATTTCTTCCTTCCTTTTGGCTATGTGCCTACATCCAGATGTGCAGAATAAAGGACAAGAAGAAATAGATTCCGTGATTGGCAAGAATCGATTGCCCAACCTCGAAGACCGCCGCTCCTTGCCTTACGTCGAAGCTATCTATCGTGAAGTTATGCGATTGCACCCCCCTCTTCCCCTAGGTACTAGACATCCTCTGGAATGCATAAATGTATAAAAATTGTGCTGCAGGAGTTCCTCACAGTCCAATTGAGGATGATTTTTACCATGGATATCATATCCCGAAAGGTTGAAATCACCTCGCTACTAAATTCCAATTCAATTGACCTATATTTAGGATGTGTGGTCTACCCTAATATATGGTTGGTGTATTTTCTTTGTTGGGTTAATGCATTGACCACTGGGTATAAGGGCTATGAATCGGGACCCAGATGTATATACAGATCCTGAAAAGTTCACTTCCAGAGCGATTTGTAGACTCCGAATTTGGGCCATTCGAAAGCATCAACAACATCTATGCATTCGGGTTTGGGCGACGGTGTGTTACACCATTAAACATGGATTATTTTATTCTAAACAATCACTAAAACACCAATCTTTAGAGTCTGCGCTGGTCGATATATGGCCGAGAACACCGTTTGGCTTACAGTGGCCTCTGTTCTGGCAACCTTCACTCTGAGTAAGGCGAAGGATGAACAAGGATCTGTCGTTGACGTACCCGGTGATTACACGGATGAGTTCTTCTGGTATGGCTTCTGTTGCGTTCGTCTCCGATATTCACATCTGTCTTAGTCATCCCAAACCTTACCGATCTACTATAACTCCTCGCAGTCCAGTAGCAAGGGACTTGATTCTGTCTACAACAAATGACCCTTAATGGACCTGAAGTGTACCCGTTGCATGTTTTACCTGGTCAACTGGGTGTCATATGTGTTGAATGCCTTCTCTTTTTCCTTCTTTGACTTTCTATTGCCCATCCCTCTGAGAAATGCCGAAGGATTGGTTGTACTTTTTTTGGCCAAGTAAGGCCCTGTCAATAATGACGCACATTAAAAACTTGACACCGTGTATGGCCAGCTATGGTCAGACGAATCACACAACGGAAATTTTAATCCCCGTCAACATACATATCGGGTGTGCGTTGGTCAGTGCGCAAGATAAAAAGATTGATTCTCCTCAGAACTTCCCAAAGAACACTTCCTTTGCTCCTTTTCACTGTACCAGTGGATGATGTATACAGCATTTTTTGGTTTATTGGCTGTGGCCACGCTAGCCTTGATAGGTCTCGTTGGAATATACCGTGGTCGACGTCAACCCTACACGGCGGCTGGTTCTTGCCCTCCTGGGCCCAAGGTTGCGATTATGCCAACCCACGATGCGTGGGTGGAGTATAAAAAATGGGGAAACGATTACGGTGAACTTGGAAGACTTGAGACCAATAGATTTCATTTATTTTTGTGCAGGCGACTTGATTTATCTTTCTGAGAGGAATACTTTGATAACAAACAAATCCGAAGTCGCCATGGACTTGTTGGAAAAGCGTGCTCGCATCTACTCAGATCGGGCAATGACCCCAATAATGAAATTGTAAGTGGACCTCTCAATCTATCAGGACAGCGTTCTCTGCTTAGTTGAATGTCATCAAGATGTGGGGGTGAGGACATACTCTCACTCGAGGTATGGTTTTCATGGTTTATAAAATCCATGGGCTAATGTGACTCGGACTTTCTTCACACAGCTTTACTCTGAAAAGTGGCGAAAGGATCGACGTGTCTTTCAACAAACCTTTCGTCGAGCTGCGAATAGTCGTTTCTACTCTGCCCAGTACAATAAAATCCACACATTCTTACGCCAATTGCTTCTCACACCCGATGATTTCATGGAACATACGTTGAGGTGCGCTCATAAAACCAGTAAGAAGATCATAGATTGAGTCTTCTCGATTGCTAGGCTCTCCCAAGCCCTCGTGTACAAAGCACTATATGGGCTCGATGTTGATCCTGAAGATCCCTTGGCAAAGAAGGCAGTAGAAGTCATAGATACATTGGGGCAAGCTTTACTTCCTGGTGCTTTCCCTGCATATGAACGTTTCCCATTTCTACGTTTCATGCCTTCCTGGTTCCCTGGATGTAGGTTCAAACGAACTGCAATTCAGTGCGGTAGAAGTGTGAAAGAGGTAGACACTATCCCATTTGACATTGCAATGGCTCATCTGGTGCGTAACTTCATCACGCAATATCTCCCAGTCTATTGTCCAAGTGTCCTGCTTCTTATTTCTTCCCCCAGAAAAGTGGGACAGGTGTTTCTCCAATTGCCGAGTTGGCGATGAGAAAGCCTCAAGATATCAAGGCAATCAAGGCAATGGGTACTGTAAGCTACTTGGGTAAGACTTTCAGCTGTTCTCACAACCCTTCGATCCAATTATTGATGAACGTTGAACACGTGGCTCAGCTTCGGCAGACACGGTATGCCTTCTCAACTAAGTTTGAGGATCATAGGTGAAACCGAAATGAATTAGACCATGTCCTCTATATCATCCTTCCTCTTAACAATGTGTCAAAATCCCGATATACAGGCTAAAGGGCGAGACGAGATAGAACGTGTGATTGGCACAGATCGACTACCCACCTTCGAGGATCGCCAGTCCTTACCTTACGTCGAAGCTATTTATCGCGAGGTCATGCACTTACACCCTGCTCTACCTCTTGGTACTCCGCTCTTTTTTCTGAGGGTGTCAATCTAGCAGTTGAACAGCGAATTTCACAGGCCTTCCTCATGTTTCGACTGAAGACGATTTTTACCGTGGATATCATATTCCAAAAGGTAGCAAACATCGCTCCCTGAAACCAATCCGATTGACTTCTGTTCAGGATGTGTGGTTATACCCAACATATGGTATGTACGCGATTCTGATATGACAGACAATGTTGTTCTGACAAGATAACCTGATATCAGGGCTATGAATAGAGACCCAGATGTGTACACAGAGCCTGATAGATTTCTTCCGGAACGTTATAGTGAATCTCCTACGGGCCCATTTGAAAGCATAAACAACATTTATGCATTCGGGTTTGGACGACGGTTTGTCTCATACATATGGGCAGTCTCCGACTCGCTCTAAAATTGTTGAGTACTCCAGGGTCTGCGCTGGTCGTCATATGGCGGAAAACACTATTTGGCTCACGATTGCCTCTGTACTCGCTACCTTCACTCTGGGTAAGGCCAAGGATGGAAAGGGGAATGAAATTGATATCCCTGGTGAATACACCGATCAATTTTTCCGGTACATATCACTTCATCGTTATCTTCTTTCCCATTGTTCACGTCATCCCAGGCATCCCAAACCTTACCGGTCCAGTATTGTTCCTCGCAGTGCTCTGGCAAGAGAGTTGGTTCTCGCTACAGACGCCGAATAGAAACAAGAAATGCCTTTTGTAAGGGTCACTGGTGAACACCCAGTTGATAACGTCTGAGCACTGGATCCAGTCTCGTTTTAGGAGAAACTTCGTATTACAATCAAGTTGACAGAATAACGAAATTGTTGTAATTATACGGCCTCTATACTTTTGATAGAACTATTTGGAACGGCAGTGTGAATATGCAGCAGCTATATGGCTTTGTTCGAAAACTGAGGTTGAATTTGTTACTATCTGCCAGGTGGTATATAAGAACGACGAGCATTGAATAAAGAACTTACTCATCATTGCATTAGACCTGACACTTTCTACAACTTTCTCCAATTAGAATCTGCGCTGGTCGGTACATGACCGAGAACATCGTTTGGCTTAGTACAATTGTATCTGTCCTGGAAACCTTCATTTTGAGTCAGGCGAAGGATGAACCCGGTGAATACACGGATGTCGATAAGTTCTTCTGGTATGGCTTCCTTTGCGTTCGTCTCCGTCCGTCTTAGTCATCCCAGACCTTACTGATCTACTATTACTCCTCTAACAAGGGACTTCAACTTGATACTATCTACAATAAATGACGCTCAGTAGTGCTTAGTGAACTGTATCTGATGCATGTTCTCACTCATTGACTGAACCGCTTATTAAATCCTTCCCTCTTTGCCTCCTCCAGCCTCCTCCATACCGCCTGTCAGCTCACAGTTGAGATTTTTGGTCAAGGCTCCCATGGAATGTCACTATTACTAGTATGTCGTGAGGATAGGATAGGATATGGATTATACTAGCGAGGTCCGATTCCCGAACAACCAGTCTACCATGTTACATCACACAACTCACTGCGGGGATGAGCCGATTTCCTCGAGGCGAAAATATGGGTTCTATCTCGAGGTTATGTACAAAAATATGGCAGCAGATATTTTGAAGGAATTGAGTTGAGGTTATGGTAAAATTATGAAAAGATAATTACAATAAGCACGGCCCCCCGCCAAATTCACAATAGCTTCACAATAATTGCCACACGAATAGTTTTAAAATTCGTGCTCGGGATTTTTGACAAACTCTGGAAAAAATTCTTTCAATTTCTCTACATTTTCACCACGAGGACATTGGCACATCCCCACAGTGACTTGTACATAGAATAATGGAATCTATTTTGACACACTCAGGCGTATACATAGTCCGACCAATCAGACAGGGAGATTGAGGATATAACGTACCGATTATGCTGCTGATCACGCTGGACAGGTCGTGGCAGCTGTCGAAGTCGAATGCCTGCTTTGATATAAAAAGATCCTTCTAAGCCTCCTAGAAAGCAACCATCTTCCTGCGTAACTTTTTCATTGTGTTACGGTGATCATGTATACCACAATTTCTCCAATGCTTGTTGTGTCATTGGCCACACTAGCCTTCATAAGTCTCTTTAATATATACCGATATCGGTATCGACCCTCCACAGTGAACAGTCCTTACCCCCCTGGGCCAAAGATTGCCACTATGCCGACCCGTGATGCTTGGGTTGAGTACCGAGAATGGGGAAATAATTACGGTGAACACCAATATTCTCCACTATTCATGGATTGAAGCCAATGGATTATGCTTATTTCTGTGCAGGCGGACTCGTCTATCTCCCTGAAAGGAATACTTTAATAGCCAATAAATCCGAAATTGCCATTGAGTTGTTGGAAAAACGTGCTCGTATCTATTCGGATCGGGCGATGACCCCAATAATAAAGTTGTGAGTGGGCTTTTGATCTATAAGAGTAGTATTTCTGCTTACTCGAAGGTCCTTTAAGATGTGGGGGGGAGGACATACTTTCACTTGAGGTAGTCCACGATTTAGTATGAAATTAATGGGTTATTACTCACACAAACTTGTTCACATAGCGTTATTCTGAAAAGTGGCGTATCGACCGACGAGTCTTTCAGCAAACTTTCCGTCAAGCTGCGAGTAGTCGTTTCTACCCGGCGCAGTACAATAAAATTCACGAATTTTTACGCCAATTGCTTATGACCCCTGATAAATTCATGCAACATACAATGAAGTGCGTTCATAAAAATGGCAAAAAAGGACATACGTTGATTTTGAGTTTTAGGCTCTCTCAAGCTCTCGTGTACAAAGGACTATATGGACTCGACGTTGATTCTGAAGATCCGTTGGCAAAGAAGGCCGTAGAAGTAATGGATACATTGGGGCAAGCTTTACTTCCTGGCTCTTTCCCTGCATATGAACGGTTCCCATTTCTACGTTTCATGCCTTCCTGGTTCCCTGGATGTAGATTCAAACGAATTGCAATTCAGTGCAGTCAAGGTGTGAAAGAGGTAGACACTATACCATTCGACATTGCAATGGCTCATTTGGTGCGTAACTCTTTCAGTCCGGCGATTTCTTGCAATATTTCCCAGTCTATTGACAAGTCTTCTGCTTCTTATTTCTTCCTCAGAAAAGTGGGACAGGTACTTCTCCCATTGCCGAGTTGGCGATAAGAAAGCCTCAAGATATCAAGGCAATCAAGGCAATGGGTACTATAAGTTATCTAGGTAAGACTTTTGCTCCCACGAAGTTGAACTTTCGATCAAGTTATTGATGAACATGCAGCTTCTGCGGATACGGTATGCATTCTCGACTATGTTCGAGGATAATAGGTGAAAAAGAAATGAATTAGACCATGTCCTCTATATCATCCTTCCTCTTAACAATGTGTCAAAATCCCGATATACAGGCTAAAGGGCGAGACGAGATAGAACGTGTGATTGGCACAGATCGACTACCCACCTTCGAGGATCGCCAGTCCTTACCTTACGTCGAAGCTATTTATCGCGAGGTCATGCGCTTACACCCTGCTCTACCTCTTGGTACTCCGCTCTTTTTTCTGAGGGTGTCAATCTAGCAGTTGAACAGCGAATTTCACAGGCCTTCCTCATGTTTCGACTGAAGACGATTTTTACCGTGGATATCATATTCCAAAAGGTAGCAAACATCGCTCCCTGAAACCAATCCGATTGACTTCTGTTCAGGATGTGTGGTTATACCCAACATATGGTATGTACGCGATTCTGATATGACAGACAATGTTGTTCTGACAAGATAACCTGATATCAGGGCTATGAATAGAGACCCAGATGTGTACACAGAGCCTGATAGATTTCTTCCAGAACGTTATAGTGAATCTCCTACGGGCCCATTTGAAAGCATAAACAACATTTATGCATTTGGGTTTGGACGACGGTTTGTCTCATACATATGAGCAGTCTCCGACTCGCTCTAAAATTGTTGAGTACTCCAGGGTCTGCGCTGGTCGTCATATGGCGGAAAACACTATTTGGCTCACGATTGCCTCTGTACTCGCTACCTTCACTCTGGGTAAGGCCAAGGATGGAAAGGGGAATGAAATTGATATCCCTGGTGAATACACCGATCAATTTTTCCGGTACATATCACTTCATCGTTATCTTCTTTCCCATTGTTCACGTCATCCCAGGCATCCCAAACCTTATCGGTCCAGTATTGTTCCTCGCAGTGCTCTGGCAAGAGAGTTGGTTCTCGCCACGAACGCCGAGTAGATCCAAGAAATGCCTTTGTAAGGGATGCCGACGAACACCCAGTAGGTAACGTCTGGACATCAGATCCTTGTTTCTTTTTTGAAGAAACTTCGTATTACAATCAAGACGACAGAATAACGAAATTGTTGTAATTATACGGCCTCTATACTTTTGATAAAACTGGACGTTGAAGCAGCGCGAATATGCCGCAGCTTTGTAGCTTCGTCCAAAAGCTGAGGTTGAACTTGTTCCTATCCGCCAGGTGGTATATAAGAATGACGAGTATTGAATAAAGCACTTTCTTACCATAGCGTTAGGTCTGACCATATCTACAACTTTCACTAATCGCGCAGTCATTTCGTGTAAAGCCACTTGATGTTTCAACTTCAACTGTGCTGCGTCCGTTCTGCTTGCCCTACTTCCGCCTTTGCTACCGCTGTGGGCAAGTGTCAAAACATCAGGTAGGAGTGAAATTAGTCGAGGGATTCCTCGAACGAGGTCGTCCAATTCTTTCGCTCGCATTGCGTCGGGCACAGCGTCCGGCTCCAGCCCCTCGACAACTGGATTTGTCTCCGAAGGAATTAGGGTTGGTATTCGAGTCATGGTATCCGCGTAGTCAAGGAATGCCTAGAGGTATCTTTAGCATGAATGGGATGCATTCATTCATTCCTCCACTTACTTTGCCCCGAACGTACCACCCTTCAACCCTGCCTTGATCAGAGTCTCCAGAAAATGGAACGAATGGCGAGAAAATCTCCTTCAAAAGATCGTAGTCGTTACGGATAACGGCATCCGGCGCAAGTGAAAGGACAGCGATGTCGTGCGCACGGTTGAGATTGCCAGCAGCAAGGAATAACTCATAAGCTACGTACGCTGGATGAGAGGAAGATGAAGGCTCATGATTAGTTGAGACAATATGGCCAGGTGGAGGGGAGAAGGAGTTGAGGGCATAGATGGCCTGTATCTATTTCAGATAACGAAGGACGATACGTTTGGCATGAGACAAACCTGAGCTTCCTTGACCCATCTTAAAGGGATTTTGAGGCTCCCGACGAGACCCCGAATGTTCCATTCATCTAACATGGGTGCAGAGCGAATGAGAAGATCTTGAATGGCCTTACGGCGTCTAAAGTTGATGAATTTTAGAAACAGATAGTATAGTTCAGCAAATGCACCAACCCGGCAGACCCTTCCAAATGCAGTAGTACAAAGATTGCTTCTTGAATCATACCTTGCTGCTCAAGTTGCAAGGCGTAGCTGCTCGTGAGCAAATCAGCAGTAGGACTATGCCCTTCGAATTCGGGTTCAGGCTCCGGTTGATCGTCGTCGATGGAAACGTGACCGTCGTGGCGCACATCACCACGATCGGGAAAGTCCCTTACACGCATGCATCGAGAGAGAATGATGTAGAGGTGCCATGGAATGGTATAATTGAGCTGACCGGCGGAAGTTCGAGGTTGGAAAATGTCGGAAAGGGAGCACGTCTCATCAGAATACAGTCGTAATAAAGAAAACAACAAGTCCTCTGAGCCGTCATCGGTTGATTCTCTGAAGGAGTTGAACACCTGTGCGATGGGAGTGTGCATTGGTTCCACGAACCAAAGGTAAAGGCCGAAGATACGTTTCCAGTCAAGACCGTGGACAATGTCCACGGTGAGATCTCCTGCAAGTAGCGCGTATATTTTGCGCAAGTCGCTGTCGATGAGTGTGTCAACTTTCTGGTTTGTCCAAATTTCCAATTGCTCTAAAAGGTCATTTCGATATTGGCTGTCCCCTCCGGCTTGCGCAATCAGGGTGGCAAGGGTTGGATATCCACTGTCCATTGCGACGTCACAGGCCCGTTCGAGTTGATTACCGGTCAGATGGGCAAAAGCAATGGCCGGTGCGCTCGCCGCCAGATGTGTTTGCAAGTACTCCTGCACTGCAGGAGCAACAGCATATTGTAGCCAGGAAGATAACGCGGCTTTACGAGTTAGAAGACTAACTCGCTGCCGGATGTCCGGCGTAGCAGCTTGGGACGAAAGGTGCAGGGAAAGTGGGTCAAACAGTGCAGACCCTAGTCGGAACATAGATGCTTCTTGTGAAGCATCAGTGGCAGGGAAAAGGGAAGAAAAGGAAGAAAAGAGAAGGACCTCCGGAGAAGGGTTAGCAAAGGGTACTCCGCCATCATCAGGTGATATAGGTGAATGTGAAAGCTGGTGCTGAAGAAGTTTTGGCGACAACGAATCACTTGCCGGCATTGGTATCTTAGATTTTAAAACAATAGTTCCAGAACTGGGTCGGACTAAAACTCCTCCCGGACCCCATCCGACGCGGAAAGACCTTCCGAATGATAGTCCTGCGTCTGCCAAAGCATCTTCGGCTCCAACTGCTACAGACATTGTGCTATCCACCCGCGTGTATTTTCGTGTTGGTCGAGTTAGTGTCGGCTGTACGTCCTTCGCAAAAGATGGGCGCGTGTCCCAACTTCGTATATCTCCGTCTGATTCTCGACCATGTTTGCGAAGAGTTGGTGTAAGCTTCCGGAACGAAGAATCAGCGATTTGATTCATTGCTTTCAATGCCGCTGCCTCTTCCGGCATCCTAAACAAAGACGTCTGCATTACATGCATTCTTTGTGAGTCTACACCTGCTATTTGAGCTCGTGGTGCCAAGTTCCGATCCTTTGTTAGCTGCAGCTCGTCTTCCTGCATCTCTGATGATAACTCAGAATCTGTTTCTTCTTCTTCCTCTTCTTCCTCTTCATCATCTTCCCCTTCGTCGTCTTCATCTTCGTCCTCCTCCTCCTCCTCCCCATCATCTTCTTCTTCTTCTTCTTCTTCGGCTCCATCCTCCTCTTCCTCTTCAGCTATAGGAAGTTTTTGGACTTTATATGATACATGACGCGCGGGCTTCACAAGTTGTTCTTCAGAGTCGGAGTCGGAGCTGGAGGCACTGCTACTTTCGCCGTCACTAAAAGCACGAAACCGCGCCATGACATGGATTTTGAAAGACAAGCGTGTTGGTTAGGACGAAAATTCTCACGTACATGATATGATCGTGAGACACAATCGGTGCTTATGTGGCGCAGTTGCGACTTTCATTTAACCTCCCAACAATCCTGGAACTGCGAACCCAAATAATATACATACATATCACAACAACGACAATAACGATCCCCCCTGATTTATACTACCTCAATTCTCAGGTGTAGATCTTCAACCACTGAAAGTCAAAGTAAGCGTCTTCAAACGCCCATGGATTGTTGTCAACATAATCTAATAACCCATAAGCAATTTCTTGGCTTGAATAAGAAATACGCGTCCCTTACCTTCACATGTAGATGGGCACCCAGACGCTCCGTAAGCACTTCCAGCCCAATCTCCGCCTGTAAAGAAAAAGGTCTTTCAATACTCGCCAATCTCCGAAGCACCATTCTGCTTACACAGACTCAGATTTATGACGATATTATGCGGTCCGAATTTCGCTCCTATATCACAGTCTGTGTTGGGGAAATATGCCGAAGGCTCTCCCTGGAAAAGAATAGAATTGCCATTCAGCTCAAGAGACATCCTTGGGGGATACTATGTACCCAATTGTCGGTGTCAACAGTTTCATTCCCGACTTCCACCTCGTAAGGAACAGTCCCCGCATCGCGGGACCAGAACCAAACACTTATGCCTGCCTCTGACCTTTCTGAGGCAAACCTATAAAATTTGAAAACATCGCTTAGGCTTTTCCATGTCCCACCCCAGGAGCGGTTACTCACCATCCACCACCGTGATCATTGAATATAGGTCCGTAGCTTCTCGTATCCACGAATTTGACACCACAGCCGGAATTGGAATTGAGGAGAGTGTTACAGTCGTCGAGGAGTGCGTTCCTGCACATGTAGAAAAGAAGGCACGGTCAGTTCAATCAGTAAATTTAAGCGATCCGAGTCAAGACAAGGTTCAAAACCATAGCAAAGCAATGACATTGAGAGGATTGTGACGTTGAAAACTTCACTCACCCTTTCTCGTACCTCCAATCCGGCATTGTACAACCTGTAATCAAGTACCAATAGTATAATTACACGCACTCGAGGAAAGGGTATTAACGCATACCAGCACTTGTGTGCAGTGTTGCTTGGTTAGGCCCTTGGTCGTTGACGCCTTCCAAGACGTCGATTTCTCCCTGATGAAGAAAGGTGAGCCCCGGACTAAGGTAAATGAAGATTTTACAGATCTTCTTACATTGCTAGGCCAGTCTTCTCCGACAGTCCATACCTGACACGGTCAATGAACCATCAGCATATCGGCATTCACAAACTACAAAGACTTAAGAGCACATACGGCGGGCCAAGTACTGTAAAATACATGGACGCGCATTATCAATATCAATGATGATAGAATTCGTCAAAAGCGGTACGGTACTCACCCACATCCCTGGGGCATATGACGAATGTTGAAACTAATGTTCATACATAGTCAAAAAAAAATGCGCAATAAATTCGAACACTGTGACTCTCGCTCACACCATGACCGAGGTCGTGTATTGCTTGTTTGATTGAATGCGCACAGAATCTCTCCCGGGTCCATTTGGATCGAGAACAGTCCAGTAGTCTGTCCGGAGGACAAAATGGTCTCCAGAGGCATACGTTAGATTCTCGTTTGCGGCGGTGTAAGCGTCGACGTAATTCCTGTGTTTCCTCAGAACTGGCCACCATGAAAAAACAAAGACAAGAAAATACTTACACCCGGCCGTGTGTGGGGTCCGGTATGGCTTGATACGAGAATGACTTCAAGAAACCAATGCCGGTGTGACTGTCGGACTGAGTATACGATGCCCCGAGCACCAGTTTGAACGCGAGGAGGAAGTGGAGGAAATACAGTAACATCTTGGTCCCAGACTGAAAGATATCTGATGAACCAGATCCTGCAGCACTAGTACCGAGTATCCAGTTTTGCTCTCTGTTTATATACGTTCTGTGTCTCTCTCCTCCTAAGGCATGTACCGATTGAAGCTACTCGCCAGCTCAAGAACGCTCAATTCCCTCAGCGTAGTACACTAATCGGGGCATCGCAAGTTAATTGTTCGAAAGTGCTTAAGAAGGCAAGCGCCAAGCTAGTGCGGTCGATATCGGTAGGCTCCATATGGCGGTCAACACTTCCTGTAAGTCACATCTTCAACTGGGAAACGACTGGAAAGTCAAAAGGAAAGCCGAGTTCCGTTCTATACATACAGCCAATTCTATGGTGTGCACACATCAAAATGTATCGATGTACCACGGATATAAGAACAGTGCTAGGTGGCGGATGCATTATGGAAGAGATGGCCATTGGATGCATTCATGCCAACGCATAGTAGAACTCGACCATGTGCTGGAAGGTATCAGCTGCTGGTCAAGATAGGCTAGGTTCATTACAGGAAGTTGTATGCACGACATCAACAATAAGTAATCCTCTTCAGGTCTAGGGGCAGCAGGAAGAGCGAGCTCAGGAAGAAGAGAGACTGATTCCTCATTTCTGATCAAACTAACCGATAATTTACGGGCCGTAAATAGCACATGGTCACGTATAAGCTTTGAGGGAGAGGAAGTCGAAGTAGGCATTCTCAAAGTCTGCTGGGTTGTTATTGACATAGTCTGTTGATTATGGGTAAGCATCGGTAACAATATCGTGACACGTCTATAACTCACCAACACATGTTGATGGGCATCCCGACGATGAATAGACGGCACCAGCCCAATCGCCACCTTCAAACAAATCAGATATAGTTTTACTGCGCCGCTATGAAATATTTACTCACAGAAAGTCAAGTTGATTATGATGTTCTGAGGCCCGAAATGAGAGCTTATAGAGCACGATGTGTTGGGAAAATACGCCACGGGAGTACCCTTCGGAGGAGCAATAGTTCAGAAATAACCTAATGCAGTATTGTCTTAGGTCCACGCACCCAGTTATCGGTGTCGATTGTAGAACTGCCTCCACTGACATCGGAAGGAACGGAGGTACCGCGGGCCCAAAACCAGATCTTGACGAAATCGTCCGTAAGCTCCATAGCGTACCTTCGCGTCATTCATTAATATCGTGCGATACAATCAATGTGGGATACTCACCACCCTCCGCCGTTGCTATTGAACGTAGGACCAAAGCTACGAGCATCAGTGAAAGACACTCCACATCCCGCGTTGCCATTTACTGCAGTGTCACAATCAGATTGGAGAGCTGTTCCTGTTTCTGTTCGAGAGGCGGGCATTGAACAATCCGGACTGGTATGAAGCGTCCTGTGCAATCGTTGTCAGTGAAAAAAAGATGAAGACCCAAGAGTCGAGCTTGCATACCCTTGATTAGTGCCAACGTTGTTGACCCCCTCTGTTCAGATGGTGAGTTGTATAACGAATCGCCTTTGAGAGAGGATACGGACCTATGATGTCAATTTCACCCTGGCAATGTAGGTTTTTTCAGATATTGTGTAGCGCAAGAAAAAGATACTCACGGTAGTTGGCCAATTGTTTCCTTGATCTCCAACAGTCCAGAAAGCAGGCCAAGTACTATATGGAATGTTGATGAACAGTACTTCGACAACATTATCTTCACACTAACCCGCATCCTTCTGGCATATGGTTGAGGTTCGCCCTATCGGATAATTTCAGGTCAATCCGGAATACACGTCGGGAACATACATACACTAAAACCGAACCAAGCCCATATTGCTTGTTAGACAATAACCTGACAGAATTCCTTCCCGGGCCGTTGGGGTCCAGGATAGTGGTGAAATCTGCACGGGCAATGAAATTGGTGGCAGAGGCAAATGTTAGATTGTCGTTCTTTGCGGTGGCCGCGTCGACGTAATTGCTACAGCAAAGAAGCAGTGAACAACGAGAACGATGGATCGATGATTTGTTGCATACACTCTTCCATTGGTCGGGTCTGGGATGTTCTGAACCGTAAAACTGTTCAGAAAATCTTGACCTGTGTAAGTATCTGATACGGTATAGGTCGCAGCCCATACGCCAGATACGAAGACGAGAGCAAATGTCAAGGACCAGGTGAAAGAGGTAGACATGGGGACTTACACAAATAAGAAATTTACCGTGAAGTTTTTATATGAGCCTGATGTATCACCACCCGCTGGTATTCCAAAATTTTTCTTTGTTGAGACATGTGAAGTGGCGATTGATCTCTTTCTTTTTGGTGCTGTTGTGATACAAAATTTGTCCATGGATTCGGATATCGTATCCCATCGGCATCGCGGTTCGGTGGGAGAAATAAGGAATACCTGATTAGGGATTACAACACAAGTAACATTTTGAAACGAAGAACTATCAAGTCCAGAATTGGAATCATGAGCTTATGAGGTCGTGAACGAATTCAAGTGTTGATCTGTCGCTAGACCTTTCCGGGTAGTAAACAAGATACGAAGCCGCCAAGGAGTCCTAGGACGTATAGTAACATATATGGTCCGTACTGTGCGAGTAGCAGAGGAATTTGTCCATTCGCATGAAGGTATTCAGCAAATCGTTGTCACAAGGCCAATTCTTTTTCATCGTAATTGTCCGTGGAATATACTCGGTAGGCTTTGGAGTCAATACCAACGAGGATGTTCAGGCTGACCCAAACCATATGATACTACACCTGTACAAGGAATGTCTATGTCAAAGAGCACACGAACAACGGAATAGAGACCAACACTGACCAACAAGCATGGATACCCTCATTCGGAGCTCCCACCAGCCAGCCTGAACAACTAGGAGGTCATGAGAATTATATATAGTGAAAGATCAGATTCACCGTAAATATCCTTTCCTCGAGCTTTTGAATTCACTTGCTATTCACCGACACGAAATCATTATCTATTCAACCATAATTAACTCAGTTTAGCCCACTACGAAGTTGGCCAGGACAAACTGGGCTTTTCAAATAGAAGACATAAAGAGACCAAGTGATTGAATATAACGTAGCGAGCTGAAGGAGACTGGTTGTAGCGTATGCACAACGTGGGAAACCAAGTACGACGCCCTCAGCGACAGCGACCCAAACGTCACACACAGTTGAAATAATGAATGATGAAAGATGAGAAATATTCGGATGGATGTTACTACTACAGCTAGACATATTGAACACATAGAACACAAAAGACTTTGACGTTGTACACATCTCGAGTGCAAAGGTAATCTGCTATCAAATGTCTGCACCATCACTGCATAGCATATCTGGGGCCAAAAGCCAGGTCAGTGAAGGCAAATAAATTGAAAACGTTTGAACGTACTTCCTTGTCCATTCTCTAGCGGTGGCCTCATACCGCTCCCGATCAGTCTTGTACAGATGGGCAATGTCAGGTACCAAAGGATCATCCGGATTGGGATCAGTGAGCATCGAACAGATCGAAAGCAGTACTGAAAGCCGGTGCAAAATCAAAATTCTATTCTATCGTCATACGAGATGAACGGACCTTTCGAAATTGTAAGCGCAGGAGACCATTGGTCTCGTAAAATGTCGAGACAGATGGAGCCGTTGGCGTTGATATTCGGATGATAGATCTTTGTCGTAAAGCTGACCTTCGGAGGTTTGAACGGATAGTCGGTAGGGAACAATATGGAAAGGAAGAAGACTCCGCCGGCGTAAGGTGAGTCACTCTGAATTGAACATCGGAAAATGAGTGTATAATCATTTTGCGGAGATAACAACGAACCGGGCCCATGATTGTAGCTTGCCAATGGAACAGGTCGTTCGCACGTTCTCCTCCGCCTTGAACAGGTCCGGCGCTGCAAGAAGAGGGTGGATCACGTCCGAGATCAAGAAGCTCCTGTGAGTGATATTATAAGTCAGCCAGATTCAGGCAAGAACGCAATGCTTGACGACTGTCCCAGCCGCCGCCACATATAATCCGCCCACATCCAAAACTCACTTTGTTGATGCGCTTGAGAGCCATTGAGGATTAGACTAGTTCTGCGTCTGAAATTGGCATGTTCAAGGATTAGAGATTACGATGAGATGACGATGAGAAGCCATCGATGAGAAATTCGTCCAAAAAGTAAAGCAATGCATATTAGCAACCTTACAGACTAACAAAGGCAGGGAAGGCGTACTCACAATATGCACAAAGGAGAGAAGAAAACAGTCGTCCAATAGACACCTGGTGGTGGTAAAGGGATAAGCTGTTGTGGCTGTAGTTGGTGCTTGTTTTGTTCACGGGGACACCAGCGCTTGTGATTGATAAGGCGCTAACATGGCGGTAACTACAGAAACGAAAACAAGGACTTTTCCGCTCTCTTTCAATTGTGTAGCCAAACTGTAGCAGAAGTAGATATAATAATTCTCAAATTAAGCTCAAGGTTGCTTGGAATCAAAATTCATTGGAAGTCATGACGTTTTTTTCAGAATGTTGTGGAACCTTCCAAAAAAGCTTACGAATAGTGCGGTCGGACACAGCGAAATATGAATTCAGGAAATAAAAATAAAAGATAAAAGGCACCGCTCGGAAAAAGAGTCCAACACACGAACCACAAAACCACCGGCTGCATGCTTGAGATACGATATTCACTGGACGCCCTAGTGAATATGCGCATTTAAGCGATTCAAGCCTGGGTATTCTCACAAACGACCGAGAACTGAAACTATCGAGTGGAGGACACGCGAAAAGCGGCACTACAAAAGGTCAACAATACCTATACAGACTCGTGAAAGAAATACATACACTCGTGCCCTTCTGAAGGAGGAGACCCCTGAATGAAATCTTTTCAGACCGAGCATGCCCGAACAAACAGAAAGAATCTTCATTTACTTTACCCTTGCACTGCCCTTTATATGCACTCGGTATACGGTATCGCGAGCGCTGTCCGCACCTGTGGTAAAAACATCAACGAGGAAGAAAAGGAAAGAAGAATTCCAGCATAACCGGCTAATCATCGTCCTCATCCTCATCATCGCTCATAATGAAGATTCCACCATCGGGGATACTTTCGGGCCAAGGTGGCTTCGCGGGTTCAATTGGCTTCACAAGAAACGAGGGATAAGCAGGAGTATGCCCAAAACTAGAAGTTGGAGGCAATGAGGCCTGCTTTTGGGACCTAAAAGGACCAGAGCCTTAGTGCCTAGGGTCTTGAAGACGGCCACACGGAAATGGCAATATGAACAACGCACCGACTGAGCTCGCGTATCTGAGCCATAATGCTGTCCCTTCCTTGCTTGGTTCTTGTCTGGGAGAGTAATTCCATGAGCCTCTTCGTCTCCGCGATCTGATATTCCAGCTGTTCACGCCGCGCCGCCAACCCCACAGATGAGCTGTTGGATTGAGGTTTGGTTGCAACAGCTGGAAGCACGGGCGTTGGTTTGATTGTCTGTATACTCTCTTGTATAAATGAAACTGCAAGATCGTCGAACACTGCACCAGCGGCTGTGGAAGAGATTCGTGTACCACTATTGGAGTCAGATGAAGCGGCTTCCGATACCACAACGAGGTCTGAATTAGTGAGCAAATGCTCGTCGTTGTCAATGGTGGTATCAGAGCTGGGTGAAAGTGGAAGAATAGAACCAGAATCACTGATTTTCTTTTTCCGCTGGCTGGCCAAAACCAGACGGCGAAGTTGAACCTCGATCGCCTGCTTATTAGGAGGAGAAAGAGCGTCAGAATTAGGAGATGGCAGAGGAGGTTTGACCGATATAGATGGCGAAGACGCCGAGGTAGATGCTAGGGTGAGGGTTTGATTAATGGGCGACCGCATCGTTGAATCGTTTTCTTTACCTGCCAATGATTGGTTGCGTTCAATTTCCAATTTACTACGTGCAATTCGCTCTTCGAGTTCTTTCTGTCGAGCCAAGAGTGAGCGTTTTACAACGGAGGATCTGACTGATGAAGTCTGTATGGTGTTTGAATCCGAAAGGACAGTCGATGATTCAGATGATGTGTAATCGAGATGTGTGAGATTTGAAGCAGAGATTTTACGCGCGCCTAACGGACGAGCCAATTCTGTCTTGATGTCTTCTGTATTCGATGTGATCACGATTGGTTTCATGACGGTAGCATGATGATCGTTTGGATGATTTTCAGGCTTTACTACTTGTGGATCGCGAGGGATCGGAGAAGGTTGCACAGCAGGAGACGACAATTCCATGTCAATGTCGTCGGTATGATCCACCGCTGAAAATGGAATGTCAACGTCGACAGCGTTATCCGCATGCTTTGTAAATCGATAGGCAGGCTGGGATCCTCTAACTGCATCCCCTGTTGGTGTTATGTTTTTAAGGCGAATAGTTGGCTTTATAGTGGATTCCTTGTGCGCGGATAAACTAGTAGGAGGGGACATAAGTAGGGGAACGGGAGGAGCCGCAGAAGGAACGTATATGGTGGATGCAAACGGCCTTGGGGGAAGCGCTGAAGCTGGGGAAGGAGGTAGTGGTAGAGACCTTGTATTTGAAGCCGGTATGTGGATAACTGGTGAATCCATAGACGAGGAGTTGGAAGATAGTGTTTTGATTTGAAGACCTCTGCTCTGAACCACTGAGTCTTTCTTCTTCTTCTCATCTTTGGCCTGTTTCGCCAATCTCGCTCGCTTCTCTTTCTTCGATTCCTTTCTACCATCCACCATAGATTCGTCGTCCTCAATCTCGCCTTCCTCGAGCTCTTTTCGAGTGAACACAAGCTCCGGAGAAGAGCTACGATACCACCAGACCCTGATCAAGTCTACTCTTGCTTTTCCTTTGAGTTCAATTGGGCCTAAGCTGTTGAGGCCTTTTCCCAACTTCGGACTACTCCAAGCCTGTTCTGCCTGATCGACGGAAGAAAACTCTAGAAGCGCTTTCGCGGAGCTAGAGTCTATAGCGATAAAAACCGGTTCGGTTCCGCAAGCATCTATAGCCCAGGACTTTAACCACTGTGGTGTCCGGGAAAGCTTTGGTAACTGGTCCATGATAAGGGAACGAGAAGGATCTGCTTTGTGCGGAAATGTTAAGTGAGACCTTGACTCAAACACTGTCGTACTTGAGAGCTTGAACCCTCCTCGTTTACCGTCTGGATCTCTGGCGTAAGGCATACCAATGGTATTAGTAGGAGGAGATTTCTTTGGAGATTCAGCAGATGCATTGATGTTGGTCGATGATGTAGGCATGGCTGCATGCACAGGTTTCGCTGGAAGATTAATGGGTGGAATCGGGATAGATTGCAAAGGCCAACTTGGCGGCTGATCTAGGTCTGGCAAAGGTTGGGATGTCCAGGGAGTAGGAGGCACAAAGATATCCCAAGGGATGGGGATAAGCTTCTGCGTTTCCGGAGGGTCTGCGGCTTTCGCCATTGAATTCACCCATTCCGAAGATGAAAGAGATGGGGTTTTCACATGCGGATGACCTGACATATACGCAGGAGGTAGATAAATATCAGGTGGATGAGGCGGAGAGAAAGAGTCGGAGTTGAATGAAGAAGACTCCGCGTCAAAAGCAGCGTCGTCAAAAATTTGACGGCGAGCGACTTCATCTCTCTGCCAACGAGTGATTCGTTCCTGCTGCCTAGCTCGTTTGCTCTTTGTAACAGGAAGTGGCGGAGGAGGAAGAGAATGCATATGACTAGGTCCTGCGATATTATGTGGAAGGTCATACTGTTCGCGTTTACGCTTTCGTGTTTTCAACGCTAAATAGGAGGTGAGCACGTACTGACAGAACGAAAGAGAAAGAAAGAACTACATCGACCTTCCTCGTCTACTTGTCGGTTTCTCCCAGTGAAGTCGCGTTTCTCCACAACCTGATGTCCGGTTCTAGAGACTCTTCCATGTCCGGAGTATTGGGGAAAAGTAGCATTGAATTTTGGGCTGTGCGCGGAAAATTCCCCCTTTGTGAGCTTGCCAGAGACAGTCACCATTTGCTCATCATCATCATCAGAAATGAGAATGGGAGAAGTTGGCGAGCCAGAGCCCGGATAGTGCATCATCTGAGTGTGTTCGCAGAAAACAAACGTGTATCACTGTATGGTTATTTCTGGGTTGCTCAAAATCAATGGGTAGTTTGTGTGTGTGAACAAAATCTGCCGAAAATTGAGCGCCTAGTAAGATGCAGCCTTCGGCGCACTTGATGACAATGGACACAAGACGATTGCTTGGGATCTATCTCTATTTATCTTCTACAAATCATCTATACATGCTAATTCTTATACACCCCTTGACCCCGTAGTCATTTCGAGGAAAGTGAACTTCGTGGAACTCAGGCTGCTCCCATCAAAATTGTTACCACGAGCTCACAGTCACCTTACAGCCACTATATAGCACTATATCTGCCGATTCGATAATTTTGAGTCCCACTGATTCTCCCCGTCCCGCCGACAGCCATAACTCGTTTACCGGAACATGTAGGCTACTAGTTGAACTGAATATCTTTGTCACTTCGCAAACTCCTTTTGCGAGAGAAGGGAATATAAAAATCCTAGGAGAGTAGAGCTACAGCGCTAGCAGGGGCAAAAACCGTCACTTGTGAGTTCGTTCCCTCATTTCGCGACAGTCCCAAAGGTGATGGTGCTGGTGCTGGTACCGGGAGAGCCTCTGGAAACCAGCGTTCAGTTAGGTTCAGCCTTTAGACCATGCCGTGTCAATAAATTTCCTTTCCTTTACAACTTGTTCTCGAAAAGGTGAACGAAGGAGGCTCACATGCGATGGCTACTAATTATGGCCAGCTGCTATCATGGGGCCACAGCATCATGGGATAAGCCAGTAAGCTAATAGTAACCGCCATCCCATAGGCTGCTAGGGTCGAAAAAAAACCTCATCTATTCATATCCATCCACCAAGTATTCCGTTCACCATACAGATATTCGTTAACGCTGGGTTTCTTATTTTTCTCTGTTCCAGTCGTTATATCGTTCAAATAGGTCACTTTATAGTAAGTGCATCTGAGCATTCGACAAAAAAAGGTGCCCCTAAAAACCTTGACTACTTAGTCCCGCTATCATTTTCGCGATCCGTAGTACTGATTTCCGATTGGCTAGGATCATGCTCTCAGAGTTCATCTGCGGCTCGGAGTGTATCAAAAGGATGCCATTCTGGTGACGTCCATAACAATTTCCTGGAATGAACATCGCAACGAAAACCGTGCCTTCAATCTATTAAGATTTCCATGCAAGTACATCACCTTGCTTGCAAAGGTCATTTGTTACTCGATATTATTAGCGCTGCGGAAACTTTACCCACCACGGTTTCGGCGCTTGTTTCTAATTCTAACCTGTCGTTTTTGTCCTGTTTAACCACATGTCTACCGTACCAGTGTCCCTCCACTGTTGTGTGCAGCGTGCTCAGGTAGGTCGGCAGGTATTCACTTCCTGTTCAAATAACAACTCCAGCCGTTTCTTGTCCTGTTCCCACTCTGCCTCCTTTATATATCTACCACAAGTTCAGTGTATGATGTATGGCTGAAATCGGTTGACAGATATTCATGCCAGGGCGCAAGCCGCCTTTGTACCTGTTGAGTACCACCAACTACCTTCACATCAAATAACAAATCCAGCTTTTCTACCGCCCTGTTCTTACTTTGCCTCCTCCATGTCCTTATCACAAGTTGCTGACTGACATTTGAACATATCATTTACACACAGAGTTTCTGCCTCTGTTTCATCTCAGATTCCATGTGCGATGTTGCGCTGTTAGCCTTTACTTTGTGCCGCACCCGCGACCACCCCTTTATTCTGCTTGACCTGTTTCCAGCTACTTAATGTTGGATTCAGCCACACAACAGGGCTCTGAGTTCCTCAGTAACGGGTTGAAGCCTATGGCAGGTACAACAGCCACAGTTGCAAAGGTTGCTTCTTTCACATTTGGGGAGGAGGAACATCCATTGGAAGGTATGTGTAGCTGATATATGTGATTGTACATTGACGACTTTCTGCTTGCGAGCAGAGTCAGTTAATGCCAATGGTAAACAGCGTTCAAGTGCACCAAATGCGAAAGCGGGGCCTTCCAAGGTGGCTAGGACCACCGGGTTGGCCAAAGACTGAAGGCCACGTACAGTTGTCTGTTTTTATTGTTTATGTATGTTCGTTTTGGTTCAACTCCTTGTAGTCAGGCTGTATTGTTTTACAACAGCTTCGATAAGATATGTATCTGTATGTATTGAGCTTGCTGCTTCACTGCAGAGAGGGGCAATTCGCATGTGACTTACCAGAACACCTCAAGCAAGGTTTGTGTCCCCTGCGGGGGCAACTAGTCTTAAAGACTAATTTTGAGTTCGTGACAGGATTCGTGACAGGATTCATGATGACTCTTTTTGCATGGTAAGCAAGTTATATTTAATTGTTCCGTCCATATTAGTCCTTGTCTGCAACCTCCGGTAATTTTGCTACCAAGGTCAACTGATGATCGATTGTTGGTAGTTTCAATCCCCATTCCTAATCTTCGTGCGTCTGCGCAAGGAAGATTTTGGAATTTATGGTTTGACCGATGCTAAACTTTGGGATGACCCTAGAACCATGCTCGGGTCGACAGTCCTTGAATATGACCTTTTTGAAGACAACTCGTGGCACACCAATTCAAATCTGACTAGATCGCAACAGCGGGTGAAGCCATAGAAAAATTAGATACAGTATCCATGCTACTTCCGGTTATAATGAAAATGAGTTTGGTCAGTACAAAAGCACCACCACAAAAGAGCATCTCAAGCTGTTAGAATGGATCTAGCGAGAGCAACAAAAATATGTAAAGGCAGGTCATGGAACTGCAAAAGGGAGGGGGTATTGGCAGGACTCAATCATGGGATCCGATTGTGATACCACTACCACGGTCGCGACGCTTCCTCAAGTTGTTCATTTAATTTCCCGGATCCAACTCGTTCATATCCAACTTTGAAAGAGTATCGAGACAACTGAGAAGCATCTGATTTTGGACTTACTGAGCCTTTCCATTCCGGTAAGCAGGCGTGTACCAGGCATGTACTACTCACAAGCGGCGCGAAAAACAACCGAGTCACAAAGCACAAGAACTTGAGATTACTTGTGCGGACCGCCAAACTCTAACGATAAATCGATTAGAACAAAAGTTAAGCGACGATAGCTATTCATTTTGCCTCTCCTGACTGGGGACCGGATACATGCAAGGAAAACCCACTCGTGTGGACAGCTATCACATGCACCAGAGATAACACGCATTTCCAGTACTGGTAAACCCGGAAGAGATGCCCTTAGAAGACACCCACCCAACACCCTACCAGCATTCGAAGCCAATCAGCTCCAGGCGTCCAGCGAAGCGGGAACACTCAGCTTGAGTCGAAGCACAAGAGACAGATGCCACATCGATATCGATACACCTCCACCGACAATTCGATCGTGAATGAACCTTGCGGGATAAGCCTTATCGGCGACGTAGTATTACTTGTAGCGTATTGTCTCGCCATGATGACATTGCCCTTGGTACAGAAAACAATATAAAAATCAAGTCAAAGCTAACAGAAGTTTCTTTTCAAGCGAATGAGATCCACTATGATCCAAGTTCGGAATTATTAGATTAATTGTGCACACTTACATTACGCAGAAAGGACAGCGCTCAGGCACATACCCTGGATTTTTATGTTCATTATGAACATCGGTTGCTTCCGTAACGATTATGGAATGATGCATGTTGGCCTTCTGTCTTGAGAAACATAGACATTTAGGCATGTCGCATGATGCAGCTGTTGAATATCAGCTTGAATAATGAACCGGCAGAACAAATGCAAATCAAGAACATTCTACGTGTGGATCCTTAGTCACAAACAACGGTGCATTTCGCTGGGAAATAAACCTCGTCGTAACCTAAAGGGCGAAGTTCACAATCGGACTAAATATAACGTGGAATGCTAAAAGACACACCGAAAGGTTGCTCAATTTCTTCGCCTGCTGCTAGGAAGCCCAAGTATATAGAAGAGGCTATGAGGACTTCCGTAATTGAATGCCAGCCGAACATTGCAACCAGTTGTAAGGGGAGGAAGAACAAGAACAGCTGAACAGTACTTCAAGAGTGACTTGATTGTCAGAATGCACGAAGAAGCAGATAAATGTACCGCCTATAAGCATGAAAAACATTGAAAGCCTCGACACAGACTCGAGACTTCAGGAACGCACCCAATGTGAACGCTGTACACACTGCCCATAAATATCCAGAATATCTGTCAGAGCAACACTGGAGACTCACAATCAATGGAAGAGGTACAATCGATATTTTTCCATTACTGACGGGCGAAAAATCAGAAATCAAAATAAAATCTTGAAACCGAGTTCATGATACCTGTTGATTTGTCTTCAAATGTGGATATACAGCCCATGATAGAGCCCAAACTCGTTCCTGTTGGTAATTAATACATGCTGAGGTCGGTGCGAACACATGTAAACAAGTCTAACACACCTGGCACAGTTCCTCTGTCCTCCAATAGGTTACACCATTCGCTTAAACACCTCAGAATCTCCAAAGGAAGGTTGTAACTTGTCACCCTTTCCGCCACTTCGAGTCTATAGTTAGACCGACCGTTAACGAAGACTTGATATATTGTCTTTCATGGTCCGCGCCTGCATCATCTATATGTCTGCTTTACTATGTTTCCAAGATCATCTTGGGACAAAACCCCAGGAGAAAACGGGGAGCGATTTTAACCGATAGATCTTGATCATTCAGCGTTGGTCGGTTTACGGTGAAAGATGACGCGGTGGGGTTTTCGACGCTAGTAGATCAGGATAGTTGGGGCTAAGACTTTGCTAAGGAGTGAAGGTTAAGCGGATCATGCTCTTCACTAAAACGTATACGTACAGGTTGTAGACAAACAAGGTCGTAGAGGTCCTCGTAATATACTACACTCCATTTGAACAGATATCATTTACCACGGAAGTACAGCCAACCCACCTCGAGAATGATGCTTCAAGGCCACACTGAAACCCTCGCCAAGGTCCAATGCCATTTTCTTTTCGGCAATGACTTCCGATAACTTCTGTCCAGGTCTTTTCCATTCCGCAATGGCCCGTTTTCCGGAGGTACAGGGTGTTCTACACGGAGGAACCTGGTACCATATTAGACGAATAATGGCGTGCGGGGTCTTCATTAAATCGCTCCATGCAGTTCTTCCAAGCCAGTAAAGTTCGTATCTTACCATAAGCGGAATTAGGCTTGAACGGAAGCATCACGGAATAAGACTAACTCACGCGCTCGCTGCTCTATAGGAGATCGTGAAGCCCAGAACACCTGAATTAGATTTAAGGAAAATTGTGGAACGCCGATGAATAGGAATCTTAAATTCTCACCAATCACTGTGAGCATGACATTGGGTGTAGCAAGTTCAAAGCTAGTAGTCATTGTTACAACGACCGCGGCTGCTGTTCCAAGCCCAAATTAGCATTTGCGTCTCAATATTTTTGAGAAACAGTGTTCACCAATAGCAAAAATGTATGCAGAAAACAGACTTCCATACAATCCGGTATATCATATAGTATGATCGGAACCACTTATGACTGACAGAAACAGGTCATTTTGCTCACTACAGAGCCGCGGCCAACCGACCACCTACAGCGATAGTCAGCTTCTATGACTCCCATGGCGGGTTTAAGCGCGTGACAGCCACTTATCGGTTCATGTTTGGTGTCAGAGGCATGTATATGGAAGCACAGAAAGATATCAAAGGTCGAGAAAAGCTTCAATGTTAGTTGGAGAGTATTAGTTGTTGCAACTTGCAATGCACGTGGTAATTCAATATTCACAGCTTTGACCAGCGTGTTATTATTATTTGAAGCGCTTCTTCACTTTCACTTTACATGTTCCGGCGGTTTCAGCACGGTTTGGGCTATCTGCGTCGTGTGATTCCATGTATCATGTCCAGTCAACACATACTCGTCACTCAAAGCCTCAAGGCCTCAAGCTGTACACACCGAATACAAGGGCGCTCACAATGTCATCGTGACAAATTTCTTTTTTGAGTCGGTAAAATGAAACCATTTTTGGCGTCTCACATCTTTTCAAACATGGCTAACGTATACGACTCAATCTGCTGGGCAGGGAACATAAGGAAAGCACTCACAGTGGCAGCATCCTTCAGGTAACATTGATCAGAAGACGCTACTGGAGGTGGGGTGTAGAACTGCCTCGCCGACTTGGGCCTGGCATATTAAATTTCCGAGGAAAAATACCACTTCCATTTCCGTATGTTCCTTTGTTCTCTTTATATCGATCTTTGACCGACAGCTCTTCATCACTTTTCAAAATCACTTTCCTCACAGAAGTCGAATTCCCGAACTTCTAGGCTCCGCATTGCGTTATTCCATGGTCCCAGGACATACCAAATCTCCAAAACCATCTACTAATGAACTCCATAGAACATCACGAGTTCTGGGTTCTATCGGGCGGCCCATCGACGGTCCATCTACAGTGACCAATCATCGACATTCGGGCATTGTGCTTCGTAGTCGAGAATTCTCCCGCAGCCACCATATTCAAAGTCCACGACATCAGCCACCGGCTTTTTTTCTTTTTTCTTTTTTGGCTGCTTACGCTTCCAAGCCCGTGTTATTTCATCGAGTGAAACAAAACCCTTGGTGAACGGTTCAAAAATTTTGGTTCAATCCACTGCAATATTATTTCTGCGTCTCCAAACCTCTCATTAACTGCGATATCGCCGGAGCTTTGTGCAACGTGCAGCGCGCAGCGAAGCTTCTAGTGCATGGCATTGGCGTACCCGTGTCGTAAGCTAATACAACGGGTTTAGAGTGTGACATGATTTACCTTGCCATAAAACCCGCTTTGTGAATGTTATTGCCCATTCAAGGAGAAAGGCATCACCCGCCAGCGCGAGGCTATGCAAAATTTTACCATTTTTTCTCCTTTGAACCTCCGGGAGCGGAGCGCCAGTGACGGAGCGCTGATTATCTGATGCTGATGGAGGCTGATTGGGCTTGATGGACTTTGCAATTTTTTGTGGATTCATAGAAAGCATGATGAAGGATGGCCGTCAGGATCTTCCATCGTTCTTCTTTTTGATTCCACGGAGGTTTTCTGACTGTTGATGTGTGTTCGACGCGCTTTACCTCGGTCTGGTCAGCGGCCTTTCCCCGAGAGTCGGGCTAAAGGGGAAAGAGAATTATTGTAGTTTCCCGCTGTCCCGTCTACTGTCCACATGGTGATCGCTTACTGGTGCGCTAAGCGTCGGTGAGTCCCGCCAGTCCAGGTCAGTCCCCGGGGGCCTTGGGAGTCATGTTGTACATAGAGGCTTCTCCCACGAGTCTTCCGACAAAAACTAATTTATTTTATCTATCTTTGTACGGAAACAGTACGGGAAGGAACCAGAGCGGCGAAGGGGGAAGAAATTACAGTAATATGAAAGAGTGACCGGGGGATCGGCTCGCGCCTCATGTCTGGCACGGAGGTCGGCACCGCCGTTATGGCATTATCGAAGGTTCCTTGATTCCATTCCATTTCTGGTTCGGGATAGGCTTGGAGAAAAAGTGCCGATGGGAACTTTGGGAGCGTGGCCCAATAAATACTTGTCCTGCCGCCCTCTTCGCGCCCCCATACTTTCCCATCTTTGTCTTGATCCCGCCTTAATTCTGTTCGAATAATTTTCTACGCGTACATGCTCATTTGAATGAGAATTCTCGTGAGTGACTTTCGTTTTTTATTCGTATATATCTGATCATACGCGCGACTTAGAACGAAATGGACGTAGACGTGCTCATTCAGCCAGTTGCACAACCCAGAACGTCGAAATCTCCGGTTCTTCTTCCTGTTATCTCACCAGCAAATGGCAAACCAAAATCTCCTCCTGCCGATGTGGAAGCGCTTCCGGCACCACCCTCTCCAAATTCCACTGCTCACCCCGCCTCTGCTCTTGCTTCTATGCTCACCGACGCATTTGTTCAGATAGAATCTTTGAAAGAAATGTTGAAGAAGGAAAAAAGCCGAGCAGATCACTTTGAAGTACTTGCCAGGGACTACAAGGACCTACTGGGAGAGGGCTCAAGGCCGGACACAGAAAGGAACCAGACGGAGAATGCGAAAGGGGATGACAAAAACGATATACCGATGGATATTTCTAGATCAAAAGATCAAGCTAGCCAGCTCACTGCCGCGGCTGAGAAAATCAGGCAACTGCGTGAGTCCTTAACAGCCGCGGAAGAAGTTCGTGATGAAGAAATGGCGCGCAGGATACTCATCACTGACCTGTGGGCCCAACTGAATCAGTACATTGAACGCCTCGAGACTACAGGTAAAGATGCTCGGATAGGATTTGACCGAATCGTCAAAAGTGGCGGTGGAACCATACGCGATACCAACAGCATCTTCAAAGATATTCCGCAGCTGGCTGAAGGCGACTTAATGAGGGTCGACAGGAACTACAACGCGAACGGTGTTCTGCAGCCTTTAGCGTCTACATATCCTAGTCGAAGACATGATTACCCACGCGAAGAAAGACATGGGACACGAAGACCTCGAAGTGGCAGTATGGATGCATATGCATATAGCCTCGGCCCCAATAGCAAGAGGGTCAGATACCAAGATGAAGTGAGTTTCACTAGCAAATTTTCGCCGTCATTCTGATTTATTGACTACTATTTCTCCAGCACCCGCATCATCATCCGTCAGGTAATGTCGTCTCGCCGACCTATTACCAACCTTCTCCACATTCACAACACCCCCCACCACCGGGTGGTTCAAACCATCCGCTGTCACCTACTTCCCACATCCAGCAGCATCAACATACCATACTGCAAAATATGCCATATGCTCAGCCTCCGCCGCTTGCCGCAGCCTCATCCAGCTCTGGGTCGGGCTCCAGACACCGTGACAGACGTCATACAGACCCTGCCGCAACGCATGCTCCTGAGCAGCAGAGCAATGTGTATCCAGTTCCAGGCCCACCTGGTTATGACCACGCATATCGGTCGCAAGACCATCCCAGAGCATACCGCGATGACAGGCAGAGGCGAAGAAGAGATCGCTCGCGATCTTACAGCCGTGGTAGGAGTCCTAGTCATGGAAGCGAGGGAAGTATGGATCTGGATGAAATGCTTCTCGCCACCACGGGTGATGAGCAGCATTTGCAAGCCAATGGAAATGGCTTGCCAGGTCCTCCTCAAGTCCTTGTCGCTGGCCGGGGCAAAGCCCGTCCTTTAAGTTCCCATGGTGGGCTTATTTATGATCCCAGAGATGGCTCTCAGTATGTTCCTCAACCATCGCAGTATCCGTTATCACCACACGCTCAGCATCTGTCTGCACATCATTCATCGCAGCATCTTGGAGGTCCACCTCCACCGCCACACGTCATTCAATATGGCCAAAATCCTCAGCCCGGCCCTCCATCAGGGCGTCAGTCACCACCCTTCAATACATCTTCAAGGCCGAGCTCCTCTCGCCGAGTCCTCAGGAGTGAACCTACGCTCCGTGATGACCTTGACCGAAGAGAAGGTCCATTGTCACAATCCACTGCTCCGGGACAGGTCCAATATCAAACTCATGTATTTGCTCCTGTGCAAACTGGAGCACCGGTTAAAAAGAGTAAATTCAACAACGCAAGTGGAAATGCTAGTACTGCTAACGTCGCCGAAGGTAAGATCTTTTTTTTTTGTTTTTTTCCCCTAACAATGAAGGTTTTTGACGTGATTTTTTTTTCTCAGAATCCCAGGCAAAATCACCGGCTCCCAATCCTGCTCCGGTTGCCGCTACTAGCTCTAGTAGCTCCCTTCCGCTTGCATCGGTTAATTTGGCTCCTGCAACTTCTCCGTTTCCGCCGACAAATGAACAAGGCCAGAGAATCTGCAGACAGTGTGGTATGCCAGGTCGCTACAAAGAGGGTAAATGTGTGGAAAAGTGGGGTCCGGGACCGATGGGTCCTGGAACAGTCTGCGACAGGTGGGCATTTTGAGGTGTTTCTCAGCCGAGGAATTTTTTTGACAATGCATTTCAATCAGATGCCGCAAGAAAATGAAGCGCGTGGAACGCAGGGGGACGATAGAGCAAGCACAGCTCCTTGCTGCTCAGCAGGCACATAATCGTTCCCAGACTAATATCGGAAGTACTTCTTCCTACGGAAGTTTCCCTACTCCCCAACGTGAAAATTCCAGCGCCAAACTTCATCGCACGGATACCGTAATTATAGAAAGCGGAAGACACGCTTATGAGGAGCCTACTGTTTCATCAATCCGAAGTACTTCGAATGCACGGATTGTCACATCCTCACCCTTCAATAAATCTTCGAAATCCGGGTCACGTCCTACCAGCAAGGCGGCCAGTAGAGCTGGATCCATTGTTGATGGCTCCAGAGGCTCACGTCGGTCCTCTCCAGTACCTTCATCTCGATCGAATCTCGGTACTTCAATGACAATGCACGCATCTCGGAATCACGCTTCCAACGCCTCTGTGCATTCTAATGGCTCAGGCAGCGGTATGGACATTGACGCTGATGCTGACGGCGATGCCGAAGCCGATCTCGACGACGCAGAAGCAGAAGTTGAAGGTGACATCGCCGCCTTAGTTGACCAGGCAGCACCTTCTCCACTACGACCACGTCCAGGCTCAAAGCCCCGCAATGACGAAGATGTGGATATTGCTGCACTAGCTGGCGTAGATGACGATCCTGATGATTACGATTCGCCAGCGACAACACATGCTTTGAGGAGGCAGCAGGCAGTCCGAGCTGCAGGAGGTGTAACGTCAGCATATGGTGTATCTGGTTTAGGGAAAGCCGCTGGTGAAGTCTCCTCAGGTCCTAGTGCAGATGCAGAATTGGATATATTAGAAGCTGTAGACGCTGCTGAAGCGAACAGTGCAAGCAGCTCTACCTTGAAGGTCGAGGATTCTTAACACTCTTGACTGATCTCATTGTGCAAGATTATATTACCCAACATAACCTACTCATACCTCTTTCTCTTGGTTGAACCGACTGGACTCGGTTCATGTACAGAATTATCGGTACTAGTTTTCGAAACGGCTTTCTGTATTTTCTATCTATCTAGTCACTCGCTCTACTTTTCTGCTCGCTATCGTATATTGTATCGATGTCTTCTCTAGATAAAAACCCACACGAACCATAGTGTTGTTCCGCTCAGCTTTGACCTTGAACTAAATGATTGTAATAAAGTGTAATGGCCGCTGCGACATTATCACCGATGTCAAATTCTATTAGCTGTAATTATTCTCTATTCTATTACATTGTCCTAATTTAGCTGAAACATCTAAGATGATCTATGGACATGATATGTGGACTATGAATCGTCTAAGTAGTTCGTCAGGCATGCATGTCATTAAAAGAACCCTACTGGCTCTCAGGTCTCGGCGTCTAACTCTTTCTTCTCGATATCCTCAGCGAAATGTCTTCTTTTCGCCTGTGATGCCTTTGTACTTTTGCTTCTAATATGTTCCCCATATCTGTAGAAGATGAACGGTATGGGGGCGATAAGAACACCGACCAGCGCCAACAACAATCCCGCATATTGGAAGCCCATGTTATTGAACATCTGATTAACGTATAGCGGGACCATAGCGCCAATCTCCGAACGAACAAGGGTTTTAGCAGCGATAGCGGACGCAGCATAGTCGCTGTAGCTGTCAACGATGTACGAGTTGCCCGAGATGTAAATAATGAGGAGAGCGAAGCCGAACATAAATCCGGCAACACAAACTCCCATCCAGTGGACCCAGGAGTACGCACCGGTGAAAGCAAAGACGAAGAGAGCAGATGGTAAAACACTAGATTATCGATCAGTCAGTTCAGTCAGTTGAAAGAATTGAAAAGGTTAAATAGAACTAACATTGCTCCAAGCATCATGGGGAACAATCTTGCCTCAGGGAATGCGCCAAAGCGAGTGATGTGATTGTATATTTTTTCCTGGAAGGGCATTAACACCATTGCAAGGCAAATACCAAGCTAGATGAAAAATCATCAGCCCGTTGAACTATGAATACACTAGACTTATTCCATACCATGATGCTGACGAAAGTGACTCCTGAAAGTCCAGCGGAAAAGTTTCGGATCTCGACAAAAGCTATCGGAAAAGCGAAAAACAGGAGATCTATTGAATTCAAGTCAGTAAATTTTCACTGCGGTGAGGAACATACTGCTCACATAAAATGCTGTAGATGAACGAGAGGTCTGACAAAATGGGTAATGAATAAGGAGTGAGAATATAGTTGGTAATCTACTTACAGATCGTCATGAAGGCAAGAATTGGCTCAGTGAAAAGCATCTCTAATGGTCTCCATAATGCGGTCTTCATCAATTCACCGAAAGATGGGCCCTCAAGTTCTTCCAATGTGCGATAGTTGGAATTTCCCGTCTCCTGGCGTAACTTTTTTGCCTTTTTCTTGAGCAAAGCAGAAGCGAGGGTCTCGGGCATGAATAGTGTCAAGACAGTTGCACATCCAGTGAAAATGAACAAAACCCAATCTATAGAACGTGAATTAATCGTTCACATAAAGACGGGCATTCTTTAAAACTTACAGATCCATCGCCATCCGACCTCTTGGCCTATCCACGATCCAAGGATAGGTCCTAAGCAGGGTCCAATACTGATATGCTAGTATGAGCAAAGAAGATAAATAAATATGAATGCAGACGAGTAACTTACAAGATTGCAAATGAGAACGTGGCCATAGGAATACCACGTTCCTCAATAGCCCATATATCAGCCATACTTCCACCAACATTGCAAATGGGGGCTGACGCGGCCAACCCTGCCAATTGCCTTCCAATGACTAGTGTCGCGGCGTTTCTCGCGAGCGCACTGGGTAGCGTGAAGATAAAGAAGAATAACATGCTAAGCATGTACGGCAGACGTCTCCCTGAGACTTCAGATAATGGCGCGAAAAATAATGGACTGAGGCAATGGTTAGCAGGATCAAGAGAAAAAGGAGAAAGCGACCGATATATACCCAATTCCAAAGCCGATAACAAAACATGTTACCGTTAAATTGACGATTTCCTGTGTGGTGTGCAAGTCGGGAACTGGTCCACTCATACTGAAAGCAGGTTGACATCAGGATCGAGGTAGATACATACGATGAACAGACGATACTCACTCTCCCGTAACGATAGACGAGCCAAGAGCGGCAGACGTGCAAAGGAATGCAGTAGTAAACGTGACGAACCTGAACCAGTGTCACTAAATCAAAATGTCGTATGTCGAAAGATAACCGCTTACCATTTTTTAGCCTTGGTCCACTCTCTAGGGTCTTCGCCTTTACCCTTTTCAAAATTCACGACTTGTATGCCCCGCTCGGTGTACGTCCGTTCTAGGGCAGCAATAGTCCAATGTCCACTTACAGCGGTGGCCGTACGCGATAACGCAAATTCTGGACCATGTTCGCGGTCAAGATCTCGAAATTCATCTTCCTGTTCCCTTGATAATGCCGGAGGGAAGGCAAACGTTGCTTCAGCAGGCTCAGAAGCCATTGATGGAAGAGACGGTCAGGAAGTGAGACTCGGAGGAAGGAAAAGAGGGAAGCGAAAATTTTGATTGGTTTTTACCAAGGGATATCACCTCTTATATATCATTGCTCGGCATCGTTCTTGATTTTTGAACCGTTCTGCACGCCTCAAAGATAATGACATTGGAATTTGGAAGATAATGGAAGCGCACAAAAGCAGGGAAAAAAGGGGTGGCGGGAAAAGTCAATGCCGGTCGGCACAGGGCTCGGGCTCAGCCTAGGCTTGCTTGGGCGGTACATGTGTATGGCTTGGCTGTACGACTATATCAATGATGCGCTCTAGATTCTGAAAGCGTAATGTACAATGTATAGAATCAACGAGAAATTTCTTTTTATTTCTATTTGCGTTCTCCAGTCATTGGACTACCTCGCGATGCTCTTTGAGAAACGACCTCGCTGACTTCCGCCGAGCTCAAATGTGCATCGCCAGCCTTTCCAATTGTTCTATCCGAATCTCCCGGTTCTGTCAGTGCCATAAAAATCACATTCTTCACGACTTTGACGTTGAATGCACTCACGGAATATGGAAGCTTGGCCTTCCTTCCTCTTTGCGTCTTTCTGCATGACAAACATGGCTCCTGCGGAGATAGAGATAGCTGTCACCGCTGCGATAGCCTGACAGACAAATACCCCATGAATGATTAGAGTAGATATTCAAGGCATGGTGCACGTACAAGACCTGGACTTCGAGATGCTGCCATTATGTGTGAGTTGTATAGGTAGTTTGAATTTCGTGAAGAGGGAAACTTTTGGTAAAGCGGGGAAGCTCAAGCTCAAGCCTTTTACCAACTTATATGGTGGAGAGGTGCGGAGCTCCTGTTATATGCATGACGTCAAGACTTGTATCTTGATTTTAAGCGCTCAAACCTTCGCTTCAAGGTCAAAGCTAGTAATCCGAATCCCAAAGCGAGCGCTTTAGCTTTAAGTACTAAAGTTCACCAATCGCAATGTACCAGGCACACTATATCAATTACATATCTGATGAGAACAACGATATCGAAGTCAAAGTGTTTCCTGAATCATCAACCACAAGGTTATTCTGCGGGACCATCAGATTGACATTAGCCAAACCCACTTGGGCAATTCATTTTTGAACGTACCGAGCAGCCAGATCCCAAAGCTGAAGAAGGGCGGTCAATCATTTTGTATCCAAAGTACCAGAAGACACACACCATCATTACCAATCCAGCCCGGTTCCCAATAAACGATCCCAATTCCATGTCCGCCTGAAACCTCAGAAAGCGTATTCTTTATTCCGTTCACCTTTGGACGATTTCATAAGTAGATAAGCAGACAGGAAGGACACAGTTGAAGTTTTACCCATGTTTCTTGACCAGACGGTGACAGAGCAATACCACTTTGTGACAATGTAACCCCAGAGCACGAGCCCGAAGACGGCCAGTCAGTTTCCACAACCATGACGTCCTACATAACAAACGAAAGGATCAGTACGGTAAATCAAAATGACATCTAAATAGTCAATGCTATATACCTTTCCGTACTTGGAGACGATATTATTCATACTTGCCAATAGTGCAGCATATGTAGCACCAGCATCGTAGAATGGATAGAACGAGAAACCCATGACGTCGAAGTCGGTCGTAGCGAATTCACCCGCGATGAAGATTTGTTCATAGAACGAAGCCACAGCAGACTCTTCCCAGCCATTAGCAAGATGCACCACAACTTGTACAGAACTATCTGCATCGTGGGCACCATTAGCAGCCGAGTGTAGGAGTTGTGAAAGAGGAGAATATCCTGCAGAAGAGATTTCGCCTACTGGCCAGAGAATTCCATTGTTGATCTCGTTCCCAATCTGGAAAAAAAGTAAAACTCTAATACATGATACACAAAATTGTACTAACCTGTAAAAACTGGATTGGTGTTCCCTGTGCAGAGAAAGCGGATACCAAATTGAGGGTGTATCTATGGGTCATGTTGTCAAAGCGGTTGCATCTAACACGGCATTCGGGCACATACGTATAGATCTCAGTGTTCAAACCAGCCAAGGTGGTAGGCCACCCCGAAGGAATAGCCTGCTTGCTGGGATCAGCCCCTACAACATCCCAAGTTTATAATTTTTCTTGGAAAAATGAAACCGAGACCCTCACAAGTATCGCTGTAGGAACGACATTTTAAACTCGAATGATACGAGCGAAAGATCCTATTCCATACCTGTAGTGTAGGTCAATCAACAGTTCCATTCCTAAAGCGACTGCCCGTTTGGCCAAAGCCAATCCATAGCTCAGGCTGTAATCAGCATTGTTCGCGCTTGTCCATACTCGAATGCGCGCCAGGTTAACGCCATGATTGTGGAGAATTGCATCAAACTTTTCAGCTGACATCAGAGAAATTCTTAAGACACTATCATTATGTGCAGCGAATTCAATGAGACTCACTAACGCCACCATCCTTGTAAGTCGTTCCTGCGTTCTCGAGATTCACCAACGACGAGTAATCCGCTCCGTGATATGTAAGGCATTTCGCGAACGGTAAAAGGATACTAGTTGCAAGGAAGAAAATCCGCATCTTGAACCCTAGACTTGCGGTGATGACAAGACAGTTGATAAGCGGGAGACCCTACAGCTTTATACGAGCAGACTAGGTTTTTGCGAGATTTCTACATCATGAGGTTCAAGTTCTCTCGTTTCACGTTGTGCCAGGTCATTTTTGCGTTGCCTTTCCGGGCCGTTTTAACAATGTCTCTGGAAAGTACGGATTACCTTTGGGAAATCGTAGTGATAGTAGATTGATTGCGTACCTTGCAGACCTTCAACCGAAAAAAACTTCTTGTTTTGAATGGAATTGTATGGAATTGTACAAGGTAGTGATGTGCCGGCTCCGGCTCTGAGCCCTTGGGCCCTATGAGCCTGACCGGATTGAGCCTGGCCGGGCCGGAGCCGTCTCTAGGGCTTTGGAAAGCTGAGGGCCCGGCTCAGAATTTTCAAAGGCCCCAAGCCGGGTTCTGAGCCGGGGCTGAGTACCTGAATTTTGTGCCGAAATTTTCACCTGGGAATTGGCAATGGATGATATGCCTATAGATAAATGCTCAAAATTTACCTATATGGGCATCACTAGCACCATTCTCAGCTGCAGGAATAACTATTAATAAATGCCATGATCACCTAAAGGGTAATATTGTTGAAGCATTACAATTCTGAGACTTTTGTCATTGCAGATAGGTTGAAGCTTCAATCAGATGAGCATTTTGAGGGACTGACAAGAAAAATTGATTGAGGGACATTAGTGATAGAAAAGTCACAGTGGATTCTTCTTGATGATCATAATGAGGCTTGGGAAGATGTTACATTGACATGACATGGCAGCACCTTTCACTTTGAATGTTAGTCTACAAGCCTCAAGAAAAGAACCATTTTGATTGATCATTGAATTTGGAATTGACAGTAGTTGCAATGACAAGTAATGATTTTGGTGCTTGTTATTTTGATAAGTTTAGTGTACTGGAATTCTACTGTTTGATTGATGTACACCATTATTCTTAATGTTACACCCCTCTCACAAAGCTGGAGCATAGAAAAAACAATGTACCATGGCAGTGTTTTTAGCCTAGCACACTACATTGGATATTATATGATTCAATAGTGAATACTTGAACAAATCAAGAAATTTCGAACCTCACAGCATCCACCTACCACAGCCGGGGCCCAAGCTTGAGCCGGAACCCAGCCGGGCCCTGGCTTTCATGTAGGGCCCGGCTCAGGATTTTCATGAGCTTTGGCCGGGGCTATATGAGCCTTAGCCGGGGCTTTTGAGCCGGGCCCCAGCCGGCACATCACTAGTACTACAAGGGGGGCATAAGCTCAAAGAACATGCACACAGTGTTACATGATTGATATATATATATTGACAAGGACATTGTACAACCTATTCCTCCAAAGACTGCATTACCTCGAAATAAGCCGTATACTCTTCCGGGGTCATCAACTCGTGATCTTCTTCTGTGACCTTGGAAAACGCGACTGGATTTCCGTTCACTGATGGAAAATATCAGTTATATTGGAAACAAACACCACACGCATGGTAGGGAACGGACCATAGACCATAGGATCTGCCTTAGGGATTGCTTCGCCCTGGATCCCAATTTCAACATTCACATGTTCGCCGTTTGTAAAGCTCTCCGTCTTGGCAATCTTGTTCCTGCCGGAGAAACCTTCGTTCTCCTGCGATCGAGATCGCTTGCGGTAATCATTCAAGGAGTTGAGATACTCCAATGAAGGTTTTCTGTCTTCCTCATCTTCTCCAAAATCATCGAGATCTAAGCTTCCGGGTACACTACCAGACGGGGTAGCCTGAGCAGAAGCGACGGCAGAAGCAGCGAGAGATGCATAATACTGCTCATAGTCTGTAGTAAGAATCAGTATTTACTTGTCGGAAAAGATGTGCGAAGACAATCACAATCTGCATCAGGATTGGTAACAGGCTTGGATTCTCGTTTCGTTTCAACGACCAAGGCCGTTGTGCTTTGAGAAGGTTTCATTCCTACTACACCCAACCCACGCAAAACCTCGTCATTTGAAGTTGAACCGACGCCATTGACAACAGCGGCTTCGGCTCGAGCGCTTTCCTTGATACCCAGCGCAGTTAGATCACCAGAGATTGTACTCTTCAAGTGCCACGAGGGAAGAGCATTCTGTTGTCTCTTGAGCTCAGCCTGAGCATCCCGCTCCATCTTTCTTGTGGCTTCGTCCTTATCTGATGCGATAACGACACCAACGCCCTCGTCCTCTGGCCTGTTCGGATCCGATCCAGCAATTTTAAGGCCCGCACCAGGCGAGTCAGAGTTTTTATCATCTCCACCCGCGAGATTTGCTTTGACCCAAGCTGCTACATCAAATCTGTACCTAGTGATCAGCAGGACTGTATTTCCTTAAAAGTGTATATACACGCACGGGGGAAGCACCATTGCTTCACTCTTCTGTAGACCAACACGTATGAAACGCATTTGGTGATTGAAGCGAGACATGCGATCCTTGCCCCCCTGCACCGTCTCTGGATTCTCGTTGTCCACCACTTCACATTGGCATATTTCGCACACAAAACAACCTCGAGCAAAGTCCATCAGCTTGTCAACATCGAGGGGTGTGTACGTCGCTTTGCATTGAGGACAAATATAACCTTTATTGTCAAGTTCCTGTGGGACGTTAAATCCCTGGCTTTCATGACAAAAACGAAGGGCTTACATTACGCAAATTAGAATCAATCTTGTGTCGCATCTTTGCGATACGCCATTTGACCACATTACAAAAATAAGTATAGTCGATATAGTAGTATTGTTTGCTGACAGCGCGCTGTGCGCCTTCCTTCAGTTCGTTCTGCCGATAACTAAAGAAAACCCCCCATCGTGAGCAACGCGTAACCAAGTCATTGTTGATTCTCAAACTCACATCTTGACCAGACAGTCGTTTGCTAGCACTGCAATGACCTTATTCAACTCCTTCGGCTGCCAACCCATCCTTCCAGCAAGGTCATCATCTTTGAGACTAGATCACCGTAAAAGACGGATATAACTCGTTCAGCTCCATTACGAAGAGACGACGGGCTGCGGGTCCGGGACTCCGCCACTTACACTGGATGGCGCGCAAGTTGATCCATGATAATCGAGTATTTCGGTTCGTAAAAGCCTCGAGCGACATGCTGAACAAGAAGTCGGAGAGTGTCCTGCTCTTCTGTGGTCGCCATTGAATCAGTCCTGACACAAGTAAGTGCAGCCGCAACTTATTTAAGCATCTAAGGGCCAAAAAGGCCAGAACAAAGATGAATGTTGATTATGCTAAGAGAAGTGGAAACAATAAATGACAAGAGACGAAATAAACATGTGATCAGGATGAGCTCGAGCCTCGTCTCGGACCAAGCCCGGACCGTTGAAGAACCAAACGGGGACGAGCCACAGACACTGCGGGGATGAGCCGATTTCCTCGAGGCGAAAATGTGGGTTTTATCTCGAGGTTATGTACAAAAATATGGCAGCAGATATTTTGAAGGAATTGAGCTGAGGTTATGGTAAAATTATGAAAAGATAATTTAAAATAAGCACGGCCCCCCGCCAAATTCACGATAGCTTCACAATAATCACCACACGAAAGGTTTTAAAATTCGTGCCCAGGATTTTTGATGAATTTTGGTAAAAATCCTTGCATTTTCTCTAGATTTTCACCGCGAAGACATTGGCTCATCCCCACAGTGAGACAAGGACCATGGCCAGCCATGGCCCCTACATCCCGCTGCCATTGCATTGTCTGTGGTATTTCTATCGAATCTGCGATTGACCATGCCGGATCCGAAACAAGCTGGATGAGTGAGTTTCGGGCCAGTAAGTAACGTCGCCACACTATCTCAACCTCCCTCTCAGCTTGTTTTTACACTAGTCTACGCCACGAGCAAGCACTCAATTTCTGCTTTCCTATCTGGACCAGGAGAACGACGGCAATTTGCTGATGTTATACCCATGGGCGAATCCGCAGAAATGACGGAAATTGAACTGCTGTGGTTTGACTGGGGCCCAAGCTGGGCTAATACCTCATCTAGTTCACTGTGGGGCTTTCCCGTGCACTGCGCCTGCTGGGACATCATGGTCGCCGTTCGTCCGGGGCAGCCACCGAACGTTCAACATCTGTTCGATCTCTGTCGCTCTTTCCCAGTCCAAGGGGCGATCAATTTTGGACACAACTATGGTGGCGCTGTGCCTTACGGAGCGAGGACCATACTATCTGTCGGCGAAGAGCCATGGTTGAACCCTACACCGACGACCAGAAGCGAGCCGCAATACAAATGCAATCCATTCCATGATCCCGAACTAACTCGCCTTTTTCAGCAAGACAGTGCTGTCTCTCCTGAAGGATCATACCTGCCCACTGTTGACCCAGCTGTCACATTCTCTGGACATAAAGTGAACTTGACTCGAGGAGAATCTGATCCTTTCAACAAGCTACCCAATGAGATTCTACTGTCCTTATTGTACTATCTGCCGTCACCTAGCGTTGCGAGCCTGAAGTTAGCATCTCGGGTATATGCTGCCATAGTCTTACCCGATAGATTCTGGTTTTCCCGCTTTTGGCCTGATCAAGAGTTTGAGCATGTGTTCGAGGCTATACAACATGCTGCGTTATGGGGAGGCCGTTGGAAGTTGCTGTTTGATTCTGTTAAAGACCTTCATCATCGCCTCATCACGAGGAATGCTATGTCAAACCGAAAACGAGTTTGGGAATTAGCAAAGTCACTCCAAGCTCTCCTGGATGAGGTAGGTGAAGGACCTTGTGCTGGAGACCCTGTTTGTTCGTTCTTCGAGCCCAACGCACCACTCGACGACTGCATCTGTTGGGCTACAGCAAGTAGAAATCTCAAATCTCCAATAGAGATATTCGGGAGTGGCTCCAGGTCGCTTTTCGAACGATTGCTTGTGCTTCCCTCTGAAATAATTGCTATCTTTATCTCCACTATTGAGGTGTCCGGGCATTGTTACATCTCCGGCTTGAGGCTTGAACTCGATGACGGTGAGAGCTCCGTCTTAGGATACATTCACCCACGCAATGAGACACTGGTAACATGGGATGCCACCACTACAACACGAGTCTCAATTGCTGGTTTTCATGTTGCTCAGAATAATCAGGGTGTTTCCGCACTTGCTATACTCTCTACCGAGGGATATTTGTCAAATTGGGTGGGGGAAATCCAAGGCATACCTAAAAGGAGATTAACTGTTGACCTTATCGAGGGAGGGTGCAGCGACCCAACAAAGTTTTTGAAGGGTGGGTTCGATGTGAGTACCATATAATATATCAGAAAATGACAAATTCATGCAATTGTAGGCTCTCAGACTAGTTTTTCTCTCCATCTCTGTTCCGACAGATACAGAACCAAGCTCAATCCTGCTTGACCCGGCTGCTTCTTTACGCAACACAGCTGCCTGGCTGCCTGACATCCCCGACCCAAATCTTTTTTTCATGGGCGAAGACTACCAAGGGGATTTACCTCTGACAATCATAACCTTTGACGGTTCGAATGGCAAGAACTTGCGCGATTTTGTGATCTCGATATGGTCTCAGGACGGAGAAATATTTGGAATCAAAATTTCGTATGATCATTTGCTAGACGGACCAAAGACACTTCTGCTCGGCGATGAGCTACTTGACGCTCCAGTGGATGGAGTGGACCGGTGTGATATCTCTATTGACTACGCAAATGGCGAGTACATCACGGGTATGGAAATTTTCGAACGAAATAGGGCTTCAATGGCTTTGAAGGTGCCGCCAAGTTGCAATTCTTCGCGACGTAGCATACTAATCGTGAACACGCGAAAGTAGCTGTCTACAAACTGGGATCGTGCGGAGCAATATATACCTGGAAAGCCCAATTCACAACGTACGGATTGGCGCAAACAATCTCTTTACCCGAATGGAACCGTTGTTGGATTTTACACATTATTCGTGAGTCTACCAAGTCTCTACCCGATTTGCGACTGGGCTTACAGCTGTTCAGAGCTGTAGGATGCTGTGCACAATCGGCCTTGTTTATGCTACTCCATCTTGAATTGTGGAACCGATGACTGACGAAATTCATTGATTCACAACTTTAAGATTAGTGCAGAGTCCCTGTCGGGTTCCCCCCACGATCTTTCAAGTTCATGTCAAGAATAGGACTTGGGAGCGATGAATATCGTTGCAGATTGAATATGTATGAAGTGTATAATTTCTTAATGTACAGTAAAGTAATCTACAGTCATTTTAGTTACAGACACAGTCATAGTACATAATCCAAGGTCGTTACAATGTGCACATACTCTAGATCAGTGCTGTGGATTAAACCATCTCCGTCACTGGATCATACGTCAAACATCCGACTTGCTCCAGCCAAGCTGTTCTGCGCTTTTCAAGATGACAGAGTAAGCTTTTCTTACCCATACATTTCCCTGGCGCACATCCACCATCTCCAAACGTATTTAAAGCCCAAACCGGAGACGCACGCAGGTTTACAGTGATGCCCATAGTTACCGAAGGATCTGGAACGCACATGGAGAAAACAGCAGGTTCTGCTGAGCTGGTAGAGGAACCGGACAGTGAGGGTAGCAGGGGAGGTAGAGTGGACGAAGAAGAAGCGTAGGTGTAGATTCTAGCCCGTTGGGAAGAAGAGAGAGTAGGAGAAAGAAAAGACAGAACGTATAATTGAATCTCCATTGGAAGATGCCTGAACGGAAAGCCCGCGGTATCAACCGAGGAGTGAGCAAAGTCGTCGTAATTGAAAGGATCCTTAGAATGGAGTAGGATTGCCCGCGAGTAGACCAGAAGCTGCAACGCCTCTCTCCAGGTCTCCTTCTTCAGATGAGAATTTCGTCCAAGGACTTGCTTGAGCAGCCCTTCTGTGTTCTTCCACGCATCTGGACTATAAGTCTGTGTCTGCCCGTTAAGATCGTCGTCAGTATCCTCGCTATCCCGACCGGATGTGACGTTATTCGAGTACAGTTCAACTACAGTCAGCCCAAAGTTCGCCCTCTCGATGGCGCGTATGATTTTCCGTACTCCACGAAATTCCAGATTATTGCCATTGCACTTAAGAATTTGTAGGCGACATCTACCGGCAGAGGTGATATATTCCGCGATAAATGACGCAGAACGATGTGTCAGTCCAATAGCCGAAAGATGTAACTCGCAGAGATAACGAGAGCAAAGGGCGGGAAAGAGCAGCCGACAGAAATCATCGTTGAGTGAGCGATTGTTAGTGAGTGAAAGAACACGGAGACGGGACTGGTTAATGGCGTGCGTAAACTGGATCACAGTATTGGAGTCGGAAGTGAATAAGTTCTGTAGGATGATCAGCGATTGCACTGGAACTGAATAGGTCAAAACTCACGTCTTGAAGAAACAGCTCAGTAAGAGTGATATTCTCTACCAGGTACGCAGCAATAGCTGCGAGCCCTCGATCACCGATTCTGTTTGCATTGAGGCTTATCTCCGAGATAGGGTATCTACGGCCAAGAGGGGAGCTCAGAAAAGTGAACAGGAGGATACAACCATCATCTGAGAGTGCATTATTGCCCAGGATGAGTTTTGTAACCGTTCGACGCGAAAGTATGAGCTCGATGATATGCTTCGCACCTGTCTGATCATGAGCGGTAGATCCATGGTGACAAAAGGTAGAAAGGACGCACCAGCAACAGAACGAAGACCGCTATCCATACATTCTATCTGAGTTCTGCTAGAGAGCGGTATAGCCTTGGGAAGCGAGGACCTAAATCGTGGATAGGAATTCAACGAGAACATTCAATGACAGAGCGGAGTGGGTGCTTAGGGTAAAGACGAGATGAGAAAATTGGCGCGCATAACCGTCATTCCATAGCGTTTACATAACACTCCACTGTGGTCTTCGGCATGAACAGCAATGACACGGTATTCACTGAACAGCTTTTGCCCTGTGGAAAGACAATACCGAATAGACTGGTCAAGGTGATTAATATCTCAACTCCTATAAATCAAAATCGACATCCGAACCTAGGTCGCCATGTACGAACACCTTTCTTCGATTCTAGGCGGGCCTCCTAATGATTTTCACTACGAGCTGTACTCCGCTTGGTCCAAGCATGACTGGGGAATGATTATGACTGGGAATGTACAAGTTTCCAAACAACATTTAACCCTTGGTCGCGATATGGTAGTGCCCAAAGTATTAACAAATCAGACGATCCAACCATTTCAGCAGCTTGCACAAGTTATCCATGGTGATCAGCATTCACATAGCCTGGCCATCATGCAGCTCAGCCACGCAGGTCGACAATCTAGTAATATACTCGGCGGACGACTTCCCTTCGTATCCCCGCTTGGGCCTAGCGCAGTAAGATTCGGTCACTCTAAACGGAATGAAGGCGTAATTTCGAACATATTTCATCGGCTGCTTTTTCAAACACCTAAAGCCATGTCTTCTGCGGACATTGACAATGTGGTTTCTGAGTTTGTTCGTGGCGCTTCACTAGCCTTACAGTCTGGCTTTGATGGCGTGCAGCTACATGTAGCTCATGGATGTAAGTAGCCAGCCCTCCCAATCCCTCCAACTGATAAACAATAATGGTATACAGACCTTCTAGCACAGTTTTTATCACCCAAGGTCAGTTAGAGAACAAAGTCCTCGAATTCTACTCATCTATCATCAGTCTAACACCCGCACCGATGAATATTCATATCACTCACTCCTTCTATTAAGTCGTATAGTTAATGCCATCCGAGAAGTCGTACCCAGAGATTTCGTACTCGGCATCAAGTTTAATACTAGCGACTACAGTCTCTTCGAAGAGAGCGAAGCCAAAGTTGCCCAAGAAGAACGCGCCCTTACACATCTTCGTCAGGTTGCCTCATGGAGGACGGTTGACTTTATCGAGATTAGCGGTGGCGATTATGAAAATCCTGGTTTGCGTCCTCCACAAGTTTATGGCTTCTCATACGATCACTCAGTCCTTCACATTATAGAGTTCATGCTCAGTTCAAGCTCCGCCACCTCTGCCAAGAATCCCCGTCAGGCATTTTTTGCTCATTTTTCCTCAAAACTCATGAAGGAGTTATCTTCCGTTACTTCATCCGACCAATGTGCACCTCTTATTCTACTGACGGGAGGCCTCCGTTCCCCCGCCCACTTATATACCGCCCTCAGAAATGAAAATGCACATCTCCTAGGCATTGGGAGAGCTTCCGTCCTCTGTCCAAATCTCCCCACTGTCCTCAAACGTCGACGGGCTGCTGAAGCTGATCTCTCGAGTGATGTCACTCCTTTCAAGCCCGAACCTGATCTTAGATTTTGGCCTTCGGGAAGAGAGCCGTGGCGGTGCATTCGGAGGTTCTTTCCAAAGGTGAAGCTTATTGGCGCTGGAGTTGGAATGGCGTGGTATGTCGTGATGATTCGTCGATTGGCTAAAGAGCATATTCGACGGGTTGATGATCAAAATGGCAAGGAATTTGAAGAGGAATGTTTCGAGCCTGACTATAGCATAGGAGGGTTGGGTGCTATGACTAAAATGTGGGTGTGGATCGATGCACCTGAGCTACAACAGACAAAGGCCATCTATGTACTGATCTTAGGCCTAGTGTGGTATCTGTATTTGGGTTCCTCGATGTTATTCGATAGTTATTGAATGGGCGGAAAGGTGAAGGATACTTACTGAGCTAAGTAAGGCGTGTTTTACAAATAATGCAATAGATGAATCCCGCTTCCTAAACAATTACCTAGTGGATGTGGGGAATTTTGAAATCGAACTAGATCGTGCATTTACGTTGCATTTTTCTCTTTTCTTGATATTTTCTTGATACAGTAGGCAGGCTAATAGTATGTTTTCCTAACCCGTCACTGTGATGTTCACGAGTACGAGTTCTGATACCCGTGCTGCATCTTACTAGTGCCTTATTTGTCAACAAACAACTTGTTGAGTGCCTCAAATTCGTGATGAGCCTCGTAAGGGGAAGTAAAACACTATGACGATATAGCGACTAACTTGGTTCCGCCTAGAACAATGTGTATTAGAGCTTCACCATCGAGTTGTAAACGCTAGTATACTCACCGTTTTTCGAGCTGGCCTGTTGTACTATCGGCCTTGCGGAATGCTAGGGGGTAGTTGAAAGGGGGAGAAAGACCTTCGAGAGGATGGATTTGCTAGATATCATTGGCGGTACTAGTGGTAGTGATAATGTCGGTCTCGAGTTCGAATTATCTTCATCTCTTCAAATTCAAACGATGTACGTATAGGCAGGCAAGCCTTCGAAGATTTCGATATTGAAAGGTCATGTTTGAGACGGCTTGCCATGCAGAGCTCCGATGAAGTCGTTGTACTGCTTTGGAATTGATGAATGCCGCTGGTAAGATTTTTTTTCCCTCCGTTATATTCTAGCTGGTAAATGCCGGCTTCCATCGCCTGTTTATCATTTTTCGTGTTCTGTTTGGGACTGGTTTGGGAACGACTGTACACTCAGGGGTATGAACGCCCGGAAGCGAGGAATGCGAGCTCGAGATCCGAAAGAGTACCAATTTAAACACTTCAAAGGCATTCCAAAGGAGTCTGATCCTAGCTTTGGAAGTTGTATCTATTTTGACTGAGCTAACCAGGAGCTACATAGTCTGATCCATTGATAAGTCCAAGTTGTTACTGCAAATGCGATATCCCGTCGGCGAGTTTTTGGTCCAATTCTGCTAATTCAAAAACAGTCAAGCTAGTAAGTCTCAACATCTCAAGGTCTCTAGTCCTGCGGGTCAGAATTAACGAGAGTGCAGAGAGAATTGGAGGAGAGGTTGACTCTGATCGTGGGAGTAAAGAAGGAAGACATCAAGAGAGACCTTGTCAAAGTTTGTATAACTTACCTCGACCGGTATTGGTGGAACTCACAAGTTCAGAAATATGTTCGCTCATCTACTGTACATCTTCATCTTCGAACTTGATTTCTGTCTGTCCGTCAGAACATTGCCTGCCTGTCATCAATTCGCTGGATTGGATGAACCTGGGATGAACAATTTTGAAGAGAGAGTTGATGAATAGAATACCAAAAAGCTTCAGGGTAGCTGTATCACAGTTCATTTCAAGAGACGGCTCCCAATTTAAAAGTTGTCTAATCCGGTACAGAGTCATAAAGAACCCTTGTAGAGCCCTGCAGTCGCTCCCAGGTCATGATATCCTTGTCAACCTTGTAAACCCTCAGTACCTCGATGTAGAAACTACATGGAGCGCGGACATTGCAATGCGGGACCGACCATACTCCTCGATATTCTTGTATGCGTTTTCGCCGAATCATTCTATCTGTCGATATTCTTTGCCAACTTCCCCGGGCACACCGCTGTTGAACTATAACTGCTAAACGTCCGTCAGAGGCAATATTAGATTCTCCTTATGATTCATGATGGTAATGCTGTAATGAGTTGCAATAGCTCCGTGCCAATTAGCCTTTCCTTTTCTAGCGAACCCCTGGCGAGCCCTGAGGTTTCAAAGTGCGTGAAACGAATCTACATTTGAAATTCTTTCCCTATAAGATGGGTGTCAATCCTCTGCAGCTACTTGGCCATTTCCCCTCATTTCCTTTGCGCGATGATCTCGACATTCGTGATTCTTGCTTCTTTGGCTTGTGCTTCCCTCACAGCTCCGGCCACTGGCAGCGCTGATGCTCCTCTCTGTGATGTCTCCTCCGCCGTCATTGAACTAGGAAATAGCACTCTACCCGCTCCAAAATTTACACCGACGTTTGTTGGCCTGGGAGTTGGTACTCAAAACTATACATGCGCTTCAAGTGGAACATATACGTGAGTTATGGAAATGTGAATCGTCTTCGTATCATTGATCAGCCAAACTTATAGCAATGTCGGTGCCCTCGCGGAGCTATTCGATATTTCCTGCTTGTATGGCCAACCAGGTTTCGATGATATAACATCTGTCGTGTCTCTTTTTTGGAATGCTGCTCCTCCAGCTGTCACACCTTCCGAGATCATTGCTTTCGGAGAAAAATACGACCTGTCTTTCGTCCTAGGCGAACACTACTTTGTCGTCAATCCTGTCACTGGCTCTGGGCTCAATCCTAAGTGGGACTTTACATCCCATGCATTCGCTGGCAACCCCAATGCGTATGTTGTGGGATCCAAGGTCGATGACGTCCCCGCCCCTACTGGATCATCAGATATCGATTGGCTCTACTTGACAAACTTGACCGGTTCCCTTGCTAATGAGATATATCGCATTGAAACCAAGGGCGGCCAACCTCCTGCATCGGATAGGATAGGATAGGATATGAATTATACTGGCGAGGTCCGATTCCCGAACAACCAGTTTACCATATACTGTACAATATTACATAATGTTGTACAATAATGGAACACACATATCTAATACAGGGGGGCGATTATGATCATTCATGTCCTGGTTATTGAGGGGAAAAGCGGAAAAAAACCCCTCCCATGGTATCATGAATTACACGGTCTTCCCTGCCTCAATATGCATGCAGTGTGTCACTCCAGCTGATATATTTCAACCTCATTGACCTGCAAGAGACCCCCAGCCCCCTCTAAAAATCCTCCCCAATACCCCGGAGCTTCAATCCTTCCTGCTCACTCGGTGAGTTTTTATAGCCAGCACTCCACTCCCGTGTAAATGCATCCCTATCATGATATGACCGGAATGTCATGACCAAGACCCCAAACCGGTATTCATCTCTCCTCACATCCCTGGGAATGACACTCCTTGGGACAGATTTTGCAATGAGCGCAATCTGATCACCCATGCCGGCTGTGGCATATTGCCCTCGAAACACCCCAATAGCCAACTTCAGCTCCTGCTTATCCCTTGCTGGGGCAGTTGGTGCAAAGGCGGGTGGTCGGGCAAGACGTGGCAGCGGCACCCCATACCCTTGATTCTGCTGATCATGCTGATAATTCCCACGAGTGTGAGAATCGTTCCGTCGATAGTCGTTGTGACCACTCCCTCGGTTGTCAGTGCTCCATTCATTACCCCTGCTGCCCATATCGTGTACTGACTCTGCACTGTTCCCACGCGGGAACTTCCCACTATGGCCTTCATCCGTCATTTCGTCCTCCCCCAACCTCTTTCTCTGTGCCCCATACCCCATGACTTCCCTTGCCCTTTCCGACATCCTCTCCACCTGTGCCTCCTCTTCTTGCCTCTTCTCTTGCGCCACCCTTTCCACCCTTTGCTCGAGGTCCCTGTTCTTGCCTTCCAGCTCTCGGTTCTGCCTCTCCAGGACCTCTATTCTCGCCATCAGATCCTTTACAACATCCTCCACCTTTGCCGTGTATGCCTCCGCTTTTTTCTTCTGCTCATTACACCTACTTTCCGTTTCCTGCCTCAGCCGTCCCTGGATCTCTTTTAAACTCTCCTTTGTAGCAGCAGTCACTCGCTGGATCTCGCCCTTCAACTCTGCACGCACTGCTCTGCCATCATCCCTTGCCTCCTTGCTGACAACCTTCACATCGTTCTTCACAATCCCCCGCAAGGCCCTCATCTCCCCCTGGATTCCACTGCATGTCCCAGCCATGTCCTCCTTTACTCCCTTCAGTGCTACCGCTAGCCTTCCGTCAATCTCGCTTCCAGTCAGCATCTTCAATGCAACCTTTTCCACATTCTGCACCCTGCTCTTGAGCAGCACCAGCTCCGGTCGTAGAACAAACTCCCCTGCTTTTTCACTGCCAGCCTGGCCCTTTTCTACTCTTGCCACTCGCTCCTCTAGCTTGCTGAGATCTTGACGCAGAGTTGATGTCTCATCCCGGAACGCATTCCGCATCTCCATCTGCCATCCCCCAACAGCGATAGCAGTTTTCTTCAGTTTGCTTGCCACCTGGACAACCTTCGAGACAGAACTCATGTCCAAATTGATACCGTACTCCTTCTCCACACGCGCTTCCATTGTCGCATTACCTAGTGAGTCCACAATAACGTCCGGCGCCTCCGACATAGGAGAGAGAAGCAAAGATGTTGCTAACGGTTCGTCCCCTGACTCATCGTGGTCCATTGTTGCTGCTGACAATGTTGAGGCAAGGGTCCTGGCTGCCGGAGAGGCGGTCGATCCACGTGTCCGCGGTTTTTGCTTCGCGTCCGATGGGCCCTTCTCCCCGCCAACTTCCGACTTTCGCACTGTTTTTGCCCTCGCTTTTGGCGCAGCCTGCCCCCCAGCCTTTTTCTTCGTCTTTTTCGGCGACTCCACCACAGTCCCAGCAGTGTCCGCGGACCCGTTGAAGCTCTCGCCGTCCCTTCTGCTATCTTCAACACTCGGGCCTGTGTCTTGTTCGTGACCACCGTCCTTCACCAAGCCTTCTCCCACTGTCTTCGTCCCAGGTGTAGCCCTCCTATCGTCAGTCTCCTCACTTCCAGCAAGACCCTGCCTGTCTTCTGAGCCTCGGTCCTCGCCAATAGTCCACTCCGTCTGCAAGGCACCGTTCGCAGGGCAGTCAAAGCCTTCGGTCGACAGCGCTCCTTGTTTTTGATTCATCGATGCGGAGAGGTCTTGCTTGTCCGTCTCTGGTGGCGACGACATGCTTGCTTTTTTTTGGTAGAGCTTTCGTTCGCACTCTTTTCGCTCGGTACGTGATAATGTTTCTTCAATTCTGCTCTACGTTACCCACTATCGAGGTCTTTCTTTTTTTTTTCTCCCCAGCGTTCAGCTGTTTAGCGTGGGAAAAAACAAGATGATGGTGGTCACAGAAGAAGGTCGCCTCTTATGTATTTTATCTTGCTTGACCGTATCGTTGTATTTTGATGCATTGATTACTAAGTGCACACCTGGGTCGAGCAATGTTACGGTCAAGTATACATCATTATACTGTAAGTCTGTATCCAAATGAGACGAACCACTGCTAACGGTTGGTTCAGGGTTCACGGGCGGCTCATTCTGAAGATCTGAAGGCTTGTGAGAACTGTAACAGGGTGAAGATACGAGCGCTTCGAGTGTAGAAACTGCTCATGAATAAATAAATACATGCTCTTTGACCTGACGAATTGGATTGTGAGATCAAGAATTGTCTGTGAACTGCTAAGTATAAGTAGTGGTAAGTTGTCAAGAAAAATGAAGAAGCAGACGAGAAACTATCGCTCTGATCAATTGCAATAATTGATCGGAGATGGTGTTATTATCTCACCGTTACTCCAACGCATTGAACGCGATGCCACCTCACCGAAATCTTTCCTCCTTTTCCTCCCTAACTTGTGATGGGCCAGGACTTCTACGAAACACAACTAATAGTTTTAACATGCTGTTGCGGCCTCTTCCTCCTTGTTGAACACATTCTCTCAAGAAGCAAGATCTCTTCGAGAGATGCAGCTGAAGCACGCATGGAAGACGGAGGAGTACCAAACACGTCCTTATTGGCCAAATTGACGCGACAATATCTCTTCGTATACGCGATGGTTATGGGTGAGCGGATATCGAGATATTCTCGAAATACCTTTCGCCGTATCTCTAACTCCTTGATTAGGTGCAGACTGGTTACAAGGACCGTACATTTACAGCCTTTATAGAGAGCAATATAAATTCCCCGAACGACTTGTGGCTCTCCTTTTTGTCACTGGATTCTCATCTGGAGCTCTGACGGCGCCTTTGGTTGGCGCATGGGCTGATCAATTGTCAGTATCCCTAGATTTTGCTTCGTTAAAGACATTAATAGTTACACAGTGGGCGGAAAAAGATATGCTTAATTTTCTGTATAACTTATACTCTATCATGCGCTTGTATCTTCGTTCGGTTCCTTCCCATCCTACTCATTGGACGATCGCTCGGTGGAATCTCCGGCTCTATCCTCTTCTCTGCGTTCGAATCATGGCTCATATCTTCCTCGAATGGTGCAGGCATTTCTGACTCCGATTTATCTCGAATCATGGGTCGTGCTTCCTTAATTAACGGGCTGGTGGCGACCGGCGCTGGTGTTGTCAGTAATCAACTCGTATCTTCCACAAGCAACTTTGGATCCCCTTTCCTGTTGAGCGGAGCTATCCTTGTTCTTGCCTGGTTCGTGATAGCTAGGACATGGCAAGAGAACTACGGATCCAGTGCTAAGGAAGCGGGTGCGCAGAATATCAGTATTTTCCAGATAGAGCGTCTTGCGAAAGCATGGAGCATTGCTCGTCAAGGTGCGATTCACATAGGCTAGCCTAGTTGTTTTCTGACCATTTTCCTAGACAAAGTCTTGCTGGTCCTTGGATTGACTCAAACCTGCTTCGAAGGTTCGATGTACCTATTCGTCTTTCTTTGGGTCCCTTCTCTTCAAGAAGCGTCACATTCTTCAAATCTACTCCCCCTTCCTCTTGGATATATTTTTTCTGCATTTATGATTAGTATGATGCTTGGATCTTTATTATACACCACCATCACCTCCCATGTTCTCACATCGCCCTCAAAGTCCAACGATAGTTCCCTTTCCATTCATGCCAAGCTGAGTAGCCTAGTTTGCGCCATAAGTGGTCTGGCCCTCGCCGCAAGTGTCAGCTCTAGGAATGAAAAGATCCGCTTTTGGTGCTTTTGCGTATTCGAGGCCTGCGTAGGAATATATTACCCTGTTCAAGGGATGCTCCGAGGGACACTGATCCCCAATGAACACCGAGCGACAGTGAGATTTCACTGTACCTTACATGTACCTGTATTGAACATCAATATTTCCTTTTCTAGCTTTCTTCGCTGTTTCGTGTGCCTTTGAACGTCTTCGTGGTCGTGTCACTTCTGACTGGTGTCTCGTCTGCTCGGTATGCCGTGCTCTCCGCAAGTTCTGTCATGCTGGGATTTTCTGCCATTATGACAGGGCTTGTCATAGTCAATCATGCCGATAAGTACTCAGTGTAGGTTGTTGCCAATTGAGAGTACTCTTATGATCTGCTCATGTACCTCTGTCAAGCAGCAAATGAGCACCATCCAACTCTCCATGTGCAGTCGAAGTCTCTTTCGAGTTACCTTCGGTGGACTTGTGCAAATGTCAATACATGCTGTCGTCCCTTATATTTATGCATCATACCTATGTAAATACCTCTTGGATTCCGTATAAGAATACATACTACACGTCTTCTAATTCACATTGGTTAACCTCCCCAACTGTGCTCAAAGGAGTACACATTTAATTCACGGTTCAGATATAATATAGATGTATGTTCGTGAAGACATGATAGTCAATTAAGGTCAACGCGCACACTGCAACGTTGCTTGCAGAAATAATGGTAATCCTCCGTCCGAAATCGTTAATATATTCTACACCTCTGTCTTTTGTTTGCCTGCCGACACCATTATGCAACCGCAGTGGGTGCAAGTGGCAAAGGGAAACCTGTAGCAGAAATTGTCCGCGTCCTCGGAACTCTCCAGCTTAATTCGTCTATCCTCTTCCCGTATCTCCGTCTTTCCGGAAGTCTCCCTTGACGAAGTGTGCGCCTTTGTACCGTTGTCGGCTGGGTGTTCCGCACGGATGACAAAGGTTGTCGAGTGTCCTCCTTCGGGTGCACCTCTCCAGGAGCATGCCCTTTGTGGTGTCGCTGGTGCTCGATAGTTTTTCTCTGTCTACGGCTGGGAAGGATTTCGGGAGCATGGTCCTTCAAGTGATCGTGCTGCTCAGAAGAGAGCGTAGCCAGAAGCGAATTCGACAGCAGCAGCAGATCCTGAATCGAGTAGATGGGGATTGATAAGGTCTCTGATAATTGAGAAGGTAATCAGTATTGAACCCCTCCAACCATTGAAAAAAATCACAAACCTATACTTGAATCATGTTCACTAGTGGGAGTAGTGGATCTCGCGGACAGCGAGTCCCTACTAGAAGCACCCTCGCGACTTGCAGTCCGTTTGTGTACGGGAACATACAAGGCAGAGGGAGCAGTTGCTTGAGTGTTCACAAATACAGAAGACATAATTGAAGGTAGAATCGAGGTGAACGTCGATGATGGAGATAACCGAAAGTAGCTATCGATTGAGCTGGGGATATGTGGAAAACTAGAAGATAACCGATGGTGTTGACGTCCATTTATGTACTGCGGTACACAGGCTTACACAGGCCACATAACTATTGTGATAATACGTGGCCTTCGGACGCTTTGACTGAACACGCAATAGTCATATATTTGTCGAAAGTTCCCGAATGATCGAGCGCCTTCCATCCTTTTCAGGAAACTTCGGGCTTCGGGTATTCCAATTCCTTGTTTTTCCTTGTTCTTTTTTGTTCTTCCTTGTTCTTCCTTGATGTCCTCGGGTCTGAGTCGAGTCGGGTGAACACGTATCACACACTCTGACCGATGACGAGAACAATGGAATTTTTGTGAGAACAAAATATTCTTTCTAAGCTTAGACCAAACCACTTGGACTGACGGCTCCTGCAGGTCTGAGGCCTGAGGCCTGTGGGCTGGACACTGAACGATTGATGAAATACAGGGAGATGGGGTATGATTACTATGATAGCGTCATGAACATGTGAACGTATGGATAGATGATAGTATGCAATGGCAATGAAATGCATTAATAAGATAATAAGGATGGACAACAACTGGCCCTTTTGGAAACATAATCTTGGGACCTGAAATTATGACACGAATAGGCCATCCTTCAAGCGTCGACAAAACCCTTGACACCTTCGAGCCAACTCACGTACTCCTACCGGGACAAAAGAGGCTTATCAGTAGAAGCAACTTAGAATAAACTAGACGAACTCACTCTTTGTTCCTTATGTTCAGCATACTCTGGAATGAACAAGGCAAGTGTTTGGTCAACCCCGCGCTCCTGCAAAAACTTGTCGAATTCTTCTTGAAGACCAATGTCAAGTGTATCAAACTTTAATGATGTATTAGTAACGATAATCCCGAGCTGCTGTAAAGAACGAGACACAAACCTGGGGGCCCATATAGATTCCCCTTCGTTTCCAATCAGCTTCCGCCGTTAAATCGGTGGCCAGACTACCGTCCTTATAATAGGCAATGTTATCGACAACGAATTGACCTTCCTGACACATCATGTCAATGGCCAGGGAACCAGGAGTGCTTGACTACACATGCATTCAAATTAGAGGAACAGAATCAAGATAAGAATATCAGTGCAGACCTTGGTTACAGTTAGCGAGACGCGAATGGGGTAAGTATTGAGGACTTCCTCCTCTTGAGAACCGTCCTCATCATTTTCTTCCGAAGCTGTCTCATTGTCAAAGTCTTCCTGTTCTCCCCGAATATCAACAATAGAGAAGGTGAGACGAAGGCTAGAATGATAATGGAATCAGGGAAGGGAATTTTGTTGCAGTAAAGGCTTAGTTTACTTTTCGTTGCCAAACGTCCGGGTGAGCGTCACTTCGTCATTGAAAGAAGTGTCCTCAATCTGTGAACAAGAGATTCAGCATAAGGATGGTGTACGAGAAAACGTACTAACCTGCCATTTACCCTGCGCCTTGAACTGTTCTAAAATATCTGCTGCCTCTTTAGGTGAGTCGGTCATGGATTCCTTTTCGTATTTCATCTCTTCCGTGAGCTTATTTGAAAGGGCAACATCGGCTTCGGGAGCAGATAGTCAGCGAAGTACACAAAGTTACACAGCAACGTTACTTACCAGTTCCCTGGCCGAAAGACCTAGCAGACACAGAAAAGGCTCTCGAAGGCACTTGTAATGAAGCCAAACGGGCTCGAACAGCGAAAGAGGTTGACCGAAAGACTGTTGAGCGTGAAGACACAGTCGAAAGTTGACGGAGAGCACGAATAGCGGACATGGTGTTTGGAATTTGGTGGAGACAAACTGGAAAGAAACGCGACGCCGAAAGCGCGAAATTTTTGTGCCGAGTATTGCCAGATGCCGAATCAGTGCCGCTCTCTCACCCGCCTTCGAACTACACTGCACCGGTTCACCCCCAAGCAGCTTGAACGCGATTCGCCGGCAATAATGTGTCCATTCAGGATCTTGTCAGAGTCTGTAATCGTGCATATGTGGCTACATACAGGCGGATGATCCAAGCGCTGCACTTACTAGCTTTTGACCATGTAGTTGGATCAACTCGCGATGAACCGGTAACATGCAGTCTCCGTTGACACTCAGCGCATCCATGGTTTGACTGGAAATAACATACATATTACTTCCTGGAGCTAACTGGAGTATCTATGTAGCAGTAAATAAAGATTATAAGAACCCAGATTATAAGTATCTATCACCGAACGACAATGTATGAAAGCAGGGGAGAATGACAGTGGGAACCTTTACGAATAAATAAAGAGGTAGCCTGACCTCCATCCAACTTTTTTCTACTACCATATGCATTGTTATTATGCACATTCTCCGTAGACAACTACATCAATCGTAATGGCAGGCATAAACTTGGGCATAACGTCAAAGGACAATTATCCTGTCCGTTTCCTTGAGTCAATATTGAACAGGTCTGGCCAGGAATATTCCTCGGGAACTACGTTGCGCAGCCCGAGCCTGGAGTTCGATACCCGAGTTCCTCCGCGATACTCCTTTGCGACGCGGCGCTGAGGAAAATCACCACGAACAGGACATAATGTCTCGAAGGAGCAGGAGACTCTAGAGACTGATCGTTCGGGTCCGGGTGATTAAGATAGGAACGGCATATGAAGGAAGATAGACGTGTGCAGAACACCGGTGACGATATGGCAGTCTTCTCCAAGGACTTCCGATAAGCCGATCTGAATACTGAACAAATGTACAGACAGTCCCAGGAAGAAACCTGAAATCAGCCCAGCTGTCCGCGTTGATGCGAAGACGATTGATAGAATTCCGGAGCGAACTAGGTCGCAATGTGTTCCCAAGCATGAAAAGTAGAGTAAAGATCTAACGGCGAGAAGAAATCAGACAAGATCAATGATTTGGTGGTATTTCACGGGCCAATGAAATTGGCTCAAGCATCAAATTTCAAAGCCCATGTTGTGATATGTTGGAATTCCCATTCAATGGCGTATTCCAGTTAGTCCCGGGTGCCTAGGTGACCAAGAGCTCAATAACGTTGCTATTCAAATTAGCAAATCGCTTGAGACTCCCAGGGAGGTTCGGACGTATTCTGCAGGAATTAATAGTACCTGCGATTTCCGCATGTGCACTGCATTCCTGGGCATAGACATTCCCTGAGAGACAAACGTCAAGAAACACCAATGTGCATCTCATGAAATAGTACGCACCCCGCGCCGTAATGCCCCTGAGAAGCGTTTGAAGCCATGTTCCAGTCAGCATAGCTTGGATCTCGATTGAAGTAATGATTTTGGTCAGGTAGTGGGTTCAACACCATCCCCGGCATTCCGGAGCTGAAATGGCCATATTGTGGCGTAGAAGACATGGCAATGTTGGGCATCTGGTTCATGTGGGACCCAGTATGCATCATGGAGTCGCCATAATTAGTTGAGGAGCTGTATAAGCCGTATAAAGGCGAAGAAAGATGGCTCTCCACGCCCGACGATGAATCGGAGTAGGAACTATTCGAAGAGGGATATTGGGAAGCATCAAACGAAGTGGCGTATGGATCGGACCGTGACGAACTCCGTGAATGGAGGGAGGTTGAGAGAGGTGAGTATCTGGTTTGCATGTGAGGAGAATGGTTTATAGCATGCGATTTCCCGTTGGAATCGTGAAGTAAAGGGGAAGGATAGACTGCGGAACCGAAAGACCCGGAACGACTTCTCGTATCGTTGGAAGGAGTGTGGGCGATGGCCACATACTCACAGACCAATTTTCTATTGACACATCGCTGACAAGGATGGTCAGGGTAACGCTTGTTCGAATCGCACTTTGAACTAATAAGTCAGGCAAATTTTATGGATAATAGATACCCACCTTTATCTTTCTAGCGCGACAATTGGTACAGGCCATAGGATTCCTCTGGTGGCCTGCTTTTTTGCTGGAAGAGCCTGAAGTAGCTGAAGAAGTAGGGCTTTGTTGACGAGAAGGCATCTTATGAGATATGGTGGTCACACTAGGGGCAAGAGTATAATCGCACACCGCTTTATACCTTTACACACATTCCCATAATAAGGTTGAAGAATTAATTACAGAGTATAAACAAGCATCACTTGAAACGCATTGTCAAAATGTTTGAATCTATCAAGATGTATACTGGTATTAGTGGGACAAAAACGGTACTACTTGAAATGCTACATACGTCAATGAACCGTTAACACCTGCTCCTCCAGAAGAGTGGTCGAATTCCGCATCGGATCATATTCATAGCGCCTGTACAAGATATACAAATCGGATGGAGGCCATCAATATCAATACGTTCACTCCAGCTGCTTGATAGATACACTCACTGGAGCAAAATCAGTTTGAGCACCTGTATGTACCGGTATGTACCTTTTCGTGGAAACATTTTGTGCCTAGCTGAAAATTTTAGGCATCTGAAAGGCTCTAAAAGACCGCAGTCTTGCGAGTAAATGCTCAGAGGCAACAATCTAACAATACTCTGTACTATTCAGTCGAGATCTTTGATGGTCGCGCTGGACAAAGTTCGGAGATTCTGGGCATTCGAAAGAATCAAAAGAGTATTTTTGGGACCAAATAATTTTATGAAATCACGCACCAATGCGAGACCACTGAAACAACAAGAAACAACTGCAGTGACTATTGCGATCATACAACGAGCAGCGACGATCACGGTTTCGATGTGGACTATAGTGGGTTGGATAAGGCTGGATATTAGTAAATGCATCAAGCGTGAACAGATCTGTATCGGAGGCGCATCACATTCTTTGTAAGTGAGGCGCCTAGCGGCCGAGATCATGTGACATTAACGCGATGTTTACTGTGACTACGACCGCGGCGGCGCGGTATTCGTTCTTGTGACCTCACATTTCGACAAAGCAATGTACATGTCTGAATGTGCTAGAGAATCCGTCTGTTGAGCGCTGATGCCTACTGATGCGTTCGTCAGTCAACATCTACAATCAAATTGACCAAGTCATGACGATGTAGAACATGAGATCAACCAGGGAAAAACGGGAAAACGGGGCGAATCCCTGTGCATCATGTCCATCTACATAGCAAGCTTTGGGTCTAAGTTGGTTGCAGGTTATAGGGGATTGGCATCAGCTTCACAGAAGACCAGTGTAAGGGTGTAATACCGTGTCAGGAAGACTCAGAGAGAAGAAATAACATAGTATGATATAATTACTATGTAGGTTCAAGCCGATAGAAAGACAATATCAATGAAAAGTACAACTGACAGAAAGACAGCAAGCCGCGCCGGCGCACCCAAAGTTTTTAGACCAACAACAGGGTCCAGAAGTGGAAAATACACAACTAGGCCCGGTATAAGGTCGAAAAGCACTAGGAACGGACAAGAGCTCAAAGCTAAACTGATTGAGTTGCTAAGTAGATGAGCAGCTTACATATAGTTATCTGAAAGGAAAACAGTTCACATAGAAAGAATTTTACGAAGATCCAAAAAATAAACAAATGAGACATAGCAAGTAAAGCTTGGAAAAAATGTATGTTCGACACCATTTGGGGAAGTGTCCGTGAGTTAGTCACCAATTGAGGACCTATCAAGGTCCATGATGGTAGCATCACCCTCGCAAAATGCTTCATTGTTGCTGTTGTTGTTGTTGTTGCCGGCCTTAGTATGATCATGAACATTCTCGTCACCTGCATCTTCGGAAATGGTTGTTGCAGTCGGAACTGAAGCCGTAGTCGAGTCGCTAACCTGTTCTGCTGAGCGCTTAGCGGCTGTAGATACAGTCCCAGCCTCCACCGTCATTGACTGTGAAGCCGGCGGAGGAGGAGGGTGTGTACCTTGCGGCGGAAGTTGGAAAACTGCACCCGGAGGTAATCCGTACGGCGCAAAACTACCGATGTAGAAAGGTACTAAAGTTGGGCCAGATGGAGCGGACCCATCTACATTAGGCTGAGGTTCAGGTAGAGTATAGCCTGGTGGAAGGTAAATAGGATAGAGGCCCTCGGGTACGGGAGGAAATTGAGCGACAGAATGCAAGGTACCCGATGTCGTTGCCGTATTCGGAGGCGGAGGAGAGCCTTGAGGCCATTCACCTCCTTCAGAAGGCGATTGCGCTGTATATTCTGTGACGTATGCATGAGCCAAGGTTGTAGTACATAGAATGGAAACGAACCAAAATTATCTTCCGAAGATTTATTCTTCCGTTTATAAGGCCCTCTTTTGATACCTTTCTTCCGCTCTTTGCGCTGGCCATCTACGCAACTGTCCGCAATGCCATATTTTTTGCATCGTTCACATGGGCGAGCCTCGTCGCAGCGTTTGCACGCGGCGGCACAATTGGTACACTGTGCGTTTATTCGAACACCATTTGGGAATGAGGATAATACCACTTACTGCCATCTTGACTTGTCTTCGCTTAGGCCGCGAGTTAGAAACTGACGACGCAGGCGTTGCAGCTGGAGCCGCTGTCAAAACCTCGAATTAGTCGCAGATTTTGAGAGCAGATATTCTATAGCGCACTTGGAGGAGGAAATGCATACACCATTCCAGGAGGAGGATACAATAAAGGATAAGGAAGCGGTGCGGGATTTCCTTCTCCTTGTTGTCCATCGTTGGGAGGAGGGTAGGCGAAGAATGGAGGATATCCCGGAGGCAATGTTGGAGGATATGCGCCAGCAAAATGAGGAAATTGAGGAGGAATAGAAGCAGAAGCAGAGTTAGTAGCAGTAGCAGGAAAAGGATGTTCGGAAGTAGGAGGTGAAGCCGTCTTTGATTGCTCGGTTGTCATTCTGGTTGGTCAGGTCGCTGTTTAGAGACCTCGAGCGCCCAGATTGCGCAGGACTGTAGGTGAAAATGAACGACATTGTAAACGGTGGACAAGGCAAACGAAGCAAAGCGAAACAGAAGGGAAATTGGAAGCTCAATGACGAAAACAAGCGAAACTCACTCCGACTGAAATCCTAGCGCCGCTCAGACTTTCTTCAAGTCCGATTTCGAGCTCAGCAGTCTTCACAGACCGGCTTGTCACCAAAACCACTTTTCACTTCCACAACCAACTACTGCCAGAATGGCCAAACTTATCGAAAAATACTGAGAAATACGTCAAAAATACAAGTAGAGGGAGAAATAGCGTGAACAGGAGCTGGATAACCTGCCCAGTGGCTGCACGTGTGAAAGTGTAACAGACCTTGGAACCTTATTCTCAATGGTTCCCTACCGCCATCTTCCTACGCTGTCTTAGTTTATGACCAGATATCGTTGTAAGTAACAAGTTCTTCAACGAACCATGTCAATCATACTCCGCTAGACTCCGCCTAAATGTCCGCCAGTTGAGTCTCACTGCTCTTACAGTCGCATCAGAACAACGAGGACGATGTTCCAGACGTGTTGTTATCCTACAGTGCCAGTGTGGCTCGGGCGTGGCTCCAGGTGCGTCTTGTACAATTTATAATTTTATCCACGCATGTGCTTAGAATTCTGACTTGATTTTGACGTGAAAACGTTCAGTACAAAATGAATTGTCACCGCGATATCGACAATGGCTGCACCGTAAGCATACACACTATTGCTATCAGGCAAGAAAGAAGCCAGGGAATGCGTAAATATCTTTCCGTTTATTTCCGTTTGTACGAGCGCGCGCGCGAGGTAAGCTACGACCAAGATATGTACCAATAGTTCATTGTGAAGCAATATTATCTTTGCATCCTACCCAGACAGATCTACCCCAAGTATCATGTCGTGAGCAATTCCACCATCATTTCCCGAAACAACCAATTTGACTAGATTCAGTCAGAACCAAACTCCATTTCTAATACTAAGATCCTCTTGGTACTGCATTCCCGGAGGTCCTGAGAGCCTGAGGTCTTGAGTTGGTAAATCTGACCTTCATTAATGTCACCGCACCGCAATGATCTATCGCGTCTAGTTTGAGTATGCTTCGTTACAACATCCAAATACACCTATGGAAGCGATGGTTATTCAAGTTTCCGTATCTGGTTACCAGCGACGAGGTGATGAAGTGTCATAAAGCCTCGACAGACCTACTCGACGCATTGCAGTATTTTGTAACAGCGGTCGGAATTTCCCGCGAACCACAAGCTTCATTCTCTCGTGATCCTTCTCAAGATGTTTTGATCGATATGATCAGACTTCAAGATGAGTTCAATTCTTCTTGCTTCTCTTCACTGCAATATCGAGATCTCTCTCTCAACTTTGTGATTGGCCAGACCGCGAGGCCAGCTAAATACTTCTTTCTTCTTCCGACCACTTTTCTTCTCCCCTTGACTGTTAAGCTTTGATTAGCTGGTCCTTTGGATGCCTCGGTTGCTATAGGTTCCCGGTCGATAAAATCAAAGAAGTTCGCGACGGCGGTGACGCTGCATTATTATCCAAAATGCATCTTGTTTCAAATTCTACTTCACCTCCTCGATCTGCAAATTTTCTAGCTCTTGGGCCGTTCGCTGGCCGACCGCTTCATGCATTGTGCTTCTTTCATCGAGTTCTAGAAACTTAGCCTGCAAGTGATTCAATGTTCAATTTTAACTGAAGCTCACAGTGCTTTCATCTTGTTTGAAGCAAGCCGTGCATTTCGGTCGTCGTGCTCTTCGCTTTAACGCACGGTATTCACTTGGTATTTACCAGAAGCTCGATTTTTCGCAGGTAGGCTATCTTGGGGGCTTACTGATTGACCTAATCAATACTGTCTCTTATGGTGGCCACAAGACACAGAACCTTTTCCGTATTCTTCGCGGTGATTTTTTCATCTGTTTTAATTTCTGCACGGCACCTTATTGTGTTGGACCGTGCCAGGACCTCGCGAAGGTTCTCACGCCGCTGCTCTGAATTATGCTCCCCCATATGTCAGGCAGCTGTCTTCTGAATTAGCGACAGCTCCAAAATTTGTCTTGGAAGTTGCGAAGAAATATCCGGCTCTGTATTTTTCTCGACTTGCACCGGTATACGTTGGATGCCAATTGGAAAGCCTGAACGACTGTGTTGGGCCATCTGCTCCGCCTTTGCCGTTGTTTGTTGTCACAATTTTGGCTGGTGTTTACGTCCCCCGTCTGACCGTTGTTTTTTTTTCGAGCTTCCGACACAGGTATATCTTTTTCAATCATTCTTGTTCATCTCGCTCGTAAACCCTATCCATAGGACGTCTTGCAACTGCTTTATGGGCGCCCGGGGTTTCAACACATTATGATCTCCGACAAGATACGGTGCGCGCCGTTTTTCACATGACTCTGCACATCGAATACTTGTACTAGTAGCGAGGCGACTGACACGAATAACTGTGATGGCTACTAGGCTTCTATCGACTGCGCATAATCTGTTGATGCTATTGCACTTTCGGTGCAACTCATGATATACTTCAAGGACGCTCATGCTCTTGTATAGCACAGCTAATATGAAAGACAACCGTACTGTACGATAGGCCTAGCATCTGCTCTACAATCAATAGCCTCTCAACCTAATATCTTGGATAGATTCCCACTGGACTTACAATCCGAGCAGTCAATATCGACAGGCCACCGCTAATGTCGAAGATGAGCCAACGGTGTACTGAAGATCAACATCTTCTCGAATTGCAGGAGAACATTGGCAGTGCTGCACTGCGACGCAGTTCACTGTACTTACTCAATAAGTATTTTTGAGGTTGCTACATGCCACGATCGGCGCTCAACGTCACATCCACTTCTTTGCCTCCAAATTGTCCCCCGACATCGGTGCGGCCAAGTATACAACGTTGTTTGAATCTCCTGTGTTTCTAAGTGGTTATGTAAAAATACTCAAGAACAGCGCCTGTGCAGAATAATGCAAAGAATGTTACGGCGCCCTCGCCTTACAGTATGACTCAGTCAGCAGTTGGACCAGAGCAATGGTTGGTAAAGAGTTCATAGAAGCGGGTCCCAGGAAATACCCTTGTTAAGTTACTACATATATGATATTGACTGCAACTGATTCCCAATGAGGATCGGCAACCACCCACATCTCAACATGCTCACCGGAGTGCATTATTACAACTGGGAATCTGGGATGACTAGTAGCTACTACATATGAGTCTGACTGGACTGCCTTTCTTAAGGGTTCTCCCTCCTTCCTCCGAAACGACCCTATTAATAGGCGCTGCGCTGATGGTAAAGGTAAGGTAACCGACACGATCTCATTGAGAAACAGCCAAATTCCGCGCTAAGCACACTGCGCAATTTGTTGAATTATCCCCTTGCAGAGTCCTCAAGTCCATGGGCACAAATAATTTGGAAGAATAAGATGACTTGTTTTGAAGGCGGGCCGCGGGACTGCTATACAAGGTATGGCCGTTGCACCCACTATCCTATCCTATCCTCCAGTTGGTTCAACTCGTGTACTTGCTGGTACTGTATGCATTATACCTATGTGGGTTAGTCCGATCTTGGGAAATCAGTTTTAACATAACCTGTGCAGGGTGCTTTGCGCATCACCCCCTCGTTCCGGGCCTTTCTTCGTTCCGCTTCCACTAGAGCCACTCTTGAACCACTAGAATTCTAACGCACGTTCAAAATGGCAAATTGTCTTGATCGAAATCTGTGCTGAAGAGAAATTAGCATATATATAACGTTGCGCAAATAATGATGAGAGCTAGCCTCTTCCCTCATTTCTTCTACTGGGTTTTTTTTCTCATCTCGCATATTTTTACCATGATCCTCCCATCTTCCACCACTGTTGTCGCCATGCTGGTAGCATTCAATTTGTGTCTAGGTTCAAGCGCTTCTATTGTTCCTAGTCCACTTGAAATTTCCAATGTGTCCTTTCAAGGCCGCCAATTGGCTTCACCATTCGATACCAGTTCATCCGGTTGCGCTGTCTCCACAGCTATGGTACCTAATCAGCGCGGAGAACTCGTACATCCCACATATAACGTCACTCAAATTGGATTAGGGATCGGCACACAGAATTATTCGTGTTCGAGTACAGGAAATTATACGTGAGTTTCTAGAAAGCATAAAGGATTTCGGCTTAATCCTTGTTCACTCTGGTAGGAGTGTCGGTGCTGTAGCTGAGCTCTACGACGTCTCCTGTGAATACTTAACTGCTGATCTCTCCAATGTTTCCGCCGAAGCTTATCGCTTATGGGTTGCCGCGCCTACCTACTACACTGAATCCACCCTCATCGATGTCCTTCATGCCTACAGAGGAACACCCAGTGTCCCTACCATCCTTGGCCAGCATTATTTTGTTCCTAATCCGACAGGAAGTGGCCTCAGTCCCAAATGGGACTTCACCTCCGAGTCATTTGCGGGCAATAACGCTGCGTATGTGATTGGAAGGGCTGTAGGAGATATACCGTCTCCGGATGGTAGCGCAAATATAGATTGGCTGTACCTCACAAATGTACAAGGAGGTTTGGCACAGGAAGTTTATCGGACGAATACGACGGGTGGTCAACCACCTACTGAAGCGAGTGGAAGTTTCAAACGACGTGCTCAAGGTGCTGATGAGGGTACACTGAACGGTATAGAGTGTACACCTGGCTCCACAGTTGCTGTTAAGTATACTTCCTTGTATTGTAAGTTTTGTTCGCTCAAGTATCATCCATTACTGACTTGAGTTTAACGCAACTTTTAGATTTTACAGGAGGTTTAATTTGATCATTATTGACAAGGCTTATTATTCATGTCAGATTGGGATATTCCCTGCTTCTGCATTTATTTCCACGTCGAGAATGTTGATTTCTTAACATTCACGTCGCGGATTCCCCGAGGACCAATGTTTGCGCATAGTTTGAAATATTGTGTGTGCTTAAATGGATGAGTAAATTCTACTCACAGGTCATGCGTGTCAGGAATCAGCACTGATTGTCCAAAAGTGTTTTGGCAGGATTTTGGAATCTAGAACTTGCATTCAAATATGTCAATGCGAAGGGGACATGGTTTTTTATATCATTAGTGACGATCAGGAGGTAACAAATCTTTTTGGAAGCTGATAAAATGTACATGGAGAAATTGAGGGGTTTCAGCGTACCATTGTTTGACCACAATTTATTCGCATTGCTTGATAGCGCATATAGAGGATAGCGCTACTTGATATCGTATTTGGAACGGTCTAAGGAGAAGAGCCAGATTCCTGATGTGGCAGGGAAAGGACTATCTTCACCCGAGCGTGTGTGTATCGGTGTAAAAATCGGATCCATTGCGGAAAAATCACTGGGCGATAGAGCAACGGGGAGAAAGCGATTCGAGAGCAATCGTAAAAAGAATGATTCGATGATTCTTCGATGGAAGTGATAGCATTTGGCGAATGATATCTAGCACGGTCGTTGTGTGAAGGATCGGATAATCATTACGATAGGAGCCAAGTTTCCAATTTGAGAACTCTCACGATAATTCTTTCGTGCTGAAATCTTTATAACTACAACTTACTTTAATCGACCCATCGTCTCTAATACCTCTCGTTTCTGAAGCAGTCAGAGCTAGTCAAAGTTAGCCGCCATCTTTTAACTTACTTGCTTCATTTCTGCATCTGACTTTCACTTCCACCTTTCAGCTTGCTGGCGGAATTTGCTAGTTACGGTGATGCAGATGCCAATCCTACCTACTCTAGACGACATTAGAGCATCTATCGTGCAGCTTGAAGATCGACACCGACGAAATGGCGTAGTGCTGAGTGGACGGATTTTGCATGTCTGTCACTCTTTACCGGTTACCTGCACTCTACATATCGACAAAGACGAAGCCTCGTCATCTTCGAGGAAATGGAAACTTGGCCCGCGATACGGCCACGCAGCGATGATTTCTGGTATTCGATCGCTCAGTGCAACACACGAACAGATCATCGTTGGCTGGACGGGTGACATCGAGGGCTCAGAAGACGAGAAGAAAGAAGTCGGGCAGGTGACGGAAGATGACAGGACACAGTTGAACGAACTACTTTCTAAAGGTGGTGAAGAGGACGACGTACACGAAGCACACGACAAGGGTCATCATCACACAGGCTACGCAGCTGTCTGGATGTCTTCTCCCGTCGCGCACGGTTACTATGATGGCTACTGCAAACAAATCCTGTGGCCTCTTTTCCACTACCTCCTTTGGCAGGATGTTGCCACTGAGTATGCTTCTGCTGACTCTCATTATCCTCACTACGAAGCTGCCAATGCCGCATTTGCACGTAGGATAGCAGAGCTTTATCGCCCAGGAGACCTTATCTGGGTACACGATTATCACCTACTTCTACTCCCCAGTTTACTTAGGGAACTGCTGCCGGATGCGGTAGTTGGCCTTTTTGTCCATACACCCTTCCCGAGTTCCGAAGTATTCAGATGTCTTCCCAGGCGAAAGGAAATTCTCGACGGTATGCTCGGAGCTAACCTCGTCTGCTTCCAGAATTACTCTTACACCCGGCATTTTGTCTCTACTTGCATACGTGTCTGTGGATATGAATCCCAGCTTGGCGGTCGTGGTATCGAAAACCCATCCTCTTCTCACGTTACTGCCGTTAGCTACTGTCCGGTCGGAATTGACGCTGAACGAGTAGCGAGGGACGTATTAAGACCTGGAATCAAACCTAAATTCGATGCTTTGAAGACGTTGTATCAAGGGAAGAAGATCATTGTCGGAAGGGACAAACTGGATGTTGTGAAGGGAGTGTTGCAAAAGCTGAGAGCGTTCGAAAAGATGTTGCAGATGTACCCGGAATGGGTGGGGAGGGTTGTAATGATCCAAGTGAGTATGATATGCTTTTTGAGTTGATTTTATCATACATATCATTTCGTTCACTCTTGCTCATGATGTCAAATACTAATGTTGTCTTCCTCTTAGGTGACGAGTCCATCACTCGCAGATTCACCTAAACTCGAACGTCAAGTGTCTGAACTCGTAGCACACATAAACGGCACCTACGGTTCACTTGACTTCATTCCCTGTCATCACTATCATCAAACGTTGAAGAAGGACGAATTCTACGCTCTACTGAGTGTAGCGGATCTCGCGGTGATTACACCATTGAGGGATGGGATGAATACAACCAGTATGGAGTTTGTTATTGCACAGGAGCGCACCAAACGATCGCCTTCTGTTCTTTCTGAACTCATGGGCGTGATGGGTATCTTAGGGCCGAAGGGACCAGGTGATACGAATGAGAGTGGTCAGTCTTCTACTTCCTTCTTGAATGCTCGGTTGTCGATTCCGTCTAATGATCTGGTGCAGGTGAGAAAGAGCCCATCTCACCCGGCGGACTCAATGGACACGGTAGTCCGGCATCGCCAAACATGAACATAGCGAACAACAAAATGAGGTTGAACGGGATTGGTACGCGTCATATAGCTATCCTTCTCGCCCCACCCTCACGCGACCTTCTTTTTCAACAGACATATCCAAGCGCAAATTCGCGTGGAACTCCAATTCTCCCTCTGTTATCCCCACCCCAACTCCTGTAGTAAGAGGAGATCCGATTGCATACGCTGCTTCTGCCTATACAGCCAACGATCTAAATGGGAAGTCGGGTCCTGCCCTGAATGGGTTCAGTAGTGGTTAGTCATCTGGCGCGTTCCTGTCGTTCGAAATATCTCATAAGCCTTTTTCTCTACATAATATCTCTAGAATCTGACAATGATTCTTCCTCCCCGGGATGCTCAACACAGGGCGCTCTCTGGGTTAATCCATGGGACCTACACACCGTCGCTTCTGCTATGCACCGCGCTCTACTCATGCCAGAGGCAGAGAAAGCTACTCGGCACAAGTAAGTTTATTCAACATAGCGCTCCTTTTGAGATTCAACATTCAATTCATAAAAGGTACCTTTACGATGTCGTCACCACCCGAACAAGCCACATGTGGGCGAACGTGTTGACAGAGATGCTCTTGCAGCAGATGACACCGAGTGTCCATGGCAAGAGCGATGCTAACGCAACAGGGGGATCAAAGAGGGGCATTCCTTACCTTGACATTGCACGTTTGCGAAAGTGGTACGATGCAGCGTCTACCATATCGTCATCAGCCTCGATAACTCATCAACCTACTCATCCTCGTGTGAAACCGACACGATTATTCTTCTTCGACTATGACGGTACTCTCGCACCCATCGTTAAAGTTCCTTCAGCCGCTGTACCAAGTGAGCAGGCGTTGAACGCGTTGAATAACCTCTGTAAAGATGAGAGGAACTTGGTTTACATTATCTCTGGCGAGTACTTGCTTCGTTCAGTCCTTTGATCTCTATGGATCTTCGGTGTCTTTTCTCACGTCATGGAAGTGCTTAGGCTTACTCATGCTCTTTACAGGCCGGGATGCTGATTTCCTCGATGAACACCTTGGCTCCGTAGGGACTGCTGATGGCGGCCGAGGGTTGGGGTTCAGTGCTGAACATGGCGGGTTCGTAAAAGAACCGAAAAGTAGCACAGGTAATTTCGTTCGGCCTCCCTCAACGAGTGCGTCAAATAACAATACCTTCTCTAGATGGTTCTGCATCCCCTTGGCGCAATTTCACCTCTAAGCTCGATATGTCTTGGATGTCCGAAGTTTATGAAGTCTTCCGCTATTACACAGAACGTACCACAGGCTCGCACATTGAAGTAAAAAAGTCAAGTATCACATGGCATTATCGGGGTGCTGATCCTGAGTGGGGTCAATTCCAATGTCGCCAGTGCCAGGATTTGTTAGAAAATAATGTTGCCCATAAGAGGCCCATTGAGGGTGTGTGTCATTCCTTTTTCAATCATGCCTCCTTTGTTTTACTGAGTAGACATCTCTGTTCATAGTCCTGGTTGGCAAAAAGAACCTTGAAGTACGGCCAATTGCTGTGAACAAAGGCGAGATTGTGAAGAGGCTAGTGTACAAGCACCCTGAGGTGGAGTTTATCTTTTGCGCAGGAGATGACAAGGTATATATATATACCTTTAGCGTCTATGATTTACTCAAGTCTTTCTATTCTAGACGGACGAGGATATGTTCCGCGCCTTGAGACAGTTCACGGAACGTCCTTCATCCTCTCCTAAGACGGAATCATCTTCCAACGGCAACGGCAAGGTTGAGTTTGTAATGGAAGCACCCTTGAGTGTGACGTTAGTCGATGGTGATGACGAAGAGGGACCGGCCTCGCAAACCAACAATACCTCGCTCAACGGCAAATACCCCCCGATGAAGATCCACCTTGCCCCTGAAGCCGTTTTCACTGTCGCAGTTGGGCATTCGTCCAAACGCACACTTGCAAGCTGGCATGTGCCGAGTCCTGCAGAGGTGGTGGGCGCTGTAGAAGGACTGTTGGGTTTGATTACTCCCGAAGAGGCATCAAATCAGAGTCAAAAGGAGGATTAGTGGTAATAGATTTGACGCAAGCGACTAACTCTGCAGATACATGATACGATTGCTTAGTTTTCTTGGGGGGTGTTTACTTTACAATACTCACTTCTATGTAGACAATATGTACAGAACAGATATTTATAAGTATAGAGCAACGCTGGATTCAATTGAACTCATACATGTTCATATGTTATACAGCCTTGTGCCGGAGATGTATCACCATGGGGGAAGACTGCACAAAAACTGATGGAGTTTTGGAGAAATGGAGGATTAGAGTGCACTCATTTCGAAGAGAGCGTGATGAAGAATTGAGAGGAAGATAGAGAATTGGAAGATGAAACTTGTTACATGACCGAAGGATTGACTACGGAATGAGGATTTAGGGATGGACTCAACCAGAATGAAGTGTTTGCAAGTTTCATGGGTGTTTGGGCAGGTGGATGACAGTGGGCACTGGGGAGCGGTGTCAAAGAGGGTGTCAAAATAACGAGATGAAGTTAAAGAATGAGAATGCTAGTCCAAGTGACCAGGTGGTGAAGGACTGGAAGGATCAGGTCAATATTTGAGGGACGTAAACTGGATTGGGAAGAGTATTGTATGTATGTTGAGGCAGGGAAGACCAGGGAAGACCGTGCGGGAAAGATATTTCCCCCCTTTTCCCCTCAAAATCAGGACATGCCCCTGTACATGTAGTAGATATGTATGTTCCCTTGTGTTCTATTATTGTATTGTACAGTATATCGTAAATTGGTCTCGCTACTATAATTTATATCCTATCCTTATCATATCGACTGAGAGGGAGGGTGACGACAAACAAGTACAACGTGTTGCACCGTCTGCATTCCCAATATCTCAATCCTCATACAACAAATGTTCTCTTTTCAAATATACTTAGATGGAGCGGTACGCGAATTTCGACTACTTCTGATACACCCGGGATACACCTGATAGATACATGGGAGTCTTGCTTCGTGATTCAAACGGCAACAGGAAGGTTGACGGAGGCTATCTTTCTGCTAGCTTTTGCTAGAGAACTTGTTACGATGTGTGTCTGATACAGTCTCCGCAACTTGAATTGAGCGAATTTATGTACATACGCTTGTGCTTCTTCAAGAGTTACGTGGAACCCGTCCTTCGGATGTCGAAGCCGCCTGAGGTATTGTAATTCCCTGCTACATAGACATGATACTCATCTGTATTAGATTTCTGCCAAAGGCCGCATGTGTTAACCTGTTAACCCCGATACAGGATGGATTAAGTCGAGGTTGCGACAGGCTACTCTCGTTCAGTTTATATATTCCTTGCAATTGGTAGCAGGACACATTCCATTCAACTACTTTGTCCTATCCTATAGGCTATCCCCCGCCAAACGGTAAATTCGTACCCGTGTAAAATCCAACTACGACTCCGTGCATGCAGTCTGAATCCGGCTTGAATCGTTCGATAAGGACGGGAAGAGTGGATAATCGCGTATCGTCGAAGAACTCCGAGGTCCAGCGCCGAGCGCGAAGTCGGTAACTTTACTTACCTACAATGTACATATATACTTTCAGGGATGCACCAAAGGTTTGGAATTTGTATGTCAAATGGAGTTGAACAAAGTTTCTTGGTGCATTGGGTGACAATTTGAATTCTATCAGCTTCAGCGTACTTAATCACGGCGAGTACATACTTACAGACTCGAGTTCTACCCTCATTCCTACTCTTATATCCCAGGTTATTCAGCTCACTCAGGGAACCTTCCAGCCGAACATCAAGATGCCATCGGATTCGACCAATGCACTAAAATTCGTTATTACCGGGGCTGGTATCGCGGGCCTGACATGCGCGTATTTTGTAAAAAGAGCGGGGCACGATGTTGTAGTACTGGAAAAGTCATCTCGCAGAGAACAATTAAAAGTACGTGGAAGTTACTGAAGTTTCCCCTGACTAATTACTATCCAGAACGAGGATGGAGGTGTGAGAATACCTCCAAATATGATGCGGCTACTGCAAGAACTACCAGGCATGGAAGAGACGTTGAACGCAAAGGCAACAAAATGTGCCGGGTAAGTATGTTGTCAACAACTGCTGTATGATCGAGCGATCCTGATTATGGCTGAATATTTCCGTAGGATATTGTTCCACCAATGTGAGTTTTAAACCTCCTACACATCTTACGGTGTGAACCACAAATCCTTGAATCGTTGGCTATACTCATGTTCCTTGCTGAAGGCAAGGAAGACGGGTCCGCAGAACTCGTCGGCAAAATGGATTTTTCACAAGAAATCATGGATGATTTGGGATGTGATTTCTATTTTATACCAGTAAGTCAATAACTTTTCTGCTTTTTTTGCATCTACCATCCCCTACCCTCTTCTGTTGATACATTCTCAACGCCCAGTTGTTATTATTTCTATTGCTACCAGCACAAGGACCTTCACGAGCACCTCTACACCCTATGCGTCAACTGTGGCGTCGAAATTCGCCACGAGTTTGAAGTAGTAGAGGTTCAAACAAGTAGACCTCCCCATGTAGATGGCCCAAAGGTCTTCAGCAAATCCGGAGAGTATGTCACAGGCGATATCGTAAGTTGTAAAGATCGAAATCAATGATGACCGACTTTTTGAAAACTTTTTTCGATGATGAATACTAGGTGATAGGGGCAGATGGTAAAAACAGCGTTGCTCGCAGGGTTCTACTAGCAGAACAAGATGAAGCGGAAGAGGCGGATTCTACTACGACTGGCTCAGAGAAATCGGCGCTCTCTCCAATAAAGGCCATCGTTGGGTGCGGGTTCTCTCATCTCAAAAATTATTGCCTTTTCATGAAATGTCTGCCTATTAGCGCGACATTGTCTATTCCAGTTTCACTCCTCGAATCTGATCCGGAACTCGAACCATTACTACGAGTAGAAAACCACGTACGTCAGTTCAGATTTTGACTCTCTGCATGGCTGTTGATATCCAGCTGCAGTGGATGGTATACATGGGCGATGGAACGAGTGTTGCTATGGCACGAGTGAGCCCTTTTCTCTTGAGTTCGCGTTATGGAAAGGATATTGAAGTCCAACCTTAGTACGGACCCGACATTTACCTCCTTGACTTGACGTACGGGCAACCGCCACTCCTGGACAATGAAGACGAGGAATGGCTCTCTGGCGGAACACCTGTGCAAAGTGTCCTTGAAAAGGTGCAGGAGTATGATGCAAGGTACGAATTAAGAGTACCACGTCGAATCGAACTTGATTTCGTACATAGGGTGAAGAAGCTCATCAGCTTAGCAAAGACTAGTCATTGGAACATTCAAACCGTCTATGATCTGCAACGATATGTTTCCAAGTTCAATCAAGTGATGGTAGTTGGAGATGCAGCTCATTCTATATATGTAAGTGAATGATTTCATGTACTTGAAAGCGAGTATGGATGATTCGCCTCAACTCTCCCAAATACAGATAAATGGTACCCACAATACGTGAGTTGTTGTCATCATCATTGTGACCTATGCTAAAACCACGTTGTTGCAGTGCTGCTGCGGTATGTATACAACCTCTTCCCAAATTTTGAATCTTTGATAATATATTTAAAAATGATAACTCTTGCTTTTTAGTTCGAAGACGCATTCACTCTCGGTCGACTCTTTTCGCGCTTTTCTTCCTCACGGCAGTCACAATCCAACGCCTCATTTCTCTTGAGCAGCTATCAACAAATCCAACAAAAACGGACTCGAGCAATGGAAACGAGCGAGATGAATACGATGCTTCTCTTGGGTATACCACCGGGCAGTGAACGAGAAGGACGTAATAATGGTTTCCGATTGACGCTCCATCTAGAGGGAGCGGATGATGCGACTTTGGAACGCGTTTGGGCGGGATACGTGGCACAATTTAATTACGACGCAAGGGATGCAGTGGACGAGTGGTGGATGACTTGGGCAAGACCAGGGAATCGAGAATCATTGATCATTGATGGTGTATCTGTTATATCCGCGCATTAAGTCGAGCAGAACCAAGTGCTATCAACAATATCTTTTTTTGACTCGCTTTGACCCCCTAGGCCTGTCGTGCTCACCTTCAATATGTATATTTTTGGAGCAGGTTCTTGGATTATAGTCCAATCTTTCAATCTTAACTACAATTTGTGTCGCATTCTTTCACTCATCCAACAATCATAATGATATCCAGCACCATGCATCCCGAGCTCAACTTCATGCTCTGAGAGGCAGTGATAATCCTGATGATCTTTCCGCAGAATGTTGATGATCATTGGCCTTGAAAATGTTTAAAAGGGGTGCCAACCCTGTCTCACCCCCTTCGATGATTTTTTCGCCCTACTGATTTTCCTCAACCATGATATTGGCCATGAGGCTTCTGCTCTTCTGGTAAACGGGCTGCTCACGGGATCCCGAGATTCAGAACCGAGCTGATACTTACTGTACTTGAAGGATCCCCATGGTACAAATTTCCTCTGTACAGTCTCAGAACGTCAATTTTCCAATTGGGAATGTACTAGGTTCAAATGCGATAGTTTCATTCATACACAATCTGTAAGTGGTTGAGATTTTGAACTGAATTCCAAGGCTTACCATGGGACAAGGGAGACAAAGGCAGAATCTAGTAACCAGGAGAAATCTACTAGATTCACGACGCATTCTGTACAGATACCAAAACCGCCCAACGCTATACCACAGCCTGCACTCTCGCAGATGTCATCATCTTCCACTTCCACGACAGAAACAGCAGCTACACAGGAGATCAGTACTCCCCAACCGACGATTTCTCCAGCTTCCTCATCTACTTCCCTTACAGGCTCAGAGTATAATATCTCACCTCCAGTAGTAACTTCATTGGTGATGTGAGTTTATTTCTTAATGAGATGCGTATCATCATTCCTGACTCAGGTTTAGAAGCGACGGTGCACCGTGCGTCCAAACCCTCAAGGAATCATTGCATCTCTCATTGTTTTTCGTTCAGGCTTATCATTGATCCAACTCAGACCTTGTACACGACATCTACATCTACCACAGAGTCTCAGTAAGCGTGCTTGATCTTGAGCGAAAGTCAAGCTTACATAGTTTGAAGAATTCTGCACACCACTCGAACTCCGAGCCATACCGAGCCCACTACAAACACGGCAGGACCATTCATTCCTTCCGGTAGTGCCTCAAGTACTTCAAAACCCAGCCATCTAGGAGCTATTATCGGTGGAATAGTCGGCGGAGTCGCCTTTGCATTCATCATCGCACTCATCGCACTCTTGAAATGGCACCGTCGTAGGCAAATAAGTTCCGTACAAAAAACGGCCTTCAATGGGGACATGATGGTAAAACCTCCATTCAACTGGCGGAATGTTGCTCGTAGTTGGAAATCACGATCTATAGCTTCATCGTTACCCAGGCGCTGGCATGGTTCTGACTACGGGTATGGAGGATACTCATCATCAGCGGTGACTTCGGAAGACCTCGTGCCAAAGAATGGACTTGCGGAGAAGAATGGGAACGAGCACAAGCCACCGTCGGAAATCGACGGGGACAATGGGGTCCTCTGAGGCCCCCAACCAATCGATTTTGAGAAAACCTGGTTTCAATCCTGTTTTCTACACTTATTATGTATGCTGTATTTTATCTCTGTAGTACTGCGTTTACCCACCTTGAAAGGTGCACAGCAGAAGTAATTTTGAATCTGGAGTTGGCACTGTCGAATTAGTAGAAAACAAATTCATTTAATATCTGAGCCTTGCTACATAGATGGACCTGAAGCTTGAGGCTTGAAGGCCTGACGGTGGGTGGAGAGTTATATAAAAGAACCAGACCTGCGGCGATGGTGGTATAGTGTATGTAAATAGACAGGGTTGCACGTGAACCATGAACTCCGCTAGTACCGCACAACGGTTGAAGCTACTACAAGACCTCCCTTTGGATGTCCTCTTGGAATTGATTTCATTCTTGCCTGTACCGGATGCCCTTTCATTGGTCTCTACATCGCAGAGGCTACATATTCTCCGATCCAATCACAGTTTCTGGCATATACTTGTCCAAACTCTCCGCCATTCTTCTATTCCCCTTGCTTGCCCTTCATTCGTAGATTGGACTCAGAATTTGAAGACTTTGGCATTGCGCACTCTGCAACGTCAACAAATCCTTTCATCTCCAAGCCCACATCCTGTTCGAGTCTCGAAGTACTTGGGATACACTCGCGACATCGAGTCGATATCTCCTATCAGCGGTACCAACCTGTACTTGACTTGTGACTCCACAGATGGCAGGGCTAAATGCTGGGATTTGACCAAGGGGACAGTGCTGTCCGAAATTTTCATTGGCAGGAACATCCTGGCAAAGAGCACTCTATCGGCTGAAAAAGGGAGATTCTTGGTCTGTTTGCTCGTCGCAGAGACGACACATGAATTTGTTGCGACATCTGTGGTTGTGCTTCGCTTGGACTACGACGTCCTTATCAACAACTCTCCTTCCCTTTCCTATTCCTACTCGAATGTCCAGTTGTCTGTCCTTCATCGTTCATCCCTCGATGCTACCTTTCCAGCAATGTATCCCTCCTGCGCCATCAACGATCAGGGTCTTATAGTGATCACCAAAATGGCGACATCCATTCATCTCATTGCAATTAATGTGAATACTGATGTGAAGTATGTTATTGAGACGGATCTGACGGTGTGTAGCTCGAAATATACGGTTTAACCCCTTTCGCTGACCATTGTGCGCCATCAAAACATAGGAATTAGAGTTGGACTCTGTCGACCTTTCATTCAGCGAGAAAGACCTTATCATCACTGCCAGTAATTCTAGGTCTTCGTGGATGTATAGATGTTCAAAGGACAACCTCCCTTATTCTGATTCCGATGTCACAGGGTCACGACAAGAGCTCAAACTCCTTTCATCCAGCACAGACATGCCTTCTCCTACAACCACTCTTTCCTACGAACGGTGTGGTTTCTACGCGAGTGGAATCCAAACGACAAATCACAGCACCACATCGCCCAAAAACCGATTGGCAACAACGGCATACTATGTCACTCAATGCGGAAGAGAGCGATACACTGAATGTTGTTTCTGGGATTTCGACCTGGCGCAAATCGATGGTGTAATTCATACCCAAGCAGCACACCAGTGTCGGCTTCCAGGCCTGCAATTTTTCGAGGTCCCGTGCTCAGGCTCCGAGTCTGGTGCATGGGGAGTCTTTATATGCGATGTGGACTTGGATATGGACGGGGTTTTTGCAGATCATGATTTCGAGGTGGACGTTGGAGTAAACCTCACTGCTGCCAATGTAGCGCGTAACACAGAGTTTGCGCGCACCGCTCACTTGCCGATTGATTCAGAAAACTCGAAGCCTGAAATATTCTTGGTGCACTATGATGCATTTACGCGGACATCAAGTGTACATCGACCAGTACTTCCCAAGTCGCTCCCTGATTTCTGCGAATCGCGTCTGGTACCTCCGCCCTATTCATGGGTTAACGATATAAAGAGTATCGAGTTTGATGAGCGGCTGGGGATTTTATATATCATGATGGAGGGGTTAGAAGGGGGTGTGCTTTGTGGAATTGAATTTCTTTGACCAAAATGTAGCACATCGTTGAACTAAATTTAGGCGCACCAAGCGCTTAATTTGTATCAAGCGTCACATGCCAAAACTCGCGACACAGAATTTTTTGATGTGGATGCGCCTGGGATTGCGCTCCCTTGACTGACTGCAACTGAGCCGGTCTCAAGCTCAACGGCGCTTTTGGTCTTCCCACTGTGCCTCGAAGATCTTTGTCCAAACGCCAAAAGAGGGCGGAATGGAACTCGTTGTGGAGATTGAGTAGCATTGTCAACGAACAAAGTTTCCTGTCGTTCAACTTCATCTCAGTTCTTCTCATTCACCGTTTGTGTTTTTCTTTGGAAAAGCGCCTTGCAGGATGATTCACGTCATACTACCTGTCGTCCGACCGCACCCAGCCATGTCCATTTGAAAACCTGCCGTGCAGGTATTTTGGCGTTACAACTGTATCAGCATCTTTCGCAGTGATGATTGCTGCTGCTGGCAGGCTGTAGTAGTGTCGGTCTGAACGCATATACGTAGAGATTCGATCTGGGCGGTGCACATGTCCTAAAATAACATGGATAATATGTGCTGTCTAGAATCGTAGCGGTGTTAATCAGGTGTTTGAGGGAAGGAAGGGTCACTGTTTTGTTGCATTTGACGTGTGTTTGCACTTGAGTGCACTTCGCGGCTCGCTGTTTGCTGGCTCGTCTCACGAGTCGGGTTGGTAGCTGTGAAACTTGATCTAGACTGTTCTTGGTCTGCGGTGGATTTTCAATTTGTTGCTATTATTCTCTTTTCGAAGGGAATACATTTTGGTGTAAGTATTCTAATTATCATATGGAGCCAAAAGTTCGTCGAGTTTACAGCTTGCCCCGATCTGTTTGTGAGTTCTGTCGTTTAGCCCATTCTTCGGCCGCTATTTTGCGAAGTTCTCCTTTGATAATCTTACCAGAGGGTGTATGTGCTGTGACATATATATGGGTAAATGATCAAGTGTTTTAATTGCCTGCAATGACGTACTAAAATCCTGCTCTCTAATCAAGATCATGACTGGTACAGCAAACTTGGGTAGACTGGAAACAGATTCTGTTCAATCAACCGAGTGACAAGGAAAACGGATGAACTGACTTCTTGCGAGCCACATCCATCAAGCCTGCAACATTAACTCTTTTTTTGTGCTCGGGTTTGACAGTGACCAGAGCGGTAACCAGTTCTCCGAGCCTAGCGTCCGCAACCCCTACAGCTGCAGCCTCCTGGACTCCTGCAAGGTAACCGGTTATTACTTGTTATCATCTTCAAAGGACCACATAATTACCGTCATCGGTATATAGTGCATTTTCAACGGAAATGGAGTCCTATATGATTTTCGAAGTAATGTGAGTTAATGAAACTCGTGTAGAGAGCTATTACTGACTATGTTTTCACCTCCTGAATTTGAAATGAATCTTTGAGGAAATGGATCTTCAAGTCTCTCAAAGCTGATAGTACGCACCACGAATGATAATGTCTTTTAGTCTATCCTGAATTCAGCGTATCAGCACCTGATTCGTGGGATCTATAATCCTTTCACTCGATACCTTAATGTACAAAAATCCCTCCTTGTCCATATAAGCCATATCTCCGGTCTTGAGCCAACCGTCCTTGGTAAGAACCTTCTTTAATTTGAGTGATTGCCCTTTTCGGATTGAATCATAAAACTTTACTTTACTGGTTGCAACTAAAGGTACGGGTTTTGAGTACTGCAGCAACGACGGAAGACATGGAATTTACCTGGGTCACCCCAGTAGCCCTTCATAACTGTTTGAAGTTGAGGATATAAATCTATTAATGAGTAGCCAACGTACTGTTCGGCCCTCTCAACCAAACTTCACCAACAATGCCAGTCGGACACTCTGTAGCGTCTGCTGACATGATAAGTACATCGTCGACGGGCATAGGTCTACCGCTGTGATGAACCGAATCAAAAAAACTCAGCGAGCCATTGTAAGAAATGGGAGAAGTATCAGACCAACTGTCAAGTCTTGCCAGGTAATCTTCCCCGCTGAAAGATACAGTCGTAGCGTTTGTTTCGGTCAACCCATACGCGTGGCTCCTATACTCGGTCAACGGTAAGGAATGTTCGGTAATTCATTATTGACTATTGACTGATAAACTCACAATGATGCAGTAGGAAATGCGCTCAGAGCACGTTTGGCCTGAGATGGTGAGACTGAAGCACCGCCGTACAAGATGGTTCTGAGCGGCGCGCCTTTCGCCTCACTATTTGCCATATCTGAAATGGTAGATTGTACTCTTTGAGCCGCATCAGTGCATTGCAAAAAGCCCCAATTCACGGCCCCTTACCCTCCGATGAAGACGATGCCTTCCTGCTTAATCAACCTAGATTGAATCCAGGAGATGAGACGCTTGTTAACATTGCTTTTGAACGACCAACCGAACAGCTTGAAGAATTGATAAATATCAATTAGCTTGTATTCTAGGAACATTGGGTGTGCTTACCATTCTCTACATTCCATTGGCGCATCAAGACCAATTTACCGCCAGTAAGAGCCCCTATCATCTGAAAGGAATCCAATATCAACTTATAGCCTGTCGTGATTCCATAGGCTTTCTACCCACCAAAAGGGATGTCCCTGCAGAATGGAAGAGTGGCGTGGGAAGAAAGAGAGCGGCTTGAGGGCCTGGAGGGGCTCCGAAAACCAAGCTTTCACCGCGCCGCAGCATTGCCCGACCCATACTAGCAAGACTCTAAAAGCAACGTATGTGGCTGAGATCGGTGAAGAAGTGATGAATAGTCTTACATTGAACAAATTTGAAAGGAATGCCCTCTGCGTACTCAGACAGCCCTCTAGGATGACATGAGATTCTTGTTTCACCATTAAAAAGAACGAACTACTTACTTGGTGTGCCGCCAGTACCAGAAGTGAAGAGAATAGTCGCATCGTCTTCAGGTACTATGCGCGGGTCTTCCGCCAACACTTGCTGTGGGTTTCCATTGTATCCTTCGAATCGGGTTGTCCAGTTTTCCATTGCAGGCCATGAACCTTTCCCCTCATGGGCTTCGAGAACGAGGAAAGCCTTTGTTCGAGCCTTCGACTTAATCTCAGCGACGGCCGGCGAGAGCAGAGTCGCTCGTTCACTATCCACAAAGATCAGCGTACAGGTTGTTTGAGAAAGACAATGTTTCAAGGGATCTAATGGTAACCAACTAATATTTATTGTCAGAAAGAGGTCGTACATCTTGGATCAACGTTGGTACGTACGCGTTTACCAGGACTGAAACAGCTCCGATGAGGTCTTTCAAAGAGTGAGCAATTGTAGTTATATTACTCAGATGATAGCAGCACTCACGACATGCCCAGAACAAGACAAGATATTCAGGATAGTTTCGAGAACATATTGCGATACGGTCACCTGGTATCATCAATGATCTTGCTATTATACATCATACATAATGCGGATAACCGTCACGTACCTTTTTTGACGCCGAATAGATTCCTAAAAATGCTAGCTGCTCTGGCCGCGCGTTCTGCCACTTCACCGAAGGTGAGACGTTGATTCTCGTACACAACACACGTCTTGTCTGAATGTTGTTTCGAGACAGAAAGCCAGAAGATACGAAGAGAAGGCCATAGATTCTTATAAACGCGTTGCACTTGACCGTCTATTTCCTGCAAGACGGGATATCATATTTCAAGTTGGGAGTGTAAGATAACATGAAGAACAGCACTGCGTACTCGAGTCTCTAATTCATGCAGAGCATTGGGTGCGCATAAAATCTTGTCCACTGAGAGATTATTTCAGTTGGAACAGACGGAACACACCGTCGGCCCGGGGGTGGATGAGATCCTACCTTCGTCATGAGTGCGCTTGGGGTTCCAATTAATGCCAGTAGGCGACATGGTTGAACCTAGAGCAAGAGGGTTAGTAGAAAGCTTTCACCTGGTATAAGTACTGCCTGAGTCTTGATTGGATAATAACGACTATATGGACAAAAATTTCGTATATGCTGCCGCATCTAAATTGAAACGGAGGAGATATGTACCAAAAGATGCCTTACCGGTCCTAAAATGAGATCACGTTGGTCGGTACAGACTGTACAGTGAACGTCAATAGTAGAATTGGGATCTGCAACCTTGCCGCGTTGATTATGGTCTAGAAAACCTAAGTAGCGGGAAAGCATTTCATGCTGAAGAGGTGCGACCTCTTGTGAAAAGCACTTGGAGCGCATCATCATTGGCTTGTGTCCGTTTCCCCGGATGCTATGGTTATACTTGCAGGCTTTGCGCTGTTATCTTTCGTCCGGTCACTGTCGGTTCTCAATTGCAATCGATGGAGTATGATTGAAAAACTCGAGTCCGTTTACTGGGGTCTGATAGGTAAGTGATTCAAGCGGTTTGAGCGAATGAGGTCCTTAGTCACCTTCCCTTGCAGGAAGAAATTAGAATGGAGAATGTTAATGAGCAGTCAAACTCGATCTTACTAATAAGTCTGGGTTGTCGCGTTGACTCTCGTTGACTAGGATTGGCAGACGGTCCATCGATAAATCTACGGATACTAAGTAACCTGTTCAAGGTATGTTACTCCAGATTAGAATGCATATGGAGCGATTGAATGTCCAGTCAGACGGAAGACGCCTTTTAGAATTCAATTCGTGACGGTGTTGGAGAATACTTTAAATAAGCGCTGGTCTGCAAGCTCACTAGCTCGACCGGACAACGCTGGAGCTTGGAAGTTCTATATTATAATTGTACATGACTATTGAAGTATTGATTATCCATACAAATACGGATGTTATATTGTACTATGCTCAGCGGTTGAAATCCTGTTGAGCAGTGCTGAGCATGGCCTGGTCATGTTGCCAATTACCTACTATAAGCCGACAGAAGCTGACAGAAGCCGACTGAGTATCAAAATCGTGTACAACAAGAGTTTGCGCACCCGCAGCCTGTGGGGATTTTGTCGCCTTTCGTAGCACCAAGCGCAGAGCCCTTATAACCTCCTGCCTGGTCAACCGCGCCCTCCGCGTATTCTTGTGCGCAACTCGAGCGGCATCATCATCATATCAACCTCACTAGCAGCGTGCTCTTCACCAGACTGCGGCTACGATCCAGAGACCCGTAACATTCCCAACACTCTCAACAGCATTACTCCCGAGGGAATTATTACCCGGTGGTCTCAGGGTGGTCTTGATGTAGAAGAGATGTTAATCGTCGGGAGTCACGGGTGCGGTAGGCGGGAACTGTGAGGTTGCCGCAGTGCACACGGGGGGCGAAGCACGCACTTTGGGCCGGGGCTCTGGTTGTTGTTGTCAAACATATGTAATCTGTAGGTAATAGCGATGCTTTGCGATTGTTTGTTGATTCGTCAAAAGGTTGTGAGACGTTCAGTTCCCCTTTCCCTTTTGTACCTTTTGTAGTGGGGTTGTAAGCCAGGACGTGGTCATTGGTGACAAGAAAAATAATGAAACTGATATAAGAAATAGGTATAAATCAATTTGTGGCTATTTGTGGAGAACGAAGTGGAAACATGCAGAAGGTACTTAGCGTGGAATTTAGTGGAGGACACGATATATCAAGAAATGAAAAACATCTTTCGAAATGCAGCCTACTCGGAAGACCAGAAGAGATATTTATCGTTTCTTTATGTCTGCCAACGAGAAGGAGCTTGGTCTTCAAGATCATGCATATCCAGCTGGAATACTATGAAGGTTTACATTCGCGTAAGTGTTCACACTCGGCACAACCTGTGAATTGAGTAGAGGGAACAGGGACCTGCCAAGCTGGCGCAGGGCGGCGTCTGAGATTGGTGGTCGCCCAGGTGTGGTGTATGGATCGCGAAATTAAGCTAAAAAGGTAAGCAATATCTGTAATATGAATCCAGTGCCAAAGCCCCTCGCTCTCGTTGTCGGGTAGTCCACGTTGGGCACATACCCGAGGATCGCCGGAGTATATTTTGGATTCGCTGAGAGGACAAGAGAGGAAAACCATCTCCAGCCGTTTTTTCCAACTGCGTCGAAGAACCATGGAAGCAAGGCTCCAGACTTCGTGCCATACGTATGCCATGGGTGATACATAGTAATGATGAATCACATCTTGCTAATGCATCTGGCCGAAACTCCGTGTAGCATTTCGTGCAGTATCAATGCTGGGGATTCTTCAATCAGGGATACTCTGAACGAACGGGAGGATCAATGATCGACACACGACTTCCGAGCGCTCCTTTGTACGTTCTAGGACCTAAGTTTTCGCAAGACACTATCGGAAGTTCGAGCTTTTGATATCGACCAAGAAGCTGGAGGAAGCTTGTTCATCTCCAACGATTACTTTGCAGGTTTGAAATGAATCTTCCGATAGAGAATCCGCATCGTGCACGGCGGCGAAGGTGAGGGCGGGTCGCAGTTTGGCAGCGCAAAGCCACGACATTAGATTCACCATTGACAAGGATAACCGAAACTTCTATCTTGCGGATGAGATAGCCTATGTTCTTTTCGCAAGTCTAAATTCCAGAACAAGTATCTTGGAAGTACGCGAGCCCAGCTGTTTGTTTATAAGGCCGCTGTTTGACACCACGGAAGTGAGCGCGACTCAATATTTTGCAAAATCTCGGAGTTCCAGTTGAGATCGCTGGGATCTGCGAATAAAACGTGCAGATGTAAATACTTCAGGAATATGCAAATCGAACCAGAGACTTACCATGACTTACTGTGGGTGGTGGAATACCACGTACTAACTAAGATGACGACGCTGTAAACACTTTCCGGGAGGCAAGAGGAATAGCTTTTTGTTAGTCCGGGCGAATAGCATACTGGAATAATAGCAAAACAAAACTTGTCACGTATCGAACAAGTTGGATCGATCTTTTGAATGATGATAACATAGCAGTGAAGATATTGCAAGAATGAATACAATGGAAGATTACCAACACCACCATCACAGATACACCGAGGACGGTAAGGAAGCAGTCGATACGACACGGCACTGACAAGTCCATAAAGCACGTCACACCACTCGTCCGTGCTCAGACCAGCTGCCTCAACGATTTTTTCCCCACTATTCGTACAATAAACTGCTTTAGTCTAAGCCAGCCGTCTTATCCGCCTCATCAAAGTTTTCCACCAAATCGGGGACATCGTCGTCGTCGTCTTCTGCGGCAGGGTTTGTTGTTCGTTGGCCTTGCTGTATGGCCTGATAGGACTCCGCGAGTTTGCGTAGGGAGGCAAGGGAATCTGGACCGAGTTGGTTCAAGATTCCAGGAACGAGCTCGGTGAGCTCCTTCGATTGACCGGTACCGTAGATAGCAAAAGTATTCGCTGAAACGGCAGCATGCACTGGTGGTGAAAAACACAAATCAGATATAATCTGAAGTTCAAGGAAGGAATTTGACGCGCCTTTCGGAGCCTGGAAGTGAAGAACGGTTCCATCTTCTTTGAACATGTTGACTTCCTCAACACCGGCGATGGGCTGGACGTTCAATTTTTTGAGTGCGCCTTGCAGTTTTTTGTCATCCTGTGCCCCTGAGGGCTTTGTTTTCCGGACAACTTTTCGTCGCACAGTTCCCTTTCCACCTACGAAACAAAAACAAAAGCACACGTAAGTATCGAAATTTTCGAGCAAAGAATTCAGCACACCCAGCCGGTTGGCCGCTGCCTGCGCCTGCAACTTTGCTAATTTAACGGGATCCATTATAGACTAGGTTGTCCGCTGTCGCTTGGAGGGTGAAAAAAGTCGAGTACGCTGAACCATAAACACCTTCAAACAAAGTGACATGTTAGATAATCAGGCCGACTCGGCGTGCACCCTTCGTTCAGTCGTACACTGACACTGCAGTCTGCTGCCAGTACCGTACAGTAATGTCAGGTTTTCTCATACGACCTGCGACGCCAGAGGATGCGGTGCAGCCAAGTGCTCTGTTATTAGTGAACGTGACAGCTAACGTCTCTTGGTAGGACAATATCCTTCAACTCATTGTCGATCTGGTAGGTTGCCGGAAAGAGATCTATCAGGATCTACATTAATCGTCGTCTGCAGGCTGTATACGAGAAAGCGCCAGACGCAGTGAAGGCAACCCCAGACCTTGTGAGTTTGAGTTGTACCGCACTTATTGAACATCCTCTCATCCTCGCGCGACCTCGTCAATTCCGAAGCTTCGCCAAAATTTATTTGAAAAGCAGTACGCGCACGCGTTGCTTGCTATGAACGGGGACAAACCTGTCGGACTAGCTCTGTACTTTTTCAATTACTCAACTTGGACCGGCAGACCAGGACTGTATCTGGAAGACCTTTATGTTGCTCCTGAATACAGAAAACTAGGCCTCGGAAAAGCATTCTTTGGCGAATTGGGAAAAATTGCGAAAGAAACGGTGAAAGAATTCCCCTTTTCGTTAACCGTTTTAACTTGGTTTCTAAAAACTTTGGCGTTGCATCCGCGTGTTTGAACAGAACTGTGCGCGTATGGACTGGTCCGTCCTCAAGGTACGTTATATTGCTAACAAAGATAAACGAGCTAAATTATGCTTTCACTCTATTCCATTCTCAAACGTGTCTTCGCGACGCTTACATGCTTATAGTGGAACCAGCCCTCGATCGACTTTTATGAAAAGAAACTTGGTGCAAAACCTATGTCCGAATGGCTGGGCATGAGGCTCGAGGAAGATGGGATCGACGGTTTGCAGAGTCTTGTGCTAGAAGCGGGCCCTTCGGGGTCCACTGCCTAAGTCAACGCGAATAATTGATAGTATGTAGAGGCGCACTAGTGCTGACAGCCAGCTCGCAATTACCTCTTTATCTGATCTACAGGGAAGCCCTGGTTAAAAACTTTAAAAAGGTATGTTTTGGTTCCATTCCATTGCAAAATTGAAAGCGGGTAGTCCAGCACCAGAACACCCACAGGAATAAAGTTATACACCATCGTAGCTGGCGCCGCCAGCCTGAAAATAGTAGATGAATCACCGATGATAAGAAAGGTCAATAATAGACTGCTCTGATCTAAAACTGGAAAGGAAATTCCGCACCTTCCGTAGCCGCAAGATGATAGGATCCTCATTTATATCGTCTTTCTCTTGCGCCGCAACCTCAAACGAGTACACCCGCAGTACAGCCTTGACATCAGCAGCATGAACAGAAATCTGAGGTGCGGCAGAAATGAGTGAGACGCTAGTGGATCCAGTTTGGAACGCGATACGGAGAGAATTTGTGTAAGGCAAGCGAATGGATAGGTACCTTGGCTTTCCTCATGAGTTTGCATCGAGGGCCTATCCATACCTGGCGATCAAGAGTATTAGAATATGAAGAGAGAGAGGCGAAAATGGCGGACGACGCACGATTAACACGAACTTCTCTCGAATAGATTCCTATACATAGATTTTTGGAAATTCATGATTGCTCGCGAATTATGAATAGTCCTTCAGTTACCTTATCATTGGAATACTGAACGCGCACGTATGCATATGAAGCTCTGGAGTCATCAAGAACTTCTCGCAGCTCGGCGAGACCCCCGGTCCCAGTCTGCGTCAACTTTAGTGTATCCGACCGGTCTGACTGTAAGTTCAGAGCGATTATTATTGTAGTTCATATGGGGTGTAAGCGCAATGTTCAGTACCTCATAATCAATTAAGAGCCAGTTAGTGTCGGTCTTGTCCGAGCGGACATCCTGGTACGCTGGTAGATTTATCTTTGAGCTCAGAAGCCAATGAAGGAAAGTGCGAGTTTTTCGTAAAAGTACCTTCGGTAATCTGGGGATCCGAGAGTTCAGCCATTAGAGACGAATGGAATGGTAGGACGAGAGAGAAAGTTGCTGGCAAGTTCAATTGCCGCTAGGATGACATAAGGAAGAATCCTTTTCTCAGAGTCAGTGTCACTGTGGTGACTATCAAACTTGTTCTTTCGCGTCAATGTCTACCTGCTTGCTCGCCGCCTTCCCGAAATTCACGCCATGTAGCGAGAGGTTATTATATCTTCCCCGGTTATACAGCACAAACGCGTCTGCAGAATTCAGACAGCGGCGCTCTTCTGGTCCATCCACCCAATCCATCTTCGACGATGATTCACCAGTCGATTTGTCAGAAGATGATAATGCTGTAAACGGATCCTGGAGCTCATCTACTATCCCATACTACCGCCAGAAACCGCCAAAAGAGCCTACACCAGATGCATACAAAATACATCGAAAAGTCATACGCGAGGAGTTTCCTGACGGATGGAATCCTCCTCGGAAATTGTCTCGAGAAGCCATGGAGGGTCTCCGGCAACTGTATCACCTCGACAAAACCAAATTTACTACCCCGGTGCTCGCTGAGAAATTCAAGATCAGTCCAGAGGCAGTACGGCGGATTCTGAAGAGTAGATGGGAACAGCCGAAGGAGAAACGGGCCAAAGAGGCGGAGAAGAACAGGCAACACATGCTCCTCAATCGACTGAGAGATAAGTTGCGGGAGAGGAAAGAAGTGGAGGAGATTCTACAAGCCAAACGCGGCCGGACCTGGGGAGTAGACAACAAGGACAAGCTAACGTTCGAATAAAACCCCGTTGGCCTTGTCAACGTATTTTTGCAGCTGTGTTTCTTACGTTCACACACTCCCCATGACAAGTCGACTGCTAGATGCATCACTCTTCTTGATCTTAGAACTGTTATCGTAATTTCGTTTTGGCCCACTATGTAGCTACGATGTGTTATCTACATAAGTATTCTAATTCGTAAAGCCAGGCATAAATAATATATATATCCCTCCATAATCACTCCAAATGTCTTCCTGCAGATGTATATCCCCGTTCCTATAATTATATGTACATAAAAATACTAATAGATAAAACAAGTTAGCATGCGGTGGTACCGCGAAATGTTGTTCCCTTCTTCTGGTCACAAGGGAGTACGGAGCAATAAAGCGCGAAAAACGAACTGAAGGCGAAATGGTCGGAGGAGCATAGATAAAATTATAGACAATTGGAGTTGTGGGTGGACACCGGAGCCGCATTATAGCACAGCGCCTGATCGTTCGTACCTCACTCTAAACGAGCCTTGAGGTGGCCGACAGAGGAGAATGTCATTCCAATTAGGAAGAGGGGGTTCCCGAGCGACTTTTCCAGAACCGTCAACAATGCAATGCCGGAAACCCAGAAGGAATAGCGCAGTGACGATCTTGAGTTCTACTCTCGCCAAGCGTTGCCCGAGGCAAGTGGTCTTCCCTAAGGATATATGAAAGAAGTATCAGTTACAACGTCAGACCCGGGATGATATGAACAGAACAAACCTCCTCCCCAACCTACGTAGTTATACGCAGACTTCGTCTCCGGTTGCCTGTTTGGGTCGAACTTCCAAGGATCATGATAGATATCGGGGTTTAGATGGACGTCGCTGAAGGGATACACGACATAGGAGCCAGATGGAATGAGTTTGCCATCGATATGCATTTCGGGACCGAGATTTCGACGCATAGCAGTATGGGGTTGAGCGATTCGAAGGGTCTCACGAATGATGGAATCGAGGACAGGAGTCTCGTTTTCCCAGGTCTCAAGGGGAATCGCGGCCATCTGCGAGGACAAGGAGTCGATTGTAGAGTTTTGGAATAAATGTTGCGAAGCCAGAAGACCTTCCACTTCCGCTTTAGCTTTGTCACGCCACTCAGAATGCCCTCCCAAAAATGTGAGCATCCAGCAGGCTGAAAAGGAGATAGATTTAAAAAGGAGCAAGGCGGATAGAAAGGCTTCACTGACCCGTGGTACCCGTGGCTCTAGCACCAGCAATTAAGAGACCCATTATGAACTGCAGATAAGTAGACTAAGTTTCAATTACCGGTTCGAAGGAGTAAAGATTAAGGTACTAACCCCGACAACAACCAACTTCTCGTCACCAGAATCTAAAAGCATCTGAAGTGTATCGTTCTTCGAGACTCCGCTTTGTTCTCGAGCGGTGATGGCTGCGACAACGATATCATAGATCTCTTTTGTAGCCCACAGCTTCTTCACCATAGCAGGGGTCGGAAGCCAAGGAAGAAGAACGGTCGCTGGAGTCGTCCCAACATCGAGGGTATCGTAGAGCTTTTTCAAGCGCGAAACAAGGCAAGGGTCATCGGAAATTTCAGTACATGATAACGACCGCACAGTCAGTTGGAAAACAAGCTAAGTTACAACAGTAATCAGCAGCTGACTCGATGTGTTTAGAAGGAACAGACCTCGTAAATGTTATCAAAGGGGTCAAAACAACCAGAGTTTCCCCATGAATCCATCAACCTCCGAGAATCTTCCAACATCGGCCGTATGACTACGGAGATACCTTTAAGCGGAACAAACCGGTGTAGAATCTAAGGACCACTCACGCATACTGAGCTGCTCATTTTTCTGAACAGCAGCCAAACGTTTATGGATCAACGATATCCTCTTTGTTTGAAGATCGGAGGTCACTCCTCGAACCATGGGAATCTGTGGTAAAAGACCGGTCAGGGCATGTTCTAACATTTAGCTATTGCACTACGTACTGCGCCGGAAAGAATTTTAAACCCCTCAGTGAGGTCGAGTCCCTTCGCAGTGAAGAACGCCTGTCTAGCAGACTCCCCGGACACGACAACGACTTTGTTCTGGGAGAGACAAAACCGATAAATTAGTAAACGCACACATGTAGTCCCGGAGGATAAGCAAGAGTTTACTGACTCGTAAAAGATCGAATTGAAACGCTGACTGCCCCGTTGCTTGAAATCCCCAGTTCAAAAAGTCGAAGCGACGGCGAAAGAACGGAATGATAGTAAAGAAAGAATAGATGGGTAGACGCGCAGGCGCGTCAGCTACATCCTTTTGTAAAGACGAAGTGATGGAGATTATAACAAGAAGGACTATAATAGCCGTTGTAAATAGAACAGGAAGACCTGCAGAGAGGAGAGCGGCGCCTGCAGCCTGAAGACCGACTGAGTAAGGCATGATGTTGGCAGTATAAGGAGCGTTTGAGCAAGAGAGAGGAAATGACAGAAATCGACAATGCTATCAAACAAGGCATTGTCATTTTATACCATGCCTAAAGAATGCATGGAGCATAGGATTCGGACGAATCGGAAAATCCACGAGAACCTACGCTTTTGTGGCAAAGATCGCAAAATTTTGTGAAGTGCGGGAATCACACCAAACGAAGCAACACACCTTCTTCAGCCAGAGCGGATCTGGCAAACTGCTGAGCAGAATCTGGTTGCTGTAAAGCAAGACGTCAAACAAGTACACCTGCTCAGTCGGGTCCGAAATGAATTGGAATGAATTACATGGCCTAGTTGCCGTGGACCTCAGGGCTTCCATACACGTGTAGACTGGTTCACTTCTTCCATTCCTTCATTGAGTCACCTATGATCGAAAACTTCCATGGCCAAGTGCTGTACGTTTATGATCTCATTTCTAGGATGAGGCTGAGGTGATTGAGTGTCGAGAATGAAAGAGTCGGTACTCCGCGCTAATATTTGGCTTGTAGAACTGGCGCGCATACGTCGTATTTCGCCAAACACTTCAAATGTTGTGGGAGCAATCCGGAAATTTCCTTGCTCGTGGACGCAAGAAGAGCGGTCACTATGTATGCTTCACAACTTGTATTCGAAGGATGGGAAATTGCAAGTCGTAAAGTTTTACGGGCCCGAGTCGCGCACACATTACCCAAAAAAATCCGCGTCGATCCTCGCTTTTGATATATATGTAGAAGTTGGGAATCAAGAAAGAAAGAATCTAGAATTCATTTACGATCGAAGCTACAAACACATTATTAGCTATTAGGCATTGTAGGGAGTATGCACCGTACCAGCCTCGTCATTCACAACTCACAGTAGGATCTGGTATATGCGTAATCCAGTGCAAATATGATCGACTTATAATGCGCCAATGCAGCAAAAACTACGAAAAAATGGAAAATTTGATGTGAAGCGCAAAAGTAATCGAAAGTTCCAGGGGAGAATCTCTCTGGAATACGATTGGCACTAGAACAGAGGAGAATATCAGCCACTACAGCCTCAGTCTGAATCACACATACTAGAGCAAAGCTCCTACGACGTAAAAACAGCCGGATATTGCAAGATAGTGAAGACCCATATCAAGCATCGTTCGAAAGCCGTGTTCTATTAGCCAGTGAGACATAGGAAAGACTGCGCAAAGACCTAGAGCGATGAAAACGCTCGTGCGAGCACCACGATGAGTGGGCTTTGCATATTCAGGATTTAGAACAATGTACGCAGCACCTGCTTTCAAGGTCAGAATCCTAAGTCTCGGCATTTTTAGGCAGAGTATACCTATTCCCACCAATGTTATTGCAGTGATGTAGAGGGCCTGGAATTGAGGTTCACAGAAAAACCCGTAGTAAATGCACGGATAGAATGACCCCACTGTAAGCACGACAATTCCGGAGTAGTCGAGAGCATGGCAGTGAGTCGCTATCTGTTGAATGAAAGTATCCACGGAGATCAAAGGAGGGCAATTAAAACACACATGAGTACGTACCTTTTCGGAATGACACGTCGAGACATGAAAAAACGCGCTTGCACAAAGGCAAAATGTTGCTGAAACCAAAAAAACCGAAATAACGACAGAATCAATCCAAGCGATAGGATAATGAACCAAGTGCGTCGAGTGTGCAGTGGTCAAGAAATATAGAAAAAGGGCTCCACCCCAAAGGTGGCTATGTATGTTCACTGAGGCATCTCTAAAACGGAGTGGAATGTCAGGTGGTTTGGATTACTCACCGGATTCATTATGCAAGTCTAGACGGTGTAACGTTCGTCGTTAGGAAGTTCTACTTCGCGCGCGCAGACCAGGACTGTGACATCGTACATGAATAAACAGACTTGAAACAACCTTTCCAGTGTTGCTGTTCCCTGGCAATGATCAGCTCCTTATAGGTATGAGAGGGATAGCATCAACCTTCGATAACCAGAAATGATATATTCATTATCTTTCATCCACTCTGGCAGTTCTGACCACGTCAGCAGAGGAGTTTCAATAACTCCTGCTCCTCCAACTGTAGTTTCCCATTTTTGTTCATTTTGCAGAGTTCTGATTTTACGTCGAAGTGACATGGTTGAACGGTTAAGGCCAAGGGCTGAGCTCACGTAATAATCTCAGGTTATCTTCGGGCGCTCCCTGAATTTAAGCGCGTCGCGCGTCATTAGGCCCCCAGAATCTCCTGCAGAACCTCACCCGAAATAGCGTCATTTTGGGCCCGATTTTGACGATTTCCTGGTCCTAAAATAGCGTCATTTTCAGTCAAAATCCTTAGTCCTTGTCCGTTTATAGCGTCATTTGAGTCGGCAGGAGTCGGCGCACCAGCACCAAACCAAAAAAATTTTAGAGCACCGGAAAAAAATGGAAAAAGAACACCAACATTTGAATTTTGAAGAAAATTTTGGAAAAGTTTTCGATTTCACGTGACGATCCTGGTCCGAAATAGCGTCAATCATGGCAAAATGATAGCGTCAATTAGGGCGTCAGGCCGGGTGGGGTTCTGCAGGAGATTCTGGGGGCCTGCGTCATTTGAAACAGTGTGCCTGGGTCCTGCCGGTCTCCCCCACAGTGCCTTCAGCGGGCAATACTTGTTAGGCGCACGAGGGTATCCTGGCTCTCAAGCTAGCAGTATTACCCACCCGACGAGAAGGCAAGGTTGCCATCCGCGTCCCACAGATCTTACGCAGCTCTGCTAAGTAGATCTAGTCTTCTTCCTCATTCATATTGCCAGTACTGCAAGATCTTCGTTTTTTACTATTTGCTACCGACTCAGGCCGAGTAACGAGCAACCTGTCTTTGCTTTAGACATACTTTCTGCCCGGTAACTACACCCGGCCCACACCCAGGTTTGAAATTTATCACAGGCATCCTCAACAGGGGCCCAGCTACATATGTATGTGCGTATTGACAAATCAATGGAGGGGAAGCACTCGGTCATGCAGCTTATCGAAAGCCTCACAGAGCCTGCTACGAGCAAGGTTTCAATCTTCAACATTCCGGTTCACCCATTGAACTACTAGACATGCATCGCGATGATGTAGTGCGATGAAACACCCAGGGAGGCCCTGTAAATAAAGTTCCAAGAGGATACGGTGTGTTGGAAGTATTGGATCTGCGACGCCTTTGATCAGGAAAACCTATGTTCTGTATTTAGTGTGAGCATTCTGCATGCGAAAAACATCGGCAAAAGGCTAGCTCATATTTTTGCATGAATCGCTACATGCTGGGTTCGCACTGCAGGGTGTCACCATTCAACACAATTGCTCTCGAGAAACTGACCCGAGGGTACCACTTCAAGATCGTCACTCGCTAACAACTCAACCTGGCCGAGGTCAAGGAGCAACCTCAAACATAATCTGTACACATGTTAATTGAAGGCAAAAATAGATGTAGAAATGCAAAACCCACTTTAACACAAAGCACGTCTCGTACCCTAGAACCTAAGTACTTCCCGCGGCCGCAATGCCAGCCTCCAGGGCAATTCTCTCAGTTCTGTCACTAATTTCATTATGCAAACATCACTGTCGAAAAAACAATCGCCAGACGCATTCTAGAAATGGCGAGAGACTTTAAAGGCTGTTTCCTGGAAGGCTTGATGAACGAGAATTGTGAGAATCAGATTTCGAGAGGTAAAAGAGTTTCAAATTCTGAACACCGCGGGGCGTTTCAAAGAAAACACTTTCGCGCCACCGGTATTGGATACAACTTTCCGGATAAAATAAGATTGCAATAGCAACCGAAGGAAACCATTCTAGTGACAGCTTCCGCTCCTATACTATAGCGACATATATATCTATTCAAAACTCTGGATCAGCGAGTCTCATCATAATCATGCACATGCGCAGACCAGGTGTTGTACAGCAGTCCTGCTATGGCCTCGAACCTGTAGCCATGCAATGTCCATCACCACATCCACAAAATAGACATATTACAGTATGTATGTGTCTAAAAGGCGTTGTTGTCTTTCAAATACATCTAGTCATGATATTCCTCAGACGACGCGGGAATAATAAGCTGGCCGTGGTCGTCGTGTGTTGAATCCCATTGAGCAAGCGCGTGAAGCGGTACTCTGACGGTTCGAAGAGCCTGAGCTCCATCGGATAATTTGTCCACAACCAGCCGTATGCGATACTGACCGCGCTTCGGTAAGTACTTGAACCACACCCAGTACAAGAAAGCGGCCAGCAGGATTCTGGTGAAGAAAGGGTTAACTCACAATATATGGATGACTAACGCCACTTACATGAATACACCGACGATGCAGTATGTCGCGTAGAAGAAACTTACGTCCCCTCCGTATATCCCACCTTCCGGAGGAACCCACGGCAGGACCATGATACCAACATTTACGGCTAACGCAAAAGCCGCGACGCTATCCCATACCTTGAATGCGCTAGATGGTGCGTGTGCTTTCTGACGGCGTGCTCTGATCTTATAAAGACCAAAAGTCAATAGTAGAGCCCAGACAGCAGTTGGATAGTACTGTAAGTCGACGACTATCAGTCCGTCAGTAACTAATGACAACAAGACGTGCTTAAAAGGTACTTACTGAAATTGAACGCATCCCCCGGGGGAGGTAGTATTATAACGACACAGGAAATGAACCATCTTAGTGCGTAAGCAGCTAGCGGAGTACCGAAGGGCTTGGTTGAGGCCCAGACACGAGGATAGGGTAGGAGACCTTGCCTATGAAGGTGTTCAGTAATATTGGACGGCGTGACGCCCCATTCACCTACCTGCCACATTCTCGAACGACTCGAGATGCTGAGATAGTAGAAGCAAACACACTCCCTAGACTGCTGAGGGCCACCAAGACCTGTAGCGCGACTACAGCTTCACGATTCGGAAATATAGCTTCGAAGAAGAGACTAGCAGTCAGTTCATGAGATTCTAGGATCAGCTCTTTGGGTACTAAGAAGGGGGTCGGTATGTGATTTCAGATTAGTCAAGATATGAATCACGCTTACCGGTGGCGAAGTAAGCGATATTTGCCATGAAATAAAGGATGAAGACAATGCCCAGCGATAGAGGCGCAAACTTCTTCAACGTCGGTATTGGGTTCTATCTTGAAGCGTAAAAATTTGAAAGATCGTTCTCCTGTCCTTTACTTACTTTGACTTCATTAGCTACACTGAAAGCATTCTGTTCAGGATTGAGAGAGTGTTACATTTTACAGACAAATTGATGTACCTCGTATCCGACATATGCAAATCTTATCTTGAGTAATGCATTGGCCAGACCGTTTAGATTCGTTGAGGTACCAGAAAAGGCGTTCCGAAAATTAGATCCCGGGTTTTCAACACGGCTAATTCCGCCGGCTAGGACGATAAGACCAAGAATGGCGATACTGAAAGATAGACAAGCAATCAATTATCGACAGATAGCACCAAGCGAAGCTGGCTTACAATACCAAAGTAGCGACTTTGATCATTCCAATCCAGTTACTGAAGCGAAGTGACCACTTCGTGTTAGCCATACAGACTGAGTAGTTCATGAGAGACTCGTATGGGAAATGTAGATGGTGTTCTCACCAAGGGTGACAAACGTGGACATTCCGACCGCCAAACCCCGAACATTCCAGGTGGATGTTTCCTGTCCCAAAGCAGCAAAGATATACTCAGCGAACACTGGACGATCGACCTGATCAGAATGGGAAGGACATAATAAATAACGGCTCACCAATCGCACTGCTGCTTGATATTGACAAAAACACGAAAGTGAATGTATATAATGCGGGAACGAAGAGTCTTGGTCGCGGATAGGCCTATTTGAGATGGTAAGTTCATGGATGTTACAAAAATGTACGGCAAAGATACCTTCTCGAGGTACGCAATGTCAGCGCCAGAACGCTTTGGATAATAAGATAGATATTCTAGATAGACGGCGAGAGATGCTGAATGGAAGGGCCGGACTCAGCATCAGTCAGTAGCTGAACAATGATATAATACGCACCAGCAGAAAATAAAAACCCGACCACCCAATATATTAAACTCAAGCCTACGCTTCCCACTCCTTTCAGGATCGTTCCCGCTACATATTAGGTCGAGTCTTTCAAACGCCTTTCGCAGGGAGGTTCAAATGACAGCACCCACGAGTTGTGAAGACTCCAATTCCAATCGTCCTGCTAACATTCTGAAATCATTCAGCGCAAGGTACGACAGGGAAAGACGAGACGAACTCACTAGAAAAATCACGCTGATCCAATCGACATGATATCCTAGAGGACTGACAGTCTCGATGGGTGCTCCGGTCTCTTCATCAGAGGGCGTGATGGAGGCTTCGTCCCCATCTAAACTTTGTGTGATTGTCTCTTCTGAACACACAGACTGTTTTGAGGGAGTATCGGTCATGAGTTGGGATGGATGAGTTACAGAGAATCTGCTGAGTGCCCTAAATACGAGGAATTTACGTCCATGGAGTTACGAACCGTCTTCCTTGTCGCGTGGACATTCTGACTTTGGCCGACGAAGCTCTATCTCCGTCACTGTCAAGAAAAGTTGTATAGAATCGTTCATAACGCACTCGAGGCCACTTAAATAAGGCAAGTTCAGATAAGTCGATCAGGTAGGCGACTTCAATCTTGCATAAACGTGCTTCCTCGGTCCGGATGGAATGGGGAAATGGAAAAAGCGCAAGTTTTGGACATCGTGAACGCTGCAGCGTCCTTTATATGTGGACTTCTGCAATCGCGGCGTCAGCCATGTCTTGGAAACAGAGATCCCGACAAGATCCTATACATTCTTCAGGGCGTTAAGATTACAATATATATGGGTCAGGTACCTGAATCCACACCAGAACTGAGAATTCAGATGCGGAGCCTTGAATTGCGCCATTCCCTCTCACATATACACATACGGAGCCCCAGATACAGACATGTACTGGTAGGTACTGGTCGCGCAGTAGTACATTACAGAGAGTAACCCGATGGATTCTGCTTAGGTTTCCTAGCATGCACGGTATTTCATGCCAGTTAACCTTTGAGAGGTTATAGTAGTTTATGAGGTCGGATGATTCGGGACGAGGAAGAACAAAGGTTAGCGAGCAAAGACAGGGAGAATGAACGCCCATGCTACAGACTACAGTAATCAAAATGCAGCTGCACGGACTTGCACGGAACTTTCATAGTTGAAAATGAACGGCGTAACAGATCAAGTCATGACAACAGTACCACATCGCTAAACATCGCTTTGACTGATTCTGACTGATTCTACATAGTAGATTGTACGCCGAGACTTTGAGAGAAGATGACATATTACAGATGACGGCGATGAGTACATAACACTCAATCATGAAATGAAAACTTTCCTCAGTTCCGTGAATGGACATGATATACCAGTCCTTGGGCAAGTTACTATCCCATTGTTCCTTGTGGCCATCTCTTCCATTGCCTATGACATACACCTGTCAGAATCGATTCTGGAATGCGATGAAGCTTCACAATAAATCGATGAACTTACCTCCCGCGAATAAACATAGCCGTTACTTGGAAATGCCATCGGCATATTATCCGCATCCATGATTTTCTTGGTAATATAGCACACTATGGTCGAATTCGCATGATAGCTGGAAGGAACCTCTTCCGCCAGCTTTCCTAGTCCCATACCCTGTATCCCAGACCCGGATCCTGTTTCACCGTCACAAACAGGACAATCAACGTTCTTTGTGGAATGGTCGTAACATGCCGGCAGCTTTAAGGATGCCAGCCCGGCGTAAAGAGCCAGATTAAGGAGAGGTTCAGAAGGAAGGGTGTTGAGCATGTAAATGGAACGGCGGAACAATTTGATTAGGGAAGTCCATCTTGAAGGGTCATACAGGCGCTGGGGGATGGAATCAACATTGAGGTATGGCTATAACAAGCAAGACTGAGAGCGGCGCCTGCTAACCATGTATGGGCGGCAAGTCGTCCCCGACGAGAACGCGAGCAAGCCAGACGCTTGTTGAATCTGAACGAGGTGTGTCTCCTGCCAAGATATGAGATGCTTTCGTTGATATAAAATCGCTTCCTGTTGCTTGTTTGATCGACAAAGTTCAATATACTCTTGCAGTCTGAGGTCGAATTCAAGGGTATTCTGCAATGAATGAAGATAAAGATGAGGGCCTGATTCCCATAGCTCACCTTGACTTTGCGTAGGGAGGCTTTATTTTCACTACACCAAGCGAGGGCTTCCGTGCAGCTGTGTTCTGAAAGTGCACTTTCAATACGTCGAATATCACTAAAGAGGTCAAGATCCACGAGAACCTAAACGGGGACAACATGATCAATGAAACGACAGTTGACTATTCTGGATAGATATGTACTTCAATGTCCTTTTCTCTAGCGATTTGCTTAGCTGTTTTCTCTTTTCCGTGGCGGAGACACCAGTCAACTAACCATCTATCCAGTCGTTTGTCGGCCCATTTGGAATATTCACTATCTGCTGTGCTATTGAGATTTTCAATTGTAGCCATATGCTGTAGACGTTCCCGTATAACATCTTGTGTTGGCTTTCCAGCAGACTCATGAAGATCCGAGAGCTAAAGAATGACATTCCATATACTGATTAGACCAAGGCAAAAGACCCGAGACAGACCTTGCGTTTAAGAGTCTCTGCTCTGCCAATCATGCCGTCAACGGCGGAGGCTATATCCTCCTTCTTAGCGGTTCCAGTTTTGAGAGTACTCGATACATCGTCCACTGCAGATTGAATCGCCCCGTATTCACGCTCAATATTTTTCTGCGAAGATCGGAAAACTTTTCGATAATTCTCGTAAGGTACCTATAGAGCAGGCTAAGCTTGAGTGGAAGGTAATACGATTCTAGATCATTGAAGCACTCACTCGTGCAAAAGATTGCTCAAACAGGAACGCCCCTTCAACATCGACTTTACTAGTCATTGCGCGACTTGAAGGATATGTTCTCGATTCGATTGAGTAAAGACCAGCACAGCGAGATTACACGGTAACGTCTAGATGGTGGTTAGAAAAGCTCTTGTGGGCGCTTACTAACCGTGGTGCGTCATGCCGCGTGCATGGGCTGCTACATCACAATGACATTGAAAGACATTGACCGGGCATCTCGTTATTGTCGCGCGTACATATCTATTTCAGCGAGAAGACTTGTAGTCTTGCCCACATCGAACTTGGAATCCAACCAATATATTGATCTAAGAATCATTGCAGACTGTAATCAGCATCAATGAAACCGAAGAAGTGATTTCAAGCAATTATTCATTTCTAAAATTCACAAATAATCGTGATATCCTGAACCAGTTGTGACTATAGCTTCCATATCACATTGACCATGGCTATATCACAAAGTCCATTGTCTACCGCCAGAACCATCCCGGTCCATCCCGCCTTGTACCATATACGGCAATTTTATATTGCTTTATGTCAAAGGAAAACGCGAAACGTGACATTTGTGGCTAGGGGAGAGCATCATTGTCCCTCCAGAGTGCGTGCGCGTATAAAAATGGTCAACCAGATCTAAATGAGCTATCATCGACTTATCCTCGATTTCCCTCGATTTCTCCACTCTCACTTATCGCTTGACTCGAGAATCTGTGATTCGCAACTAAGAATCATTTTATCCATTCTTTTACACCACACCTTCATTGAAACACACCTGCTACATCCTGTTGATCCCAATGATGATCACACCGCGAACAGGGAACCCTTCGAAGCCTTCTAGTCACCGTCGCGATGGTGGCAACCACACCACTTCCATAAGGCGCGATCACAACGCCGATACACGTCCACAGTCCGACGTTGTGGTATCAACCCTCTACGTGTCACACCACTTGACGTTCTCGCAACTCTGCCTCCAAGGGGATGGGGAGTCGATCCTGTTCGAGCCGGCATATCCTATCTTTGCGCCGTCTATAATACCAACTCAACAAAATCTCCGCCGCTCCATCGAGGCTGGTGGTCGAGGTTCAGTGGTGCGAGTCGTCGGTTCTCAGCTCGTCACCGTATTGAGGGATGATCGAAAGACGATTAGACGAAGCACACTTTCGGCAATCACTCAAAAGTTTGCCGAAAAGAGGAGCGCTTGGTTGGACGATGTGGATATCAATGCTGAGGACGAAGGCGGCGAAGATCTTGCGAAGCAAAGAGAGCACCGAGCTAAAGCCGAGAAGGTGCTTGCTCTATTGCAACTAGAGCAGGAAGCGCTGGAAAGGGAAGAACTGGAGGAGGGAGCACAGTACGAGCGATGTTCGCCCATGCCGAGAGAAGATGCTAGACTAGATGATGCAGAGAGCGCTCGGAGAGAGCGCGTAAAAGCTAAAATCCGTCTCGAGCTAGACAACCTAGCAGCAGCTGAAAACTACGACGAAAGCTCCGAAGGAGAGCAGGAAGATGGATGGCAGTTTGATCAAGAGTCAATCACCTCCTCAAGATGGGCTTGGGATGGAATCTCGAACCAGGGTCATTGTTATCGTGAGGAGATGAGAATCTTGGTGTCCAAGTTCAAGGAAGCAGACGCAGAGGTATGGAGACAGATCATCCGTCGCCATAAGCACAACAGCTGGTCCAGCGCTTCTTCCGACACCGTGATTGATGATTCAGACCAAGGCCAGCAGCCTTTCGCTGCGCTCACAAATAGTCAGCTAAGGGGTGGAGCATACGAGATCCTTCGCCTTCAGGCAAAACGCCAACACCAGTTGAAAGAGTGTATAGGAATGCAAAATCAATGGAGATGCGCGGGCTCATATATGTTTGACGCTGTGACCAACGAAAATTGGCAGGAGAGTAGGGGATATACAGAGACGTGGATTTGATAGCGTTGTCGATATTGGTGGTGTCTATGACTGTTCTTCGTATCTTGGTGAAATAATGATAGAACCTGTATGATAGAATGTAACCTCGATTCCCTGTAACCTTGCTTCTTGATAACTCGAAAATCTCGGAAATGCAGTTTTCTGTTGTGATGGAAGAGAAGAAGAGGGTTTGCCGTTGCACCGGCACCACTCACAACCAATCAGACAAATCGGATTCACCACGATTTTTCGTCGTTCATAAACTATTTTTCCTAAATAACGTATCCCTGAAACCACTGGACCTCTCAATCAAGGTGCTTACTTCGCCGAGTCTGTAATCTGCTGTCTGTATCTTGCTCCTCCAACAATGTCCGACAAAATCACCCGTATCGCTATTGTCGATGCTAATCGGTGCAAACCGAAAAGGTGCGCCCAAGAATGTAAAAAGGTAAAGGAAAAGTTTTTCAAATACGTTGAAAACGTTCCTCAGAACTATTATAGTCATGTCCGGTGGTCAGAATGGGTTCGTTCCGATTGCTACTTCCAAGAAACAAACCTCATCGATTATGATCAACCAGGAAAATTGTGCATAGAGGTCAAACCAACTGACAAGATTGCATTCATCTCCGAAATTCTCTGTATTGGCTGTGGTATATGTGTAAAAAAGTATGTCTTGTTTATGCAATACATATAGCTAATGACAACGATTTTACAGGTGTCCATTTGAAGCAATCGCTATCATCAATCTACCAACAAATCTAGAATCCGAAGTAACACATCGATACACGGCCAACGCCTTCAAATTACATCGTCTGCCAACCCCGAGACCAGGCCAAGTTCTTGGTTTAGTAGGAACCAACGGTATCGGAAAAAGTACTGCGCTGAAAATTCTGGCTGGCAAGTTGAAACCAAATCTTGGACGCTACGACGTGCGTATGTTACCTGAATATCGCTCTGTACAAGGAACTCACTACCTTCCTCCAGGATCCTCCGGATTGGCAAGAAATTCTGAAATACTTTCGTGGATCGGAGCTACAAAACTACTTCACCAAAGTTCTTGAAGACAACCTCAAAGCGCTCATTAAACCCCAATATGTCGACCATATCCCGCGAGCGATAAAGGGTTCTATGACCGTCGACAAGATGCTCGATTCCAAGTTAGAGCTGGATAATAAGCAGCGGATGTGTGACGAACTAGAGCTGAATGAGGTACTTCAGCGCGAAGTTTCGCAGTTGTCGGGCGGCGAGCTGCAGAGATTTGCCATAGCAATGTCTTGCATACAGAAGGCCGACGTGTACGTTTTCTCCGATTGACATCAATATTTTTACTGATATATTCTCCCAGTTACATGTTCGACGAACCTTCCAGTTATCTTGATATCAAACAGCGTCTAAGGGCTGCCGAAGTCATACGATCTCTCCTCACCCCCGATTGTTATGTCGTTGCTGTTGAACATGATCTCTCAGTCCTTGACTACCTTTCCGATTTCGTTTGCTGTCTTTACGGCAAACCTTCAATGTACGGTGTAGTCACCATGCCCTCCTCTGTCCGAGAAGGTTAGTCTCCTTCTCTATGATGAGACTAACTTTTCTGACTCCTCGAGCTTAGGAATTAATATCTTCTTGGACGGTTTCATTCCTACCGAAAACTTGCGTTTCCGTCAGGAATCATTGTCTTTCAAGATGGTAGAGACCGCCGAAGAAATTATGGTCGATAAAACTCGACATTACACTTACCCTTCAATGACTAAAACCCTCGGATCCTTCAAACTCACTGTTGAAGCAGGTTCTTTCACCGACTCCGAAATCATTGTTATGTTGGGAGAGAACGGTACTGGAAAGACGACATTCGTCCGTCTCTTGGCTGGTGACACTCCTGATATCGAAACCGACAAACAGACGCTATCAGTATCCCTCAAACCCCAGACAATATCGCCCAAGTTCCCCGGTACCGTTCGGATGTTATTATTAAAACGGATTAAACAGGCTTTCATGCACCCTCAATTCCAAACTGATGTCTTGAAACCAATGAACTTGGAGGCTATCATGGACCAGGATGTGAAAACGTTGTCAGGAGGGGAGTTGCAAAGAGTGGCTATCGTTTTAGCATTGGGTATGTGTATCATGTCATAATTCTCTATGATACATGCTCACTCTCCTGAAGGAATGTCCAACGTCAGCGTGTATCTGCTTGACGAACCCAGCTCTTTCCTGGACTCTGAGCAACGTATCATTGCAAGCAAGGTCATTAAAAGGTGTGTCACAAGTGGACTTACTATATTTCATTTACAAATAAAACCTATAATCAATATAGATTCATCCTTCACGCTAAAAAGACTGCCTTCGTCATTGAACACGATTTCATCATGGCTACCTACCTTGCAGATCGTGTCATCGTCTTTGAGGGTGAACCTGCTATTAGAGCAACCGCCACCCCGTAAATAGCTTCTTTTCATGTTCCGGTTCTCTACGATTGACTGATCTTTACAGACCACAATCGCTACTCACAGGAATGAACCGCTTCTTAGCCTCGTTAGAAATCACTTTCCGACGTGATCCAACGAACTTCCGACCACGGGTTAACAAGTTGAACAGTATCAAAGACCGAGAGCAGAAGGGTACATATGAAACCTGCTATCATCGTATATCCCTCGAAGTTGACTTCTTTTTCTTTTCAGCTGCGGGCAACTACTTCTTCCTCGAGGATTAAACTGAGCTTTCACACGCAGGGAGACACAGTCGGTCTCTCTATTGCTTGTCTTGTCGCGTGCTTTGAGACAACGTCACCATACAGACAGTTGAGTCAATCGTAGTAATGCCAGTGTCGCATAATAGCGGCTATTATTGGTCGTCGTTCTTTGATTTGACGGAATCGGACGCGTCCGTAGATGAATGAAATGAAACCTATTCGACTATCCGAGTCCGTTTCCGTTTCAGTTCTCAGGTTATCCTTGCTTTTCGTTCTGCGAAATTCTCCTGAATAGTTGACCGTGCTGTTCGGGTGGACGCGATGTCTAGACCAGGTTGCAGATGCGCATCCACGGTATACTGAATATAATATGGTAACCTCTTGCGTTGTCAATTCAACTCGTCCTCTAATAATTTATCGTTCGAGCCGTTGAGCTCGTACATCTACTTTCCCGATTTGTTCCGCTTTTCCTTCTAGACTTTCTTGCTCTTTCTTGCCACTTTGGTGCAGCATTGACTCGCCAAGCATATATATAAACTTCATGACCCTAATTCCCAGTATCTTACTTTGATTCTATATGTTTTCGCAAGATTACTTGAGCTCTGTTTCGGGTGGGATTGCAATTGCTGTTACCGGGATAGCGGCAGTTTCCCTTGCTTCCAGCATGATTTTGAGGAGGAGTCGACATTATCCCCCTGGACCTCCTCAACTTCCTATAGTGGGGAATTGGTTTGATCTACCCAGCACGGAGCCCTGGGTAAAGTTTGCTGATTGGAGTGAGCATTACCGTAAGTGCAGTCACACGATATATGTGTCTACATTCTACATGATTGCCATTCTGTACACTCAGAAAGCGATCTCATTCATTTGAATGTTTTTGGGACTCATATCCTCGTCGTCAACTCTGCAGAGGTTGCCAAGGCCTTGTTCGAAGGAAAATCCGCTCTATACGGTGATAGGTTGGTTTATATATTCACTTGGTCCAGCGAAAATTCTGATTGCTTCCAAAAATTGCTCGCTAGACCTCGAATGACGATGCTGAACGAGTTGTATGTAGAGTCTTTGCTCCTCTTGAGATGATTGTCTTATATCATAAGGGTTGGCCTATCATGGCTTCTGGGCTTCATTCCCCAAGGCGATACATGGAAAACACATCGGAAGATTCTTGCAAATAACTTCAACCCGGCTTCGGTGTCGCAGTTCAGACCTCACCAGCTCAAATGGAGGAATATCTTTTTGCAGAATTTACTCAAGACGCCGGATGAATTCTTCACACACATTCAACAGTGAGAAATCTTAACATGCTATTTCAGTATATTTGTATCATTTTCTGACCTTTGTCGCAGCCTAGCTAGTGGTCTTTCATTGGACCTAGTATTTGGACTCGATGTCGCATCCTCCGGCGAACCGGATCCTTTCATACATGCAGCTAATGAAGTAGTCGACGGACTGGCAGCTACCGGAATCTTTGGAACATATTTAGTTGATTACCTGCCTTTCTGTAAGCAGCTCTGTTCTAACTGTAGTTGATAGAATCTCAATATCTTCGTTTGAAAGTGAAGCACCTTCCTTTTGGCCGATATCAGCATCAGGCAAAACACTGGAAAACTTTTGTTGATATTGCAATCACTGTACCCTTGGACATGGTCAAGGCTGACATGGTAGGTTTATCTCTGTTCCAGGTTATCAAAAAGTCGAAAATTTGTGGTGTTCATTCAGGCCACGGAAAGAGAAGTTCGACCGTCGATAGCCTCGAGGCTTGTTCAAGGCGGAGTTTTTGCGCAAGAAGATATACGCAAAACTACTTCTACAATGTTCGCTAATGGCTCGGCCGCTGTGAGTCAATCATGATCCTGCAGAGGCCCTTTGTCTTGATCACCCTTCGACTAGCTCGTCTCTGCTTTGAGGACCTTTATTCTAGCAATGTCCCTTCATCCAGAAATTCAACATAAAGCCCACAATGAAATCGATGTTGTGCTTCTCAACTCTGGGAAGGCTTTACCAGATTTTGACGACGAATTGTCTCTTCCTTATATATCAGCTATCGTAAAAGAAGTTCTTCGATGGAACCCAGTAGTCCCACTTGGTCAGTTCGAACTTGAATTGCTCTTGCTACATAGTATCTAATAATCTTTTACTTTGCCAGCATTTGCTCATAGATTGACTACTGATGATGTCTATAATGGTTACCATCTTCCTGCTGGTTCGGTTGTTTTGCCAAATGCCTGGTAAGTCAATTTGGAAGAAATGGTTTATGCTGTTAACGACGTAATATCCAGGGCTATGTTGTATGATGTGAAAACCTATGGAGACGATGTGTCTGCCTTTAGGCCGGAGCGTTTCCTCACAAAAGAAGGAGCTCTGAATCCTAATATGAAAAATCCTGATGTTGCATTTGGATTTGGAAGGAGAATATGCCCTGCTCGGAATTTTGCATTGTCTGAGCTTTTCATATTCATAGCCTCCACTCTTGCGATATTCGAGATAATCAGCGTAGAAGGGCTGAATGCCGGAGCGAAACCGCAATATACATCAGGACTTCTTCGGTGAGCAAGTGCATTTGACAGTACATAATTTGCAGAAATTGACTGGTTTTCGGAACAGATACCCTTATCCATTTCGCAGTATCATCAAACCTCGATCACCCAAGCACAAAGAAGTGATTGAAGGGCTTGCATCCTAATTGCTTTACGACATAACGGATAGGACACCATGGGACAATACTGTTTAGTAGAACCGCAGAAGAACCTCGCTCCGTACTAGAGATGTATCGTAGCAAGCAGATAATTTTCATGATATACAGGATTTCACCTACGACCCTCGACCATGATGATATGATAACCAAAGTTTGTCTTCACCAAAGGAGAAATGATGGGTTTGTCGACAGTAGATGGGGTGAGAGCAAAAGCAGCATCTTGGAAAGCACCCACCTTCGACGCAAGTATCAGGGTAACCAACGAATGTGCATAGAAAGAATTGCAGATCATAAATACATACCATACTGCCTCTTATCATCCATCCTAAGCTTCCGCCAGCTGATACGAAACATTATTGATCTAGCGATATAAGTTTGATCATGGAAACGTACCTTTGGCCTTATCCTCTGAATACTCCCCAGCTACCTTATTGAAAGATTGACCTTCCTACCATACAGATATTGCACTTTAGTGGAAATATTCATCTATAGCTAACGACTACCTGTATTTTCTGTAAAGCTTCAGTGGCCTTGGAGTGCTTCTCGCACAAGATGTGACGGACATTGACGGCGGTGGCGGCCTTTAAGCTACCCTTTCCCTACACTTCCACCATGATTTCAGAGCTAGAGCAATGACATCCTCGAAATCTGCACCTTCGAAGATTTCTCATCTCCTGCAGAACCGTTTCCTGATTTTCCCTTCATTTCGTCATTTTTCTTGTTGGCAGTTGCGCTAGATTTCTTGTTGGCCATTCTTTAATGTGCGCTGAAGGAGGTGTAGGTGTAGGTGTAGCTGAAAGGGAAGCGTCACACTTGTCACAATCGGTCACCCCTTACCGCGCCTAGTCAATAATTCATACTAGTATGACATGTTCCCGTACACCTAAATGTATAATATACTGTAATAATGATAACACCAGAATGCTCATTCAACCTCTTATCGACGGCGACAAATTTCCCTCTTATCGACGGTGACAAATTTCAAGTAAAGCCTCAAGTAAAGCCGGGATAAAAGGGTTGTGCAGCAGTGGCATTAGCGCCTGGAGTGGCTTTTGTACCTGCAGCAGTTGGTGGATGATTAGCAACTGCTATCGGGGGATATCCAGTCTGATAGGAGAAAGGATAGTGAATATATGGCCTCCCAGCATAGGCTGCTGCATTGGCTGCATATGTCGTCAAACCCGTCGCACCGGGAGTGGCGGAGGCTGGTGGAGGAGCAGGATATCCAAAGGTAGTTGCAGGATAAACCTGGCCAGCGTATAACGATGTCATCGGAACTGGAGATTGAGCTGGCGCGCCATAGGGCGAAACGCCAGAGGCATATCTTGAGAAGCCTGGATGTGTAAAGTATGCGCCCACGTCTGGAAAGGGTGGCGTACCGAAGGCAGGATAACTTGGATTTAGACCTGTCGTTGCATTTTTTGACCTAGCTTGCCGTTTTTCAGTGCCATTAGGATCAGGTATCTCATTTGGTGTCTTTTTCAGTGCGTTTTCGGCAATTTTACGGAATCCAAGCGGGACCTCGTGCGCCTGATAGTAATCGCTGCACTGAGTGATAGTCTTGCAAAATCAAAAAATGAGCATAGAAGATCCCAGTGAAACCAATCTTTTCACCTTGCTTCCCATCCCAGCTGCAAGTTTCAAAGGGTTGAAGCCATGCAGGCCGAGCAGCTCCAGAAATAATTCTGGCAAGACATAAACGAAGGCTATCCGGCAAAGATAGACCGACTCACCTTTTTCTGCTTCTGACCACTCACTGCTCACCCTTTGCCGCGCAATATAGGCAGGGTCAGAAACTTCATGATTGATGACTGGGGGAGGAGACGTCTCTTCGTCCGACACCATAGCGGCAGATTTGACTCTGCGTCCCCCACGCTTCGGCTTCTTAGCCGGTCGAGGTTCAGATTCGAGTTCGAGCTCAGGTTCGGTCTCAACTTCCTGCAAAGAAGCAAAATTCCCCATCAGGATCACATATGAAAAAGAGACGCGGGATTCAATTACTGGTACTTGAACCTCCTCCGATGGTTCCTTTTGGCTACCTCCAAGAGAGGCACGACTAGTAGGAACACGACGTCGTTTAGGTCGAGCCTCTGGTTCAGGTGTGGGTGTAGCGGTTGTTGGAGTGCCCTCCAGCTGGACGATCACCTTTCTGGAAGAGGTCTTTCGAAGCTCTGGAGGTAGTGTCGGTGCGAAAATAGCTGAGGGCTCTGTGCCCGCTGTAGCTGTGGCAGCTCGTCTTGGCCGTCCCCTTCCACTACGGCCGTTCGTCGAAGCCGAAGATGAAACTTCTGCGTCGTGTTTCCGAATGTCGGTGAGCAACGCATTCGCCTTCCGCTTCGCAGTACGCCTCCTGCCCCCTCTTCTACCCGGAGCATGCTTGGACACAATAATTTTGAAGTCAATGTCCATATTCTTGTGTAGATAATAAAAATCCACACATTGAGCGGTGGTCTTATTGGGCAGAAATCTAGATATTGCACCGAACTGTTTTGGAAAAATGGCGAATTTTTCTACAAAGACTTGTTTTTCCTCCTCGGTCCAATCATCTGTTTGTGGGGCATAGTAGGAAATGGGGTCATCAACACGCAAATTGTTGTCGTCGTACACATAGTCGACTTTGCATTTTATGACAGATATCATGTCGGGAATTACTGCAACATTCCTCAGACATAATTGATTCGGGTCAGTCGCCTCGTTAGACCCAATACTTGCGATTATTTGTTCCATTTCAAGATCAGAGCGGACAGCGTCCCCGAGAGTGGCAGCGGAGCGCCTCGTTGTCCGTCCAGTCAAAGGAGGAGCAGCCACGGTCGCTGATGTGACTCTGTTATCTGCGGCTCGTGCATCACTCCTAGCTTTGGCTTGTCGATCCAGTATCGCACAGTGTATCTTCCACTTATCATGCAAAGCTACGTATTCTTCACTCAGTCTCTGCACTTTGTTTTTCAGGGCGTCTTGCCTTTCTTGGAACTTTTCCGCCAAAGACTGCTGTAATTGATTATGAGTTTCCAGCCGAATTTTTACTTGGTCACCCTCTGGGTGGGTCTTCTCTGTCATGAGAGCATGTAAACTTGTCTTTTGAAGAGGATTCTCAAAATCGATTTCGATCAGAGCATGATTGCTAATCAAAACTGGCTCCACACGCTCCTTTCGAGTCTGTCGATCTGCGAGAAGACGTCGCATGATTGCAACGCGAACGGCATCACGTACAGTCGGTGCTTCCGATATATTTGGAATATCCCCAACCTTGTAATCGGGTATGTCGCGGGGACGAAAATGTACTTCGTCTTGTGGCGGTGGATTAGCGACTGGATCGCGAGGAGTTGTTATGACGGGATCGCGGGGAGTGACTACGACCGGAGAGTGAGGGGAGGTAGCAGCTGGATCGCTGGGAATCACGAGCGGAGAGGATGGAACTTCGGACGCAGACTGCTCTAAGGTAGGGGATTTGAATTGAGGAGAAGAATCCGATATCATTTCCTGAGATGGAAGTCTTGACCGAGCTGATGGGGATCTTGTCTTCGTCGCAGCTTCCGTTCGCAGTTCATCAATCATGGGATCGACAGAATCATTCTCCGGAGCAGTATCGGCGTTCATGTCTTCGCATATAGTCAAGTCAGTGATGAGATGATATAGATAGCAATCTACTCACCTTGACTTTCATCTACATTTGACTTGCGAAGTATGACATTCAAAAGCTCAGATGCAGAACCTAGTGAGTAACCTGCTGGAAGTTGGCTGGAAGGTAACGAGTTTGATCCATCAAAAGAGTCCACCGGATTGATGTCTGTTGGTGAACTGGAAGTTTTGCCATCATCTGGATGAGACGGTCGGAGCGCGGGAGGCCTAGCGGACGTCTCTCTGGAGGATGCAATGGAGGATCGAGAAGAAGAGCGTGACATAGATTTCTCTTTGCCGGAGGGAAAGGGTATAGCAGAGACGTCTCGGCGTGGGCCAGTTGGTATACGAGCGGGAGCTTTATTCGCAGAAGAACTACCCTGAAAGTGATAATGTCTTCCGAGAGAGTCAGCAATTGGTGCATCAGAATCATTGTTACGCTCAGGTAGTCTAGAGCGTGCTAGTGGAAGAGGAGGAGGAGGAGTGCGAGACCGGGAACGGGAACGAGAAAAGGAGCGCGACAAAGACCGAGAATGAGAACGAGATCTAGAACGATAATGGCGTCTTGGTGAACGAGGTTTTCGAGGATCATCGCCAGTGTAAGAGTTTGTGAATGATCTATACGCATCTGATACAGGTCCCGGACGCTCAGAGGAAGGATAACCTCTTGTATATGGCCTTTCTTGATTATAGGAAGGAATAGTGGCAGACCACGAAGGCTTTCCGATGTACTTATTGCGATCATGATCTCTCAGTGCTTCGACGGCAGGATACCGCTCCGGGGAATAATGACTATGAAATAATGTTGAAGAAGAAATGATGGCTTACAAAAAAACACGCACTATTCTTTGGAACCCTTGTATTCTCGATCTCGCATTCCATTGGAATATTTCCATGAATCTGAAGGTTCAAACGTCCTTGAGCTCGAGCTTCCATTTGATTCTCGTCTAGTATGATCTCTGGAAGCAGATCCTATGTTGGAGTCATAATACTCTCGTGGATGATACCAGGTAGTAGTTTTGTTATGGGTTATACCAACAGAGACGTCCCGGTATCGGTCATAAACTCCTGGGCTTGGAGCCCTGTAATAGTCACGATATGGATCTGAGTGCCGGTAGCTTGGATGGCGGGAATTATAGGTGTCATAAGTAGGTGAACGATTCATACGGCGAGGTTCAAGAGGAGGTGATGCTGGTCGGACTCTCTGGAAGTAATTTAGTGCTCCAACTAGAAAAATTGAGAAATTGAAACCAACTTCATAGTCATAAGGAGGTCGGCGGGGAAGATTGGCACTAGCAGGTATCGATGTTGGTCGCGAATCGTAATTACTGCCCATTACGAATTTGGATCACAAGTCTTAGAACAAAAAAGTAGACGAATGGGTCTGGCCAAACAGAAGGTTTGCGCGGAGGTTAGTGAGTCTTTATAGGGTAGTAGCGGAAGAGTTGAAAGGTAAATTGTAGTATACCTCGAAGTTGTTGAAGTTTTGTTGTGAGTGAAGCTTGAAGTGCGCCAGTCGGAGTTTATCGGAGTTGTCGGCAGCTGCGGCATTGAAGTCGGCATCAGGCTGCCGCGTAGGTACCATTGAGTACTGATTATTGCCTTGAAATAACTTGGGAGTGCTTCAGTATCAAAAGGCACTTTGGTGGCTGAAGACATTTCCAATGTCAATGCATTTGCGAAAGAGGTAACTCCGACGAAATGTACTGCAATTCTATGAACTATTTATTCAGAATCTATGTCGCTTCGACATCACTCCCTGGACCTGTACTTGTAAAGACAGATAACCAGCAGATAACCTGACTAGCACTTCCTCAGGCTCGCGCTGGGCCCGGGTATTTACGTTCCTGGGCGCAAACGTACAAAAAAGGTCCAAGGATTGACTCACTAAGAAGGTTCTGAAGCTACTGCCACTGGTGTCCACATCTACTTCACGTCATGCCTGCTATTTTCTCTCACCGCTTTGATACTCCCCTCTATACTGGCAACGTGTACGTCCAGACAGGACTGTTCATTAATGGCGCTTTTGTGGACGCATCGAGTCGCACGACTATCGAGTGAGTACTAAGATTATATAGTATTATATCCAGTTCTAATAGAGGGGAATCACTCATTACTTGTATCCAGCATATTCAATCCTTGTGCGTTTCACCAATCATTGTCGAACAATGTCTATATATGAACTTTCAATGCGCATCAGCTACGGGGAAAGTCATCACTCAAGTGTCAGAGGGAACTGCGAAGGATATCGATCTCGCTGTTGCAGCAGCTCGGAATGCATTCAACACGACTTGGGGCCTGAAGGTACCCGGCTCCGCTCGAGGACAACTTCTCTATAAGCTTGCTACCCTGATGGAAGAGTCTTTGGAGGAGCTTGCCGCAATCGAGGCACTCGATAATGGTATGTATGCGTATTTGTTCTTGTAAACTTACACTCAACCTTTTTAGGAACGGCGTTTGGAGTCGTGAAAGGATGGGTGGTCCCTTTCTCCATAGGACTGATCAAATACTATGCCGGCTGGGCAGATAAGATAAGTGGGCAGGTTATCGAGGTGAGTTTGTATCGAGCGAAAGCTTCCAAGAAAAGATCTTCTATTAACAAGCGACGTTAGACGGACGAAGGAAGACTCACTTATACCCGCCACGAACCTATAGGCGTAGTGGTGCGTTTATGCAGAGCCGCATTATCGGTTACTGAGCTTCACAATATGCATGTAGGGCCAAATAATTCCTTGTGCGCCTTTGTGGATCGTTACCAAAATGATCAGACTGATCTTGTTCTGAATATCAGGGAATGCACCCTGTAAGATGTTTTGACTTTCGAGGTTTTGTCAGGCTGACCAAATTTCCAGTGCTCATGTTCGCAATGAAGATAGCCCCTGGTAAAGTCACCGATTGTGCCTCATTGTCGATGAAACCCTTTACTTACTCGCTCATCCCAAAGCGTTGGCTGCAGGGAACACCGTTGTTATAAAGGTGCTCTGATGATGTTCATAATTGAAGAGTCTTGGCTGATACCGTTTCTTTAGCCATCTGAACTGACTCCATTGTCAGCTCTACGTGTTTGTTCACTGGTTCAGGAAGCAGGTTTTCCTCCAGGTGTACTGAACGTGGTTGTTGGGTATGGTAACACAGTGGGCTCGGCTCTCAGTTCCCATATGAACATTGACAAGATCTCGTTCACTGGAAGCACTTTGACTGGACGCAAGATTATGGAGGCAGCCTCAAAAAGCAACTTGAAGAACATAACGCTCGAACTAGGGGGGAAGAGCCCCAATATCATTTTTAATGACGCTGACGTGGATCAAGCTGTCAGCTGGGCTTGCCATGGAATATTGTAGGTTATTTCCATGCCTCACTCAAACGGTCACAAGAAAGCATGACACTTTCAAGCTTTGCCCAAGGCCAGATATGCTTCGCTGGTTCAAGAATATATGTTCAATCTGGAATATACGATGAATTTCTGGCCAAATTTACCATTCGCTCCAAGGCTCACAAAATCGGCGATCCTTTCGGTGTAGATTCTTACCAGGGGCCTCAAATCTCCTCTACACAGACCGAAGTTAGTATCATCTCGCAACTCATTATTGACTAGAGGGTTCATTAAGTCGCCTTCAGAGAGTGATGGGATATATCAAGTCTGGAGTGGACCAAGGTGCAAAAGTGCATCTGGGAGGACAGCGTCACGGAGATCAAGACGGCAACTTCATTACGCCTACAATCTTCACAGACACGAGACCCGACATGAAGATCGTTCAAGAGGAAATCTTTGGCCCGGTCAGCGTTGTGATTAAATTTGAGGACCAGGAGGGTATGTGTAAAATATTCGAAATTGTGAATTCTATCTCACACGAAAGTTGTGTCAGATGTTATACAGCAGGCAAATGATACCAGTACAGTGTTTTTACCTTTCTTTTTCGCAAAGTCAGCTTAAAGAATGTACCCAGTCTACGGCCTCGCTGCGGCAGTTTTTACCCAGGACATCAGTCAGGCCTTCGAAGTCGGACATGCGCTCAAGGCGGGTACCGTTTGGGTAAGTCCGTTGAAGACTGCCTATGACTTGTATTAACTCAGTTTTCCATAAAGGTAAATTGCTACAACGAGGTTCACGCCGCTGTTCCCTTTGGAGGTTTCAAACAATCGGGAATTGGTCGCGAATACGGTTCCTATGCTCTGGAGCAGTACGTTTATTTGGATTGTTGTAAAATATTCCTCGTACTAATTTGTTGAACACAGTTATGTCAATGTCAAGGCAATGCATATCAACATTAAGCACAAAATGGGCTAGACGTTGTTATCACAATGCAGAAATGCCAAAAGCAGGAGTTACAAAAGTTATGCTTACCAGATTCCTGCAGTATACTACCTTCATCGTTCATATACAAGTTACGCTCCACCAGATTATGTCCCATTCGCCAAGCACGCTAAGCCTTCTCTGCGGTCTAACTTTGATCTTCCAAGAGATGTCCACACTGCCAGCCTCAAACACTTCAGACCACATTTCTGTAAAGCTTTTGGCAGAGTGAAACAAATTTGGTCCTACATCCTTCGCAGCACGCTGGGCCGGCACGACTCCATGAGAACCAAAGATAACTGAGCCTGGTTTGCGCATCAAAAGATATGCAAGTCGCTTGGCAAGCTCTGATTGTTTTTCCACAGTGAAGAGGTGGAACACATTGCAGGCGTAAATAGCGGAAACACGTCGTCGTAAGGGAGTAAGGAAAGTGAGATGGTGAAGGTCTACCGTTTCTAAGTTTAGCTTCGGAATGGTGTCGGAATCGTCGATGGGAGCGAGAATTGTGTCATCAAATATGTCTCCTCCTATGAAACCCGCAGGAAAGGAATCTGAGGTTGATCTGAACAATTCATGACCGATGTCCCAAAATTCTATCGACACCGCAGTATCTCTCAAACAGAATGCATCTAAAACTCCTGCTTAAAACACACCTTTGTGCAGGTCGATCCCAATAGTGTTCTCTGCAGGCCAGCCATCAGCAACAACCTTTCTAAGGGCATTCCCAACTATAACGGACGTTAGTAATTGGGCCAATAAGTACGAGATCTTTTGGTATGTACTCACCGCAGCATCCCACATCCAGAAATAGTGCGTCTTTGCGAGATCTGATCAGCGAGAGAACCTGTTGATAGTTAGGAGAAAGTTTGATACTAAATCTATGAAAAACCGTCTTGATGTCAGTCGACAAGAGCGACGGATATCCGCATACTTTGTGAAAGTGAATAAGCCAATGCATGGGTAGTTGTGAATCTGGATGTTGGTCAAACAATCTGCACATCAAGGTGAGCCTGCGACAACGAACTCGATTCGCCTTATTCTGAACAACGGATATATGTTCTTCAAGCTCCTTCTCGTTTGCTATACCGGTGAGGGTTTGAAGCAATGAGAGATCCCCAGGGTCTACATCGAATCGAGAAAGGCTCATTTGTGTATTTCAATCTGCTGAAAGATGGTTCGAGTCGAACCCGCATTTCATTATTATTGATCAGGCGGAGGGCTGGCGCCTATTATTAGACGCCCATTCGCCTCCGTTCCCTTTCCGCTTTCAATCTCTAGATATGGTTCTACTCGGATCCGGAAAGGCCTTCACGTCCTCAATGTTTCACTGGGATCTGAACGTTTGAACATTAGTCTTGAAAGGTCTTGCCAGAATTCACGAGAGCTTTATCTCATCAGTTATCACAATACTATTACAATACGATATAAAGTACGTGTGCAACCATTAATGAGATTCATGAGCTGTTATACTACAACGTGAGGTGGGTGTCTAAGGTAGACAAGAAACACAAATCGAAAATAACGTAGACATATGCAAAGTTGTGAGGTGCTACAAAGCAAAACCGGAAAAGTTGGGAAAATGATGAAGACGCCGTGTACAAGCCAAAAAGTTAAAGAGACCATTCGGCACCAAGGATATGACGACACTGAAGAATGAAGAGTGATAGTACTAAGTTATAATAATGTACTTGAACAAATTCCCCGCGTCAAAAAAAAGTGTGTGATGTTGGAAATGCGAAATGCAGATACGAAAAGGTGTCATGACGTGCTCGTAGATCGTGTGTATGCAATGTGCAAGGTGAATAGCCAGCGGAGACGTGGCAAAGGTATGAATGTAGGTGTGGTCCATAAAACCAAAATTTGAAACCATGTGGGGTCGTTCAAGAAATTCGTGATTCTTTCCACCTCTTTTGGCGACAAGGCGAAATTCTATGTATTCAGAGTTAGGATAGAACGATGTCATTTCGAATTATGACTCACATCTAGTGATTTAAACTCGAGTTTCCCTAGCACCTGTGAGTTGAAGTAGAAGCTCACATTGCTCGTACCAGCTTCGTTTCGCTAGGGAAGCTATTTCCAATTGTGGGTGTTGTGTATTGAGCTTACATTTTCCCTGGGCGTTTGACATCGCGTAGTCCTTCGTAACCATCGACGATGAAACGGCATGCGAGTCAAAATAGAGCGTCCGGAGTAATGCCAACGATTCTCTTTCGGGACAAAAAATGTCCACCGACGTGTTAGATGAACCAGACAAACTGCTGCTACAAGCCGCGTCCGAACTTCCACAACCCAAGCCCAGATCGACTTCTTCAAAATCCTCCTCTTCATCTTCATCAGCAAGAATACCAGAAGATGAACACGTTTTGTCAAAGTCTACACTTCGCCCGCTGAGTGGAGGCTCAGCCTGGGCGACAAAATCTGACATGGAAGATGCGTTGAGGGGAGCCTCTGAATCACTATCGCTCTCGACAAGTGTGACATCCGAGTCTTCGCTGCTTGTCGTGGTAGAAATTAAAGATGCCAGGCTGACAACAGAGGAATACATCACTTCTCCTTCCTCAGAGTCCTCATCCTCTTCAGAAAGGCTGTCGTTATCATCGCTAATTGAACAATTTTCTGCGCATGATCCTGATATAGGATCCTTGCTTTCGTCATCAACAACGAACGTTTTTTCGCCCTCTGCTTCCTCCTCTTCCTCTTCTTCGCGAGGACGAGGAATGGCACATATGCGGTTCAACTCGGACAACCATAACACCTTCCGAATGGTCCACAAGCCTAAGCCCATACCCACAAGAAGATAGCGATCTGTGTGCATGCACCATGTCTCGGTGCAGGCGACAGCAGAGCTGTAAGTGGTGGCGAAATTTAATCTAACGATGTCACCCCATCGAGGATGAATGGTCAATGGTGGGAGGCTAGAGCGCGCAAAATCCTCTAGAATACTTCCAGAGGTCTCTGTCTGTTGTTGCCGAGAATTGTTAGGTCCCGAGTCCCGCGAGCTGGAGAAGAGGGAAGGAAACAGTTTGAACCGATCCTGCTCTTTGAGTTCGGGCTGCCAACCTTGTAAGACAGGTGAACATTCTGGCTCTGGCTGCCATCCTTGCACAGCGGGGGTGCATGTTTTATCCTGTTCACTACTTTGTGTCGTGAGGACAGGCGAAGTTGACATCCCTGAATAGGCTTCCTGCTGAGACTGATACTCTCCCAACCACTCTGTGTAACGTGCCCAATCTTCCTCTCTCAACGCCCAAAACCATTTGCGGTAATGTAGAGCATGTCGCGAGTGGCCTCTATCGGTATAAAGGTGCCGTTGGGGTTGAAACGGAGATTGTGATGGATACTGTAGTGTAGACTGCGATTGCGAGAAGGGGGACGGTATTACAGGCGGAAATAAGGATAATGGAGAGGGAAGACAGGTGTATTTGGGACGTGGTTCCGGGGTATATTCTAGCATATTCTGATCTAGATCTCCATCTCCAAATGACTCCAGGATGGACTCTGTATGTGGATTGGCAGGGTATGGGGTGCAGGGGGCTTGGACCATCGACGGAGAAACGGGTATTGGACTATATGTATGAACATATGTCTGTTCTTCTTTGACAGGAGCAACACATTCATTTCCTTCTCCCGTCAACCCATCGCCGAGATCTATTTCCTTCAGAGAGTCCGAGTCTGAGTCCGTATCTGAATCCTCCAAGGAGCCGTCGAAGTCAGAGGACGAGCTCAACGAGATGGTGATACTTTCGAGAGCTGGGTATGAACCAGAGGAAGAAGACGAGAGCAGCGACGAGTTTGAAGCTGATGAATCGAGTTCAGGACTGCTTGCTATATCGATCGTGATCGACATGCCTTCATCATCAGCGAATGACCCGTTATATAAAAAAGTAGCCGCTTTGGACGGCTCAATCGTTGCTGATATTTCAGGGCAGGGCGGAGGTTCAAAGTCGGAAGTCGAAGTAGCGTCTGTCAACCGCATCTTTTTCAAGATTTCGCGTGTCCACCGGAAAGTAGCAGATGGAGTCCGTTTGTGTGAACGAACCTGTGCCTGTGTTTCAACTTCATCCTGGGCATTGGCCAACTGCGTACTTGAAGATCCCAATACGAAGTCCAGTCGGCTTGCTGGCCGAGGAGGGATTTCATTCCCGCCAGTGGAATTGCGATGCGGGGTCCCGATAGAATGAGCGTTGTCGTTTTGTGGTTGGATAGAAGCAGGAGATAAATGATTTTCTTCCTCGCACTGTTGAGCGAGGTCACCGGAGAGACATTGTTGGTGATGAAGAAGGGAGCCATGATATAAAGCATGGATGTTATCGTTAGGATATGCGGTGTCGTTCGTGTCTGCGGGCGAGAGGGAGATGGTCATTTTCGTCCGACACTCGGTGTTATGTGTACCTAGAATATGTTAAAGGCAAAGAACATGCAAAGGAAGTTTGTTGCGTACTTTGAAACACACCCTAGAAGACCACAAGATCTCGCCAGACTTGTCCAACTTGACAATACAGGTAATCCTGCATGTAGAACATTAGGAGTAAGTGAAGTACGACTGGCAAGCAAGCTGCGGCTAACGTACCAATGTCCTGAATGAGAAAGCTACGCTCGTCTGACGAGCTGTGGCTACCAGTGGCTACCCTACTTTCGTGGGGAGCGGGCCTGAGTTCGAAAGAGTTGAGTAGCAGCAGACCCAAGGTAGTTCGAAAAGGTTAAGGTGTTCAGCAAGAAACAAGCAGTTCGTGAGAGCTGTCGTGAATCTGTCCTAAACTTGTAGCGCGAGATCCGTGCTCAGCGAGGAGAGAAAGAAACAGTTGACAATAATGGCGGGAAGACCAGTTAGACCAGGGCGCAAATCCGAAATGAGAAAAATTGCAAATTGAATAATGATCCGTGCTCCGATCCGAAGGTGACGTAATATATTTCTGTCATACCATGGGTGAGTCTGTTATTCTAAGGATATAGATTGGAAGCACTGTAGCTTTTATAGCTTTCAAAGAGCTCCGACCCTAGTTGTTTCCATTGCTCCTTCTCTCTGAGTATAGACCAAGCAGGACCAAGCCTGACCAAGCATGTGGATTCGGGTGAAGTGGTCATGTGACCTGTTAAAATTTAAATAGGCATGGGCTCTACTTTCTACTGTGCCACCGCTCTTCGGCTGCCCAGAAAAAGTCTATGGATTCGCCGAAGCTGTGGATTAAATGTTTGATCTACACATTCTTATGCCTCACAGCTGATCTCTTGGATATACTTCTTTCTTTTGTTATTTCCAAAAGCAAGCCCCTTCTCGCTCTAAAACCCTCTGATGTGGACGATCTGAGTGACGACGAGATCCTAACCCAGTATGAGAAGACAAGGAATGAACTAGACAAGCAGAATCAGGAGAAGGGGTTGGAACATGACTGGACTGTTGTATGATCCTATTCTCGGCATCTAGCCCATCCCAACACCTTTCCTATTTCGGTTCTGACCTCCCAGTCATATCTTTTAGCTCACAGATGACTTGTATATTAGCTTCCGTTTATTCTATGAAGTTCTCTATGACTTCACTTTACCTTCTAGCCGATTCTTCAGAGTTCTTCCAAGTCCTCATGATTCTTGTAAATTTCACCTATTGCCTTATTTGTACTCTCTTATCCTATCTTCATATCTTTGGTAGATTTCTACAGTACCGAAACTAGATAGCCCAAAGTAGTATAAAGTATTGTAGGAACTGGCAAATAGATGACAGAATTCTCTCTGCCCTTTTGATCGCTCAACCGGACTCAAGCCCGAAATTGAACAGACAGATACTTCACTTTGCAAAGTGAAGGGTCTCTTATCTACTTGACGTCTTTACCGCTTATCATCAAGACTGGAATTCTCAACTGTATGTTTATATTGCTAGCCCAACAAATTCCCATACTCACTTGGGTACCTCTCTATAGAGAACCACCCTATCTAGTCGTGACATTACAAAACACAGAACATCCCAATGAACTTCGAATCCACATAGTACCATTTGACTATGCCCGACGTAACTCTAGATCAGCTTCGCGCAGTACTGACTGCCGAGGCATTCAAGGTCATTGCCCCAATCTTTAGTAATATTGCTCAGCGTCTTCAAGAAAGCGAAGGCCATGTTGCCAAACTCCAACAGCAATGAGTTTCAACTGAATCACTGTCCTCAGCGTTTCAAGATGCTATGTCCCATCTTACACCAACCAACCAAGTGTCTCCTCTGCTACAGCTCGAGCTCCCTTACGCACAGAACTCCCTATTTTCTGAGGTCATCCTGATGAAAATGTTTGTGCCTTTATTTTGATTGTAAAAGACTTACTGAAAGCCACTCACATTGCTCAGGAGGACTGGGGAGTTATTGTAAGTGGTTGTTTTTGGGATGCTGCTCAAACTTGGTACTTAGCCAAAAAGCAGGAAAATAGTGACCAACCTCTCACCTGGGACAAGATAGAGCAAGCTCTTCGTACTCAATTTGATAATCCAGCCTGAATGGATGAACTTCGGAATAGCTTGAACGACTGCAACTACAAAGGTAATGTCTCTGAGTTCATTCCTTGCTTTCAAAAGCTGGAAATGCAACTTTCCCCTACAGATATGACCTTTGGTGATTGTAAGTTTCATTTTTTCTAAAGCCTCCCTCCGGAGCTCTGTTTCCACATTTCTAATGCGAATCCCTCAAATATGGCAGAAGTCTATGACTCTGCTCGAGTATATGAATGCTACAAGTGTTTCTCAGGAGCAAACTTGAATATGAACACTGGCCATACCACAGATCCTCATTGGAATAGGAATACCCCATCCTCTACCAACATCTCTACATCTTCAATGTTTCCTTCCACTGCTGCTCCTACTGCCACCACATCGACTCACTCACCAATGGATCTTGATGCCTTTGCTACAGCCCCAGCATCCAATAATTGATTGAAGCTCCAATGTTACAACTGTAACAAGATGGGGCACTACACTAGGGACTGTCATCAACCTCGAAGACAATGAGAACGCAATGTATCTACCTCTCGGACTTTGCCTATAACTCAAGAGAATCACACCCATTATCCAATGTTTTATATTGCCTAAGGGGATCCACATCGATAACCTCATGTCATAAGACAACCTAGAGCAGATGAACCCACTCAGCTTGATCACCTTCAAGGATGACTTGCAAATCTGAAGTCAAAGGTCACACAGAGAGATGTCAACAATTTCCTTGCCAGTGTTGAAACTGAACCTACCTCCAATCCTCTAATAGCCAATTTCTTTAATGTTGATTTGGGAAGTGAAGAATCTACCCTGCCAGTTTATGCTGCGACAATTAGTGGACGACCTCATCACTTTCAAAAAACCAAATCAATGGAGGCTGAAATAATCCTGGACACCAGTGCTAATGACAACTACATTCACGACAATATTGCGACCTATATCGATGCAGAATACTTTGCCCTGGTTAAGCCATGGGAGATAGTTGGAGCAGGACATATGTGTTAAGATCATGTACACCGTGTAACCGTGCCAGGGCCACAAGGTGTCTAAGTGCAGAAGACGAGTGGGACAGTAGTGAAGTTATTAACAACACCGCCGTTACGCCGTTAGTCCCCGGAGATCGAGAGTATAGAGAGAGGAGCTAAGTAGCAGCCAAGTTGGAGCGGCGGTAACGCCGGTGATGAGGAGCGGACCAAAGAACGTCTAAGTCCTAAGGTCGAGTAGAACGTACTTCGAGGCGTTGAGCCTGAAGACTTAGAGAAGAGCTAGGTTGAGAAGGGAGATCTAAGTTGATAATTAAACTGAGGAACTACAGTAGCGTACAGGCAGTATTTATATCTACGGAGCGGCGCATCAGTGTGGAACGCCAGACTAACTACTAGGAGCTATACGAGTAGTACCTGCAGGGTAAAGTAAAAGACAATAAGGAGGGACTAGAATGAAAGGGTATGTGTAGCGAGAAAGAACAATAAGGAGACATTACAATAAAGGTAGATCTTCGGAATACCGAGCGGCGGAATGGAGGCCCGAGGCATGGACTTGACAGTATCCCCCTCTTAGGCTTGAGCCCTCGAAAGCCGTTAGTATCGGAAAATACTATTAGTCACCAGAGAAAAATTTTATATCCCATTAGTACCGGCAATTATCCGTTGGTTCACCGTAAGCCGAGTACAATTCGAGGGAAAATTTTTGCTGGTCCATGCGCAGTTTTGCCATATAAAAGGCCCAGAATTCTGCCAATAAGGTCCAAGTTTCAAAAACTCCCAAGTTCACAAAATGTCCGGCAGCCGTACTCAAACCACCACGACCATCACCAGTGCTGGCCCTTCGCGGTCAAGACCCACCAACCTGCCTCCCTCTGAACCTGTCGACGACGAGGCTATTCGGCGAGCGGAGGAGAAGGTCCGCTGGATGAAGGCAAGGAAGGCGGCGGCGGCGGCCAAGAAGAAAGCCGAGGAGGAGGCAGCCAGGAAGGCCGCAGAGGAAGCGCCGAGGAAGAAGGAGGCAGCAGTGCGGGAGTTGGAGGAGCAGCGGAGAGTAATGGCGGAGGCGGCGACCGCTGGTAGTCGACGGGGCTCTTCGCCAGGAGGAAGCTCGGTGGTGGTAGAAATTTGGAAGGAGAAGGGCAAAGGCAAGGCCAAGGCCCAGGTGAGTACCGAAGGCCTTCCACAATATCCTTATACTAACACTCCTGCTTGTAGCCTATTGGCGGGGACCACGATGACGACGACGACAGAGCTCCCTGCGAACGATGAGGGAGCAAGAAAATCTCTTGTCAGATGCAGGCTGGCAAGAGGAGCTCTATCATTTGTAAACCCTGCCACGACGCAAAGGTGCGGTGACACGCCTAAATTTTGGCTAGACGTCTATACTGTGAATTGTGACATTTTCACGTATAGATTTGTATCAAGAGGACTGTAATTGAGACCCAGATTGACAGTCAAAGTCAATACTGAATCAGTCTAATAAGTTGAAGGGACCATATACCCATACTACCACAAGTTGGTTAGTTTACCCATCCCCGATACTACCTTCGGATAGCAGTCTACCTGTTTGTCAAGCAGGATTATACCAGACTCGGACTACATCCGAAGGATGACCATTCACGTATGACATACCAAGGGTATTCTTATTGGACCTTACACTGGCAGGAGTTTGGAAGAACTTACTCAAGTGACCATGAACCGAGGATTGACTCGAAATGACTTTCTAGAACTCAGGAATTATCAAATACTCCTTCTAGAACAAGATCATGCATTAATCTAAAGGACTGCGATTTAGTCTAATAGACCAATCAAGTTGCATGGTTGAGTAAAATGACTAGAAGAACGATCGAAAGACTGCGAGGCTCCGAAGACATATCAAATGAATGTCAAAGAGTCCTGACGTAGAAAACATTGAAGAATGCAATTAAATGAATACTATGCGTAACTCCCTTGATAGAGTATAGGCACAATGGGTGTCTGTTGAAAGAGAGAAGCAATTAGTTTAATCCAGATGAATCAGATTGATAGGATTAGAATCGAGGAGAGTTGATTTGCCTCCGGACGAGATGACAAACGATCGAAGTAAGTGTTGAACAGCAATGACAGTTGAACACCATTCGAGTCATTCTCTAAAAACAATTAAATTAAATGAATATTGAAGTACCTACCCATGTTTGGAGGTATACTAGAATCTTGGAACCAATATGGACTAAATAAGGACATGTAGATTCAAATTAAATGGTATCTGACTGAGTGTAGAAGTTTCCTTGCGGTTCCGAACGTTTATTGTTTTAAATTAATTGTACTATGCGACTCTATATTCTGTATGTATAAATAGCGATCCGATGTATCTGGAATACAAGTGATTTTGGGACGACGTTGCAGTGCTAATCCGTAAAAAGGAAAGACACACTCCCGCCAGACTGAAACCTCTTCGCTAGCAGCCATTCGGGCCCGGCACTTGTGAGTATAGGAATGTCGTGTTCTGCTCCTTGTGACTGCGAGAAGTATATCCAGTTGTTGGGTATTCTTCGAACTTAGGATCAGTCGTTGGTCTTAAGGGCAAATCACGCTGTGTGGTTGTGCCAGCACATAGTTCTAGCCCTCCGTAGGGGTCTGTGTGTTTCGGTTTTAATTTACTTTGATTCAAACCCCCAATTCTTGATATACCCAAATCAATACAAACCAAAGCACAAATCGTGCTGAATCTACCTTGATCAAAGGCATATATCGAATCCTTAGAACGATTCAAATTGATTAATCAAAGCTTCGTACTTAGCTCTCAAAGCTTTGCGGAACCTTTGCCAACGCTACCCCTTGCTATTAAATAAATTTGATAGCAGTGAACTCGCATATTGTGTATTAGATTGGTTGGTTGGAGTGCCCATTAGATTCCTTCTTTTCTCTTTCACACAAAAACGAGGCAAGCTCGTTAGCGGTGCTCGTACTCCGGGCGGCCCTCGACATTGAAGCGAGAGGGAGGAGGAAATCCGCTTGGTGAGCGGATAGCCGTCCTTGAGAGCCAGATGGCTCAATTGCTCGCTGTCAACCGTCAACTCCAGGACAGTCAGATCAAGGCGAATACGTACCATTGCCACATGACCCGGAAGTTGGAGTGGTTGATAATGGATGCCAACAGGAGAAGGAATTCGCCCCCTGAATTACCGGAGGCCGGGCCGTCGGCACCATCGAAGAAAAGAAGGAGGGCAGTGGATAGTGATGA